ATCTTAAATATTCTAATACAGTTCATACTCTTAATTATATATATTCTAATAATTTTTTAGACTGAATAAAAAACTCTAGTAAATACTAAGTTAAATTATTATATTAATTAATAAATAATATAAATATAGAAATATCTTTAATCTAATTAATAAAAATATAAAATATTTTATAAATTATAGATTTATTAAGATTTTAGAGTAGTAAATATAAGTTATTTTTCTATAATTAAGATATAGAAATAACAGAAATAAAATAATAAGTATAAAATAATATATTATTATTAATATATTTTTAAAAGAAATAAATACTTAGATTAATATTATAATATTCATAATTTAATATATTAATTCTAAGAATATCCAGATAGTTTATCTATTAAATAATTAATATATCTAAAAATAGAATATTTAGTAATAAAATATAATAAGATATAAAATATAAAATAAGATTAATATAAGAAATAAATATAAAGAAAAATAAGTAGTATAAAGATATATTTTTAATTAAAATAAAGAAAATATCTAAAAAAATAAATAATCAGGAGTTTTTAGCTTAATATAAATAATAATATATTATATAAGTTACTTAGTAGAAATAAGAATAATTTATAAAATATAGGACTAGGATTAAAATACTAGATTAAAATTAAAAAATAATAAATAATTTATAAAACAGGTATACTAGATAAAAAATAAAAAATATAATTAGAAAATATAAAATATAAGAAAAAAGATAAACAGTATAAAAATATCTAGTAATTAATAAATAAAGATAGAAATAGATATAAAAAATTAAAAAAACTAAAAAAATATTAATTATATATTTAAAAATAATATACTAGATAACTAGAATATACTATTATATATTATAGAAATAAAGAATAATTATAAATAAGCTTTATAAATTAATATAAGATAATATAAAAGTTAAGAAAATAAAAAGACTAATAGATTAATTAAAAAAAGTTTCTTAATAATTATAAATATAGTATTATAAGAATAACAGAATACAGGTATTCTAGGAATACTATAATTAATTTTTTTTAATTTATATTTAATAATAAAATTATAAGATATTAATTTTATATATTAATATATCTAGTACTTATTTAATTATAGTTAATTTATAAAAATTTAAAGATTTATATAATTTAATAAAATCTTAATAATATATTAAACTTTTTTTAAATATTAATATTAGTATTTAAATAAATAAATAATAATAAATAATTTATAATTTAGAATTATCTAATTTAATTTTACTTTAATAAATTTTCTTAATTAAATAATAATTATATAAAATTACTTTATTAATCTAGATTATATAAAAATCTTAATAATTTTTTTTATAAATATTAATTTTAATTTAAATTACTAATTTAAGATTAGAAAAATAAAATAATAATATTTTTTAAAATATATTAATAAATTACTAAAGTATTAGTTATTTATTAAATATAAAATAATATAAATTAGATTTTTTATTATTTTAATTATCTTTTAATAGATTAGTTAGAGATAAGATAAATAATAAAAAATTATAAATAAATTATTAATAAAAATTATAAAATCTAAGAAGGACTTATATTTTATAAAAGTTTTTTAATAATAATTAGAAAATAATAATATTTATTTATTAAAAATCTATAATAATATTTTAAAAAGATATTATATAATTAAGAAATTTAATTTAGATTTAAAAAAAAATATTTTAAAATTTTAATATATAAATTTATTTTTTAATTACCTTAAGAGTTATTTAATATATTTAATATATTTAAATTTTATTATCAAAAAGATAAGAATATTATCTAAATAAATAATATAAATAATATTAAGAATATTATATAATATAAAATAAATAAAATTTTAAAAATAAATTATTTGTTAAATTAAATAATTTAATTAAATATTTAAAATAATTATAATATATTTAAAATATAATCTTCTATTTTTTTTTAATATAAATTTAATAATAAATATTTTATATATTAATTTTACTAAAATATTTATATTTTATAAGATAATTAAAAATTTTAATAAGAAATAAAATAAAATAATAATTCTTAATTATAATTTTATTAAAATTATAATAATTTAAATATAAATAAAATAAAAGATTCTATAGAATTTTTAGATAATTAAATTTTTATTAATATATTATTTTAAAACTACTAATTTTTTATAAAATAAAAAATAAATAAAACTAAATAAAGATTTTTTATTATTAATAAAATTAATAATATAATTATTTTTATAATAATTAAATAATATTTTATATTAATTAAAAAAAATATTCTAAAAATCTTAAAGTTTTATTAAAATATTATTATTTTATAAATATTTTAATATTTTATTTTTTATAAATAATTATAACTTCTTTAATAGCTTAATTAAAATATATATATAAATATAATTTTAATATATTTTAATAAATTTTTAAGAATATAATTTTTATATATTATAAAATTTAAACTATTATATTTTATTTTATAAATTTAGATAGATTTTATAATTATTAATAATAATTATAAATAATAAAATAAAAATATTATTAAGATTATAATAAATTATTATATAAAATTTACTAAATTATTATTAATTCTTTTTAAATTAATTATTTTAATAAGAATATTTTATATTTTATAATTAAAAATTATTTTATTATTAAGAGTCTTTAAATTTAAGAATTATAATAAGATTTTTATAAAAAAATATTATTTAAATTAAATATTAATAATATTATACTTAATATTAGTATTTATATTTATAAATATCTTATTAATATTTAAAACTTATATAGATATTAAGATTTTATTAATTATATTTATTTTAAAGAATTAAATTAAAATAAAAGATAAGACTTTAGTTTAAATTAATTTTCTAAACTAATTTCTTTAATTTATAATCTCTAGATTTAGTTAGATTTTTTATTTTTTTAATAGAGTGGCTAACAGCCAGGTTAGATTAGATAAATTAAAACTTTTATACCTGACTGTAGATTAATAGTTAGGTATAAAAAATATATATTCTTATCTAGATTAATTAATAATTAATCTGTAGATTAAATTTCTTAATAATTAAATTTATTTAAGAAGATAATATAAAATAATAGAATATTTCTACTTAATTTCTGTCTGGTTCTATCTGATTTTTATTTAATTTAGTTTAGTTTCTGCTTGATTCTATCTGATTTAGATATAATAATTAATTATAGTTAACTATTATATCTACAGTTAATCTGATTTTTATATTTTAACCTGACTACTAGGTTAAGGTCAGGTTAAGGTTAAGGTATAATAGTCAGATTAAGCTACTCTACTTTTTAGAGTATTAATTTATAAAATATTTAATACTATTATATAAATAATAATATAACTATTTCTAAATTAGATTATAAATATAAATTCTTAGATAATATAATATTTTTATATTAAAATAAAATTATTTTTATAATATATTTAGATTTTCTTATTTTCATTTTTATTTTTATTATTATAAGTATAGATTTTAATAATAAATTATAATTAATATTATTTTATTATATTTTTTAAGTAATTAATAAATATATTATTTAATATGTTAATTAAAATTAAAAAATAATTTAATAAAAAAAATAAAGTTTTTTTTTTATTATTTTAAAAAAATATTATTTTAGTATATTAAAATAAGTATAGAACTTATATAAATTTTAATTATTTTATTATTATATTTATTTAAATTAGTTTATTATATTTAGCTTAAATATAATAATATTCTTTATAAAAAAAATTTATTTAATAAAGAAAAACTATAAATAATTAATAAATTTTTTTTATTTTATAAATAATTTTTTTAAAATATTAGTATTATCTTTATTAATATATAATATTTATATAACTAATAGCTTTAAAGATTTTTTAATAATTAATATTAAATTTCAAAATTATTTTTTAAAAATTATAATTTAAATTATAACATTATTCTTATTACTTCTAAATATTAGAAAATAATTTAAATTAAGAAATATTCTTAATTTTAAATTATTTAAAGATAATAAAGTCTTTTATTAATAATTTAATATAAGATTAATATTATATTATTAAATCTTTTATTTTAATTTAATAATTTATTATTATAATTATTAATAATCTTAAAATTTATTAATAATATCTTATATTATAATAAGATTTTTTATTAATAAATTATAAATAATTAAAGTAAAAGATTTAGTATCTATAAAAAAATTTCTAATTTTAAATTATTTTTAGAATATAATTATTAAAATAATATTATATATTTTTTTTATAGATAATTAAAAAAAAAATTAAAATTATAAAAAAAAGATTAATTAAATATAGAATTAAAGTACTAGTATTATATTAATATAAACTGATTCTTATTTTTCTAATATATAATAAAATCTAGATATTTAAAATATAGATTTTATTAAATTATTAATATTATAATTATATTATAACTAAGATATAGATATTCTGTTATAGTAATTACTTAGTTATATAGATTAACTATAACATAATTTGATATTAATTATAATAAATTTTCAATTTATGTATAACTATTTCATCTTTAATAATAATTAATATAATTATAATTATAATTATAATACTTTAATTTTATATATTTTAAAAAATTATTTTAATTTATCAAAATAAATAGTTATAAATCTTATTTTTGAATAATAATTTTTTATAATTTTTTAATCTAAATTAAATACTCTTTTTTATTTATATTTATTAATTTTCTTTTATTTTTTGATTGATAATTCTTTAATGAGAAAAATATCAAAATTTAATCTTAGCTTCTTAGAGTAAGAACTAGTACTAATAGAAATTACTTTATTTAGAAAATCACTCAATATTAAGATTATTAGATTTTAATATATATCTTTATATAGAAATTTAGTTAAAGGATTTTTATTAATGTTTTTAAAAGTCTTTCTATATAAATAATGAATCTAGACAGGCTGGAAAATAGAATGATCTGATACTGATGGCTTACCGGCTTCTGCTGCTAACAAAGCTGTTGTGGTTTTGATGCTTTATCTTTGCTTTGGATGACCAGTACTTATAAATGCCTTTTGTCCACTTCTTTTGATGCTAGTCTCATGAAAAGTCATTCAACATTGTACATTTGTTACATCTATTGCCTTTGTTCGCAACAGCAATCCTTTGTTTGGACATGGCGCAACTTTCTTTGTTTGCCCCAGACCAGATCCTTTTCTTCGTGAGTACGCAACCTTATGTTATCTCAACCCTCAATCGGCTCAGCATAAATATCAGGGCGTTTCTTTCGGAGTATCCGCGCAGATGGTTTGAGCTGCCAACTTCATTCTCATATTTGCATACTTTGCCTACTCAAAGCTAAACTCAGGTAGTAGGTCTACTGTTCGAATTCGACAATGGGAGTGTTGATGCCCACCGGAAAGTGGCAGTGGTTCGACGCGGATGCCAATTTCCAGCCGGAGGACCATCGCAAGTTCAGAGAGGACATCACACGATGGCTACTGCGACGGCTGGGCAAGACTGAGGTAGGAGAAGACGGGCATCCGACGCAACTGACTGAGGTCCAAAAGCGCATGATTCGCGATGCCCTGACGCGTCGCAACCGGGAACTGCAGGCCCAGACGCAGTCAACAGGGATTTACACCGATGAAGAAAAGCAGGAGGCCTTGGCCACCGGAATACCGCTTCCTCCTCCTCCCGGGGCCGATGCTGTTCTTCACGCCGCCCATCAGACACCGGACATTATCATTGATCCAGTCTCAAGGCTGTTTGACTGTCCATGTTGTTTTCGAACTCTACCATCAAGGTACCTGGAGCCAGAACACTGGTGGAAGCATGTTGAAAGCGACCTGTGCAGTGGGACTTGTCTCCTTGACCGGTGTTTCATGAAGCCCCAACCGTTCAACATCGATCACTACTACCGGCACGTACGGGAGTATCACAACCCCAGAAAGTTGTGGACCCTGGAGGATATCGACGAAGTGCGGGGGACACCACACCACCCGTTCCCGTCTATTTGTCCCATCTGTAACTACACCGACAGTGACCATGAACGTGTCGCCATCCACATTTCCAAAGAACTCCGCTATTGGGGCTTTAATTTCGCTGCCCTGGTTCACTGAGCGGGGCTTGCTACTGGTGGGCGAGGAATCGGAGAATGAGATGGATCGCCTGTGGCCCCCTGGCTGCAACGTGTCCCCGTCTGGCACGAACTCGTACGAAGCCTGGGCGGAGAGCGAGGATTAAAAACGGAGAACCTGAGTCGCTCCATGGGGCTTCGGGCTTTTGAGGCCTTGATCCCACAAGACCTGTTGCTCGGAATGAGTGAGTCCAATGCCTTTCCAAATCGCTCTATACTCTGACAACAACCAGAATTAGAATGATCAATCTTTTCGATTTTATGAATAAAGTTCGGACTCCGTGACCGAGTCACATTGTTGAGGTAATGAGATCAATCATCCATCATGTAGGGTAAGTATATCACTAATTAGAAAGACAATCGCGGAAATAGGACAGAGGCACCAACGATAAGTGCATAGCCCGACACAGACCCATGCTAGTCGACGTCTCCTCGACCTCTAGCCGAGTCTGCGATCGAGGAAGGAATTCTAAGTGTGGCTGTAACTTCAATTCCTGCTTGAATGACTCGTTCCTTAGATCTAAGTACCGAAGATGATAGAAAGCTCATGCAGAACGTGGAGTGCTGTGAGTCCTACTGTACATTGTTGGGACTCCTTCTCAGTCGACGCCTCTATCCAACGTACGGCAAAAGCAAGATAAGAGTGCAAAGTACTGTACAATGCGCGGAGAGTATCCACGATGACGCCCATTGTTTCCAGCCTTTCAGTCTTCGGTCGCGATCTTGAAAACCAGCTTGACTTCCATGTTCATGCCTGTAAATTGAGGCTGAATTGACATCGCATGCATCATGGTCGCGAATCCAATCTTTCTCTCCTCGACGGTGGTGCGCCCAGTAGCAGTAAGCTAGACCTCGATCAATGTCAATTCCCTAAATTGGGCACGGAGCGTGGCACGCACGAGTAGCATAAGAGTAGAGCCTGTATTGGCCGTGCCAGTGTCTTCCGAAACCGGGTTGAGCTTCAGATCCAACTCAGCGGCGTAAGGCAATTTGTGGTATTGCTCCTGGATTTCGGTCAGGGCAGCGAGATAGAATGCGGCAAGCGGCTCGGTGGCAACTGGCACGGGGCCAAACTGTGGGTGTCGCTGTGTCAGTTGGACAGACAATGTCTTGATCTTAGAAAGGGAAAGCGAAGATTCACCGTGGCCGTCTTGGTGACCTGCATGTCGATGGCAACACACGAGTGATATGAGATGGTTAGAAGGAGGTATGACGTGCAAGGCAACGGATAGATGGTTGAAGGAGAGTTGCGTGCAAGGATAGGAGGATTGATGGGAATGGATCAACAAAGATGAGAATGTTAGAGGAAGCAAAGAAGAGTGGATGGGGAAAGAAGGAAGAGAAGGCGAAGATTGAGCTTAGGCAAGTGAGTTGGAAGAATGAATCGACTTGAGATCTTTGGCAGTGAATTGAACCAGGGAAGGTGTTACTCCGTCTACTGTCTGATGACCCCTCAATCCAATCTATTAGTAGCCATTTTCCCCCGTGGCTTCACGTCCGCTTTATCATCGTTCACCTTTGCAATTGTAGCTACGAGTGCTGCCGCTGCCGCTGCATCGTGCTCAGATAGCTATACCGTATCAAGTCTCTTCCTCGGACGAAAGGCGAGCTGTTCTTCATGCAAAATCCTCTCCTGGTTCCGACCAGCACTGATTGGACTGCGCACAATCTGCAGCAGCGTCTCTGTATGACTCCTTGGCTCGGCTATACAGCTCCAAGGCGACCGAACTGCTACTCCTGGACACCAACTATCGTTTAGCCAATTTGTTGTAAACATGCGCAAATTCCAACGCGAGAAGCAAGAGCATCATCTAACGCTAAAGGTCCTCCAGCCGCAAAAGTATACCTCCGTGGGTATGAGCAATGTCTCCTAGTGGAGGGATTTGAGAGGCAAGGACCTAAGTCGACACCGATTTGCCCTTATAGTTGGGTAAGAGTTTGGAAGCATGGGTGAGCTCGGTCAAACCTTTAACAACTGGGTTCCAGTTCTAGGGACTTGTTTGCAATGGAGTATTTCCGGTCGGAGCATAGTATCTGCCTCAGAAACTCTATACTGCGCTTTTGATCCTATGCGCTATGCTCTCCAGTCTCCGCGGGGCTTTTAGGGTCGTAGTAAGCGTGAACAACGTACTGACCGTAGCCTGATAGAGACCAGAACGAGGCATGTGTCCATCAATTGAAATTGTCAGACTTTCTTACCCAGGAAAGATGCGAAAAAGAATATTATTTGGTCCCCACGGTATCTAAGTTAGCACGTTACATCAGGTGCAGAACCGGTTGAGTTTATTACCCAGTGGACCGAGTCAGCAAGTTAAGCACTTGCCTCTCCACCAACGATGCATCAAACGTTGATCTCATGATTATCTTTTCTCTCAGACGAAGCTTATGGCCAGGCATAATTGATTGCCGAGCCTTCTTTAGTCAGTAGTAAGATTCTGAAATGCCGGTCATATGCAAAATGAACCCATCGAGCTGATGCCATCAGCGCCAAGAAGAATGTCCCCCTGGGTGCTCGTGCCATCTTCAAAGTGGAGAATAACCTTTGGGTGGTTCGCTTTAGCGCGGATGGTTTTCTTGCGCCAGTGTAATGAGTCTCGAGGGACATATTGTAGCAGTGCAGCATGAAGATGGGCCTGGTGAAAGCGAGTGGTGTTATAGCGAGGGCCAGGGAAAATGGCGTGCGTACCAATAGAGTGGACTTGATTGGTCTTCCAGTGACTGCCACAGTTTGTCTCAGAAGATCCCTTCACATGAGGCCTATCGATGGACCTACTGGTAGATCAGGGGGATGCCACTTGGCGATCTGAAGCCCACTTCGTCCGAGAGTGCATTGTACACAGCGAGGCCTGTCAAATGTGCGCATACACTAACTAGATCAACGACCCAAAAGGGGTCGGCCACCCTCTGCTAAGATATTGTAATGAAGAAGAGTTCAGGCATTGGGATTTCGGACGCCTGCTCATATCGCTGGATATCAAGATTGGAGATGGCAGCCGCCAGCCCTGCAATACCGGCCCCCACGATCAGCACCCGGAGATCTTTTCTCTCCTCGATCATCTCGCCCAAACAGGATAAATAGAATATTTCTTGCATGCTAAGAGCCAGGCGAGCACGATATTGTTCGAAGGAATTACCCGTGGGGATACAGGGTATCTAGCAACTAAGTCTGTTTAACGAATCATTAAGCACGTCAACTATGCAGCTGTGGCACGACTACGGATGACGACTTTGGCCACGGTGTTGATTCGTGTCGAGGCCTGTACCCTTTCGATATTCGGGAAAAGGAAATCGCGGTAAGAATTATCTAAGTCAAATGAACTACATCCACCCCATTCTATGGCCATAGAGACCAATGGGGTGCTGTATGTAGCGTATGATCAGTACAGAGAGCGCATCCCCCCGCAAACCAAAGCCGCCCAGCTCAACCGTAGCAGCCCTTGGCGAGGAGGAAGTAAATTATGTGTTTCTCGATTTTGCGCAGACCAAGTATCTGCCTAATATCATGATAGATTTTTGGGTAAGTCCTTCCCACTGTCGGATTGCTACTTTCGGCGAAAATGAGAAGCTGGCGAAGCTGGCAAAGCCTTGTCCGCCTGTATTCCTCTGTTCTGACGGGAGCTGGACCGATGACAAATTACCCGCTATCGGGATTGACACAAGGCGGACCGGATTGACCTTATTCCAGGGTTGCCAACGAGGGCAACGGAGTTAAACTACCCTAGTCTAATGAGAAAGAGGCATCTCTGGCGTATTTTAACTGGCGGTAGGCACAGACAGGACTGAGACTTGGGGCCACGGCGCGTGCAGGATTGCAGCCATGATATGAATGCCCCAGGCACGGATTGAGATATGCACCGTGGCAACCAAAAATACTTCGGGGTCTACGACTCGCCAAAAATGGTAATAGGTCGGGCCCCTCAGTTGCCTACTAATATCGACTGGACCCCTGTCCCTTGATCCTTGTAGCTGGTTGGCCCTTAGTCGAACCTGATCAAGCTATGATGATGGTGGCTGTGATGGATACCAAGTACTGTACATACAAGCAAGTGGAAGGAATTATTACCCACCGATTCCCCCGCCGCACAAGGATGGAGTTTCGCGGAAACCGTTGGTGGTTCCTGGTGTGAGTTTTGCTCGCAGGGATTGGATCGACATCGTCATGGATAGATGCTTGGGGAATCTACTTAGACAGGAATCGGCCGGCCGGCCGAGCAGAAGAGCCGATCATCCGTGGTACGGGTGCGGTAATACAGACGTACGTAGCCCCTTTCGGCACCACGGCTAAACGGTCAGGGTAGTATAGATTACGCATGCTCAAGCCACCGCCCGCGATCTCATTCTTGGCTACAGTCAACGGCTTTTTCTGCCCACTGCCATCGCCACCAAATGACGTGTGGCCGACCAGCAAAGAACCCGACTGACACTGACGATTCCCCACACCTTGCCCCTATTGTCCTCCACTATCCACCATTATACTACGTATCACTACGTATTGCATGGTCAATAGCTTCGTGTCAAGGAAGATGTATTCTACCTGCACAGGTCTTGGGTTCTTTTTAAAATAACCATCATGGTCCTGTCCCTGTTGCGCGCAGGACGATATGAACCACATTCATTAAGTCAAGTCCCTCTACAGCGCCTGTCATGGACTCCCAACCACTGGCCTCGGTTCAGGCGAAACGCAAGCAACGGCCCGTCTATTCCTGTTTACCTTGTCATCAACGCAAAGTCAAGGTAAATTCTCCTTGTCAAAACTCCCCGACTGTTCCCCCCATGGTAACTGGAACATGAGCTCATCAGGATCCCGCCAAGTAGTGCAACCGGGTATTACCGTGTAGATCGTGCTGTTTGCGTGGTCTCCCCGAGGAATGCACTTTCCCGCGCTCCGCGGAAGAACAAACCTACATTAGTCAGTCCGAGTATATCTCCCAGCTGGAAGAGCGATGTCGGTCCTTGGAGAGGCAATTGGCCCGTCTCCAGGGAGTGCAACCCTCGGTCATCCAGGATGACAACCCGCTACGGGATAATGTTTACGGCAGTCCGCACCGGGAGGATGGCGAAGGACAAGGTCAGTGGTGAATACATTGCAACTCTGGTGGCTAGCATCAGCTTAATCCGACCTTAGGCTCAGTCCAGGATCACAGCGATGGCATCGATGATTCAGACGAGATCCCCCTCCCCATGGAATGTTCCGCGGGCGCGGCGGTGTTGGACATCTTCATCGAACGCCTGATTGACGACTGTTGCCCACTGGGCAAGCCGGAAACTGGACTCAAATTGTTCATCCTCCGCGACGCGTCCCTGATGAGGGGCCAGTCCGAGCTTCTGCAGGTTGCCTTCGAGAATACCGCCTTGATATTCATTGGTCGTACCGGGGGTGACCGAGACATTGAGATGGCCGGCCATCGACACAACACGTATGCCATCCGCCTGATGCGCCGAGCGCTTCGCCGCTGCAGTGGGAAGCCTGTTCCCCTCGATGTCTTCGTGGCCGCCTATATCTTCATCATCCGCGAGGTAGGTCGTCAGGAATTGAATGCACCCAATCCTCAGCTGAGCTTGTTTCAGGTCTTAACAGGCGACAGCAGTGCACTGTTGAAGCATTTGGTGGGTGCAGCTCAATTGTTGCAATCCCGCAAACCGGATGAACATCGATCTGGCATCGCGCAGGCAATCTTCCTCGATCATCGTATATACTCGGTGAGCAAGGAATTTCCGTCAATCATGGCTCCACATCAGTAGAGGACTGATATCATACGCAGATAGCCGGCTCCATCCTGCTCCGGCGACCGCTGTTTCTGTTGGATTCCGACTGGATGACCATCCCCTGGGGACATCAGCCGAAAGACATGCTTCATCAGCTGCTGGACATTGGCGTGCAAGTGCCTTACTACCTCTTCCAGACGGACAAATATCGATCCGAGTTGGAGTCGGGTGCTTCCGACCACGAGGAACTTCGCCATGGATATTCCTCTCCAAGCGCCTGGGCACAGGCCCTAGACAACCGGCTGCAACGATGGTACCACGAGAGCATTGTCAACTATAATCACGGCGCTATTCAGGAGTCACCAGAGAGGCTGGACACCTCCTTCCCCATATTCTCCTGCCATGATCCTGCTGGGCGCATCTTCACCCCGCCACTCTTGACCTACCCGGACCTCCTCCTCACCACCGTCATGTGTTATTACTGGGCCCTACGTATCACGATCGCTGCCTCCAGTCATCTTCCTACTCTTCTCGAGCAGAGATATGAGTGGGCCTGCAATATCTGCCGAAGTCTGGAGGCATACATCGCCAAAGGCCCCCGTTGCTTTATCTATCGGATCTTATACCCGGTCGTGGTCGCCTACCAAGTCTTTGAGCGAAATTCGATCGAACGGGGCTTTATTGACCGACTGTGTCGTCGCTTGGACGAACACTACCAGGTGAATGTGTGCTGGGATCTCCTCGCGCAGGCCGGGGAGCCGATCGAATTGCCCCACGTGTGACTTGTTGGACTTATTCAACTTTGCTTGCATCGTTGTATTTTGATTTTCGAATGATTATGACAGAAGAATAGACAAATAGATAGATACCACCCAGTTGATACCATGCATGTGAATTCCTTTTTTACTGTTCTGTTCCCATTCTGTTCTCAACAATCTATTTGCTGAATATACCGGCTGTGGGCAGAGTAGTTTTAACTTAACCAGGAAATTGGTGCGCCCCACTAGTACTACCTTACTGCCTAGTACTAAGTAAGTACAGTAGGTTCGGCTCCCGCCCGCAGTGATGTCATTGCTGAGAACATGATCCCCGCAATCAGGGCTGGCTTGGAGATAAAGTACTTTGGCTCTAGTATGGCGTCATACAGGCGAGGTAAAACTGGAAGGCATGGTTCTCATCCATGATGACGCGGAGGTTTGCTTCCCAGATCGATGAAGGGGTTGTCCCTTCTTGTGGAGAGTTTGGTCTGCTTGAATAGTGAAAATATATCTCCTGGTCTTCTGTAGCAGTTGGCAGCGCATGGGTCGTGCATAAAAATATGAAGCTGGGATATCTTGTTGCCCTACTTTACACCTAGCAATTAGATGGACTGCACCGTGTACAATAAGGATTCTCGTGAGTCGATGCCATACGCCGCTGGACGGTGCAGGAAGACCACGTGACCGATTGTAATGAGCCAACTTATGCTATCGACCTTAATATATGCGCACAACACTAAATAAACTATATTTAGCTCAGCTGCTTGCAGATCTGCATAAGAGTATGGCACTGCCTATCGGTCGGAAATCTACCCCATCTGCGCCTGGATTGCTGATCATCCACCCGGTCGCAAACTCCTACTCGGATACCAATCCCGATGCCATGGGCAAAGAAGACTCAGCAGTATAGCATAAACTCTGCTAATCGTGCCGACCAGCAATGAAGATAAATCTTCTGCATCGGCACTCAGCACAATCAGCGATGAATACACCACAGGCTGCTCAGCGGAGCAATGTGAATTTCAATTTGACCGAAGCTGTGGTGGGAGACCTGGCAACAACTAGGGAAACAGGATAGATGGCCTCAGTGGGCGATTCTTGATGAGGAGATCGTCATTCGATTCACAAATGCTCCCAGTGGATTGTGCGTTTTGATTTCTTTTTGTTTGGTTGAAGGAACTAGAATACTACACACAGGTCATTTCAAGAGGGCAATGGGTATCTGACGTTCTGGGGAACGGTACTCTGTGCTCTTTACACCCTCGCTCGTACTCCCGGACTTCGGACACCCAATCCACCGACAAAATAATTCTTGCTTAAAGGCTAGCCCTGGCTAACTAGCTGTTAGTGATACTTGTGCTAGGCCTCACTGCACGGCGATTCTCTAATTAGCTGACAAGCGCGGACACCCTACTGATAAACCCCGTTACTGTCCACTTACCCGGCTCGAACATTCACTTTTGTTAGTATGCGAGCGACATGGCTTACTTCCGAGCGTTGGCCTTCCTGACCCTAGGGATGCTTGCGACGGCTTTCTCTCTGGCTGACTATGAATTTATTGTAATAGGTCCTGGCGCTGGAGGTAGTCCACTCGCCGGTCACAAAACTCTTCTCCTTGAGTCGGGCGACGACCAAGGGGACAATACCAACTATAACTGTGCCGGCTTTTTTTTTTCCGGGCGAATGAGGATGACAAAATAGTCTGGAACTTCTATGTCCGGCACTACAGTGATGACAACCGGCAAGCCCGGGACTATAAGACAGTTTATTCCACTCCCACCGGGGAGACATACGTCGGCCTTCGTCCGCCACCAGGCTCGACAATGAAGGGCATCCTTTATCCTCGCGGCGGCACCTTCGATGGCTCTGCGGCTCATAATGCCCTGACTAGCATTTATTCCTATTGGTGGATTTTGACAGGATTGCCAATCTCAGCGGGGATACCTCATGACACTCGGACGACATGCGCCAGTACCTAGTTCAACTTGAAAACAACCACTATCTGCCCCCTGGGGTTCCAGGACATGGGCAGAGTGGTTGGCTGTCCACCCAAACGTCATCTTCGGAGGTGGTGCTGGATGATCCCCAGTTGCTGGGCTTGTTTCTTGGGGGGGTTGGGGCCCTCGGCAAGCCTGCCAACCTGTTGACGTTGCTGGCTGGGGATATCAACACGGAACTACCCAAGCGAGACACTGAGCCGGCCGCCTACCAAATTCCGGTTCAAACCGACGATGGTCGTCGGCGCAGTCCCCGCGAGAGGGTTCTCACTGTCAGGGCTGCCGGACACCCTCTCGCCATTCGAACCAACTGCCATGTCACGAAAGTCCTCTTCGACCGTTCTGTCTTCCCACCTCGAGCTACTGGGGTCTCCTTTCTTGAAGGGAAACATCTATACAGCGCCAGTCCGTTGGCCCGTCAAGATAACTTTTTCCTAGGTGGGATTCCCGGTACAGCCATCCCCTCACGCGAAGTTATCATCGCTGGGGGGGTATCTAATAGCCCTCAACTCCTCCACCTGAGCGGCATCGGACCCGCGGAGAACCTACGCCAGTGGGGAATCGAGCCTCTGGTAAACCTTCCCGGCGTCGGGACCAATCTGCAAGACCACTATGAAATCGTAGTTATAAGCCGCTTCCCAAATAAATCCTCGTTCCTGCATGGCTGTACTTTCAGCTACCCGGAAGGCCCCGACCCATGCTACCAACGTTGGCAAATTCCTATCCACGGTCATCGAGCTACCTATGCTACTGCAGGCTTTCCCGTTGGCCTTCTCTACAAAAGCACAGTGACTACCAACAACACTTGTGATGTGCTTCTCTTCGGTGGTCCGACCGGCTACCGCGGTTTTTGGCCGGGTTTCAGCGTCAACATCACCAGTGACCATAGGATCTTTGTCTGGGCGGTTCTGGAAGCGCATCCTCGGAACCGCGCAGGCACCGTTTCCCTAAAGTCGACCGACTCTCTCGAGACGCCGGACATTGAGTTTAACTACTATGACACGGGTTCGCCCGGTTACGAGGAAGACCTTCAAGCACAGGTTGAAGGCATCCTTCTCGCAAGGAACGCATTAGAGAAGCAACCAACTCCCTTTAAAGAGATTCTACCTGGCCCAGAGGTTGCGACCAGAGAATATATCATTCGATATGCGCAGGATACTGCTTGGGGGCACCATGGCTGCTGCACATGCCCGATTGGCGCCGATGACGATCCGATGGCGGTCTTGGATTCCAAGTTCCGTGTGCGCGGCGTGACAGGGCTGAGGGTTGTGGAGGGATCAGCTTTCTCGTGGCTTCCCAGTTCCTTCCCGGTGCTGGCCACATATATGATTGCTGAGAAGGCAGCGGCAGAGATCCTAAGTGAAACAAAAGAAGAGCTATAGGTCAGCTATTCTAGATACAGCGAAGGTATAGAAGAGGCTACTATATCTTCTAATGGATATTCGCCGCTCCGGACCGTCTTGAATCAGTATGATATTCGGCCGATAGGCGATGGGCCTGGCAAGGAAGCAGGATCCTGCGACATTGCCATGCCTACGCTCGAGCCATGCTATGAGGCGTGATACCTAGAGGTTCTAATTGACGGCGGTTTTCCCTCATTTCTTGTGCCAAGAGCCCCGAGGCTGTCGGTGCCTCGGCCATCAGATGGAGCACTCCTTGCACCGAGGCTATCCTGAACCATACCGAACCAGTTCCGATTTGCAGCATGCATATTAAATCCTCGTTACATTTGAGCAATCTACTCCGTGCTGTCCGTGACAGATTGCCCGTGTGGGGCTCTCTGACCATAGGGTTTATTTATTATATGAGTACCAGGAGGTTCAATGAGTCTGCTCTAGTCTAACCATGGCAAGGTGGGATATATGATTTATAACGGTCGCATCTGAAATACAGGCGTGGTAATTGTCACCAAGCTGTCTGCTGGACCCAGTGGAAAGGGAGGGTTGCCCTTAACCTACAAGGGTTTCTGAGCAGCCACCACCAGGAAATCAAAGATGGGGTGAGCCATCCCCTTCAGTGACTCAGCTCGTACCCCGGCATTAAGTGCGTCAACATCTTCGGGCTTCCAGCCCAGTACATCAATAAAGAGTTGCGCTGTGAACCCCTCAACGCCCTCGACAAAGTTAATTTGCATTAAGCTGCCACACTCCTTCAGTCGACTATCCTTCGGCCATGGCCCAATGGGTAACTTAAACTTGTGTACCTGCACATTAGTAAACCCAGCATCACGGACCCAGCCCTCAAAGGACAGTGCTGGATCTAGGGTCTGCCCGACCCTGGCTCCGCCGTCGATTAATCCCTCCATCATCTTCACCATCCAGCTATCGGACTTGAGGCTGCCGTCTTCGGAGTAGAGAGTATTAACTGATTCCTGCAGTTCCAGCCACCCGCCAGGCACCAAATTATCATAGCATTGCCGGATCAGCCGCGGCCAGTCCCGGATCGACCCAGCCATATATCGACAATGGATGTAGTCGTACGGCTTGCTCTCCACCCAGTCCTCTTCCACATCATCCACCACAAAATCCACGTTCGGTGGCACCCAGGAAGATTGAATGGGGCTCAGGTCAAGGCCGGTAATCTGCGCAATCGACGGGTTCTCGTCGGCCATCTGGATCGCCCACAGTCCAGTTCCGGTGCCGATGTCAAGCATTCGCTTTCCGGCGGGGTTGATGGGCGCCAGGAATAGGCGATCATTCAGCAGCCGGTAGAATACATGGTGAATTATATCTAACCGATCCTGCTCAGGTTGGTCGTTGGGGAAGGGATAACTCCCGGACTGGTATGCGTGATACCGGCGGCCATGTCTGTATTCATACTTTAGCACACTCGAGCTCAGCGAAGTGGTGGACGAGCAAGTCCCCGTGAGACTCTGAGTATATTCATTCACATCCACTGCAATTGGATGGTGGCTTTCACAATGAGCCATGATAGTGAGCCACGGTGTGGGTCAGATGAGAAGATGGGAGAAGTGCGACGGGAAAGGGGAGCCACAGCAGTGGGAACAGAATATCTGACACGAAAGATGGGGATGCGCGAAATGGCACCATGTTACCGCTTGTATGTATAGGCGACGGGGATTCGTTTTTTCCGGGCTGATAAGACTATTCAATATGCAGTTAGTAGGGAGTGAGTCTACTATGATTGTCGGCGGGCTGACAAGCGTTACATGATTTACCTCAAATGCCTCAGGCAGTCTGTGGATATATACGTATAATTACGAGGATGATTCTCTGCATCCACCTTTGTTTTTAGTTTCAATATTCTTGATTATCTTAGAATTATTGTTGTTATCATCTATATTAATCCTATAAAGACAATTGTATCAATTTTCATTTGATAAAGTGCAGTGGCTGGTATAGTCCGCCGTATACGGAATAACGGGTTACCGCCAACGCGGATCTGATTAATTTTCTCCCTTTCCCTCAACATCAACTTCAGCCTCGCGAGCACAGCATATGCTCTACCAACCACAATCCTCCTAGAGTAACAATGCGCTTGCAGTCCTCTCCAGGGTCGTCTAAAGGCCATCCTGGTATCTTGCACCAATACGTATACTCCCCTACCATTCCTCTCTGCCGTCCCTCTGCATCCCCTACTCCTTCGGTGCGTTCACCGGGCTAACACCACCACCATCATCATCTTCCAGACAAACCGACTGGTCGCATTCGAGTATATTCGCGGATCTCGCCCCAAACCGCACTCCCTCGTCTTCATCGGCGGTCTCTCCGATGGCTTGAACACCGTGGATTATCTCTCCGACGTGATTCGTGCCCTCCAGGACAGCGACTGGTCGGTCGTCACCCCGCTGCTTTCGTCCTCATATGCTGGATGGGGTATGGGCTCCCTCGGACAGGACATCGATGAGATTGCTCAGTGCGTGGGCTACATCCGCGACCACAAAAATTCGCTCTACGGACACGGGAAAGTGGTGATGATGGGTCACTCCACCGGGAGTCAGGACGTGATGCACTACATCAGTTGCGCCAACCCCCGACCACGACATCCCGTCCTGGATCGAGAAACACCCCCGGACCAGTATGTTGGCATCACGAGACCCCTCGTCGATGGGGCCATCATGCAGGCCCCGGTTTCCGACCGGGAAGCCGCTCTGTGGCTAAGCAGGACAGGCACGGAGTACGATAGTCCGGAGGCGATCCAGGAGGTATACCGCAAAGCTATTCAGGAAGCACAGAAGCGAACCTATGATAGAGGTGGGGGGGATGAGACCATGGTCTATGACACAATCGTGCCGTTGGCCACCACGACCCGCATGTATTACCCCCCGGATACGCCCCTCAGCAGTCGGCGGTTTCTCAGCCTGCTTAGCCCCCAGAGTCCCCATCGACCGGATGAAGACGACTTGTTCAGCTCGGATCTCACGGACGAGCACCTGCAGAACACCTTTGGAATGGTGCGAGCCCGAAGGGTACTGCATTCAAGGGGAAGCGTGATGGTGCTGTATTCCGGAAGGGACCAGTCGGTTCCCCCGTGGGTCGACAAGGCAGCACTCATGCACCGATGGCAGGCCATTCTCGGCCATGAGGCGTGGCATCCTAGTAGCTTAATTATCCCGGGCGCATCGCATGCCCTGAGTGATCCCGACCAGGCGGAGCCCAGACGGATCTTGGTGGAGAGGGTGACAGGATACCTGGGAGATGTGGAAAAACTGTAGCTAGGCTGCAGCACAACTGGATAGTTACGCTCTACCTCACATCACCCGAACTGCCCTCTTTTCTGCAGAAACCATTCGATAACGATACCGATCTGCAGTCGACTGCCAGACAAGCCATGGCGAGCTGCGCACCAGCAGAACTGATTGGAGGCTTGTCGTTCCCCGTTTGCGGAGCTTTTTCCCCTTCACAGCATGTGACGACGCGATGGGACGAGCTCATAGGGCCGTCTGTCCTGCCACTTGTGTCAATTCGGCAGAATCCTTGTATTCTGCATGCAACCCAGAATGCAGTGCGCCTGAGTGGTCATGATCCCTGCAGGAGCAATGCAGGAGTGAGAGGGGAAATGCAACCCCCGCCACAAACCCCCGCCTGAGCTTCGTCACAGCCAGTCAGCAGTGGCTAGAAAAGCTATCCCCTCCCCCGGACAACACTTCTTCTGTTCACTTCTGTTCGCAGTATCGGTAAAGGTCATCATGGGCTCTATTGGAGAAGTTCAACGACGCCCGTACCGGCCAACTCCCGCGGACATCACCATCAACAACCACCGCCCCGAAGACCCACAGAAGATCCTCTTCCAAAATGTTCGCATTCTGGACTCGACCGGGGCAGACCCCTATTCCGGTGACGTGCTGATCGAAGGGGAGCGCATTGTCTCGGTGGGTCAAGTCGATCCCGCCGCCACCCAGGAGGCACTGGTCATTGATGGCGGTGGCACCAAAACACTCATGTCCGGACTAGCGGACTCGCATACACACCTCAGCTGGAACAATGCGGCCACGTTGGATGAACTCACCAGTCTTCCGCTCGAGGAGCATGTCCTGCATACCGCCAATTCCGCCCGATCTTACCTGAATTGTGGCTACACCATGTGTTTCGGAGCCGCGGCTGCACAACCCCGCCTCGATATCGCCATCAAGGCTGCCATCAAGTCGGGGCTGATACCTGGTCCCCGCACTCTCGCCAACTGTCCGGAGGTGACCAAGCCGGACGGGGCGATTATTCCCAAGATCTCGCGTTATGCGAGTGGGCCGGAGGAGATGCGCCAGGTAGTGCGAGAATTCGTCGCCTTAGGTACAGACAATATCAAATTGAGCATGACGGGGGACAACGTACATCCCACGATGCCCAGTGAGGAGACATACTTTGATCTGGAGGAGACGGTGGCGGCAGTGGAGGAAGCGCACCTCCATGGTAAACGCGTATGCGCCCATGCCCGCAGCGCTGCCTCGGTCAAGCAGTGTGTGCAAGCGGGCGTGGATGTGATTTATCATGCTAGCTTCGCGGATACGGAGGGACTAGATCTGCTGGAGCAACATAAGGATTCAGTCTGGGTCGCGCCGGCCATCAATTTGTTCTATGCTATGGCGCAGGGCGATGCCGAACCCTATGGAGTGTCGGCAAAAATGTCCGAGCAAAAGGGCGTCACGCACGAGGTTGAGGTCGCTTGTCAGACCATGCGTGAGATGCGCCGTCGGGGCATTCGCGTCCTCCCGGGCGGTGATTATGGATTTGCCTGGGCTCCGCATGGGACTTACGCGCGCGACCTGCAGCACTTTGTGGATTTGTTTGGATATACGCCGATGGAGAGCATTCTCGCTGCGACCGCGATGGCAGGCGAGCTTATGGGCCACCCTGATGAGCTTGGCAAAGTGCAACCGGGCTACTATGCCGATGTAATCTTGGTGGATGGCAATCCTCTGGAAGACATCCGCATTTTGCAAAACCAGGACCATCTGCATGCGGTAATTATCAATGGTCATATCCACAAGCACGTCAATGGGAAGAACGAGAGGGTGGCGGCGTGAGTGCCAAAGGGGAGTATCGTGTTGTATCAAGACTGTTGTTAGTGGCACAGTGTATGGTCGGCCACCTTTCAGGTGTTTGATTCGTTTAGAGTAAATCCATTCGAACTCCAGTTTCATCGAGGACCTTGAACCATGTTGAACTAGCCAAGCAAGTCTCGAACTATTTCTCCACCAATCAACGTGAAGGAAACCTCCGTATAAGCCCAACCTTTCCCCGCCATCTTGGCTGCAGTGCAATTTGCACCTCCCGACTCCTCCCGCAGCAGTATGTACACCAACCCCATCATTCCCGGATTCAACCCCGACCCTTCCCTCGTGCGGGTCGGCTCTGATTATTTCCTGGTCACGTCTTCGTTCGAATATGTTCCTGGGGCTCCAATCTATCACAGCACCGACCTGATCCAGTGGACCCTGATCGGCCATGCCCTGACACGCCCCAGCCAGTTGCAGATCCAGACCCCGGAGCCGGGCGGAGGCGTCTGGGCCACAACTCTACGATATCACGAGGGCACTTTCTACTGTCTGGCTGCTTGCTTTCAACGTTATCGACCTCAAGAAGACGATCGCGTCTGGCCGCGCGGCTTTTATGTCAAGACGACGAACATCTGGAACTCGGGTTCGTGGTCCGATCCGGTCTACTTCGATCAGGTCGGGTTTGATCAGGACGTGAGTTGACTCGTTGGCTGCGTTTGTTTTCTGATCGCTGCTCATTGCTCGATAGCTATTTTGGGATGACGATGGCACTGTCTATCTGTCTGCCACTTACCGCAAGTTGAAGCGCACACCCAACGCACAGCTTAAAGACTTTGCCGTGCATATTGTGCCGGTGGACCTGGAGACTGGAGCCTCTCTCGCGGAGCCGCAGTTGATCCGGGAATCAGCATCAGGCGTAGCGGAGGGCTCACATCTCTTCCGCCGCGGGGAATACTACTATCTCTTCACGGCCGAAGGAGGCACTGAGAGCGGCCATTGCGAATGGGTCTGTCGCAGTAAGTCAGGGACCCTCGGCCCGTGGGAGGTTGCCCCCACGAATCCCCTCTGGAGGAATGGTCTCGCCGATGAAGTGCAGAATACTGGCCACGCCGATCTGGTCGAGGATGTCAAGGGGCAGTGGTGGGCTGTCCTCCTTGGCGTGAGGCCTGTCTGGCGGGATGGGGCTTGGGAGGAATCTGTCTTTGGTAAGTTAGTTGACACACGGTCGAAGGGACTTGGGTTCTAATCGCTCTCAGGACGTGAGACCTTCTTGGTGCCGATGGACTGGGAAAACGACTGGCCTGTCATCAATGGGGGTCAGAAAATTCCACTCGAATACTCCGGGCCCCAGCTGTATCAGTTCGAGCACCTCGTTGCCTGGCGCGACGACTTCGCGCAGCCAGGCCTGCAGCTAGGCTGGTACCGAAAGAATACGCCCCTGGTACGCGACTATTCTCTTACCGACAGAGAGGGTTGTCTACGTCTGTACGGTGGTCCCTACAATTTGTCGGTTCCCACGTGTCCCACGCTGTTCTTGCGAAAGCAGACCCACCGGGTCTGCACCTGGGAAACCCGACTCTCTTTCCATTCAAATCAGGAGCATACTGAGGCTGGAACGGTGGTCTGGTGGAACTATCAGACTTACAGCAGTATTGGCGTGCGTGGGGCGGCCAAAGGTCCACGTGTGGTACGATATCGCTCTGCTGAGGGGGAGGCTGTGGAAACTCCCCTGCGGGATCAACAGTCGGACATCATCTTTGTTGTCGACTGTGGCACGTCCTACCGATTCGGCTTCCGCGAGCTTCTTCCAGACGGAAAGGAGACGGCCCTGCAATGGATCGGCGCAGTGCAAAATCGGACCATGACTAGGGCGCCCACGGTTGGGGCCCCATTTACAGGGATGATGCTTGGTCTGTATGCCTTTGGCGAACGGCAGAGATGTTTGGCTCCGGCAGACTTCCACTATGCCGAATGGCGTTAAGATAGAGATTGGCCCTACGAGGATCAGAATGCCCCGTGCTGTTGATGTATGCACTGTAGGTAATAGTTTTCCAGTAGGATGTACAAGCAACCTGCTTTTTTACAACCGTAGCTGCCCGGTGAATCTAAGGGAATGTAAGTCGAACACAAAAAAGAAAAAGAAAAAGAAAAAAACAGTTGATGAAGATGCTATGTGATGTTGAACTAAACGACGCCTTGGAATTCCTCACTTTGTGAAAATCCTAGCCGAGGGTCTTGACGAAGATCAGTCATCAGTATATATTGTCTCCTCACTGGTGAGCATCCGGACCTGCAACAAGAGATCTTCTTCGGGTTCTTTGTCAGTCTTTCACTAGCAACATCTGGAGACGCCGTTGCATACATGCGGGAGCTTCGGCAGTTTACCGGGGAGTTCACAGGGAGTCCTCAGCTTCAAACGAATGCATCTGGAAGTAATAACCCGTGTACAGTATATCAGTAACCATAGTGATCGAGCGAGGTCACGGGATCAGATCCCGGGCGGTCAATCCGGCGGATGCGGCCAGTCTCGGCGTTCGGCATTCGGCGTTTGTACGGCCATCGGCGACTGCATCGTTTCCCTTCCTTCATTTTGCAATCAGACACTTCTTTCTTTCCCATCAACCACTACCCTCACTCACTCTACACCATGCGAGGAACCCCTCCTGTAAAAGCAGCTTGTCTGGCATGGTGGGTATTGCTGTTTCATGTCCATTTCTACTCCCTACTCCCTGCCTTCCGTCTTTCCCTTGACAGACACTAACTACTACTCTCTTAATTGGCAGTCGTGCATCCAAAACCCGCTGTGACGGACTGAATCCATGCAAGCCGGTAGGGCTGACTCCACCCCCTCCACCCCCTCCCCCCCCTCCTACTTAACTTCTTACATACAGCAAGCATTTCATCCGCTGGCTGCTAATAGAGTACGCATTGGTCATAGTGTCTGGTCAAGAATCGCCCGTGTTCTTTTCAGCCCAGTAGAAGAGGTGGACCTCGCCGACGCACTCGAAATGTGTTGCCAGAGCCCTCCCCGCAACCCCCCACGGTGGTCGATCTCGCCCACCCCACCCCATCACTCACTGAAGACTCGGGCACTTGCTCCTTGGTCGACGATGCCGGTATTTGGAACACCTTAGCTCTGCTATCCCCCTACAAGAGGGCACAAGATGCCGGCCGAGGATCGCAGGATCGTTTCGATGCGCTCCATGCAGGCGCCACCTGTGAGATTCAAGGGCCACTTTTACGGGTTTATACGTCCGAAGCAGACATGTTCGTGTAACACCATCTCGCCATGACTACTACCGTGACTACTAATGCTCGTCTATATGAGTCCAGACTGAATGCATATTACATCTTTATCCATCCATTCCTGCCGCTATTGCCCCCTCCCGTTGCCCCTTTAAGACCAGACATCCCCCAGGTCTATCAGCCCTCCCCTGGAGAGGCCGGGGCAGTTGATCAATCTTGCCTGTCGTATCTACCAATGTCCTGCTTGAGCTTGGCCCTCTCGGCGATTCTGGCCTTAATCCCACCTCCGCAGGATGGGAACCCCACCGATCCGTGCTGCGCGTGGTTGCGTCGGTCCTACTCCAATCTTTTTGCTCAATCCGCCCTGGATAGTGCTGAACACGCTATCGTGGAGCCACATGAATCTTTGCTCGCTCCTGGACCGTCAGATTATGATCGACGGTTTCACCCCGACCTTCCCGCAAACTTACATCCCATTTTGACGTTCATGGTCCTCGGGGTGTATGATTGTTGCCAGAACGGTCATATCCAGCGCATGCGCATGCGCGTGAACCAGGCTATTACTACCGCGATGGACAATTCGTTGCACCGGTTAGCAGAGAGCGCATCCGAGGCTCAACGCCGGGCATGGTGGATAGCTGTACGTTGGCCTGCCAAAGAATGTTGCCGCCAGTGATACTTACTTTTTCCCAGATCATCCTAGGGTACCAGTCTTCCACAGTCAATTCGTCGGTACGTCTATACTCATCGCAATCTCTGTTATGCTGATGCGCGCGGCTTTCCTAATACGCTTCTGCTAGTCCCCCATCATCACCACCAAGGATCCGAGAATCACAACGCCTTATCCTGCGTTTGAGATGGGGACCAACGGCCTGGAGGTAAGTCCACTGCGGTCTTTTAGCGAGAGTCTAACTAACTTTCCAAAGCCGTGGTCGCTAATACTTAAGGCTCAAGATGCCCACGACTCAGTCGATGCCATTGTGCGCATGATCAATACGCAGGGTCTCCAGTCTGCGACAGCGTCAGACCTTCCGGACAGAATCACTCGCTTAGACCGTCATATTCTGTCACTGGCCTCCGATTGTGACTCGAGTTTTCCACCGACCCAGAGCAATAGTACGGAAGGGTGTGCCGCCCGTAGCTTCGGGTTGATTGCCAGCACTCTGGTCCATGGGTACGACTCTTGAGCATTTCTGATTCATTCCGGCTCTGGTTACGCTGACACTAAGGTAGTGCTCGGATCAAATTGCACCGGTTCAGAGCATTCTCTGACGTACCCATCTTCTTGGAAAAGCACTGTGACCTCTCTTCATTCCGCATGGACAGCATCCCAGCGCAGGGATTCACATCAACCACAGCCATCGAAATAGAGGCATTCTTCCCTTTCAGCAGGGATGAATCTTCCATGATCTGTCTGAAATCAGCCTTAGCTATATCCCGTGCCTTCAAAGATATACCTTGCCCACGGCCGCCATTATCTGTATACCCCATTCTGCAGGACTCCGCTCTCAGCCCACTGGGATCTGATCGCGAGGGATACTCCGGATCTTTACCGTATTTCAAATGTGCGGCAATGCAAGCGTCTTATGTGCTTTACATGCTTGTGCACCGTCTCCGGGCAGCTCTGTTGTCGAAACGAATCTCGATTTGTTATCCTCTCCTGAATCATCCCGAGCCAGGCACGGAAATCCAAGATGCTCACAGACTGGTCGAGGAGCTACGGAATGGAGCTCATTCCCTGATTCTGTCCATGAAGAGGGATACGGTCTTTGAGGGAATTGCTTCTATGGTAAACGATCTCGATGCAGCGTATACTTCGTTATTCGAGTGACCTTCACTCATCGAACATCTCATTTCACTCAGCACGACCTACATCTCTCTTATCTAGGTTCCTGAGCTCGAGAAGCTGTCCTTGTCCTTCAGATATATTTTCTTCAATATGCGTCAAGGCGTGGGCAGACGTTGGCTTCAAAAGCCCCTTGCGGGCACATTTCCTGAGGCATTCGCAGTTTCCCGAGAACAAGCATTGTTATACTGTACACCCAGGTTGCTCAATTCTGTCAGGTTGACTCCTTTCTCTCGGCATCTCAGTCCCTTGGTCCGTACCGCCATAAGTTTACATGTATTAACTCCGCACAGTCGCAAGCCAAACTTCACATCTCTATACTGGCGCCTATGACCTATTAATACTCTCCTCACACTACCCATGCCGTAGTCCGCCAAAGGAAAGTGTAATCGATGTGGCTTGAGTAGGGCTTAGCAAGAACATCCTCGAGGTACTGCAACCAGCCCTTACCGGCATAGCCGACATACAAGTCTGGTCTCACCACCACAGCCTGTTCCTGGATACTATCCACCCAGTCAGCCTGGTACTCGTACAGGAATTCCGTCAGTCACTGCGGGGAGGCATGAAAATGCCAGAATTTTGCTGTCTATTGCAATCTTAATGCGTGGTCCACCCATTGGCTTGGAGCTTGCTTTCCAAGGAAGAAAGTTTTGTATTTCCCGTTTTCAAAGATCTCGTAAAGCTGTTGCTTCGACACTTGCCACCCTGCAATTTCCGACTCGTCCACAGCAGTCGCGAATAGATTTGTCGGCGGAAGCCTTGTGAACCGGAGATCAGGGCAGCGGCTGCCGACAACGAAGTCTGCAAAGGAGGATGTTTCCACCAAAGGACTCGAAGCGGGGTACTAGGGAACACTCATTCTTGGATCAATCTATGTCAGGTGGATACGTGATCAGGTAATAGGCATGTATTGCATCCCGGTGATGTAGCTGGCATTCTTCTCAATCAATCATCTGAACGTACTCCAGGGCTGTCTTGATCGTTATTTGCACCAGCTTGGCAGCCACATCAATAACCCCGTTGGCGGTCATGCGTCGCTCTTCATCGTAACTCTTCAGCAGGACGGAGCCCCCGTGGTGACCCTTGCCGACGAAAGCCACGCGCCAGATCAAGTTGAATGCATCCGCGATGCCGGTATTCAAGCCCTGGCCACCGTACACCGCGTGAACGTGGGCCGCATCACCTGCCAGCATGATCCGACCATATCTCTCCTTGGAGATGAAACTACCAGCGACTCGTTCACTTCACCAGAGACAGCGACATGTATGATCAGGAGCACAGGCACACTTCCGAGCTCATGGTCACGTAGACCTCCGCCCCGAGGTACCGGCTGATCTAGATCGCTGCCTGGCCCGTACCGCCAGCGCCGGCGTGGTTCAGCACTTTCTCCCCGTGGGTCAGCCGTCCGAGCTCATGGCCTCCGGCAGGCGACACACGCATTGGACCTTGCTGCGGGCATAGGTCTTGAACGCCTCGACCGTGGACATGCAGACGCGGTCCTCGACCCGGACCTTGTCCGGGGAGCAGGCGGGCCCCACGCGCGTCACCACGCCCGCGCACTCGTTACCCAAGGTGTCGGCGGGCCCCAGCGCAATAAGGCAGTCCTTGAAGTTCAGTCTGACGGCGTGGACCCGGACCTCTACCTCGGAGGGCGTGTTGGCGGGCTCACTCGTCAGCCCGACGCGGAGAAACTGGTGCTCTTCCTCTTTCCGAGCGGCATACCCGCGCCAGGCCCGTGACCATGTTGTATGCTGGGTCCGAGGAGCCATCGTCCACCGTGCAACTCACTCAGGCCACATTCTGACTGTGGCGGACCAGCCGCTAGAGCGCTGCAAAATTCTCGTGGGTCATGCTGCGTAGAAATGGTTGATCCAGGTCTCAGTCGATGGTCACAATGGTGAGGCTCGTCCCGGGTGCCACTTGATCCATTGGGATCATCTGGCTGGGGGTTCCGATACGATGCAGGTAGTTCTGGATAGCAGTGGCGTGGGTAGGGGCATCAGCATATGCATCAGGTAGTAGTTGAGCCCCAGGCTAATCCGCTGGACCTCTTTCCAAGTCTCGTCTACCGGGAGATGGGTATCGAAAAGATGCAGAAATGGTGGAAGCGAACGCGCAATTGCTTTGAGGGCGGAGTTGCATTCCATCAGAATGCCCTCGAATCTGGTCACGTCTGACACCGTTCGTATGCTCGGGGCCGAGTACGTTCCAATCGATACTCGGCCGGCAATTCTGCCAGGGTGGAGTAGTCAGGATGGATAAGTCAAGCAACCACTTGCATCCCAGCGCTGGGAAAGGCAAGCGGGGATGCCTTTCATATAGCCCTCAAGCGGGTCGTTCTCTTTGACCTTCTGACTGTTCCAAGAAACGTTGTCTCTGCGACTAATGGGGAAGATTGGGGGAAGCTAACCCGGAACCGTGAAGATGTCCCCTGATTGACACCCGATGTCAACAAGCAAGTCAATTTTTCGAAGATTGATTACAGGTTTGTAGGCTTTGTTCGTAGTCTGGTAATGCCCAATCGCGCATCCACTCCGACTTCAGGACTTCCTCAATAGTCATACGTTCCTCCGGCTAAAATCTGAGCATCTGGCGCATTAAGCCCACAAAAGCCACTTTCTCTGCTTCCGTTATTTGATCCCCAGCCTCTTGCCTGAACTACCCCACGCAACTGTCGAAGGACACCTCAAGCGGAGACCATTTATCCCTTTTGTATGACTCCGCTGGGGTACCGTCCTCGGTAAAGAACTTTTTGCGTCCCTCCCAGCGATACCACCAGTGTGACGGCAGAGGTCCCAACACATCCACTTGCTGCGCCAGTATCTGGTCTCCGGGTATATATTCCGTGGTGAAGATCGCCCTCATTCCGATGATCGCCCAGATAGCGGTGGCAAGACTCCAGATGTCCGAGGGATATGTGAACGGGGCCTCAGGATCATGGTCTGTCTCTGGGCCCCGGAGAGCAGGCGGGGTGTGGCAGTCTTTTCCGAGCCGCAATCCGGAAGCCGGGCAGAAAGCTTCGCCGAAATCGCTGCGCAGAAGACGGGTTTCAGCTAGAGAAAACTTCTCCGCGTACCTGCCTAGAAACAAAGGGAGAACTGCTCTGGCCGGACCGTTGCGAGGGACGGGTTTCAGCTAGAGAAAACTTCTCCGCGTACCTGCCTAGAAACAAAGGGAGAACTGCTCTGGCCGGACCGTTGCGAGGGACGGGTTTGCCGTCGCATCGCGTAACGACAATCGTCTCCGGCTTGCCATATTTCTCGTACAGGCCGTCAATGGTAAGCTCATCAAAGATTAGCGGGAGCCTAGCCAGAACATTGTCGAGATGAATATCTACATCGAATTGCTGTAGGATCAGCTGACTGGGGTCGAGGCAAATACGGAACGAAGCGGAGGTAAGTGAAGGATAGCTGTGACAGACCTCCATGAACATAGCCTTGGGAGTGCACGTATGCAACGGCCTGCGCAAGTCGGTATGATAAGGCACGAGCAACATCAAGAGGGAAAAGGTGGCTGAACGAGATATCCCTTAGATGGCATCTGCCAGCGGCATGGTGTAACAAGCGTGTCGGCCATTGGGACCAATCAGCTCAAACTCATCGAGAAAAGCAGGGATTGCCTCTCTTCCGGGATGAGTGGAGGAGGCAGAAAGAGTTCTGAGAGCCTTTGTCTCTCGGGGAACGGACTTCGCCTTGTTGATTTCAAGAGCGACATATTGTTGGTTGTCTTTATCCTGAACGAGACAAACCGTGGAGTACCCGCCGTGACCTAGCTTATCGACAATCAATCTGGTACCGATCATGCAGAAGATCCCCTGGCGCAGCGAGTCATCACCGGGAATGTTTACAACATGATTGTGAAGAATAAGAGGGGGAAAAGAAAGGATGGAACTGGACCTGGACCTCGGGACTGCGAGGAAGTGGGGATTCTTATGTATTCGGACTGCAGTTCGGCGTTCATCCCGTGATACGCATCTCGTCACATGACTTTGCGAGTAACCAAAAATTCATATTTTTAATATTGGAATAAGATTTATAAGTTTATATGATTATATAACAGGAATCTTACTATACAGAAAACAGTTTGATGATCTCAAGTGACCCACCAGCCTGAGAGTCGGACTGTGCAAGTAATCTGGTAAACTAGAACCAGTCAGCGGCCGCAGCTGAACCGACTGCTACGCTAGGTGGAGGACAACAAATGAAAATGAACCGCAGGCTATAATGTGATGCGTGGAGTTAACGTTGATTATCTGGTTCGGGTACGGGGGCGGGAACGGAAGGGAAGTCCGAAGTAAACTAGAGTAAACTAGTGGTAAGACCATCTTGGGCCAAGTGCTGACATCCAAAGGTTATTATTCCAGGTGCCATGTGCCCACAACTTCCCCATTAATATTACCCACTCGCTCCCTCGCTCTCTTGAGCCGCTTTCCTCCCTTCACAAACACCCGCAATCTTACGCAATTGTCCTTCCCCCGCCACTATCATGTCCAGCGAGAATTTTATCATCACCGAGCATGTCGTCCCAGGTTGTCACATTCGGGAGTATCCCGGAAGCACCGTCAATCAAGAGGATGTTTTGCACCTACATGTCAAACAGTACACCCCCAAAAGCCAAGCTCAGCCAGTGCCGAAGGATACCGTCACAATCATTGCCGCTCATGGAGCAGCTCTTCCCAAGGTACTACCCCCCACCCCAATGTGACGTTCCTCAAAGCTGACAAGCCCGATGATCAGGAACTGTATGAACCGCTGTGGGATGAGCTGTTGGAGCAAGCCAACACTTTTCAGATCCGCAGCATCTGGGTCGCCGACTGCGCCAGTATGAACATGAGCGGACTGATTAATGAGGACAAACTCAGCATGGACTGTAAGCCAATTGACCCTATCGTATACCCATCTGAAGCCATGGTTTATGAAGAGTCAGGTTCCTGGATGGATCATTCTCGGGATCTCTTCCTGATGATCAACCATTTTCGCGAGCAAATGCCTCGTCCGATCGTGGGGGTCGGACACAGCTTCGGTGGAAATATCATGTTCGACCCACCCCCCCCCTCCCTCTCTTCGTCATTGGGAACGGACAACTTTGATTGACTTCTTCCAATAGTACTAATTTGGCGTATCTTCACCCGCGACTCTTCACCACCTTGTTACTGATTGACCCCGTGATCCAATTGACCCCCCCGCCCATGGGGTTCGGTACTGACGCCACCGGGCCGATCAACTACACGCTTTATCGCAAGGATGTCTGGCCCAGCCGCGAGGTGGCTCTCCGTGCCAATCGTGCTTTGACTCATGGCTGGGATCCCCGCTGCGTCGCTCGCATGGCGCAATACGGGTTCCGCGAGCTTCCCACTGCGCTGTATCCGGACGTGGACGCAGTGACGGCCGGGCTCCAAAGCACCACATCAGCTACTTCTCCCCCCCATTCTCCACCCCGACCACACAACACCACCACCCCAGTGACTCTTACCACAACCAAGTATCACGACCTCCTCGCCCAAATCCGCGAGAATTTCCGCGCCCGGTCGCCGGAGACGGGCCGGATCTCAATTTCGCGAGCAACCCACGCGGATCTCGACCCGCTTGCTGCGTTCATCCCAATGTATCGCCCCGAGCCCCGGAGCGTCTTTCTTCGGCTGCCGACGCTACGCCCATCGTGTCTGTGGGTGCTGGGGGGCGCAACCTATCTTCAGATTGACGAGATGCGCGAGGGGATCAAGACATGCGGGACCGGGGTGGGAGGCAGTGGGGGCATCCCCGAGGGGAGGGTCCGGGAGGTGACGCTGCCGGGGCTGGGCCATCTGATGCCGTTTCAGGCGGTCCAACAGGTTACAGAGCCCTGTGTCGCGTGGCTGGAATCCGAGCTAGCGCGTTTCCGCGAGACTGAGAGGCTCTGGGCGGAGGAGCAAAAGGGGCGGAGTCATCTCACCTTGGAGGGGAGGTGGTATCGCGTCTTGAAGCCATTAGCCGTTCCAGGTGGGAAGGGGGAAGGCCGGAAAGCCAGAAAGGACAAGCTGTGACGCCGGTATTCGGAAGCACAATGGCAATTTCACGTTTGTTATTACCGGCCCAAACCCAAATTTACTCCGGTAATACTCTAGTATGATGGTTCCCCTTCTACCCTCCCTCCCCGCTTCCGAAACTCCAATATGGGGCCTTCGTTGGTGCAGTTTGATACAGGTCCTCGTGCTGGTCGCCACGCACGGCGTGCACCACCGAGCACAGGTTGGTTAATTTGGCCAGCAAAGGACCGGGATAGGCTGTCAAGAGGTGGAAAGGGACTTGATAGATCACATAGCTCAGACCCTAGGCATATGTGCGACCATGGGGGCCATTACGTCGCAACATAAGGAATATTAGGGGAATTAGGGCAGCGGGTAACCCACAGCAGCAGAGAGAATGGTAACAAATAACTTGCTGAGCGAGATGGTGGCCAGTACCGATTGGATGACATTATCAAGCATCCTGGAAAACGAAGCCTATTGACAATGGTGGCTGTAGGCTTGTTGCTCCTCCAGGAGTGATAGGGTTGGCGGTTGGCTGGATGAAGAGGGAGGGGGGTGTGGCATTTGTGGCCATTACCGGGTGGTTACAGTACCTACATCACGAATGAATTCTCTCCGCTTGTTACTGATGGTGAAAGAAAGGCTCACCCACCCTAATGACAGCGTCAAATATTTTAAACCATCTGTATTCGGTGATGGACGCGTACACGGAGGCCATCGGGGAAATCGAGCCGGGACAACACGGCAGCGAGCAGGGCCTGCTGCAGCGCACTGATCTCGACCGTCTCGGGCCAGCGGGTTCCCGCCGAGACGCTCCGCCAGAGCAGCTACTGAGCGAGCAACTTGGTGCGACCCGTGCGCTTCCTCCAGGCCTTTCAGAGTCTCCTGAGCAAATGCGGGGCCGCGAAGAAGCCCGACAGAAGCCACCGACTTTTGATGGACATCAACACCTGCGTGGAGAGTGGGCCCCACGGGGTCCTGCGCGGCCCGATCAAGTGATCCTCTTGACTCAGGGCCACCCCATGACCTGCCTCTTACTTGGAAATCAGTGCTGGCACCGGGGGCACGACTACTGCCGTGCTGCACTTGCTCGGGGAGAAACAGGACCAGGTCGAGGTAACCGGCCCGCGGTATTAGGAGTATACCTATTCGGAGGCCTTCTTGGATGTCGTTAAGGCCCGGTTTAAAAAATTACCCGACCTGCTGATCCGACGCCTGGATATCGAGGAAGACCTGGCCGTTTAAGAGTATAGCCTCGAGTCCTACGACGTGGTGGTGGCGGCCAACGTGCTTTACGCCACGAAGGGCCTCCGGGCTACGCTGTAGAGGGTGGAAGCTTGCTCCGTCCTGGGGGAAAGTTTATTCTCTTCGAGATCACGGCCCTAACCCTCGGTGGAGTGGATTTATCATGGGCCTGCTGCTGGGCTGGTGGCTCAGCTCCGAGCCTTATCGCGGCGAGGGTTTCTGTGTCCCACTGTCCACCTGGAACATGCTGCTCCAGGATACGGGCTTTACGGGTGTGGAGTATGAATTCCGTGATTATCGCAGCGACGCCTGCCTTGAGCTAAGCGTACTGGTGAGCAGCCGGTAGTCCCCGTCCGACGGAGCTGGTCTACTGCTGCAGGAGCTCGGTGTGCTGGTGGTGAAGATCGTGTCTTATCCAACTCACAGTCTTCGGGGGAAGAGCTGGGTGCTTGTTACGCTGATCTTTAGCACCTGCTTTGGCTCCACGGCAGCGCCGGAACAGAACGCCGCTGGTTTTCTCAGAATCCAGACCTTGGTGGAGGCGTCGGTCTCGGCGGCGCGGAGTCTCATCGACCCCTCGCACACGGCGTCTATTTAAACGATATCCTGGTATTTGATTTGACGGCTCGTGGGCCACGTTCCTTGCCTCGGCTTGTATTACCATACTATATGATGTTCTCGATCCTTGAACAGCCACCTAGCAAGCCGATTCCGTTTTCAAGACGGTGGAGCGTGGAATCCAATGTCTAGGTGAGATCGAACACATTGTGCCGCTGACTGGGAAGGCCATCATTATGGATGCCCTGCAACTCGCTAAGAATGCATTGGTATTTATCAAACCGTTCTTCGAGCCTGATCAGACTTTAGTCGATTCCTTCCCTTGCTTGTTGTATGTTAGGTTATCCATGGGCTGTCCGTCCGCTCGAAGAACTTAACATTTCCTTGTCCTGTCAATAGTACCAACAATGGACTCAACGGCCCTGCATCGGGCAACCTTTCAGCGAACCCTTCAGACCTGACCAGCTTTGATATGCCTGACATCCTCGGGCAGCAATGATGTATCTGTTGGTGGCTCTTTGATCTACAACCACGGCTCCGAAGTCAACTGCCTACCGCACTGGCTGGAACGTGGATTCGATGCAAAGCAGATTCCGGAAGGACTCTTCCGATCAAATGTTCTCCCCTGTCGGCGTTAGGCCACTGTCCCATCTTCCCGGGGACTTCAATTCATGTTGATCTCTTCTATTACTTTAATAGGTGTATGTGCATGTTGGAGGGAATTATCCAACACAAGGGGTCGGGCCTGCCACAATACATCTCCTCGTAGACTACCTCCAGCTGCTCGTAAATTTGTCAACACTCCGCGATCAGCTGGAAGCATCCTTACGCCTGGTTTTCGGGGATGAGAAGGGTGAGAAGAAACTCCTGCTGAAGAATCCCCGGAGCCTGCGCGAGATAGTCCACCATTCGACTGAACGAGGCTCTCGAAATCTCCTCCCAGCATAGTGGACGATATCTAAGTAAGATACGATACGAGGCTGGGCCACAAACAAAACAAACAAGATGACTAACTCTGTCACTGTCCGAAAAGGGGGTTCATCTTGCGAGGCTATCCCTGGACTCTATCCTAACATCATGCTCCTGAATTGCTGCCAAGATGGGACGATTATAGCAGAGGATTCAATACTTCCGCAATAATTACAGTGAACTTCAGAGAGATATTGTCTCAGTGATTGTCGGCTTTGCATATCCGACCGGAAATAGTATATATCAACAATCAGGTTCAATAATCATCTTCCACGTTCCAGCTTTTGCCACCTCCGCCTACCGTGCATATTATCGACCCAAGCGGCCGCCATGCCCTGGCTCATTCTATCCTCGTGGCGTTCCACGCAATGAATGATCGAACCATGGCCCGTTGAATATTGGCCAGTGGTGTCGCCACGGGGGTGAAACTGGTCAAGGCGGGCTACACTATCGTCCAGGGCAATCTTTGGATGCACCTCCAAGATCTTACTCGAGATGAGCCAGACGGTAACCGCCCCCCAACCCATGCATTAATGCCCGGCGAGAGACTGACCAGTCCACCCTAGATTCTCCAAGCCATGGTGCTAGCCCTACCTTTTCTCGTTGTCCGCATTACCTATCTCTTGCTGTCCGTGTTCCATGCGTCCGATTCCGCTGGATTGATCTGATGGAGTATGTCGTGGTGTGGATCTACCTGGGCACGGGATTCATCATTCTCAGCTGGGAAAGTATGAAGGGGGATCGGATGATTTCCCTGACGCGCTATCTACTACTTGTACCCTTTGTGAGTAAAACAGGTTTGAACGAACGGTGAAGCATTTAAGAGAGGGGGGCGAATGTGGTGTTATGACCGCTCCAATTTCCCCGCCATGACTCTCGATCCCTGTCGTCTGAAAGGCGCAGGACTCATTTCCAATATGTACGGTGTGAACTGGCCGGAGAAATGATAAAGTCAATTGGGTGGATTCTGATAGATCGATCGGGATCGAGGAGGGGAGGGCGATAACTTTTCATTCCGGTACGTAGTATGTCGATCGATCGATGGATTGAGCCAAGAAGAGCCAGGCGTTGGCATGCAAGGGAGTTTTCGGGCGCAGTTCGGCAATCATTTCCATACAGTTGGGGGCGTAGGGCACGTGATCACGGAGTCCATCTCCGGCATTCTGCCCTACGAGACGGTACATACAATACATACCACGATACGTATCATACATCCCCCGTACGGCTCGGATTAATTATCCTGCCCTCGCTTCAAGCCCGAACCATTAGCATTAATACTTTAGTATTTTTAGTATCTTACCCCCACTTCACTAACTTACTCTTTGCCTCCCTCCACCTTTTCACTCTTCCTCCACCTCCTCCCCTGACTGGAATCCGGAATCTGAAAAGGCTATGAAAATGGCCATTTATCCTCTTTGTCTTCTCGTGTTCTCTCTCTGCTTTTCTCCCCCCCCTCTCACATGAATCACCTCCCCTATGCAGCCCCTCGCCCCCGCCCCATCGCGTAAGAGCGCTCACGGCGCCATGCCCCCTCCGCCCACCCACCTGTCGTTTCCCCCACAGCGCAAGGCCTCGATGGCCTGTAGTGAGTGTAAGCGTCTCAAGTCCAAGGTAGTCATCGGTCCAATCGATCAACCCTGTGGGTTCCGTTCCTTGCCACTGACACCCCATCAATCATAGTGTCGAGTGAGCGACGGGGCCACTTCCTGCGATCGATGCCTTAAACAAAAGCTTTCCTGTGTCTTCGATTTAGATGAAGATGGGAGACGGAGACTGGCCCACAAGCGCAAGGTCGAGAAACTGGAAGAGGAGCGCGATACATTGTGGCAGGTCGTCCACTCACTGCGCGACAGTCCCGACGCCAAAGCAGCCCAGTTGCTGAATCTCGTCCGATGTAGAGCCCCCCTCAGCGAGCTCAAGCTCTATATAGACCAACATGCGTCGGAGCACGATCGACAGGAACTCGGCTTGCCTCCAAACAAGCGCGCCTCGGCCCACCGCGCGCTGGACATCAATCGCCTGGTGGATATCCCCGTCTACCGCGTGCCCGCCGCACCCTGGACTTTCGTCACCCAATGCGACGATTTTGTCTCCCATTTGGTTTCCCTATGGTTTACCTGGAGTCATCCGTTCTATAACTGGATTGATCGAGATCTTTTCCTCCGCGATGCCCAAACCGGCAAGCTAGATTCGAAGTTTTGCTCTTCATTTCTATTCAACTGCATTCTCGCAGAAGCCTGTGTAGGAAGACGATTTGCTTGAATGGTCCTTCAGCCGCTGACAAGCCCCGCTCGCAGTTTCATTCCGATTATCCCGAGGCCTACGCGGATCCTAGTGACCCGAACTCCAAGGGGCAGCATTTCTACGCCGAAGCGCGGCGACATTATGAGAAGGTGGAGGGTCAGTTGGATATGCCCACCATCCAAGGCTGCGGGGTGCTCTATGTCTGGTTAGTTCTCCAGACACTGCATACTTGACCCTCTGCTAAAGACTCGCTTCCCGTCAGCATGGCAGCTATGGGGAAAGACCGAGTCGGATGGTGGTATCTCGGACAAATCAATAGTATGGCCCAGGAGTATGCGAAAACACATCCGCCGCCGGAGACCGAGACACAGGAGAGTCGCGCGGTCAACAACACCATCTGGGGCCTCTATAACCTCACAGCGTGCGTATCCGTGTCTTGCAGCACGCTATGATTCCCATGCTCAACCCCTCTCCATCGGAGTGCTATCCCCCTTAGACTTACAACTCACAGGACTGCATCGATCGCGTATATGAAGTACTTGGCGATCGACCGTCCAAAGCGACCATGCCTGCCATGCGATCACAAAGTAGGGCACACCTGGTTACCATACCCGCGGCAGGCCGACCCGAGCCAGTCGCATATATCTTGCGTCTTCAACAGTTTCTGTGAGCTGAGCAAAATCAACGTTGACACCAATAAATCGATCTTTGGGACGGGCTCGAAGCCGTCTCGGAGCGACCTCCACCGAATTCTTCGAGAAGCACAATCAAGGTTGGATGACTGGAAGGCGCAATTACCTGAGTGCTTGACTCTCGAGGCTATCACGGTGCCACAAGGATTTAGTTTGCAGTAAGCACATCCAGTCCCGCCTTCTTTACTGTCAGAATCTTGTAGAAATCATGCATAGCGTTGGACGCCTCATGGCTAACGGCATACAGCTTTTTTTATCACACTCTCATGATCATGCTCTGGGGTCTTCTCAAGGAGGAATCTGATGAGGACGACTCCGGGGATAACGCCACGGCCACTACGGCGCGACGGCTTTGCGTGGACTCTGCATTAGCCATTGTTCGTCTTCTGCGCATCCACCGCGCCCGCTGGGGAGTTGATTACATCTCACCGACCACCATTCATTGGGTGAGTATGGCTCTCTTCACCCTGCTGGAACAATTGGACAATCCTGAGCACAAGACCTCCTTCACCGAACTCTGCGTCTTCGCTCGCGCCCTTTCTCGAAAGTGGACCTTGATGAAGGGAATCATGCGCATGCTGCAGGTCTCAGCACAGAAGAATAGCGTCATGCTTCCCCCCGACACTCATGCCTTATTTACCGAATTTGAAGAGGAAATGTGGGAGAGCAAAGATCGAGAGCGATTTCGGAGCCTGTATCCGAACCCAAACTCCTTATCCAAAACGGCTGGAGACCGTACTCTGCTAGATGATGCCGAGTTGGATAGCTTCCTTGAGAAGTGGGACACCCTTGAGGTCGACGAAGCTGGGAGAGAGACCTCAACGGACACAATGAAGTCATCGCCACAGGACAGGGTTGAAGACAAAGACGAAAGTGAGGCCGAGGTCGGCACAGGAAATGCCTAAACCGTGAGCCGTTTTACCTACCGGATCTATTGCCGGCGCCTACAGTCTCTTTCAGTCTTGCGCACCCAGGTGGAGAGCTTCGTCGTCCTCGACTGTCGTTGATCCAAGCGCGCCGAAGCCATTCCAACGCCCACTTTGAGGAGCAAAGAAGCCTACGTTTCGATGGCATTGCTGACACTCATCACTTTGGTGATACTCCGGTGACCGGGCACGCGCCATGATCGATACACGATACCGAATTGTGTTAACTCGCGGTCTGTACCGGATGAGGGATCTTCCTTCTTTGACTTTCGATTGTTGCTAGCAGCCCAATTTTGATATCACGGCTTCTTCCTGTATTCAAATCCAGCTTCCTGGATTTCCCTGCCACTCCTTGCATGCAATTTGCAAACATCACCATGCAGGGCTCCCTTGTCCATGTGCATCGGATGAAGCATTTTGGAATGATAATCTGCATCTCGTCTGGGGCTAGTGTTTACTGCGCAACATGCTTCCTTTCAATTGCACAATCAGTCCAGAGGTCTGCTCCCGGCGACCGTCCCAAACGCGAGTGGGAGTAGTCAGTCCAAATAGTCGTGAAAATGCAGATGTGTACCGAGATACTTTTCATTCCCGAAGCAATCTGAACAAGATGTGAAGGAAGTGCACCTAGATCCAGAAGCGCTCAACCTGAAATGCGTAACTCGGGCCTTGTTCCATCTTTAACCCGAGCGGTGCTGCCGGATTATCGGAAGAGTGCAAGCATGGTGGTTAGGGTGTGGGACGTGCCCTGATATTGTTCTTTCTTATCCTTGGTGCCACATGTTTCCATACGTGTTGGACATGTCTTACTGGAACATCAGCCTGTGGATACATCTTCCCATTGGCTCGTCGACATATATAGTAGTGAACCAAACGCATAATATCGGAAGCTAAATGCCACATGAGCGCTAGGTCTTTACCATTCTCCTGTGCCAATACGTGTTATGAGGACTAGTTGCCACAACTCCTGACCTATTTTCATCATCTACCGTACCTCGATAGTCTTCTCTCCCTGCAATTTAGCTACCTTGACCAAGGTGCAAGCTAGGCTACTGAGAAAGTACACTCTGAATGACCTCATACCCTCCTCCGCAACCCAAAGTTCTTCGGGTTGAGAATCAGGTGTCATACGCACCATACCCATAGCAAAATTACCCACGGAAGAATCTTCTCGATCTGGCTAATCCAATACCTTAGGCTCTTCAACTCGCCCCATGGATGAATGAAGTGAAACAGATCCAGGGAGAGAAACAATAACTTTCGACAGGGGTCGCTCCAAGGATAGTGAGATGTTGCGCTGGACTGTGGCGCTCACATAGTATCGAAGAAAATTGTGACGTCTGCCAGGGCAGTAAGGACACTTGCTTCGGTAGTGGCTTTAGAAGAATCCATACTAATAGCATAGCCAAAAGATTGAGAAACAAAAGTGATCGTTGTGCACCATGGGTAAAGCTGATACCTATATGTATCATGTAGATGAGACTTTGCACAAGTCTGGACTGTGTTTAGATGACTCATAATTCGCATCAAATAGTTTGTCTGGATACAAGGAGGACTGGCAATTGCGAGAATGCATCAGCACTGTCGAAACACGGTTGTCACATGCTGGGATAATTATTAACGCCCCCGTAAATGGTGTCTTCACCCAGTGTCCAGGGTACTCTATCTTCTGCCAAGGAATGATGCAATGTGGGAGTTGACAGCTCAGTGACGACAATGCAAATGATTTAAAAGGATAAATTCGACAGGGTCCTATTCCTCCTTAAGTCTGCGTTGTGATCACTCAAAGTGAATATTGAATGATTATTTTGATGGCAACTGTCACAACATGATGAGCTATTATTATTATACCTGTGCCTGCGACGGAGAGAACCTCTTGGACGAAGAAGATCTGGTCGAACATATACGATGTCGACATGCCGGCTTCATACAAAGGCCAGGTTACCTGGGGTACGATGATCATCATGGTCACATATGGTATTGTTTCGAGTGCGCAAGGAGCCCCAAAGACCACCGGAGCTTGACTCAAACAGAGCCATGACGAACCATCTACGTGATTGTCATCCCGATCTTATGGCTACTATCTCCAGACGGTAGCAAACAGGGATCCTGATGTTGCAGGCAAGGGTATGTTGAGCTTGTCCGAGGCGAATGCAAGGAATTGAAGATGCATTCCCTGTATAGCGATGCGAGTCTTCAGAGTGTAAGCGCTTTTCTTCGTTGACAGGGGCTGGCACACTCTGCTCAGTTGGACGGTCCGACCCGATGCTGCGATATTTTTTTTTCTGAAGTTGTATGGCACTTCGTCACATCGCGTGGAAGTTATTGAATATTGAGGGTATTCTCCAGGATATTTCAGAGGACAATGACTTGGTCGTGGGAAAGGAACATACTAGTGAACGTTAACAACATCGATTCTAAGGCTCTTCTGGCATAATAACATTCTGGACTCCGAATTAATTGGCATTTCTTGTTCGGGCTAGAAAATATACTCCGGTAGAGAAGGGCTGCGTACCATGGTTGAAGGAGGAACGCGATATTTGCAAGGCAACCCTCCATCGATAGTCCTTTGAGTGACAAGATATATCAAAGCGGAGGGGAACTGGAATGAGCGCGATGTGTACGCAGTTTCTCCTCCTCGAGAGCTGCAAGAAAAGCATAACAGGGAAGAACCTGGATAGTCGATGGCTCTGGGAAATAGGTTCCTTGTGCAATTTAGTTTTTGACACACACGTACATAAAACTACACATCGTGGGTTTTTGCAACCTGCTTCAACCACCACTCATGGATCCGTTCAGTGAGCTGCCCTACGAGCTCTTCGAGAACATAATCGAACACGCCGCCGATTGGGTCAGTCTCGAAAGTCTTATCAAGGTCTCGCCGCGAGTGGCTGCACTTTTGAGCCCTGATGTCGCCTCTGCTGCAGATGCGGAAGTGGACCCGGATGCTATACGCCGCATTGAGGCCTTCCTGTGCGTGAATCCGGTCAAGAACTATGAGCTACACCGCTTCTTTCGGATGTGTACCAGTCTCCGACTCCACAATAGCGACAGCACTGGTATCTCTTTAGATGATTCATAGCGCGCGACCATTCAATCCGCCTGTCTTCGATGAGTGTGACTCGTGCGGTGCTGAGAGAAATGATCCACGTGGCAGGCTAACATCCAACGATTGGCATGTGTCTGTTTAGCCACCTTTCTAAAACGGGTGAGAGCGGTTCAAAATTTACGTTACTCTATGGCCCGGCTTACACGAATTCAAGGGACTGATGCTTTACTCGCCACGCGATATGGGCGCCCCCTTGTGGGCTGAATAATACCGCGTCTATCGAGCCTTGTGGCATTTGCAACTGCTCGGCGATGTGGGAAGTACAGGCGTCGTTTGCCCGGAATGGCATCGCGACGAGTTCTACGAGCATCTACGGGTTGTTCCTCGTCCGACCTTGACATCGGGTCAGTCTATGTTCCACAACATCCGCAATGACCCTACCCGAGAGGAGATGTTGGCTGTGTCTGAGTGTCTTCATGACATATACGGATATCATCCAGATGGCGTCGATCGCACGGTAAAGCTACCCGAAGCAGCGTTACACCCCGAACAGCTTACTGTATGGGCGCCCCCTCCCCAAACGTCCTCTCTACAGGACATGACCCAGTCTGGGTTTGATACATGGGATCGCAACTTCCGAGCCCCGCAGGATCGAAATGTGGGTGTCATATGGCGGTTGATGAAGTCGAGTGGGGGTGCGTTCAAAGATATGGCCCCGTTCCTGGCCTGCAGCCTTCTCGATACTCGACCACTCCGGTCCTCGAGTATGGTGATATGGGGTCCCTGGAGGCTTTGGGGATTAGGAATTGGCTATGCTTCTACGGAACTTGGACGACTGATAATGAATGACGTTACGGGTCCCAACGGGGAAAGTATCCCAGCCGGACCGTACCCGTCGACCCGTGGTCTCATGGAATACATCTATCGATGGTCAGTCTTCGTATCTGCTGGACAAGCACTGCTGGCCAAAGAGAGAAACCCGAATCGTGATTATTCGGACAAATGAATACGAAACACCGGTGACTGTACCGGCCCCTGTTTACATTATTACCCATGAACGAAAAGGGAAATCTGCCGCAGCCAGCAACTAGTCTCGTTGTCTTGCTAGAAGTATGAAAACTTATACACAAATTGAAGATACGAAACTCTGACCCCTCCAAACATCCGTAGATACCTTTCCCATGTGTGCTCTAATTAGCCTGAGGATTTAAATGTCAGACCTTGCCTCAGCAATGGGTGGTGATGGGGGTGGTGTGAGTTACCGTACGGAGGGTGTAGGTAGTAGAACGGACGGGCATCCAACCCGAGTCTGACGGGTTGCGATGACGTGAGGGTGTAACTGTAGCAAAGTCCGTGGGCGTAGGAAGCTTCGCAGTCCGAGTCGTGGGAGTGGATGAATCACCAACGCAGTAAAAGTAACCTTTCTATAATTGAAGTCAGCATGCATCCTCGGCAAACCACATCACGTAAATCTCAGGCCAAGTCGAAGGAAGGGGTATTGAGGCAATATGATGGAGAAAAGAGATAGAACGTACCCTGAGACCAAAGCACTCTTTGCCAAGGATAGGATTCCAAGAAATGAACTGCTCCTGAGAGAACGTGCCAAACATAGTCACAACCAAGCTGCAGTTATCACCCTTATCGACCTGATACCAAGCTGTGCAATTCTTTGCTATGCCCTCGGGTGTTGGACTGGGCTTAGTCGTGACATGATCAGGAAGGGGAAGGTCGTCGTTGTCGTAAGCAGCAATGCAGTAGTGGTATTCGGGAATCAAGCCAGAGCAGTCGCTCTTGAGAGCTGGGTTCCATTCATGAAAGAGCTTCTCACTCAGCAGCCCGTGCTCGGATAGGATACGATTGCAAGTATCGTTCTGCTATGTCAGTCCTATAAAATTTTCAGATGCAATGAGCTACATACCGTGATGGCCTGGTAGAAGCCCGAACATTTTGGATCAAGACCAGCTTGTGTGGGTGAGGGAATGCCGGTCTCGAAAGAAATAGTTTGCGATGGACGTGGAGTCCAGGGAACGTATGGAGGGATGGAAACATTCGAAGAGCCAGCGGGATAGACAAGAGTGATGCCAGAGCCGCCCATGCTGCCCACGCAGACCCAGTAGTCAACCAGAGGGTGATCGCAATTCTTCTTTAGCTCGGGGTTCCAAGCCAGCCTATCTTTCTTAGCGAAGGTTGCTTGCTGATCAACTGACGAGCACAACCTACAGCCGGTCCATGGAAATAGAGCCACCAGATCGCTGGGAGATTATCTGGCACGAGTCGCCCGGCTTGACGAGATACCATCGATTGCAAGAGGTGGGCTGCCCTGCCTGTGTTTTCGTTGGAGGCCAGGGGGTATCAACCGGCATGGGCGCGGTAGGCATAGTGTCCGAAGTGACTGGCAGACGCACGATGTAGGTAGAAGTACTAGAATGATCTGTGGTGTTGACTGGCTGGATCATCATGGTTTCGCCAGCTGTCAAAAAGACAAGCAGAAACGCGAGTAAATGTTGAAAGGGCGCCATCTTGAACTGTGTTCGCCTGATGGGAAAGCAGAGATTGGAGTAATGAATGATGCTTGGAAGGAGAGATCGAGAAGGTGAAGAGTAATTTTGACTGAAATTAAAGAGAGAAAGAGGGGAAAAGGAGAGGAAGAGGGAAGATATAGAGGATGGAAGAACCACTATGGGGATGAAGAAGGAACATAGAAGGAATTGAACTTTCCAGCAAAATCAACGGCTTCGTGTATTCACTTGCGCGGTTAAGCCCTTACTAGTCTACTAGGCCAAACAAGTCAAGGCAACCACTATTCGCCCAGGAATAGACATTGCTTCAACATTACCTCTACAGCATCTCAAAAGTCCTGAATTCCAAATTCGCAAATGCCTGAACAGTTTCCGAACCATGCCAAAGTTAATCATTCTGTGAAGATTCCTCAACTGCCATTAGCCACACGAGCTGTATTGCTGAAAGAGGTAGAAGTGAGGGCTTCTCGGATCGTTCCAGAAAGGCTCGAAGTCGTTGGCAAAAGCAGAATTGTACATCTCCATGATTCCCGCGACATCTCCAGAAGAAGGGACGAGGTTTCCCAAGAATACCGTGCCATCAATTTTGGTTAGCACGTTCGTGCCCTCCTTAGCACCAGCAGTAGAGCCGTAGATCATGATAGAGTCCCAATCGACTTGATCCATACTTGGCCATTTCCCGCGTGGACCCGTAACGTCCCCCAAGGGATAAGGCAAGAAGTCTGCCGCCATGAATCCGACATTCAGGGCAGCTCGGTAGTTCACACACACACCCTCGGGCCCATAGATTTGCTCGCGGGTCATGCCCCTGGTCACCCTGTCGAAATCCTCCAGGTTCTCACAATTGAACTTAAACACCCATTCCCCACCATCGAAATCCCTCCACAGGGCCGGGTCCTGGTGCTCGTGCACAAGTCCAAACACATGTCCGATTTCGTGAGCAATGTTGGCGAGAATAACGTAGTCAGGATGGTCGGCCGGAGTGGAGAGGAACATTTTGTGTTGTACAAGCGCAACGCCCTCGTTCGGAACCATCGGGGGCATGCCGATATTGGTGGAGTACAACCGAGGAGTGTCGTAGACCGTCACGGTGTCGTAAATTCCAACTGCGCAGATATCCGGGGAGGTAGACTGTAGCTTAAAAGTCTCGGGCAGGCCAGCCGCATACCACAAAAACATAGCGTCACGGAGAAGAGGCTCATATTTGTGTTGGGTCGCAGCCGACTCGTAGCAGACTGAAACGACCCCCTTGGGCCAGAGCTGGTTGAGGTTTGCCCATGGACTGAATTCCGCCCAAGCCTGCACCAGAGGGCTCAGGGAGATCAAGGTTAACAGCAAAAGCATCAAACACTGCCAGAGGTGAGCTGGTAAGGGCATGACTATGACAGAAAGACTAATAGAAGACCAAAGTATCTATGATGGAAATGGATGTAGACGAGCGATGACTTGACCTGGATGTTTCGTGTGAAATAGTGTTGTGAGTTGCAAATATGAGGAGAGGAAGGAGAACCAGAGGGAGACGTCAAAGGAGATTATAATGATGATGATGATGAAGAAGAAGGTGAAGAAGAAGGTTAGTGTAAGAAGGAGAAAGCCCTGGGCCTGTCGCGGTGACAAACCGCTGGAAACGAGTGATATATCACTCACTCGCCAGTCTACCAAGTGAATGATCGTTGAAAATCGATACATGTATCACGTGGAGAAATAGATCTCATAAACCTCCTAAGTTCTTCACAGAAAACGTCCTTCCATCCTCAATCTCTCACCCTCTGCCACACACCAACACCACCATGACTATGTCACGACATATTCTGTCTTTCATGGTTCTGCTGCTGTGGCTATCCCCAGGAGTGACAGCGGTATTGAGCAACATTAGTCTGCGAAATTACAGTGACAATGCTTTGGTCCATGTCTCTTTTACTAAACCCCTGACTAGCGACGACTATACCTGTTCCAAGACCAAAAGGTGCAAGACAGGATGCTGCGGTCCGATGTAAGTAGATTGATCTGACCCTGAGTACTCCTGGCTAACAGCGATTCCAACAGAGACAGCACCACTGGCATCGGCAACTGTGGCTATGGGCCCGAATTCTGTGGGAAGGGATGCAGCTCAGACTGTGGTCGCAAGAGCGAGTGTGATGCAGGCTGGGGTCGCGAATGGTCGACTGCCTCAACCTGCCCTCTCAACGTCTGCTGCAGCAAGTTTGGATTCTGTGGTAAGTCTGTCTTTGTGGCCGCCTCTACTGTCTGGAAATGAGAATGTTGATCCTTTGAACTTCGCATTCTGTCAGGGACCACCCCAAGTTTCTGTGGAACCGCCACAGTGCCATCTCCTGAGTGTAATGGAAAGAGTGCCCATAAACGAACCGTCGGATACTACGAGGGCTGGAATCTGGAGCATGCATGCGGAAGTGAGTTTCATCCTCTTCCTGTTTCTCTGCCACCTATTTGTGTGCTGTGTTAGCTGACGAAGATGGATGAAGAAATGGCGCCGGACCAAATCCCTCTCGGTTATTATACGCACCTCAACTTTGCGTTCGCCTACATTGACCCTCAGACCTTTCGTATTGCTCCTATGAACAACCATACTGCATCGCTGTACAAGGCAGTAACGGGGCTAAAGAGAAAGCAATCGAAATTGGAAGTGTGGATTGCCATAGGAGGATGGGATATGAACGACCCTGGCCATACGCAGTATACCTTCTCCGACCTGGCAGCTTCCGGGACCGCCCAAGATGCGTTTTTTAACTCGCTTCTTAGCTTTATGCAAAGCAATGACTTTGATGGCGTCGACTTAGACTGGGAATACCCGGTGTCAGAGGATCATGGTGGTCGTGCAGGTGATTTTGTCAATTTTGTTACCCTGCTGCAGCGACTGAGAAAGCGCCTAAACCAGTCGGGAAGAAGTTATGGTGTTTCAATAACGTTGGTATGATCTACCCATGCTGTTACCAATGATCATTTCAAAATAACCTGAAGAGCCATAGCCTGCATCGTACTGGTACCTCCGAGGTTTCGATATTGCTAATCTCGAACGTTATGTCGACTTCTTCAACGTGATGACTTATGATATCCGTAAGCTCAATATCTCTCCCAGCGCATCTCTCTACTCTTCCTCATTCGATCACACTGACCGGGCTCTTCTCTACTTTGCCACTAGATGGAACGTGGGACACCATGAACCGAGACTCCCCTTACGCTGCCTACGCTCATACCAACCTAACCGAGATCAACCAAACCCTTACTCTTCTTTGGCGCAACAATATCAACCCCGCCCGGATCAACCTTGGCCTCGGCTTCTACGGCCGCAGCTTCACAATGAAGGATCCCAGATGCATGGCGCCGGGTTGCCTCTTCACGGCTGGCGGTCGCTGTGGCGAATGCACGGCGACGTCTGGCGTATTGTCCAACACCGAAATCCAGAAGATCGTCAAAGAGAACATCACGGGTGCCAATGTGTCGTTCTACAAGGAGGATGCTGTCAAGGTCCTTACCTGGGACAGAGACCAGTGGGTGAGTTTCGATGACGTCGAAACCCTGAAACTGAAGCTCGAGTTTGCAAATCGGCGGTGTCTGGGTGGAACAATGGCTTGGGCTGTGGATCTTGATAGAGATGGCATGTTGATTGAGGCATTGGGCACGGCGATGGTAGCAAAGAAGAAGGCAGTTTGGAACGAGGCGATGCATCATTGGCTAATCCCAGAGGGAGGCAGCGTTGATGTCGACGATGTCTTGGGCTGGAAGAGGAAGCAGAACAACGTGCAGCAAGATACAGGGTCGAAGCATAAGGACCTGTTGTGATCAGGTCTCGATGTGGAAGCTCATGTGCGCAGTAGGGTGGTGGATTCTCATCTCTTTCCTTACGATCCACAGATAACCCGTGTTCTCAGTATGATAAAGGTAGACATGCTGGTTATTCCGTGATTCAATCTATACTGGCCTAGTGCAATTCATGATGACAACATGATACAGTGCATTCATCCTTCCCCAAACACAAACTCAGCCATTTCCTTCGCAGCCATGCGTAAAGCCTCCACACTCAAATGCTATCCTATTATTCTTGAAACATCTCGAAGAGGTCGCAATTGGAACTCTGACGGAAAGCTCCCACTCCATTCCATCATGCTCCTCTGCACCATTTAGATACTTCCAATCAAATACCGAGATCCCTTTTCCCAGACATCCCACCATTCTCGGTCTGATACATTTTTGCCCGAAATCCGCAGTCGACCATCCTTTACCCCGCAGCGTGTAGTCACTGAATATGAACTTATACTTGCCTCTGCAGCTCCCGTCCACCGCTTTGATGACGGGCCAGGGACGCTTGAATGAATTCGACACACCAACCTCGTAGATATAATTACCGCGCACCCATCTGCCGCCAAACTTCCAGTTCAACGGATTCTCGGGGTCGTTGCCGTCGCACGAATTGATCACGCGATCGAAGCTGTCAAGACACTGTTGCTTATCGAAGACGGCGCCGTTACGCAGAGTGAGGCGGAACCAATGGGTGTCAGGAGTTTGATAGTTGAACCAACGCTCATCAACGTATTCTTTCTCATAATGCCCGGTCGGTGGTCGATACTCGCGGCAGTAGATTTTGTAGTTCTCATTCATCAGGTCGGCTGAGGCGTAGTCTTGGCGTCCCTGCTGCTGCCAGCACTGGAAGAGATCGGCATTTGCCTGACAACGTGGATTTTCGGCTTGGAGGATCACGGCGCGTTGGGCGACAATCTCGCTGAGGACGAAAGAGGCGATGGTCTTATGGCCGAGCTCGTTGGGGTGGAAGTACTTGCCCCAGCGATCGGGGAGACCCAGGCCAATAGAGCCGCTGTCTGCAGGACAGTTCGGGGTGGCTAGAAGGACGTCGCGGAGGTAATGTCTTTCACTGGTGATTTTGGCTCCGAGAAGCGGATCGTGATTCGCAAGGTGCATCAGATCGTCGACATCTTTCTTGCGCAAATCTCGATGTCCTGAGACCGTGGTATCCGGCTTAAAGAAGTGCAGATAGGGCTGGCTGGGATCGGGATACTGGCCTGTCGAACCAGGGACACAATACTGCCCATGCAGACCATCTCGCATAAAGGCGTCCCAGTCGGCTGTCCTGATATAGGGGCTTGACCAGGGGCGTGGACTAATCGAGTAGATAACGTCTCGGATCGCTTGGTTGATGTTCACCACCAGCTGGTTGAACTTCTTGCGGTTGTCGATCGTGAGTGAGAGTCCACCTGCAACGGGGTCCAGTCGAGGGAAAGACCAGTCCTGCTTGGTGGCACAGTCTTCATTCTCAATGTTGAAAAATTGACCATAGAGAACCCAGACAATGAACCCATTGTAACTCAGTTTGGGCTGCATGGCATAGATGATCTTGCGAATATTGGGCATCAGGACCCTTTCAATATTGTGCTGCGCCAGGTCGAGAACTTCTTGGCATTTGTCTTCGCCCTGGAAAGGAAGGAAGATGCAAGCTTTGATGATATCAGCCTGGTGATGTTAGGACTGCCTTAACATAGAGAAAGTGGCACATGGTACATACTAAGCACAGATCATTCCCTCCAGCTGTAATAACCACCAAGTCGAGATTGCTGTCGAGGTTTTTGATCTGATCGAAAATCTGTCCAGTTCGATCTCCACTGCAAGCCTTGTACTGGAACAATTTGACTTGGTGTCCTAGTACATCATGGAGTAAACCCGGGTATGACTTGTCATAGCGAGAGCATTTGCGGTCTTCCTCACGCTCAGTCCACAGAGCGCCACTACCAATCCCAGCAGTATAACTGTCTCCCACAGCCGCCCACTTGTTGATCCAGGAGAAGTCAGTCGGGGGAGCACTGTTGGCAATGTGTTGAAAAGTGGTAGCATTGGCAAAGGAGTCAAATGAGGATGAGTTGGTCGAGATCGCGTGGCTCGCCAAGAGACACAGGAGAAGTATTAGGATGATCATCGTTCCAGCGATCTTGGTTCAAAACGAATCGAGGGACGAAAAGAAGACCATAAGAGGTGCTGGGAGGAAGGGGTAATGAAAAAGATAAGGAAGAAGAGAAAAGGAGACTGGGATATGATCAAAATACGTTTGAAGGAACTCAGTGGCCCTTTTACGTGTGATATTAATCTTTACAGAAGCAGGCACAGATCATACGCTATACCTTAAGAAGATGACCAGGATTCACTCAACTCACCCATCAACAACACTGAGTGACGTAGTATCAGTGAAACTATTCACATCAACGCTGACAAGCCCGGTAGTCCCGGATGGTCTGACTCGTTCGTCGCTCGCGTTGCCAGTGTAGAGGTTTCCTCCATAGCCCCAATATCTCCCGTTGCCACACCTCCGAGGCGCCATCAGCAATACACACTTCATCATTAGGTGGTATCGGACTGGGCACAGTACAAAGACGGCTTAATCGAGGACTGCTCTACCGCTGGCATTGACTGGACGGTGCTTAGATTTAGATTGCAAGACCACCGGTCTCTCCACTTGTTCAGGTTATGCCTTTATGTCATTTTTATCAACTGGCCTCCTCAACGTCCCTATTGCTCAATAGTGTAGAGTGTCTGTTTGAAAAAGGAACAATAAACCCAATCATAAGTCAGAAGGAGGAGAAGTCATTCTATTAGCAGGAACGCTCACTTTCTTAATGAGTACGATGTCTCTGAGGATGACTAATTCCAAGTCAAGATGGTTTGCGACCTAAGAAATGCAGTATGAACTGCAGAAGCTGCACTGTGAAAGCACGCGTTGTTTATACTAGATTAGGGCTCATGACAGCTTCCAACTTGAAACAAGCGAGGGCGGGCTAGTCCGCTGGTACTAGTCTTGATTCGGCAGCTAGATGCCTCAGGCATCATTGGTCTCACGCGAGACACCAGCCACCACGTGATAACAATTACTCCTAGATGGAGATGACAGCGACAAGCGATTTGTCAGTCTGACCAAGAAGTCCCGCTGTTCATGACTAAATGCAACTCGTATTCCTTGTCAGCCTACACCTGGCGCCATTGCACTAGCCCTGGTGGGGTTGGGCTCCGCTATCTATTACGACTAGTCCTTCATATATAAACAGGTACTGCATCCCCATCGCTCTGGAACAATGTACGCATACAACAAATATAAGTTCAGCAAGGAAAATGCTAACGTCACGTCCCACGGGCAATGAGCCACGGCTATCTGCCCCCCTAGGGGGTCCGCACAAGCTGTTCGATGGCTCCTTTGTCATCGAGTTCCTGCAGGTACCTGCCGAATTGGATGCCACTGTTTTGATGCGCGCAACATACTTTGGCAGCCACGAATTGACAAAACTGGGAAAACAGCATCCCCAAGTAAGCCTGTGATTCTTTGTACCTGGTACATGTAGCAATCACAGCTCTAATGCCACCTAGGCCCCTCCGCTGCACATTCACTTCTACCAAGCAGAGTCTTTTATCGTGGAGTCCGGAGCTGCAGGCACTACCGCAACATACGATCTCATCGACACGATCCACACGACTGATGGAAACTATCCGCAACGTGACTCTCACGCAGACCATGCATCAACGGCACTGGGTCGCTCAGTGGATGGGGTGACTGTTATCCTCCCTTACATTCCGCACAAATTCTGGCCGTAGGTGATCTTCTCCGAGAAGACTACCGCTGATACTAATATTGCACCCAGAGTATCGTCTAATCACCCATTCTGGTCGACCGCAGAAGGTCAGGTGTACGAGAGCTCGCTTCCTGCTGGCCGATACACCGACACTACGCTCCTGATCTGGGGCCATCCGAAGACTCACATCGGTCCGGTAACGGGCACCCTTGCGAGCGATTTCCCCCCCGATATGGACGCCGCTTTCTTCGTGGGGATGCTGTCACTGGTCGATGCGCTCCACGGACAACGGCTGACAATGAGTCCGGGACTGGGGGCGACTCTCATGGCCACTCAAACCGCCAGCGGAGCCGCAATGATCCTTGCGCCCAGGGCTTGGTGGCTCGGCCCTCTGCGGTGGGCTATCCCGTGGTATATGCAGGTGGCCCTGGAGTGGACACGAAAGATATTTGATAGGAGAAGCGTAGTGCAGTTGGTCGAAGATGCAATTGCGAGGGAAGTGGTGAAGAAACAGTAGAGTTAATAATATGTTCGATAATCTCATTATCAACGTTGTTAGAGCATTTCTCAGGGATAACAGTAAAGTGGGCGGCGAGGGCAATAATGAAAACCCCACATTTACTGCCAATTCGCACTATAATTTCAGGCGATATCCCTTCTTTTCTTGGCAAAGAGCCCAATGCTGAGTGGCAAACCCACGCTGGTCCGTTAGTGTACAGACCAATATCCTGCAGATACGAGATAATGGCTTTTCCGCTCTCGCATATTGCCAAGGTTGCACCAGCAAGAGAAGCTCGGTCGAGAAGAGCATCGAAGCCTATATCTCTTCCCAATGCAGAGATCATCAAAACAAGTTCCGAGGACAAGTCGACAATTCTATGCTCCAGGCAGGGTAATCCCGACAGGTATGGAGGCATAAGCTGCCGCCAGCGTGGGGAATTACCCTGAAAACTAGACTGATAAGCCTGCATGGCCCCAGTACATTAATCCTGCGATTCATGATTGAGCCGCATCCTGTTCTGCAATACCTTCTATTGCGCGAATCCGAATAAGGCCTCTCTGATAGGTCTTGTTTTCTCACCGAGTCAGCGTTGAGTGGATGCTGAAACTCACTTCCCACTCCGATTCTCGCTGGCGTCTCCACCATCTCGTGTCGGCCATTAGTTCTCTTTCCTTAGGAGGCGTGGCAGAAAAATTCCCGACGCCTTAACTGGGCCCAATAAGGCGTTAGTACTGGAATTTCCCCTGTTGCCCGGTCCCAAGAGTCAAGTTCTCCAACACGGAAGATGTTATTTGGTGGAAGGATAGCCATTGATAGCGACGATCGGAAAAGGATCATCTCCGCGCGCTGTCCTAGACTAGTCCCTATATCAATCTCCCTATAAGTTCTTGGCGACATCTGTGCCTCTTCTCTTCATGTCCTGTCACCGAGGTTAGAGTCTAGACATCCCCCAGTGGAGGTCGCTTGATGGAAAGATCGTCTTCGAGGAGGCAAAAATGCACATAATAACCTGGGACCCTCGTTACCACCGCTGTATTTATAGCGTCTCCTAGCCCTAGCTGCACTCATTCTATCATGTTTGGCATCTGAACAATGCCACTTCGAGCATACTTACAATTTATTTTCTATTCTTGATCGTCGGGCTCTTCGGTCTATATCTTCTGCTGATTTTCTTCTCTTCGACAAAGCAGTCTTCTGCACCCCTGCCTCCTGGACCCTCACCTCTCCCACTGGTGGGCAATATCCGCAACCTGCCATCCCCTGACAGCGCAGACTGGTTGCATTCGCTCAACACAAAGATGCTTACGGTTCGTACGGCGTGTTTCTCAGAGAATGCGGGATAAATACTCACGGTACTGACATAGGGCCCATCAGCAGAGTATCCGTCCTGGGACAGCGACTTATCATCCTTAACGACGCCAATCTAGCCATCGAACTTCTCGACAAACGATCGGCTGTACACTCTGACCGTCCCAAAATGCCATTCGCCGAACTGTAAGTCAATCTCGGACATCTTCCTTCCGCCGTGCTACTAACAATGATAGTTCTGGCTGGGGCGATGAACTGACTCGGATACTCCAGCTGCTTCAAGGCTTATCGCAAGAGTCTGCACCGTGAGATCGTGTCGAAAGCCAGTTCGTTCTCTCGATTCAACTCATTGCAGGAGGTAGAAGTGCGTCGCTTTATCTTGCGACTGCTTAACCGGCCGGAGGATCTGGTCGGTCATATTCGGAAGTATGTATAATTCTATGGGCTCTTACAAATTCACAATATACTAACTGCCTCAGACTGGTGGAGCGATGATCTTGAAGATTGGATATGGTTACTCAATCGATCCCTTCAAGCGACCCGCTCGTAGATCTGGCCGATGAAGCAGTAGAGCAATTCTTTCTAGCTGTGCGCCCAGGGACATAGCTCGTGGATGTTTTGCCCTTCCGTACGTTCATAATAGATTCCAGCAGTAGTCGCCCAACTGACAAACTCCAGTTCGCCATCTCCTCGCCTGGCTCCCCTGAGCTGGGTTCCAGCGTACCGCCAACGTCTTCCGCAAGCAAAGTCAAGCAGTGGCCGATACCCCCTTTGCGTTTGTGCATCAGCAAATGTCCCAGCCTGGATACGAACCGTCCTTCGCCTCCAATCTCTTGGAAGGCAAGGTTCTCACGCCAGGATCGACAGAGAAAACGGTCATCAAATGGTCTTCTGCTACGTTGTATGCTGCTGGGGCAGATACTGTAGTCATCCCTTCCACCCTGCATCTGGTTATTACTGACTGCTAACGCGCATAGACCGTCTCCACCACCACATCATTCTTCCTCGCCATGGCCCTGTACCCAGAGGTTCAGCACAAGGCCCAAGAAGAGATCGACCGAGTGATAGGCCCCAGTAGACTGCCTGTGGAATCCGACCGGCCAAATCTGCCCTACATCGATGCGCTGGTGAAGGAGGCTCTCCGGTGGCATCCCGTGGCGCCCATGGGCATTCCCCACCGATCAATGGAGGACGATATTTGCGAAGGATATCTCATTCCAAAAGGCTCCCTCATCATCCCCAACATCTGGTCAGTGTTCTCCTTCCCCACCATCGGGGTTCCGTCAACACAACTGATCACGCGCAATGCAGGGCCTTCTGCCACGACCCGACCGGATACGAAAACCCCATGACATTCAATCCCGGGCGTTTTTTGTGCGAAACCCCCGAGCGTGATCCGCATTATCTCGCCTTTGGCTTCGGTCGGCGTGTCTGTCCCGGGCGTACGCTGGCCGATTCGAATATCTTCTTAGCCATTGCGCAAACGTTAGCATCGTGTCATATCAGCAAAGCGGTACGCGATGGGAAGGAGATGGATGTGTGCCCCGAGTTTGTTCCGGGCACGATCAGCCATCCAGCGCCATTTGAGGTGAGTGTCACTCCGCGCAGTGCGCAGTATGAGGAAATGATTAGGGCTCTGGAGACTGAGCATCCGTGGGAAACGGCCCACGCGGAGAAGTTGTGGACGGAGTTCTTCGAGGGGGGAGAATAGATTGAGAACCGTAGACCGTACGAGTTGTTCTTTGTGTTGGTAAACATACATATGAATTCATGATCAAGCCAGCAATGTTCATGACATACCCATGCTCCCATGGTGTAGTAGATGTATTGCAACACCCCAGGTCCGGCAATTTAGCCGAGCGGCAATTGCCGGAAGTCAAAATAGTCTCGCATTGCGGAGATCTTGGGAGAAACATGATCTGACTCACAGCTTCCGCGTTAAATCCATTGCATGACACCACATTTTCAGTATTACAGACCCTACTTCGTCTGAGATCTATCGTGTATCTTTGCGACCGCCATAATGACCCTTCAATACGCCCTAGTTGACGTCTTCACCACCACGCGCTTCCACGGCAACCCGCTGGCCATCGTGCGCGTTCCCGCAGCACAACGCGCCTCTCTCGCGCAAGAAACCAAGCAAAAGATTGCCACAGAGTTCAATCTCTCCGAGACCGTCTTCCTGCACGAGCCACCAACCGAGAAGCCACTCTCCGCCGGCTCCGTGGCGATCGACATCTTCACCCCGAAATGCGAGATCCCGTTTGCGGGCCACCCGACCATCGGGACCGCATGCTACATCCTCACCCAGTCATCCACCAACTCGCTGAAAGAGCTGGTCACGAAAGCCGGCGCAATTCCCATCACTCGGGACTCCCAGACTGGGCTCGTGGGCGCGTCTATCCCGTTCGCGTACCATGAGCATCAAGTTCCGGTGCAGTCCGGCCTTGTGATTACCGGTTCCGCACCGGTGATCTCCATCGTCAAGGGTCTTTCGTTTGTTCTGGCTCAGCTCCCGGATCTTGAGGCTCTCAATGGTGTCTCTGGTGCCTTGCTGAAGGACTGCTTCACTTCGGAGCACCTGGACGAAGGATGGAACGAGGGGCCTACTGGTACCAAGTACTTCGTGGACCTGGGGAGGGATGAGCAAGGATGTAGACAGCTCCGGACCAGGATGTTCATCGGGTGGGAGGATCCGGGGACGGGGAGTGCCTCCAGTGCGCTGGCCTGCTATCTTGCGTTGAAGGAGGCGAAAGAGCTTGGCACGGGCCCGTTCCACTATCACATCGTGCAGGGCGTGGAGATGGGGCGGAGAAATGATATCTACGTTACTGTGGAGAGGAACGAGAGTCGGGATCAGATCTCTGATGTTCTCTTGCGCGGTACTGCGGTGCTGGTGGGTGAGGGGCAGATCATGCTATAGGAGACTCTACTAGTCCACTAAAAACAAGCGGCGATTCCTAGCTACCAAGACCTTCACAAGCACTTATAAGAGCCATAAAAGAAACAGAGGTCAGTCTTGTATTGGGCTAGAAGATAGTTATCTGTAGCAACGGAAGTGAGAACAGGAAATCAGACGCAAACGATAGTGAAATATTGGTGGTGGCTCGATATTACCGGAGAGCATTGACGCCCCACAGCATCATATCAGCAGAAAGAGCAAGATGCCATCAGATTCGACAAAAGATTCCGCAGTCTCGAGCCCTATTGGGTTGTCTGGCTTCGCTGACTGAATGGTGGAATCACTGCAATGATCGCGGCACAGGAATACTGCGTCCCAACACCAGCCTCGTTTCCGTATACGACATGACTGAACGCCATCTCTGAGTGCTTAGGATTGTTGAGCCAAGTGATACCGGGAATGTATAGGAAAGGCCAGGCGCACATTGCGGTCTAGATAGTACGTGAGTTAGCGCAAGGTTTCAATGGCGGACACTATATTGGAAGGCAGTCACCTGGTCCAGGGATTGATCGTAACCATAGTCTGTAGTTGTATATGCTCGAAGCTGTGGAGCAACGCGGGCGCCGTGCTTCATATAGAAGCCAGCTGAATCGACTGAGCCTCCCCTAGACCGGATAATCTCGGATGCATATTCCATTGCTGGTACACGCCGTATCAGCAGCAACGTTTTCCAGCGGCGATCGATTTCATCCTGGCTAGCATACTCCGCACCCAAGAATTCCTGACAGCGTAAATATTGTAGCTTGTCGCCTTTGAAGTAGCTCAGCAGAACATGCTCTTCTAGGTAAGTTTCATAGTCATCTGCGGTCCCATCTCGGCGCAAGATTGGTAAGACGTTGACCTGGGCTCCCAGTAATTTTAGTACCGAGTATACCACGAGGTCAGCACCTTTAAGCGCTCGTGGAAGCCGAGCATCTGCATCGTCACTGGCGTGCGCGTAGGCGTGAGAGCAGAACATACCCAAGACACCACCTACGTCTCGTCAGCACAACATAGCTTCGTTGGGAAGTAGAACATTCAACAATACTCGGATACAGGTCCGTACCTTGTACCATAAAACGAGGGTTGGATAGGATTTCCTGCATTGCTTTATACAAGGGGAAGGCTTGCGGCTGTAGAACAGGGCTAGCTGTGTCCGGATCTGCGCCCGGAGTTTCGGTGATATACAAGTTATATGTCAACGTCAACCGATGCCCTTCCGTGACCTTCTCGATCTCGTGCTCGCAATCGCTATAGAAAGCTGCCCATTGAATTGCAGATCTGCTTGAGCCACTCCAATCGAAAGCTGTCTGCTGGCCGCCGTGTCGCACAGTGAGCTTACCGCCAGAGAATTCGGATGGCAAGCAGACCACCAAAGAACCAATCTGACTCTTTGACCGTGGCGTATCGACATGCGCGGCAAAGTGGCCTGAAGGGCCTGAATAGATCTATAGTTGTAGTCAGTATTCACCTGCATATCAGAAAAGACATGGTCACAAACATTCAACTTGTACAGTTCTGCGTGCAGTTTTCTGAAGTGTAACGCGTGGTCACACTTGTCGCTAATCCCCGGCATTAGAACTTGTTCAATCAGCTGCGTGATCCCGAAGTCTGCTGGGTGGAAGCTGGAAACAAAATTAGATGGCTCCATCTTCCCAGCCAGCCGATAACTGGGATCCAAAATATCTTCTCCGCCCCTGCCAAAGCTTGCAGGCTGGCAGTCCGCAACGAGGTCACGCAAGGTGGCTGAACTGGACTGTGGGGTCGCTTCTTCCAGGGGCAAAAACAGCCTTCGAGCGGTGGAGTCCTTTTGAGTGGACCAATACACTTGGACAGGGCCTGTCGTCTTTGGGTCCGACTCAAGCATTTCACCGACCAAGTCCTTGTTGACAGAAATAATACCACCACAAGCAAATGATGCTGACTGATTCTCGCCCTCGATGGCAGATTGTAGTTGCTTACAGGCCTCGGTGAAATACATCGCCCGTGCATTAGCCTCTTCTGTTTTCTGATCGTTTCCAGTGCCAGGAAGCCGAACCTCTTCGGAGTCAATCAAGCTATTCAAGAGAGACTTGATGTGGCGGTCAGGGGTATGTCTGTGATCTTGTTGTCTCCACCAAGAATCCGTTGGGCGTATTTCCTCCAGGCGGGCCATGAAGCTTTGATTAACCGAAACGTCCGTCTCAGTGTCGAACTCATCGGGAAGAAGTCGGGCGAGAGTTTGTTGTAATTCGGCTTTGAGCCCCTCCACCTTCTGAGCAATTTCACTGGGGAGGGATTTGACATCCGGCCATCCGCGCAACCAGTTCGCAGACTTCTCTCTCTCCATGTCTGCGGGTTTCAACGCGTCCAGGCTTTCGCTAAACCACCCGACGCACGCATCTAATTTGCATCTCTAGTCATTCCTCGTCAGCTTCAACCTAACGTGAAATGAACCAACAGATTCTCTTGGGCATCGTGCACTGTGCAGTACACCCAGGTCTCACGAACATTACCGCCCGGTTTGTCTAAGGGGAGGTATAGGAAGTAAAGTGGAAAGACGGTACGTACACGGATCATCTGCGCAGAGACTTCACCTTCCAGGTCAGTCAGGGTGCGCGTGAAATCGGGAATGTCCTTGTGTAGTGTCTGCGGGCTCGGAGAGTCTTGAGCATCACTGGATTCATCGTCCATGATGGAAGTCTCAGTACAGTGAGATGGTTGGGAATTCGTTGTAAACGACAGCTTCTGAGAAGGGGAATCTGAGCACGGAAGTCTGGCAGGGGACAGTCTGAGAGAGATTCTGGGCAGAGTTGGAAGGAGAAGAATGTGGGTTTAAGTACGTCTGGAGTGTGTTGCCATGCGATCGAAGTGAAGTCAACAAAGGGAAGACGAGGAAGAAGGAGAGGGTCACTTAACTGCTGATGCCTGGAGTTGCCTGGAGATGGTGCGTAAAGGTGCCTAAAGGTGCCTACAGTTCCGCCTGCAGTGTAACATACACACCATAATCTAGTCATTCTCTGCTATTGTTGATCTGACCTCTAGCAATCCATTGACTCTACTCACCAAGCAAGGGGTTAGGCATTCAACGCAAAATAGGCTGTAGGCAGCTGCTGCAGTGACCACTGCCCCATGAAACCTTCCCAATCCACTGGCTTAACATCTGGGTACTTCGCATTATCCGTCTCAGGTCCAATAATTGCCCGCCCATTAACCCAATAATAGTAGAAGAATCTAGATCGCGCATGGCATCGTCAGCGAGAGCTCTGAGAGAGCTTACAGTCCAAAATGGGGATCCATACAGCGACATGTAACTGTAGATAGCCCCAGGGTTCTCGTCCCGCTTCTGGTCCATGGCCTGGTACAACTCGACCAAGGAACCCAATCGCTTGAGATTGGCCTTAAACCCAGAAGTTTTCTCATAGGATTGTGCGATCCCACGAATAGTGGCCCAGCCACCAAGGACTATATGTCCAATTGAATTAGCACGTAACATTCATCGGTCGTCGAGCATAAACAACCGAGTACATACAGGGAAGAATGCCAGTGGCCTGAGGATCTCGGATAACCGCAGCGGTAAGCTCGGCCGCGTTGTCGTAGGTGGTGCCCTCCATGTATTCGTCGCCCTCTCCCCAGTAGCGAAATATATGGTTTTGAGTGTCGAGAACATTGAAGAACGGGCTGAGCACAGGCTTCATGAAGCCTCCAATTAGGATGTGCACGCCTTGAACTTTTGCTGAGTCTCCAGGTAAGCCCTGACGTCAATCATCGGGTCCTTCGGAAAGAGCTCGCCCAACTTAAGGTATAATCCAACGCCCAGTCGCTGGCGACGTAACGTGGCACACCAAGTTCTTCACACGCGTCGATCAAGACCTTCTGTCCTTCCACCATGAGTTTGTCATCGCCCAGGTAGCAGCACACAATCACGTCGCAGCCCTCCGCGAAGGACCGGACAGCCGCCTTGTCGAATGCCTGCCCTTTGAACAGGGTCACATTTCCTGCAGAGGCGATGGACTCGGGAACTTTGCTTGGGTCACGGCAGTAGCCACGATTGGTGAGGTCCGACTGCTGCAGCAGATGGCTGACCACCCGACCAGCGAACTTATCCGTGATACCGGCAACGCCAACAGTGAAAGCCATTCTGTATAATGAGAGCTGAGTTGAATGGAGTTGAAGAGTAAGAGAGATGTTAGCTTGAATGGATATTCGGGTAAAGAATGACCTTCCTATAAACTTTTGGGTGGGGACCGGGACAAGCATAGAGGATGTTGACTGATGCTCGTGGTTGAGCTCAACCCCGACGACGTCTCGGTGGGGATGCCGGATTACTCAAATAAAGAGCATTTTCTGGCTGACAAAATTCATACTTGCCTCAGACCGATCGATCGAGGTCCCTGTCCTCCATATGGATCAGAGTATCGACCCCGTGAGCCAGTCCAGCGCGGAAATGGGGCCACTGTACAGTTCCGCCAGGCTTGGATCAAGACCCAGTGCAGATTCCGGCGGTGGCGTTAGACCCATACCACTTGAACTGAGGCCTGCATCATAGCCATCAGATGCGGATGAGCTCTCTATCCAATGTGCTGCAGATGCTTGTAGGCGGGGAGCTTGCGTGCGGCTGGGAGCTGAAGCTGTGGCTTGATGCGACTTCTTTCTCCTGGAATAAGCGGCACGTTCCATCAGCCGCGACAAGGGCTTTTGAAGCATGTCATTTGTTTCCACATCTTCGTGCAACCATTGATTGTAGATCTGAGTCACTGCCTCCCAGGCATGGTCCGTGTCGGACGAAACGGGACGATTGCATAGCTCAGAAAGGAGATATGCCACGACGTGTCGATGCTTGTAGCTTTTGCTAAGCCACGCCCACTGAGAAATCCTCACGTCGCTGTGAAGCAGGTTTGCAAATTTGACAGTCTCTACCGCCATGCGAAAGATCCCATCATTTGGAGCGGTCGGTCCTGCTGACGCGGTCAGGCGAGTTACTAACCACGCCTTCGATAGCGTTAGGCGGGCAATCACGGCCGTTATCCACTGTATAGGGCTGTCTAAGTCTAGTCTCTGCAAGTATTCTGTCTCGAGATAGGCTTCCAGTTCAGACAAACGAGTTTCTCTCTGCTCCAAAGACATCGCACCTATGCTAGTTTCAAAGGACTTGCTTGGCCAGTAAAGATGCGTCATCATTTGACAGTGAATGATGCAGAGCGTGATATCGCTGAAGCCCAAGCTTGGGAGTGGCATGGTGTCCATTTCCGGTCGCAGGACTTCGATGTCAATGTTGGAAGGGATCTTGGTATTGGACATCTCTGGTCGGATCTGAGTGTCCGTTCCCTGGTCCTCTGAGCAGAGCATGTCGAGAATACAGATATGCCACCATAGTCTGCGGCGCATCTCGATCTCGTATGGGCTAAGGCCCAAGGGCTGGCCATCACGATGCACCCCCTGCCGCTGTGCAACCCGTACCACTATCGCACTTTCCGCCCAAACCAGCCTCGAATCGCTGCATCGACGAAGACATAACAGGAACAGTGTCGCGGCTTGCAAGACACGAACGTCTTGAGTGCTAATTAGGTTTGCCTTTGCGATCGCGTGCTCCGCGGAACGTCTGTAATTCTCGATGCAGATATCATGGGGCTCGTCGAGGAGTAAGATGCATTGTTGAGCTGTCATACTTACCACGGCCGCGAAGCAAACAGCCGAGACGAGGGCTGCTTGCTCGGGGTCTAGGTTCTCCATATCCTGTGCAGCCTCGACCATTAAAGAGTCTATCGATCGTAGGTGCAGTAGAGCTATCATAGGCGCCACATTCGACTGGTAAATCTCCCACAATGCCTGCAATTGAGACACGGGGAAAGTCTTGAGCGGGATGCTCGGACCTAAGCCCTCGGTACTGTGGTCTGACCTCAGAAATCCTATTGAGGGCACTGGGATGGGACCCTTCATGCGAGTGGAGGTATGAGTGTCACTCTCCTCATCGGAGGACTTATCACAGACTTCCTGCAGCTCTCGAATCTGTGTGAAAATGATGAGCTCGCGTCAAGAGAACTCTAGAGACAGACCTACCTTGTCGCCCAGGATCACCGAGGCCTCGTCCCCAACGTAGCGAGTCCGACCTCCCTGCACCACCAACCGGCCACGAGAAGTGGTGACCCCTGCATCTCCACCGTTCTGAGGGCCAGGGGCGATGGCATTTTCAGAAAATTGATCCAACTGCGCTTCTGACTTGACTTGCGATCGCAGCCTATGGACTTCAGCCTCCAATACTTTGAGATGGGCTAGAATCTCGGAGACTGGAGGGCGTCTCAATTTCCGTGGGGCTCGCTTTTCTCCGGGATGGACGCATTCCAGGCCAGCCTTCACGCATCGGCCGCAGGGGCTCTGCTTATCGCAACCTACTTTTCGTTGATTGCATCGCACACAACTCCGTTTGGAACCGCCACTGTTCTTCCTCTCGGATACGGGCGGCATCCTCGCGGGGATAAGAATCTATGTCGGAACAAGTTCAATCATGGAGTGTTGTTGCTGTTGAGTGTTCTTATCTTTGTTCATGAGCTTCCTGGCAATTCACGCTAGAAATCGGAGAAGCTGGCTTCGAAACAGGGATGAAGCCAGGGATGCGAGAGCATAAAAACAGCGGGGTGGGAGACTGCTGAGTCAGCAACTCTCCGCCCGCTGTCACTCTCTGCAGAAGGTGGGCATAACTATCTGCATAACATGACTGCAGTAACCAACATGCACAAGGGGCATAAGGGCATAATCTACTCCTTATGCAGTCTTCCTCAGCCCTTATCAACGATGAGATACTTTGACATTGAGTGATCTTGTAATTTGCTTGTCTTTACTTTGCGCTTCTAGTAAGATACCTTCAAACAAGGATGCATAATAGTGTCGAATTAGAATTACTACGAGAACATGATTAGAGGAAGTCCAGGTATCCAGCAAGCATAATATACATGAATCGTGCAGAAGGTTTTGCAAAACAGAGTCCAAGTACCCCCATCATCATTTCATCTTGAACTCGCTCTCCGTCTCCAACCAAGTCCCAAAATCCTTCAAATTGGGGTGCAAGCGCTTCAACTCGGGGATATCAGCCTTGTACCCCTCATCGTGGAACCACTTGAACATGTATCCCATATCTTTCATCGACGCCATGAACAGCGAGCAGAGTGCTCGAAAAGTGGACGGCATCCATTGTCCCGTCTTTTGCTGAAAGATCTTCGCCATCTGATCGTAAGTGATCTCATCGCCTGCCAGTGAGAGATCCCTCCCTGCCCATGCTTCGGGATGCAGGAAACCGTCCGCACCAAAGTATCCGATATCGCTGGTAGCCACCAACTGCAACGGCTTGCCCTTGAGCGCCATCTTGAAGCACGTAGCAAAGACCTTGCCAAAAAGTCCGGGCACCAAGTTCTCGAAGAAGGCTGTCGGGCGCAGAATGAACCACTTCATCTCGGTGTTCTTGGACTTCTCCACCAGGTGATGCTCGATGTTGTGCTTGTGTTGGAAGTGAGGAATATCGGTCGGGTTCCTGAACGATGCATCGCCGCCTCGATCCACGGAGCTGTACACGAAAAACTTCACGTTTTGCTTCAGCGCCTCGTCGACCAGTGCCTTGCCTTGGGCTTCTTCCTGCGCGCCATTTCCGATCGCGACCTGTTCGAGACTGATTAGCGCGACCGTGGTGGATGCAGTCTTGAGTAATGCTTCACCCACCTGAACACTGAAGACACCCCAGATTGGGGCTTGGGTTACTTTGTGCGCATTGCTAAATATCCCGGCCGGGTTGTCCAGATTGCCCTCGACTAGTTTGATCTTCGAAGATAGTTGGCTGAGTCGCTGTGCTGATGTGGACTGGGAGTTTCGTGTGACTGCCAGGATTTCATAAGGTGCATTCTTGGTGACAAGGCTTTTAATCAACGAGCCTCCTTGTTTGCCTGTGGCACCGGTGACTAGAATTGCCGTCATGCTGATGAGATACTTTTGCTCGGTGATGTAGAAACTGAAGTCGCTGTTTGATGTGTGTACTGAATTCTACTGGGTCTGCAGGTTGTTGGGGGGTGGTTATATATTCTCGGTTGGCTCTGTGCACGAGACTGCGACAAACTCCATGTTCCAGCAGACAATAATCGAGAGTAGAAGGTTAGAAATCAAGAGGATTGGAAATCATAAGAGCCAGCGAAAAAGAACAAAGAAGAAGAAAATACGAGGGTCTGCGTAGAACCCAGGCCTGGTGACCTCATTTGAAGGTTCGGGGTTGAGATCAACCCCGAGCTGATTCATCTTCCATCTCTCTCGGTCGGACTCTGCGAAAAGCCGAGAAGAATGGTCAATGACTAAAGTTCTGCTGAGTTCCAAGTGCTCGCTCGGTCTTACTGCGTCAAGAATGCTTGTTATGGACCTGTACGACAGGGGTGCTTCCACGTGACGTGCCTACCCCTCATTGGTCAACCCGAGAGCGATGATGGATCGGTGCATACCTTACCTTAAGGTACAGTACCTGGAGGTAGTATTGAGGAACAGCCGGAGTTGGCAATCCTTTCATCGATTAGTTGCGTGCTTGTACTTGGCATTTTTGAATTGAGCCCGTAGAATTGAGACACCTTAGGCCGTGTCAGGAATCTGTTTTATCCTGTTTGGGTAGTCTTCTCTCTTTTTAAGCTCGATGAAGGGCGATATCTTATGTACAGTATGGAGAGTGTCTCCGGATATCTGATTTAATCTCTCATACACATTGCTGATCTGTGCTTACGGAAGGTGTCTTCATTTATCCCCCGACGATTTGGGCTCCAAGAGTCTTCTAAGGGGCCCTTAGTTGGGGGCACCCTACAAGTTGCGATTGCCCACACCAGCTAGTCTACGAATTCTGCATTCTTGTTACTTCACAAAGGCTATGATCCTGCCTGGCGAACTGCTTGCTTGGCTCATGGCGTAAACAAGGTACATGCGGTAGTATCGAGGGACTTTCTATTGTTCGCATCGATCACAATGGTTGTTCACTCGGCAGAATAATCCGGGCGGATAGTCATTCCAAGGAGAAAACCATGCAAGTCAACCATAAAGTCCGAAGGCAATGGTCAGACAAGGATTTGTTGGCTAGTCCTGCGATTGAAATTAAATCCTGGATTTCTTGCCTGATATCTGGGCTACTGGACCCTGACAATGCAGGGCAGCCGGTGTACGGCGGACGATTGCGGCCATCGGGCAAATGAGTTTTTGCTTGGTGTTCTGCCGGCAGAATCAATACATTAAGAGGCCTTTCATCAAGCACCTCTTACCAAGCACTTCTCACCAAGCAAGCAAATAAGAAAATAAACAAGCGAGTGAGCAAGCAAGGCAGCAAAGCCTCTTACCAAGCACCTCCTACTAAGTAAACAAATAATTAATTAATCAAGCAAATATCTAAACAAGGCCTCTTACCAAGTATCTCCTCCCAGGAAGCTGGCTGACGCGGTAAGTAATAGCAGAATATACAGTCACGTGAGTACTCTTTACCAAGACTGAATCTCATCTGATTGATTTTTATCTATATGTCTATATTAAGTAATTAGAACCTAGTTCTTATTTAAAAAGCGGTAAATACAGCGGTCAAGGGACTCACGAACTCCATTTACCCGATGGCGGCAATCGTCCGCCGTAGTCGCACGTCGTCGCACTAACAATTGATCCAAGCCACTGCGCTCCCAATCAAGCGGCTCTCCTTCAGCTTTGGCCCCATGAGGCCCCCAAAACTGGTTCTAATTATGGCTGAAGAAGTGTTTCAGAAACAAGCACAGCCCATTCATGGTCTTCCTGCAGAAAAAAGGACACATGCTGGTGTTGGCATTCTTGCCCCCGGGCAAAGAAACGTCGACGTGCCCTAGACTCGGGCTCAACGATAGTACTAAATAGCCCGCACACCCCGACCTATTCATGCAATACATGCAATACATCTTCATACTTCACCAACAATCATGATTTTCTCTGTAAAGACCTCTATAGCCTCGCTGCTACTTATCCACGGCACTTTCGCCGCCACCCACTACCTCAGCAATGCCAAAGCCGCCGTGACCACCCTGCAGAAATGGTATAACCCGAGCACCGGGCTGTGGGACACAACTGGGTGGTGGAACAGCGCCAACTGTCTCACCGTGCTGGCCGACTTCACAGCGCTGGATCCGAGTCAGCTCAGCCAGTCTGCTGCCATTTTTGAGAATACATACACCCGTGCCCAGGGATCAACGGCTGCACGGTCCTTGACCATCTCGCGAAGAAACCAGGCCCATGCCCGCAGCACCCCCCGTATCACCAGGAGAGCCTACCCCCGCTTCATCAACGACTACTACGACGATGAGGCCTGGTGGGCCCTCGCGTGGATCCAAGCGTACGATCTCACCCAGGACGTCAAATACCTGAACACCGCCGCCGACCTCTTCGCGGACATGACCACGGGCTGGAACGCCACCTGCGGCGGGCTGTGGTGGGACAAGCCGCACACGCAGATCGGGGCGATCGAGAACGAGCTCTTCCTCAGCCTGGCGGCGCACCTGGCCCGTCGCCTCCCCTCACAGGCAGGCTACTACAAGGATTGGGCGTCGACGATCTGGAGCTGGTTCTCGCACAGTGGGCTGATCAACGACCGACACACCATCAACAACGGGCTGGACCTGGGCACCTGCAAGAACGACGGCGGCACTGTGTGGAGCTACAACCAGGGGGTGATCCTCGGGGCGCTGGTCGAGATGTCGCAGCTGTTTGGCGACCTGTCGTATGTGTCCACCGCGCAGGAGATTGCCAGTGCGGCCATGAGTGCGCTGAGTAACTCGGACGGGGTACTGACCGAGTCGTGCGAGCCGAACTGCACGGGGGATGCGCCGCAGTTCAAGGGGGTGTTCATGCGAAACTTGAAGACGCTCTACAAGGCTTCTTCCAACGAGCAGATTCGGAGGTTCTTGCTGCGCAATGCGGATAGTATCTGGGAGAAGGATCGAGGCGATGATTATCAGTTGGGGCCCGTTTGGTCGGGGCCATTTTCAAGGGCGGATGCTTCCACTCAGAGCTCCGCGTGCGATGCTCTTGTTGCCGCTGCTGCTGTCAGTTCCTAGTTTTGGTGTATCTTGTCTTAGTGTACAGACCAATTGAGTCGCAATTCTATACTTTGATCTTTGGTTGAGGCTTAAATTTTCCAGCTGCGTATTGAGCGTAGTACGTTTAGGCAAATACTTTCAAGCGTTACGACACAGTAGCACGAACATTTCATATCGGAAAACGTTGGTAATTGCTCGATTTTGAGATGGCTTCAATATTTCACAGGACGTGCATAACGTGCCTTAAGCACAAGAGCTATCAACCAATGTGAATGATTACTAATCATGCATGATAGTCTGCATTTTGTGGTCTTATCAGTCCGTCCAATTATCACCGAAAATTGTCAGTGTGGTATACGCAAGGATGTCAAATTGGAAGGGATTCTTTCAGGTCGCTACTGTGCCTGGCTAGCTCATTGAGATGGTCTCAAAGCGAATGCCGGACCGGCAATTGTGGGGCATTCTCGTCTTTCTCACAATTTTTTGGGACCTGCTCCACAAGAACACGGGAATCGGTCTGTACATCTCAAAGTGAAGTATCGACAGAATTCACCCCAGTCACGAACCGTGGAGACCATTAAGAGAACCCCAAACCTGCTCCTTATCTAGGGACAGGATATGTTTGCCGATCTGGACCCGACGGCAACTGGAATGGCTCAAGCTTTGCCACGCGATCCGGCGATAAGACCCATCGCATTTGTGACGAGCCCTAATTGGCTCTCCAGCAACTCATGCCCAAATAATTGGCTCTGAGGACTCCAAACTGAGTAGCCCCACTCCTCTGCAGAAGATATGGAAATCGATAGTGTAATTTGATCGATCCGAGGGCGAAAAAAAAAAAGTTGGGCAAAACCCCCAGGGAGTTTGACGAGGACAAATTAGACAAGTGCCCACAAAGCAACAATCCACAACCAGCTGCCCAAGATGCCCTTATTACAATCCCCAGTGCACCAAATCCCCTTAGCGACACCCACAAAGCCGGCCGTCGCCGATGTCACCTCGAATCTAGGCCCGTGGATCCACCCTCATCTTGAACAGGGGGTGGTGCCGGTCAAGGGCCGGCAACTGCGGGCGTCGAAACCCATCCAAAGGGGCGAGCGGTTGCTGGTCGACACGCCCTACGCCGTCATTCCCGCGGTGGATGACCCCAGCACCAGCGACGCTCTGATGTGCAGTAATCCCACCTGCAACCGACGGATGCCGTGCAACGCGAATCGCATCGCCTGCCCGAAGACCTGTCTGGCAGATGTGATGTGGTGCAGTGAAGCGTGTCAAGCCGCGGATCATTCGCGACATGAGTTCGAGTGCACCTGGCTGCACCGGTTTGCAGCCTCCATTCGCTCGAAATGGGGCGAGTATGAGTTTGGGATGCTCTGGCTGATTGTGCGCATTCTGGCTGCGCGACAGCTGGAACTGTCGGCCGGAGAAAGTGATCTCGTTCTCAAGGGCACTGATACCGCTCATGGGCGTGGGTTCGCCCAGGGCTGGCAAGCTATGCAGTCCTTCTGCGGATCGGAGGACTCGTGGTCGCATGCCCAGGTGCGATCCTGGACCGCGCTCGTGAAGAAGTACCTTCGTGCTAGCCCGGCTTTGCCGCATAACCTGCCGGACAGTGATGTGGTCAAGCTCATCTGTCAAGAAGAAGCTAATTCGTTTGGCTTGTACCCCCGCGAAACGGGCCTGTATCCCGTCCCCCCAGATGCCCTCAACAGAGGCGAGCAGTTCGGTGCCGCAGTCTATCCCCGTGCGGCCATCGCCAATCATTCGTGCGGTCCGAATGTGAGTTCTAGTGCACGATGTAGATTGTGTTATTACTGATCTGGGAGTAGATAATGCATCAACCTGACCAACACGGTCGCATGGTGTTCACTGCGGCGAAGGATATCGCGGCGGGTGAAGAATGCTGTATCTCATATTTCGATTTGACGAAGCTCACGGACCTTAAAGCAAGACGCGAGCATCTGCAGACTCTGTTTCGATTCGTCTGTCAATGCCCACGGTGCCAAAGTGAGGAGCCTCCGGTAGAGGAGCCCGAATGGGTGGCGATGCCTTTTGGGGACGATGAGTAGACGGTGGGAGCGATAGGACAGGCTGGCACTGCCTTATATCAAAATTATAGCGACTTGTTAATAGACAATGCAACAGATATTAGCAAAATGAATGATCGATGCAGGATGAGGCAATCAGTGAAGTCATACCAAGACTGCAGCTGCAAGTCGACCATCGCATCCCTGCTCATAGGTCTGAACCCCGCTATTGCACCCCACCATCGCGCTTAAAGAAAAAGTGCACATATAAACGCCCACAAGGGACACCATCTCTGCAGAATGTAGAACAGACACAAAGTCGAAAGCAGGAACCGCCTGACATGCAATCCAGCACGACTAAAATCCCCGATACGGTGGTTGAGGAAGAGCGCGTGCTCTCGGCTGGGTCGCAGCATCTGCATCGCAAGCTGCGAGGTAAAGAGGTGCAACTTCTGGCGGTGGGAGGCGCCATCGGCACCTGTATGTCTCAGGTCCTTTTCTCTTTGGTAGGGTTGGGTACTGACGAGAATAGCTTTGTTTGTCCAAATGGGCGCGGTGCTCCCTAAAGGTGGACCGGCCGGACTGCTCCTGGGGTTCGTGGCCTATGGCACTATCATCCTGGCTGTCAACCAATGCTTCGGTAGGCTCAAGCAGTTTATTACGGTAATTCATTATCCTTGCTGATTTATCTAGCGGAGATGGTTTGTTTTCTTCCCATCCCGTCGCCATTTGTTCAGCTGGCGGGTCACTGGGTCGACGATGCCCTAGGCTTCGCTATGGGATGGAACTTTTTCCTAACGATGGGTGAGTGGTCACTCCCGATGATAGTGGCACTTCCATATCTCTAATCCTGCTTTAGCTCTTGGTATTCCATATGAAATCGTTGCGATTAATGTGCTCCTCACTTACTGGACTGATCGAATACCTGTGGCAGCAGTCGTGGTTGCTGTCATGGTTATATACGGGTATCATTTGCTGCTTCTTTGATTCCGCGACCGTGCTAATCCTCATAGCATTCTCAACACGCTGACCGTACGGTACTTCGGAGTCGCTGAGTTCTATCTGTCCATCTGTAAAATTGTATTGATGCTGGGTCTCATCTGCTACACCTTCGTGACGATGGTTGGAGGAAATCCTCATCATGACGCTTACGGCTTCCGCTACTGGAAGGATCCAGTAGGTCTGTCCTGATCGCCACCAAGCCAATCACTCACATTACTTAGGGCGCCTTTGTCTCATATCTCGTAGCAGGAAATACGGGACGATTCTGTGGAGTCCTGGCATGCATGATCCAAGCTTCATTCACGTAAGCTAATTAGATTTCCCAGCTCCAAATGTCGCCATGGCCAGCTAACATTATAACCTCCAGCATGGTCGGACCGGAATACATCTCCATGACTGCTGCCGAAGCAGAGCGCCCCCGAGTTATTATGCACAGAGCCTACTCCTCGTTCGTCTGGCGACTGATGATTTTTTTCATCGCAGGCGCATTATGCATGGGGATCGTTCTACCGTACGATGACCCGACCCTCGCCGCCACGATCGCAGGAACCCGTAAGGGAAGTGGAACCGGTGCAGCGTGAGTCCCTGACCTGATTTCACCCGACACGCGCTTCCATATTCATTCTCCCCAAAATAACACACACAACCCACACTTACAATCGATTACAGATCCCCCTACGTGATCTCCATGACCCACCTCTCAATCCCCGTCCTTCCCCACATCGTCAATCTGCTCATCCTCACCTCCGTCCTCTCCGCCGGCAACAACCTGATTTACTCAGCCTCGCGCACCCTGCACGGACTCGCCCTAACTCGCAAAGCACCCGCGATCTTCACGCACTGCACCGCCCGCGGTCTGCCCATCTACGCCATCCTCGTCACCATGGCCTTCTGCCTCCTCGCCTTCCTGCAGGTGCAACACACCTCCGCTACGGTGCTAAACTGGCTCGTCAGCGTCATCACCGCCTCTTATCTTCTGAACTACTTCGGGACGTGTGTGACGTATCTTCATTTCTACGCCGCGCTGAAAGCGCAGGGGGTGGATCGACGGACGTTGCCTTATCGCGGATACCTGCAACCGTACGCGGGATGGCTTGCGGTTGTCGGGACCGGGGTGATGGTTTTGGTGCTGGGATGGGAAGTATTCCTCAACGGCAGATGGAGTATTGAGACATTTATATTGGACTATGCGATGATTGCTGTATTTGTGGTGCTGGGGATGGGGTGGAAATTGGGGAAAAGGACTGGATGGGTGAGGCCGGAGGGGGCGGACTTGGGGGTCAAGGGGTTACGGGCTGAGATAGACGAATATGAACGTTTGGTAGGGCTAGAAAGATCGAAGAAAAAGCCGAGCTGGAGGTGGAGGGCTTTTGACAGATGGTTTGAATAGCCTGGCTCTTTTAGATCGCGGATATAGTTCTTAGTCAAAAGTCTGCATAATTCCGGTTGCGCGGCAACCCAACCAAATCTTCTTCCCATACAAAAATATATATAATTCAGATATTCTGTAATTGTAAGCAACGAAACTTAAAATTAGGCTATATACATCAATTTTCCGCCAAATCAAGCAGTTTGAACGGCGTTTCAAAGCCTTAATACTTCGTATACCACCCTTTTGCCTCGAGAACTGCCTCTACACGGTTTATCATACTCTGTACAAGCGATCTTTGGAAATCCAGCTTTATCTCGTTCTAAGAAAGATATAACGCCTCCCACAGTAAATCAGTCTTTATATCATCCCCCCCACGGTCGAATTCAAGCGTTGGATTCTGTGGAAAAACGCCTTCTTTGAGAGGAAACTACATGTGTTCTATCGGGTTCAAATCTGGTGAGTACGGCGGCCAATCCATGACTTCTAAGCTCTCTTTTATAAACCACTTCTTGACTTTCTTGGCTGTATGGATCGGGGCGTTATCCTGCATAAATATAAGATGCTCTGAGGCCATTTGATCACGGATTTCCGGAAGAAAACCCTCTAAGACCTTAAGGTAAGAGTTCGCGGAGTAACCAAACTTCTTTGCCTCAAAATCTTGCTCCAAACGAACCAATTCGGACCGTTTTTCACCCCAAAAAGCAGCCCAAACCATAACTCTGAGATTCTTGCCCTTTTGAACTGGTTGTATAAACTCTTTTTTCTACTTTTCGCTGTGGTGGTTAAGCCGGAAAACCCAGCGGTTTTGTTGGCTGCTCCCGAGCTCAACTGAACACTCGTCCGACCATATAATTTTACACTAATCTGTGTATGTATAGCTTTGATATTTGAGCGCCCAAGCAAGCCGTTGCTTAGCCACATCCTCCGTTAATCTCGGGTGTTTTTGGGCTTTCCACTTATTATATCCTGACTCCTTAATCAAGCGAGTTACCGTACTGCGGCTAACGGTGATATCGAGAGAATTAATCAACCTCGTGTATGTTTGGAAAGGATCACGCTTGATAGATCGAATAATTGACCGTTTGAGCCTCTCGTCAATCAATTTGGGCCTGCCTGAGTGCGGTTTGGATTGGTGACGAACTCGTGAAGTTGATCGATATATGGTTGCAAAAACGGTTTGAACAGGTATTTCGAGGGCCTTGGCAATTTCAGTCGGTTTTCCACCACCATCATATACTCCTTTGATATACGCCCGGTCCTCCGGAATCAGCTCCTGATTAGGAAGATAATCAAGGCTTAACGGAGTCAAAATACGTGTTTTCATGGTGTTGGTGGTTGATTCAAAAAGCTTCATCAAATCACGCGTTTTGGCGCGTTCCGCCCTTAGCGCGTTTTTATGCAAACTTTTGCCGAGGTACTGTACATACTTCCTCGGAAAATGACTATGCTCCAAAGCCTCGCTGTTTCCACCGCAAACCTTTTCCCATTAACCACATACTGTACAACTACAACCGCAGCCCGATAACTCATCGCATCACCTCCCTCAATCCCCTTGCGCAGCAAATCTTTTGTGTTTCTCCAATCCACGAAGCCTAACGCTTCGACATTCTCTTTCGTAATCAGCTTCTTCAACTTTCGGTGCACTGCCCATCAAGCTGAAATTCGACAGGCCCTATATATGGCTGCTTCTTTCGCTTGTATACCTCCTCGGTAGCGAATTGTCTCACTGCCTCACACAGATTATACTTCACCTTCATCTTCAGGCTAGGTGGTAAGGAGTTGGCATACTCCGTCAGATTGTGGTCGAGGAACGCAGGCCGTGACTCGACCTGAAACGCCATATCGATGTTATCACCCAGGTATCGGAGGAGGGAGTTTGCGAAAAAGGACTTGGTATAGGAAAACTCGGCTGTATGAAGCGGGTGACATTTCTCCGCAATGGCCTGGCGAGTTTCGCCGCTTAAGGAATCAAGCAGGACCGTTTGCCCGTCGGTTGGGTTGAGTGAGTTTGTCCAAGGGCCCAGAAAAAGTGGCGAGGTGCGGGGAATGGGCCCAGCAATCCGGGTGTGATTAAGGGCTCTCGCAGTGGAGGGCAGAGTAGATATCTTGCTCAAATCATGGCCTGGGAACATGCTTGCGTTGGCCTTTTGAGCTGCTTCAGCGTGCTTTGTTGCAGAATATTCGACCGTCATCCTGGAGTGGTCGGGTTCGAGGAGGGAATCATTCTGAGATAGGGAGCCGTAGCCTGCGAAGTGTTCATCGGCGCCTTCGCCTGGACAAACTCAACAATGATTAGCAGCACTAGTGGTCAGGCAGGACTAGGTGGGTGGTTGTATACCTGTGGCAACAACCCTGAAGCCAGCATTTTGTGCGACATCCGCCAGGGCGAGCTTGCCGGCACCATTTACGTCCGCTTGGGATGCTTCGCTGTAATTGACGCGCAGTTGAAGATGAAGCAATGCTGCTGAGAAATACTAGTTTGGCTTATCGAGCAGTCAGCGACGAGACTTCGCATCTTACCGAATGTTTGTTTAGTTGTCTGGTTGAATCGGTGGCCCAAATGACGGAAGGTTAAGTTTGAGCACCTGGTAACTGGCAAGTTGCAACTGAGTGAAGATGGACCGGTTCCGGCGGATCTTGGAAGAAGAAAGTCAGAACCGAGTGGGAACGGAAGTGCACAACAAAACAAAACAACACAGTGGCACATTCGGAACCGAGACCCCCCTGCACGGAACCGGTCCGAATTGATGCCATTCCCACTTTGACGTTGCAAGGCCATGCTGCCATTGGACCCTTTGAGTTCATACTAAGGGTACTAAGGGCAGTTAACGTGCACTGGAAGAGCAGCACGAGCACGCCTACTGTGGAAAATTATTCAACCGGTTCGATTTGAAGCCTGGCAGTTCAACTGATCGTCCCACGTCCCCGGCTCCACTCTCGAAACCTGGAGATGAAAGACCCTGCTCTTCCCTATGGCACCGTTCTCCGGGGTAGAAATAGAGCCCCGCGGCCACTACTGTCCTGGATTGCCTCGTGCTTCATCCCAACGCTGACAATATTCCTCTCTCGTTGATAGTGATCATCTGGCATATCTGGCACTATGTCGGCCAAGGAAGCCCCTGCAGCGGCAGACAAGGCCGCGTTAACCCGCACTGCGCAGGCTGTGGCTGCTCGCGAATATGAGCAACGGGGCTGGCTGGAGAGAAAAGTGAAGCCCAAGACTATCACCGCTCGATATCCATTTTAAGGGGGCGCCCTTGCTATATGCAACATGCGCCTTTGGTAGTTTGGGAGATGCCCTTTTCGGGTACAATTCTGGTATATCTCTTACCTACGGAAGTTCGCCATAGACAATGTTGATGTCAATCTTATCACAAAAATTATGTCAGGTCTCCTCGTGAATCCTATCTTTGTAGCTAGGTTCTTCAAGGACTACGGCGGCGCAGACGGATCGACATCCGGAGTCGATCCTTCGATTACCGGCATATCAGTCGCTTGTTTACAGGCGTCAGCAGCGGTGGGTGCCCTCATCGCCGGACGACTGGGAGACATTATCGGGCGCAAGAAGAGTGTGTTTGCATTGGCGGCTTCATCTACTTTTTCAGCGCGTTTATTCAGATGTTCGCTCCGGGATTGGCACCTTCATTGCCGGCCGCACGATCCAGGGCTTGGGTGTCGGGTTTCTCTCCATGACGGTGCCCATCATTCAGACGGAGATTGCTGCGCCGCATCGGCGTGGTATGATGGTGGAAATCGAGTATACCTTTCTCATTGCCGGATACATGCTCTCATGCTGGGTCGATTATGGATTCAACTTCCTCCTGCCAAGCGAGATGTCCTGGCAAGGATCGTTCATCATCCAGATCATCCTCTCGTTCATCTTGCTGGTCATGTCGTTCTTCCTCCCCTAATGCGCTTCCATATACAGCTGCTACCGTTGTCACCTGGTGGTTAGCGGATAAATGGGGTCGGAAGCCGTTGCTGATACTTGGAGGTGAGTGCCTTTCACCCCTTCTTTGGTTTGCTTATACTCTCTCGTTCTCTTGCTTGAGGGTCACTAGCTCACAATTTTACCCAACCAGGCATTGGAATGGCAGTACTGTCCAGCATTGTCTGCGCCTTCACCGAAGCCAATCTGGACATCCACACCCGCGCTGATGGCCAGTATGCGTTTGTGATGCTCTACAACATCGTGTACGGCTTCACCAGGGGTCCGATGCTGTGGCTTCTGCCCGCCGAGATCTTCCCCTGCGTGGCCGTAGTAAGGGTATGGCGCTGGCGACGACGAGTAACTGGGTCTTCAACTTCATCATCGGCATGGTCTCCCCAGATGCATTGGCTGGAATACATGGATATTTCTACCTCCTGATTGCCGGATTCTGTCTCTTCTCGGCCGGGCTGGTGTACTTCTACTATGTGGAGACGGCCAACAGTAGCCTGGAGGAGGTCGCGGAGTTGTTTGGCGATACGGCCTTTACGGATGCGGATGGGGAGAAGATCAGGGGTGTCTCCGAAGTAAGGACTGATCATGGCAAGGATATGGTATAGTCTGTGGCGATGTTATGGGGGGCGACTGGTTGCTGCTTGCATTACTGATGCTACTCTACGACGCTATGTAGTTGACTTGTGTACATGACAATTCGTCTTTTTGTACTAAGCAGAGCTTGGAATATAGGTATCATCTGCATGTATCTTTCGATTTTTATTATACTTGTCCCAGACCCCTCGATATAAATGAAACAGGACATGATACCCTCACAGACAGATCGAGATATATGTTTTCCGAAGCCTCCAAATGTAACGACATGATAGAGCCGTCCCAATTAAGCATCTTCGCTTTGAATGGCTAATTCAATAGCCTCAAGTTTGGAAAATATACTATAGTGTCAGTAGGGTTGCATGCCGGGGTATGTTGCGAATTGAGTTGATATCGTGGCATTGCTCTTCAAGCACTTGGGAGACTTTCGGCTTTATGTTATTCACTAAAACTATGTATAGCAGTACATCAACTAGCATCATTGGTCTAGTGGTAGAATTCATCGTTGCCATCGATGAGGCCCGTGTTCGATTCACGGATGATGCAATCTGATTTCTTTTTGTCCAGCCCATAAAATCCTCAACAAGCTGACAGATCAATACCGTCAATTATATCATGATAGCTAGCGCGTCAGATAAGGAACTTCTGCTGCTTTGTTATTGTTCTAAGCTGCGAACTGGAGAGCACCACTTATTACGCATACCGGGCACTATGTACACAAACAATTGAATGTATACCCCGCAAATTGCAAAGAACGTAGCAGGGCAACGAAATATTTCCCTTCTATTCAGGACTATCTTCTCTACATCGACGTCTCAGCTTTTCCTTAAAGATACATATTTAAACATCCCGGGCAGCCCTCTCTTGCTGCACTTATCACCACAAGATAGTCCAGACGTCGATCGATACGACTACATGAATAATGTCCTCCTATTCGTTTCACCCAAACCTAAGGCAATATGCGCTCTGGAGGCCGGAGGCTCTGGAGGGTCTCCGGGCACCAGTGAGACGCGTTTGGGTGGGGGATTTTCGCTGCCAAGTGTGTCATTGTAGCCACGCCCAAGGCGATCTCTTTCAGTGTCCTGAATGCTTTCACTGTTTTCACGGTGTCTGCCTCAATATGGTGCATCGTCAGCATATAGGACTGGGCATAGAGCTGATCAACGGATGTCTCGATTGTGGCCGGCCCTGGTGCGCGGAGATACCAGTGGAGCTCACTCCGCAGTGGCAGCGACAGAGATTCCCCTACGAGGTCCAGAGGGATTCTCGCAATGACTTCGTGTGCACCTTCCGCGGTCGAGATGGGAAGCCCTGCGGCGTCACCTCTGCTCTTTGGGCGGGATTTGAAGCGCATCATTGGGCTGTCCACGAAAGCTGCCCAAGGCCACTCAACCTGATATCACCAGAGCGATACTAGTTCTTCTGGTCGTCATCACGCGATGCAAAGGTAACGGAAAGTTGAAAAGTTATGGCGTTACCCGATATGAAACATGTTCTTCGTAGTAGATGTAGAAGTATCAATATCGATGGTAAATAGAATGTCCCGACCTCTACAGTAGAGGTGTAGACCACCCGATGCATATGTTGAGTCAAACGAAGGTCACTCTATCGTCCCACGCTTAGTAAAACCAAAGTCGGCATGCTGCACTCATGTGGCATATCAGAGATCCTCAACCAAAGAATGGCATGTTCAATGTCCATGGTCCAATGTATGTATCCGCAGGCAAATAGGCCAGGGTTCTAGATATCTCAACAAGAAAATAGATTCTAGCCAGGATGTATAGAATAAGTGTCGGGTGAAGGACATAAGCACTAACATGTAAGAGGGGCATGTATGACATTGATGATACCGCGAAAGACATCGAACCTTTCAACCATCCATCTTTGATATTCTCTGCCCGGACCTGGCGACTGAAAGGAGCGTGGTTGAAAAATGCCACGATATGTGGCTCGATATGCGAATACTGGTCCGGGTTTTGCTCCAAGATGCGCCTGATGTCTTGCAGGATATGTGTCCGCACAGCCTCGTCCGGCATCGGGTCCGACTTCCGCGTGCGGGGAGTGCTGTAAACGGCCAGCTCGAAACCTGGAATGAACCCGGGAATAAGGCTGTGCAGTTCCGGTAGATACGGAAAATCGTACTGAGTATGTGCCGAGCCCCGGTTGAAATGAATTGTACCTCCGGGGAAGCCAGTATTGTTGACGACCGCCACATTTTTCCGGTGTTGATGTATTTGCCAAACAGGCGTTGCTCTGAGGTGCTGAGGTTGAGCCAAGACGTCAGGAAGTCGAGCTTGGGGGGGATAGCGATCAGTAGCTTTTTGGCGAGGACATGCCTGGTGCCGTTGGGAATATACAGCGAGGGCAATGTTATAGTTCTTCCTGCTACTCCCATTTCCCGACTCGCGGGTGTATAGCTCGAGGGCGGTATGGTCGGGAGGGTCATAGGAGCTAGGCGTGAAAGCATCTTCGATCACATCGGATGGCACCGTTCGAAATACTTCAAGGACCGGTTTGGACAAGAAATCCCCCGCCCCTGGACTCGCCAGGTAGATGCTGGGCAGCGCAGCTTGGATTTCGTATTTCTCCACAAACCGTCCAAACTGCATGGACAAATCCCTGGGGATTGGTCTCGGAAGAAGTATCGCAAAATAACCTCGAGGAAGCGAGTGGAGGTTTCTCATTCAGTGGGATGCCAAAGCGTGCGAAGTCGCTCCTGACCCACGTAGTGTTGGGGAAGATTGCGGCGCCAAAGTCCATGGCATTGCCCGTGGTGGGATCCACATAAACATGGACATGACCACCGAGTCGGCCCTCTTTTTCGACAACAATCACCGATTTGCCCTTGCCCTTGAGATTGATAGCGCAGTATGTGCCTGACGAGTCACCACCAATGATGGCTACATCGCGCTTGATAGTAAGATCAACACTGACCGAGGTAGCTGACTAGATAGTATTCAATACCCAGAGCCATGTGAACATCAAGCACAGGGAAGATTGCATGGCTGGTGGCGGGAGGGAGACTCGTATCCGAGTATTCCGCAACTGCAAGACGTTGGTCGGTTATCATTCTTGGAGAGAACTAGAAAACGGGATGAGTATAATCCTTTGCGCAGTCTCGAATCTCACATGTATGCACGCTGACACTATTGATCAGCATGTGTCTCTAATACTGAATGGTGATGCCTAGGTACCCTGAGCATGAAAATCTTATTGTACTCCAAGTATACGTAACGAGCGAAAGCATGTCCGCCATCAACTCAGACGGGCCTTCAATCTATATGCTAAAGATCTAGCACTTGTATTTGTCCACAATGAAGGAAGCCATGCACTTAACGCTTTACCTTATCTGTAGCCACACGCGAGGAGGTGTAACCCCCGTATTTCTTGCGGGACATGAGGTTGGTTGTATGACCGACCTGCGGGATGAACGTGGTATAGTATCCCTGCCACGCAAGGAAGCATGCTGGCACGGTTCGCATGAAGACCAGAATATGCATTGTTTGATGCGTGGATGTGCATGGCATAATAATCTCCGATCCATCTGGCCGAGCCTATGCCGACTCTGTGCGTGCTGAATGACTTGTGATGATTCATGAGTGCAAAGATGACAGCATTCGCTTGATGAATATCGTCCATAATACTGCAGATGAAGACTGGATCGAATTGCGCACAAGTATGAGCATGTCTTTCTCAGGACAAGCGAATAGAAGATGATGAATGTAAGTCCTTGTAACTATCAGGACGAGCTGAGGCTCAATCTTGTCCAGTCGTCTCATGAGACAATCGATGGACTGGAAGCAGATAAATACCGGAACCAAGGAATGCAGCGGGGTAGACGAGAAGGGTGGAGGCTCTTCAACACTGACGATAGCAATATCTGAAACCCTTCTACCTGATGTCTCTTCTGAGAATAGAAACTCGAGAACGCGCAGTCGGTGATGTGTTGCCGGGCCACGTCAAATGCAGTGAATTCTGGCCCAAGGTGCCAAGTGATGCCTGATCATGGCCGCGTACACAGTCACAGTTTGTCTTGTCGTCATTTAGCAACATGACTGGGGCGGACACATCGATGTTTTGGTACTGGGTCAAATAGCCCCTCTGAGTACGGCTGGTGAGATGCTGCTCAGAATTCCAAATACGGAGTCCCAAGTATTTGAAATAAAGTTGAATTAGGTTCGGCAGAGCCTCTTTGCTGACGAAAGATACGAGAAAGGCAGAGAAAGTCTCATTTGTGTAGGGCTTGGCTGCGGCAACTGGCCAACTCAGCCTCCTTTCCCTTCCTTTACTAATACGCTGCAATTTCCCCCCACCACCGAGTGACTGACTCGACTGACTCCCTCATTTCTCGCTACACAACCAAAGCTCGACCACGTTGTTTGTCTGGGTAAGTATGCCAAGCCATATGACCCTGCAGGAGCTTCAAGCGACCGGATACAGACTGCGACGCTCCCACGAGAAGTCCAGGAATGGGTGCCTCAGGTGTAAGCAGCAGCGCAAGAAGGTACGCAAGGCTGATGAGCCCTACAGCCCTACTTGGCAATTTAGTGCTGACATCGAATTACCCTCCAGTGTGATGAACAGACGCCGAGCTGCTCTAGATGTACCAAGCGCTCATATGTCTGTCGATACCAAAAGTCTCACAGCGAGGCAGAGTTGTCAGAGCAGGAGTCGATCCATTCGTCTGTCTCCGACTTGCCTGTAATTTCAGCTTCAGGGTCGCCGGTCGGATCTTCGAATCATCGCTTCTCCGACCCCAGTCTTCTGCTTGGGGAACAAGCTGACTCTTTAGCACGTTCGAGTACGGACGACAAAAGACTGGGGTTAGACCCGTGCGTTCCAGCTCCCCTTGACGCCACCGAGCTCAGCCTCCTGGGCCATTACCTCTCTCACACTAGCCAGACCATCCCCTTCGACGATCTAGATCTCTACGCCCTGGCGGTCGGAGTCCCGAACCTGGCTTTCAAAAGTAAGGCTGTCATGTCCTCACTCCTAGCCTTGGCAGCAGCATGCAGGTCACACGACGTCGCCAAGCAGAGTCCGAACCCCCTGGACAGGCAGAGCCTCATGGAGATCAGCGAGCTACTCGCGCTAGCAGAGCGCCACCATAGGGCGTCTCTCCATCACATCCAAGCCGCCATGCAAAGCTCAGACTTATACGATAACGTGCTCGCCAACGCCGCGTTGATGGTGTTGTACGCTTCCGCGAGCCATTCCATCCGCGTCCATCTGGCGGCTACTGCAAAACAGTCCGGACAGCGACTGCCGAACGAGCTTTTACCACAGCACTCACAATGGATCTCGTTCACACGAGCTGCTCATACTGCATCAACTGCAGTCCTCAACTACATCGTCGATCCGGCCACGCTCAGCCCTATGATCGATACACGATTGAAACTCCCGAGCGCGAACCTCAGCAGTAAGGTCTTGTCGCCGCAGAACGGTCCATCCGACCATACCAAACGTCTCTTTCTTCCCATAGTTGCATCGACGTACATCCAAGCATTCGAGAGACTACGCAAGCGAGCAGAAACGACGGTGGCTCTGCTGCAGAGCTCCGATCCCTTTGCAAGCAACGACCCACAGCTCCACGCATCGCTGGAAACCGTGTCTATACTTCAACAATGCGCTTCTACTGCTCTATCGACAAGAGAAAGGGACCCAACCACGGAGACTTCGAGCAACCGGGCGTTGTCTTTGCACAAATCATCTCGAGTCTCGCCATGGGTGGCAAGCTACATGATCAGCGTCACATCTATGGAGGCGCCGCAGGCGCTGCGCCGGATCATCATGTCGTTCCTGAACAAAGCGCCCGCCGACTATCTCAGCCTCGTCCAGTCGGTGCTTGACGCCCCATCGAATGGAATGACCCCGGACTTCCCGGGAGCGAAGATCCCGTCGCTCACTGCGGCACATGTGCTCGCCATGGACATCTTTGCGCATTGGCTGGTCCTGGTAATGTTATTGGACGGGGTGTGGTGGATTGGGGAGATTGGGCAGTGGGAGCTTGGCCAGATTGTGTCTCTCATGAAGACGAAGAATCCGCTGGGCCAGTCGGCAGAGACGGGCGAAACGTGGTGGCCCGAAAGCATGTACATGGTTAAGCGAGAGCTCAGCCCCAAAGCCCACTGATGGATTTGGAATCACTCATGTATAACTACTAGAATAGGTCATTCGCTCCATGCCAAGTGTCTAGTCCACATCGCCGCCACGAATCCTCTTAACAGTCAGAGTAGTATAGACAAGACTGAGCATTCGGCAAAGAGCCTCATAGGCAATAGACTCTGCAGAACCATGGTGCACAAGAACCACTGCATGCCAAGGCCCGATTTAAGGGTCCAAGAAGGGAATACGCCCAAAAAGTGACACTATAAGTAGGGCTGAGGGGGATGGCGTATTACTAATACGCTCCGGCCAACCCCATACAGCAATTGCTACTGATAAGAGATGCAGTTGCGGCTGTGCAGTGCGTATGCGAGATGTCTTCTCACACGATCTGTATACTGACTTGGAAGAGCTCTTGGCGGACCAGTGCTCAGTTTGTGTGCTCGAAGCACAAAACTTAGAACTCTGAACGTATATAAACATCAAGCGCGACCCATGTCAATTCATCAACATTCAGCAGAACATCAGCTAGGAACACATCCAGTAGCAACATATTTAACAACTCTGATTCCTTCCAGCCGATATAAAAGCTCAGATCCAACTTCATATAGCCATCATGCATTTTATCTCGGCTCTTTACTCCGTCGCGGTGACCATCGCCCTTGTGCTCCCGGCCACGGCCGCACCCCAACCGATCACGAAGCGCGCACCGTCCGACCTCAGCTTGAATGCTCAACTGCGACTAGCAGACACGTATGTCTATCTTCGATAGCCGACCATCATATATATACCCTACTAACACATAGTACAGTGCCATTGAGCGCTATCAGCTCCTACCAAATGACAGCGACTTCGTCTTCAACTTCACCGGCAGCGAGGAAGTCCCGATCGCCAGCAGCCAGAACTGGCCAGCACTGGTAGGCGTCGGCGCCTCATTCAGCATCTCACAACTGCCGGGTACTTCCCCTACCATACCTTTTGCTAACTCTTCAACCACACCAACTAATTCACGTCCACAGCCTGCAGCATGAGCTTCCTCCACCTGCACCCGCGCGCCACCGAGCTTTTCGGCCTCACCTCGGGCCGCATCCTGTCAGAGATGGTGCCCCAGGCCGGCGTCCTCAACGCCGACGGCAAGCAGCGCGTTATCAGCGTAGAGCTCGGCCCCGGAATGGTGACCGTCTACCCGGCCGGCTCGTTCCACACGCAGGTCAACCCGGACTGCGAGCCGGCCAGCTTCGCGGCGGCGTTCACCTCCGACGAGTTCGCCGTGAGTCTGATCGCTGAGCAGACGTTCTCGCTGCCTGATGATGTGATTGCTCGCACTTTCGGGCAGAGTATTGCCGGGGAGGACATTGAGAAGGTGCGCGGTGCGATTCCGGCGAGTATGGCTATCCAGGTGGAGGAGTGTTTGGCTAAGTGTGGGAAGGAGAAACGTCGGGTTTGAGGGGTTGGGATTGGCTGGTAGATGGGAGGGTAGTCGGTGAGAGAGTCTGTGGGGGAATGTGGACACTTTTGTGCACTTTTGCTATGGACGAAACCACGAGGTAAAAGACACAGGCAAGGTGGTCAGCGATAGGGGGATTTTGAAGGTATTGGAAGGGGGAAGCTCGGAGGGTTGCTGAGAGGTGGATCTAGACATGCTGAGACGGGGATGATGCTTTTGCTTGTACAATAAAGTCTTGAGCGGAATCAAACTTCTCTGACAAGATACCTGAGCCACTATTCTCAACATCTACTTTGGTCCAGAACGCAATTTGATTGCGTCACACCCGCCATGATGTGATTCTGATGACAGTTGTAAAGCTGTCTGCTGCTCTTCATCTAAGGCAGTAACACCCAAATTGACCGTTCTCATAAGGTTCTTGGCCCCTGATCCGTGGAGCCCCTTTACCTCGGGCGAGGTCAACCCGTACACAAACTGTCTGGGAGACCCCGTCAACCGCGTGAGGCCCGGCCGGCACTTCGGTCTGTGGGATGCAGTCCGAATGATCCTGCGGGTGATGGCAGGGGTGATTGTCAGTTTGCTCACAGCCGGGGCCGGACTGGTCCTTGCTGTAGGGAAGGCGGTAGCAGTAGATGTGGGTGCAGCGGTAACAGTTCATGTGGGAGCAGTCTTTGATGCAGGGCAGCCACTGGATGCCAGATCACTGCGGCAAGTGCTCTGTTCAATCTTGGAGCGCCGTGCGCGCCGAGGGCTTCAAGCCTCTCTTTGGAGCTGGGGTCTTGGAAACAATTGAGCAAGAGCTCGCTACAAAATTAACTCAAGCTTCCATCGGCTATGATGGTAGAGAGGTCACGAACGTTGCTGACGAACAAGAGCCCATGGATCCGGGACACAGTCAATCCAAGTCCAGCCCCGCAGGGAGCCTGGGAAAGACAAGGGATCTGGCGTAAGCGGCACCACCGGATCGGCGTCCTGCAGTAGCGGTCTCAAGCCGCCCATCTTTGGCAAGGGTTATGCCACCTCGTCCAGCGCCAGACGGTCAATATCATCGTCCACTGACCAGATAAGCACTGCGCCATAAAGCCAGGGGAGATTGCGACAAAGAGAGGACATGCGCATTTGCAGAAACAGAAGATACTCCAGATGAGCTTACCCCAAGTACACCGGGTACCATTTGCTATTGATTGGGACAAAGACAATTGATGCCAATCATTGATGGCGAAACCCAGACCTGGTTAAGCAGAAAACGAGTGGCTGGACTGCAATGCGCATCGGTAATCCGAAGGTGCCTTGCCCTAGTCAAGCGCGACCGCGAACAACAAGACGAACTCCAGTCATAATTCATCCACGACATGGTATATAACAAATCAGTGGGGAATATCCTCATTCGAATCGAAATGTTCCCTGGCCCAAGGGCTTCGCAGGCGAATCGCTCGACCCTTATAAAAAAAGATAAATGGGATAGGCACGAGCAAGATGGCGATGAATCCAAGTAAACTCGATGCCCACTCATAATTCAACTTGTTATACATCTGCGTCGCGAATAGCGGAAATCCAGCTCCCACGATGTTACGCACGAGAATGACGCCCGCTAATGCTGAGGCCGAGTAGGTTTGGTAGCTGTCAACCACGTAGTTCAAGATACTGAGAATGACGATATACAATCCCGCACCAAAGAAAACCGAGGCAATGATCGGGACGATCCAGTGCACCGAGGAGTAGCTTGTCCATCCAAACCAGAAGAGACTGATGGGAATGAACAAAGCCCCCAGCCGGGCCATCCACATGCGGGCTTCGGGGACACTCAGACCATCGTGCGCAGCGACAGCATGACGATAGTAACGTTCTTGGAGAAAGTGAGCAGCAAAGGCGAGCAAGGGTCCGATGGCAATACCCAGGAAGCAAAGACCCTGTTGACCGACATTGAAGCCGTGGCCGTGGGGAGCTCCGAAGACGAGAGGGAAGGCCTCATTGAAGAGGTAGACAAGACCGTAGAGGAAACCGTTGAAGATGGCGGAGAAGAGGGTGATGGGTTCAGTGAACAGGAACCGGATGGGTCGCGTCAAGGTAATGCCCAGCAACTGGTGCAGCCCCTTACGGTCATCTCCATGAATATCGTTCGTAGATTCAGCAGAGCGCAGTCCTTCCTTCTCCATCTGCCGACAGATCTTGGCAGTCTTGCGCTGCAGTCGAATGGAATGGCGAGTTTCGGGGATAGTGAAGACCAGAACCATCCAGAATCCACCACTGATAGCCATCATGACCCAGAAGATCCAGCGCCAGCCCAGGTTGAGACCGATGTAACCGCTCATAACCAAGGCTAGGGGAGGACCAGCAGTACTGCTGAGGCCGTACACCGCCATGGGCCACCCACTGTGGTCGCGTTCCCACAGGTCACTGATCGTACCGCCCGTGTTGGTCAAGGGGGCACCACCGGCCAATCCAGCAATCAACCGGCAGACGAGAATGGTCCCGATGTTGGGGGCCAGGGCTAAGGGCAACTGGAAGATACACAAGATGAACCAGGAGACAATGTAGACCGGCTGGCGCCCGAAGCACTCCGACAAGGGGGCAAGTAGGACAGGGCCAACCGCATAGCCCAGGACGTAAAGCGACAGGCACAGGGTGGTGACCTCGCCCGAAACGTGGAAGTGATCGGCGATTTGCGTGGCGCCCGACGAGAAAGCCCCGCAGCACCAGGTGGTAATGACATTGAGCATGCTCACGAATACGGTGATGTACCACTTGCGCCAGAAACCCCAGCAGCGCGGACTGTCCGGGTCATGGTGGTCAAAGGTGATGCGCAGCGGCAGGGCGACGTTCGGCTGTTGGCGGGCGCGGATAAGTGCTTCCTCCGCGGTCACCACGACGGGCAGCGATTCGTGCTGCTCGGTCTTCTCCAGGTCCTTGTGGTTCACCGGGGCAGCCATGATGGGCAACAGGACGAGGAGGCAACGCGGGAAAAGACAGAAATCCAGAAACTGACTTTTGGGTGTTTGAGGGAGGAGTGCTTTAAAGCTGAAAGGACCCAGTCATGTCTGGCTGTCGGTGACGTTCTGCAAGCATTGCTGGCTGGCCGTCGTTAGATTCTCAGCCGGTGAACCGATGACCAAGTGGCCAATGAGTGGACGCGGTGGGTCAGCAGCATTTCTCCAGAATGTAAGGAAGGATGGAGACTATGGGGGTGAACCATGAATCTCCCAAACCAATTGACCTTCCATGTTCAAAGGATCAGGAAGCGAACTAGTTGGAGCCGGAAGGCGAGGAAGAATGGAGATTGGCAAGTTGGGGGAAGTTCAAGATTGTGGGCAAGTTGGGGACAAGTTTTGGCTGCAGGCGGAAAACAAGCCTCGGTCAAGCTTTCCCAAGTCGGGTGGCGTAATTTAGCCTGAATCCGGGAATATTCATTGATTGATTGACTGATTGATTGATGATGATGATTGATGCAGACAGAGATATGGGGCCGCTGAGTCATTCATGTTAACTTACCCCGGGGGGTCAAGAAAGTAGAAATGAGTTGAACCAGGTCAGGTGATCCGTTGTCCAAGCAAGCAGGATTGCCGACCGGGGCAGCCATTCTGGAATCTGCAATGATCGGTGAGCCGTCGTCGGCAGTCGGCATGAGAAGATGAGTGAAAGAATTTGCGAGATAGACTGACGGTCTAATACAGTCTGCAAAACAAACATTCTGTTACGCAATGCCTCAATGAACCCAATGCACCCATGACATTTTTCACAACTCCCCTCCACCTCCTCCCCAGTTCCTGGCTCGAGTAGCCTCTTAACGAGGGGTCCTTTGGTCTCAATTTCTGTTGGCTAATCGGCATTGTTCATCGTCATCGTTGCTCCGTCTTTTCCGTTTGGTCAATTCAGCCACAGCCCCGACTGCTTGGTTCCGCTTCTCGGCCTCTGCTGACTGATTCCAGTCTTGCCCTGCGCCGATCACGGCCTTCACATCGGTCCGACCCCTCGTTTCCATGTCCTCTCTGGGCCGCTGGAAGGTTGGCCGGTGTGATGGTGACTGTCACATAATAATAATCAGCCATCTTCATGCGGTGGGACAGCCTCTTCGTTCGTCCATGTCGTTCAGTGAATCCTCCGGCTGGTCTAGTGTCCAGTCCCCATCGACTCGAACAATGTCAGCCCACCGTTCATTTGAAACACAAGCCTGATACACACTCAGGTACCGTGTTGCCCTGCGGCCGGGCATCCTGCAGGTGGGCAGGATACGCGTCTGAGAACTTCCGTCGCTCAAGTATCACGAGTGTGAAATCGATGGTATGACAGCGCCAGACCGAGCGCCCGTACTTACCCAGACCAACTCAGGAAGTTACTCATGTCTCACTTGAAACCCCAGCCTTCTCCTCTCTCGGTCTGATCGTCCCTTGGCGGTGGATCTCGAGAGTCATGACACTGAGCGCAAGCGGATCGCTGCCCTTGCTTTGTCGCGTTGCATACTCCTCGCTTGGTATAGTGAAGCCTTTCGTGTAGACCGGGGTCGATGAATGCTTAGCGAGGCGCAGCGAACACGAAACATTCCTAACAGTACGGCATCGGCGCTTGGTCGTCGCACTCGCCATCAGAAACATAAACACAAACCTGTAGCAAACCGAAGCACACGTTAGAAATCAGACGCACAGAAACACAGAACCTCACGGAGTAAATTACCGGACCATGATCCCACGGTCAGACAGAAGCCTTCCACCGCAACACATGCACAACGATAGCGCGTTTATGGCCCGGCATATCCCTCAAACCTGGGTATAAAGGCCTGAACATCCCCCGCCTCAGCAACATCACCATCAGCACCACAGATACGAGTCAGATACAACCCACGACCTCAGCAACATGCGCTTCGCTCTCACCACTGCTTCGGTTCTTTCCCTGCTGGCTTTGGCCACGGCTCGCGTCATCAAGCGTGACATCCCCACCATCATCCAGGACTTGACTCAGGTCAACACGGATATTGGCTCTCTCAGCGCTGCCGTCTACAGCTACTCCGGAGGTTTGCCCGCCGCCCTCGAGATCCAGACTCAGGAGGCGGCCGTCGAGCACTCCTTGGATCAGGCCGCGGCTGACGTCAACGCCACCGCGGTGTTCACGATCTCGGAGAGTAACCGTGTGACTGAGGCTCTGACCCAGTTGGAGCCAGTCATGCGCAGCTCCATTTCCGCCCTGGTGCTCAAGGTGAGTTAACTTTCCGATATCTGCGAATTCCATAACATAATCTTGCACATGTTGCTCATCAAGAATACCTCCCTCAACGAGACCATGATACTGACGAAAGCCCAGCGATCCCTCTTCATCACCGCCGGCGTGGGGAGCACCATCCGGACCAATCTCCATGCTCTCAGGGTCAAGACCGATGCCTTGTCCGTGGCGCTGCAGGCCAAGGCGGCCGGACCCGACAAGGAGACCATTCGTCAGGGTACCGGTGATGTTGACGATGCGTACGACAACGCCATTGATGCCTATGACATGCAGATGTGAGGACATCTGCTGCATAGCCAGACAGCACCATCGACGATCGATGCTGAGCAGTTCGTAAGGCGCCTGGGGATGGATGGAATCATTGGCAATCGAGACATAGTAGTAAGGTAAATGGAATGCAAACACTGTTAAGGCAAGTTGCTTGCTCGAGTATCGCATGGAAGTAGGGAAATTGGCCTCAATTGTATTTCAAATGCTTTCAAGTCCTATTTGCCGCATCCTTGAATTAATGCCAATTCGCGGCTCTTCCTCGTTGCAACATTCTTCACGACGGGACATAGGGTCACTAGGCTTCTGTTCGAGGTCGTTGGAATGGCACGTAGTGAAATTGCAAAAAATCTCGGATTAACCCCAGACAAAGATAGCCCATTAAGCCTATCGCTTGCTAATCGGATACTTCGCCGCCTGCAGAAGCAGCTTGGACGCTCAACACGAAGTGTAGTTCCTTGGCTCATATGCATCGAAGCGCAGACTACCTCAGGAGCCTTGAGAGTGAAGTACGAACGGGCTTCCAGTCGTCTGTGCATAATTGTGGTCCGATGCTGCTCTTCTGAGTCGTGCAGTCTTCAACATGGCGTCATGTCGCCGTGGCTGAATCGACCCACGGTTGAAGTGGAGTGGCTCTGTCACCTGTCAAAGTGTAGCAAGCAAGGGGGAAGTCGGGTCCCGGTCGCGTTTCCAACATCGGCCAGCAAGGGGCGGTTAATTTGATTCTTGATCCTTGATCCTAATCGAGTTGAGTTGTCGAGCGAGGCAATCGTTCACTGTTGATTTCATAAATGCGCATGATAGCGTCCCCTGCAGTGCACTGCGAGGATAGCCATTTACTATACGTTGAAAATGGCATACGCGACAGAAAATGTGGCCAACACGAGGGCTCTTGTCACTACTCAGCCATCATCATCGGAGCAGGAATTCCCGGTCAGCTTCATCCGGTGAGAATGGTTGGTCGCAATCCGGCTTAGCAAGATAGGCGTTTGCATGGCCATAGATCTCCTGCGTGGAACACCGATGACAGACTTTCTCGTTCTAGAGAAGAACAGCGGCCTCGGAGGGACATGGTATGAGAACCGGTACCCTGGGTGCGCATGCGGCAGTAAGCTGGCAGATGACACTGGTCATACACGATCGCTCATGATGATCCAGTCCGCATCGCTTTATACAGTCTCTCATTTGAACAGCGCAGGAATTGGACCCGGGATTATGCTACCCAGAAAGAAATGCTGGTATGATCATGTGCGATAGTGAGACACCGACCGTACACTGAGCCAATTGACAGAAATACCTTAAGGATGTATCCCAAAAGTGGAACGTGCCTCGATATATCCGCCTCAACTCAACCGTGCTTGAAGCGCACTGGGATGACCACAAATTACAGAGGAGGTCCAGGTTTCCACCCATGGCCTTCAGGGTTCAGTCCAGCAGACATACCAGCTCACGGCCAACTTCCTTGTGTCGGCAGTTGGACAGCTCAATACCCCTACTGTCCTCTCATTCCGGGTCTTGACAAATTTCTGGGGATCCAGATGCACTCCGCCAGATGGGATAGCAGCTATGATGTAACCGGCAAACGGGTTCTCACCCTGCACCCGTGATATGGAGCACCCGCTGACAAGACACAGGCGCCTCGGCCGTCCAGATAGTGCCTGAACTGGCCAAGACTGCGTCGCAGCTCACAATCTACCAAAGGTCTCCCAAATGGATTGTCCCTCGCAAGGACCGATCCATCAGCCGAGCTGAAAAAAATCTTTTGACCTGGTTTTCGCCCTTACGCTGGTTGAAGCGCGCGGTGCCGATGTGGCTTCGCGAGTCCGTCCATGCTTATATCACGAACCCGGACTACTCCCAAACACAGATTGACTGGGTTCTTCGGTGGATGAAGGCTCGTGTGCCAAATAAGCCGGAGGGGTGGGATGCACTGACCTCGAGATATCCGCTGGGATGTACACGCATTCTGGTCTAGGATGATTATTATCCGGTGCTCAACCAGCAGCATGTCGACCTGGAAACTCGGCCCATTCAGCGGGTGACGGCAACCGGGATCGAGGTTAAGGGGCCGCACGTCCGAGAACTCGATTTGATAGTCCTCGCGAGGGGGTTTCAGACGGTAGACTTGCTATTTCAATGCGGATATACGGGGTGATGGCCGCCCATTGCAGGATATCTGGAGGTCGCCCAGGCGTATGGAGGGGTAGTGGCCAAAGATCTCCCGAATTTTGGGATACTCTATGAGCCCAACACGAATCTCGGTCAGGGAATGTGCCGGCTCGGAAGGTTCAAGTACTCCCTATCCAGACCACAACTCGATCCTTCATATGGTGGAAGCTCAGTCGCGGTATCTCCGTACAATGATTTCAGCTGTTGTGAGAGCCCGGCCGCAGGGGCAGACCTTGGCACTGCGCAACCGTCCTGATGTGCTTCAAGCATACAATGAGCAGCTCCAGAGTCTTTTGATAAGGACCACTTGAGCCGACCCTCGCTGTGGCACTTGGTACAAGAACGAGAGCTGTCGCAAATCCAATGGGAAGATCACATCGTGGAGGGGAGTGCCTCTAGCACGGCAAGTGGTCAGTCTGCCACTTATATCGACCGCATGCGGCGAATCCCGATGAGTGTGATTGTTTTCGGTCTGGTGGTGTTTATGGAGTCTTGCGGTGTATGGGCTGGGAGGAAGGAGGGAGGGAGAGTTTAGTGTTTGATCTACCGATGTCAATCATCTCAGTCACGTGTCAGGAGAACATCGCAGACGGCAACCATCCAAGTCATGACTGGGTTTCAGATGCATCTTCCAGAATAGTAAGAGTGCTGCCGCTGGTGATGCTGATGTTGCTGTTGTTGTTGGCTAGTAAGTAGTGACAAAATAGTAATAGATGATGCGGGGAAAGCGGCCTCGGTCGCGGCGGAAATATATTCCTGAACCAACAATCGACAACAAACACCCTGGCTGGGTCACGAGGTCTACTGCCCCCTCAGGCAACTTGCAGGACACACTATCACTTTCATGATGGACCTATACGATATCTGATCCTATGTTGGCCTATTCCTGGCTATGATGGCTATTTTCCACGGTCGGATGTGAATCCATACCGACGACGATGAACCGGGCAAGGTGTTCCTACTCCGAGGAACGGTGCCAAGTACGGGGTTAGGCTGCATTCCACCATTCCACTGACAGTCAACCGCTGCAGGTCTCCCGCGGGTCAACACTGTCGCAGGTGTTTCATGATTTCGTCGAGTGTGACCGACGGCCGACTGCCCCCATGCCAATACGAAAGCCAAGGCTCTTGAGCCACTCCCAGCTGGGGTCCGCCAATGCGCAGCAATCTCGGTGCCCCTCCCGGCGATCTCCGTCCTGCAATTCTTCTTTTCACCGCGAACTACAAATAGATCTATCGATCTATCTCTATCGAAGGGACTACCGACGACGAACGGGTTTGCACGGGAGATAATGCTTGGGTATGGCCGGAGGACGGGCTCGACCAGTGACTAAGTAGTTGGCATCGGCCAGTGCATCCGGATCGACTCGCCTAGTCTGATGACAAGCAAACCCGTTAGGCCAGTCAGTCGTGCCATGGCTACTTGCCGCAGCACGCACCGGACCCTGCAGGAGGATTTGGGGCGACACAGGAAGGCAGGCAGGCAGGCCCAGGGGGCCACTACTACACAGCACCTTGGATAGACCCTGAGTTTGAGTAGTTTGAGTAGTTTGAGTTGAGGGGAGACAGACCCCTGTCCCCTTGACCCCTCAATCCTCTCTCAGGCTTACAGGCTACAGGGCAAAAGGGGGAACATTTTTTGCACCTCGTGTTGGGAAACCATGTGGCAAGTCACTCCAGGCTGACAGCAGGCAGAAATTTGCAGCGACCCGAGTGGAGGATAACCCCACTAGATACTCTATGATTGGTGGCCATGGGATGGACTCTCGCCCAGAAAGGGAATGAGGTCAGGTGCTCGCTGACTGTCAGATTGCCCCATTGGGATTAGTGTGACTCGGAAGACCCTGACTGGGATTTTTGCCCGAGTGCTGAGGGGGAGGAGGAGGAGGAGTAATCCAGGATGGATTGGAGTTTCATTGTCAGTGAAGGAAGAGACTTGGCTGAAGAATAGGGATAGAGAGGAGAAACGGGATTGAATGAATTAGCCGGAACTGCCGTTGACTGTTGTACTACCATAACTGAGCACACTTCCCTTTACTCAAACAAGATATAGCCACGATGGATGTTTTGCCCCTGTCTCAAAATTTCCCCCGATTTCCAGACCCTGCAGCCTTGGCTTTCTTCCTGGTTGGTGGTCTTCTTCCCCTCTTCCATTCTAAAATTACCGCGGAGGAAGGCACACAACCAATCATACCTTCAGGGCCCATCGCTTTCAGGGTCCAGTTTGCGTCTTTGCAGTCCTTTCAGTACAATCTTGCGAGACAAATTAGTTTCTTAGTACTACCAGTGACTAACACTTAGTCCTCTTGGGTTGTTCTTTTAGATCGTTTAGTGTAAAACTTCTTCTGCGGCTCCATCCGAACTTAGCCCTTTTTCTTTTTTCTTTTTGGATTTCTTTTTGGGTGTTGGGCTGTTCGATCCTCTCTCATCATGATGAGTGGCTGATACTGGGAGGGACTAGGACTAGTACTGAGTACTACTGGAGTACTTTATCCACTGCTTCTCCTCCCTTTTCCCCTCATCATCATCATCATCATCATCACCGTTCTTATTGTCATCATCTTCCTCTTCTCTTTTCCTTTCCCTCTTCCTTCCCGGCCTTTCCTTCCGGTCTGCCTCCAGCCCATGGGGTGATTGTATTGGTTTCTTTTGTCTTCTTTTCCCTTGGGGTGCCATGTGATTTGACTCTTTCTCATTCTTCTTGTCCTCCTCCTCATTCATCATGAAGCTCGTCAATCCGGCTCGTTGCTGCCTGGCAGCTGCTGTACGCCTGCGTGCCTCCCCCATGGAGTTCTTCGATCATTTCTGGGACTTCACTCGTCGCTATTTCTTTGCGCTCACCCTGATGGCCCTGTTCGGTGCTAAACTTCTTCATCTCTACGCCCACATTCACTCCTTACCTCCATCCAAATTCCTTCTGTGGGGAGTCACCTTCTTTACCCAGGATGTGGTGCTCGTGCTGTTGGTGCGCATTCTCACCCAGAAACTTCCGTGGCGGTCGGTCGCCGCTCTCTCCGCCTTGATCGTCGTCCCGTTCAGGTAGATCTCTCTCTCTCTCTCTTTCTGACACTTCCTCCCCTCTTCTTCCGCTGTTGGTTGGAACGCCACATCACTAATCTTGCGGTCATAGTCTGATCATGTCCGGAATGACCGCTGCCAATGCCTCCTTTTACGTGTTCACCGGCGCCGAAATCCACTGGCGACAGGCCACCACGTTCCACCACGATGCCGCCGCCATACGCACCCTGTTGACCGGGTTGACGGGCTTCTTGATCGTCGAGGGCATCATGCTCACGGTCGCCTGGTTCGTAGCGGCCCCATTGCATCGGGCGGTGGGTGGCATCCTCCGCATCCTGGCACAACCCTTCAAATGCTGCGCGAGCTGCGTGCGAACGTGGATCCCCAAGACCGCCTCGATGCGGGACCCGGAGCGATACGACCATCTCTCTGAAGACGACTATTTGGACGACAAGAGCGACGACGGGTCGTCCATCCACCTGCTGGAGCCCTACGGCGCCGTTGCACCGCCTCGCCAGGTCGGACACTCGCTGGCACGCCGTTTGGCTGTCTGGATCCCCTTCGTCGGCCTGTTCCTGCTGCGCGTGGTTCGCCCGTGGGATCCCGCATACATGTTCCTCTCCGAGGCGTTGCCCGTCGCTCCCTTCCTCGGACATTACCGAGTCTCCCCGGTTCGTGCGGAAGGACTCCCGGGTGACTATGGCTGGTTAGAGGGTCAGACGGCGTTGGAGCGACCTCCCCAGTGGGCCTGGTTGCCCAAGCAGCCCCTGCCTGGCTTCGGGGACTGGAACCAAACCGAAAAGAACCACCCCCCACTTCGACACTACGACCCCAACCGGGACCCTCTGCACATTTCCAACCTCGACAGCCCGCTTCTCGACCCCTTACACGCAGCCCTCTCCAGCGGTAATGTCAACATCAAACACGTCATTCTGCTTAAGCTCGAAAGCACGCGGGGCGACGTCTTCCCCTTGAAGAACGGCACCTTCATGTGGGATCGGATCGCCGAAACCTACCCCGACAAGAAAATTCCCAAGGACGTGCAAAAGCGCATCGCCAACCTGACTCGAACAGCCGAGTGGCTGACCGGCTCTGACGCCGGCTACAAGCACGACATGGTCAAGGACTATGGACGTCGGTCGTACGGCGGCATCAGCGCCAGCAACGCCTTTACCACGGGCACCTACACCCTGAAGAGTCTGGTCGGAACCCTGTGCGGGGTGACGCCCCTGGTGGCCGACTTCAACCGCGAGTATGAGCATCACATCTACCAGCCTTGCATGCCGCATCTCCTGAATGCCTTGAACCAAATGCCCGATGTGCGCGAGAACAGCACCTTCCCCACCTCTAAGGACTACCGCGCCTGGCCGTGGCACTCCGTCTGGATGCAGTCCGTCACCGACACCTACGACAACCAGGACAAACTGACCCCGAAGCTGGGCTACTTCGACGTCGTCACCAAGGAGACCATGGAGAACCCCAAGGCGAAGCACTATCCCGTCAAGGAGAAGGAGGTCAACTACTACGGCTATCCGGATAAGGTCCTGGGCGACTACGTCCGAGATGCCATCGACGTGGCGGAGCGCAACCACACTCGCCTGTTCCTGACCCATCTGACCGGTACTACGCATCACCACTGGGGCATGCCGAACGACACCTACGAATCCATCGTTGGGTCGACCAGCTCGGGATCTAACAACGATCTCAACCGCTACCTCAACACCATCGGCTATATTGACGAGTGGCTGGAGGAGATCATCGGGATCCTGAACGAAAAGAAGATCATCAACGAGACCTTAATCGTGATGGCTGGTGATCAGTAGGTCTCCGATCTGTCCACTATGTTTACAAAATGCTAACCAACCCAGTGGTCTTTCCCTCCCCAACGACGGCGGCGTCACTCCCTACGACAACCCCCACGTCGGCAGCTTCCACGTTCCGCTGCTCTTCGCGCACCCGCACCTCCCCCAGATCGAGGTCTCCACCCCGGTTATTTCGCAACAAATCGTCCCCACCATTCTCGACCTCCTTATTCAGTCTCACTCCCTCGGCCCCGACAGCAGCCACGCCGCGCAGGACCTCCTCTCCATGTACGAGGGCCAGTCGATGATCCGCCCGCAGATCCCCGAAAAGGACGGCCGGCAGAACTGGCAGTTTACCGTGATGAACACGGGCGGCTCATGGCTGGCCGTGCGCTCCGCCGCCCACCCGTCCTACCGGCTGGTGATCCCGCTCGTCGACGACGTCGAATGGCGGTTCACCGACCTTTCGCAGGACCCGATCGAGCTACATCCCGTCAAAAACTTCAACTTGGTCGACCTGGCCAAGACGCTCGAGGCGGAGTACAATCCCGACGTAGTCGACTGGGTGCGGGATGCCGCCCATGTGGCTGAGTGGTGGGTCACGGAGAACTGGATGCGGTACCGTTATAGACGGCAGGGGAGGAAGGAGTAGAAGAATTCCAAGATGGGGATTCTTGGATGTTGCATTCGTTGCATTGCAGCAGCCCAAAAAATTGGGTTTCGTTCGATGACGACGGACCCTTGTACAGATGATTTCACTCTTCCTTGTAAATATTGGTTCACATACTTTTGCTAGCATGATGATTTATGTGTTTTCTTCTTGGACCATGGTCGATCTAATTTAGCATGTGGATGTTTCTCTGAATGGAATTACTCATGACAGTCACTTAAGCTTGGGGTTGCTTCTTCGAGATGCTGACTTGTAAGACTCCTGCGGTGCATCTACTCCCTCCTTCCTCTTCGTCTTTGCAATCAGATTACAGAGACAAAGGGTAAGCAGCGTTCTCCATGCTGCTCGCATTCCCACCGAGAAATATTTTGTCCTCATCAATATCTGAGCCACGAGCAAGGATGGATTTATCAGCACACCAAATCCAGGCATCCTCAGCATAATTTGCCGAGTTGCCGAGAGATTATCATCAACTCCGAAGGAGCAGTGCATAGCATATCCTTGATACTGGCTCGAACAAGGATGTTCCACCATCTTCAAGTTCATCCAGCTCAGGGTGGTCGTGGTGACCGTCTAGGTCATCAGCCCCAAAGGGTCGTCTTGCCTCTGTTCTGCGAGTTATATAGAAATCGCGGAAAATGACCTTTCGAGTACAGACAAGGACGGACTCAATCCATATCCACATATCCACTTCTTTCAGGGTGTTCGTGATGACTAGCTATGGAGAATTGCCTCTCTACTGGAGTGTCCGTCTTACGATTTACCTCAGACGTTGCGGAAAATTACCATTCGAGCACAGGTTGGTTTTGCCGGCTGAATATTGGATACGTCGAGTATGAAGCAGAGAATAGTACCTCTCGCGTGAGAACCAAGATAGATACCTCCAGCGGAGTGTTTATTTGAAGTGTGGGAGAGAGATATCTGACGCATGCCTCGATGATATAATCCACCAAGTACTCACCGAGGGCACTCCGACCCCGGCTTCAAGCCGCCGCAAGACTGCTGCAAGCAAATCCTCCACCTTAACCAACGCAACAGCGTCATGTGCGTGGCCTGGTCTTGGTCGTGGAGTGACGATCTTCCCGCGACGGCCTCCTCGACTACATGTGATGACTCTGCCATGATGGACGCTTATTGCGTGTGTGGGACCTGCGCGCTATCTTCAAGCACTGCACATTCCTTTATAATGGGAAGCCAGGAGAGGTATTATTCTTCCTTTTCTTCCTCTATCCTCAGAGCTATCAGCGTGACACTATTATTTCTGTCGAGGGAATGCCTGGTGCTGCCAGCCAAGGATATGATGCGGGGATCGGTCTGTGAAGGATCATGTTCTATCTGGATGCGCGTCTTGAATTGGCCTTGGTTTTTCTGCATTGGCAGTGTTGGTTATGACGATGTGGATGGCTATGTTGTACGATGCTTGGGTTCTTTGATGTTTGCTTATCGTTTCAGAGTCTCTATTTGAGAAGTTGTTTTCTGGTCATCACATCGTCGAAGACTTAAAGCGAAGGACCACCGAAAACAAGCCATTACAGCCTTGACTCTCCCATACCAGGGGCGAGGGGCTATTTCGCGCAACAGCCGTGGGTGTTGTTTGCAATGCGAGTTCATGTTTTGATTCGATTCACAATCTCAGGGATTCGTCAATTGACCACGCAGGATTGATACTCCTCCGAGTCAGGTCTCTGGTGAAGAAATGTCGCCAACGAAGGGCGAAATGGAGATTACGGGGCAAAACCGTCGGAAATTGAAGGTATCACTGATAGATTCTGCGGGTCTGCAGGCATCTCGAATTTCATGCTTTGGTAGTGCTACTGATACCCCGCAAGAATATATAAGCTAAGCCTTATAGTTTATGAAAATAGGTATGCAATTAGCATACAAAATTACTAAGCATAATTAAAATATTTATTCAATAAATCCCGGCCCCGGAGACATGAAATAAGACAATGCCCCAGGCAGCAGTCAGTGAGTGGTCATCCCATTCACTAAATGGATAAATTATCACACCCCAAAAAAATCATCAAGTATTCACTTTCCCTGCCCAACTGAGTCGACGCAAGGGTATAAAGTCCCACCTCCGTCCCGTCCAGGAAGAGAACCAATTTACCTCCCTCACCTTCGAAGCACGCGATAAATCCCCCAACGCGACCACAATGAACGAAGAGATCAACCACAAAATCGACCCCGAAGGCGAGATACTCATCATCTTACCAGGCGACATCAAATTCCAAGTATCGAAGAAAAGCCTGGGGCTCGCGTCGCCGGTCTTCAAGGAAATGCTCGATGCGGCGCCGGCGGACAACGGGCGTATCAAGCTGGATCTGGAGTGGAAAGAGAAGCCGTTCCTAATTCTGATGCAGGCAATGCACTGCCAAATGCTCAAGATACCGGCAAAGACCTCCTTCCAGATGATACTCGATGTAGCCAAGCTGGCAGACCGTTACAGGTGTGCGCCACTCCTGAAGCTCCATGCAAACCAGTGGATTCTACACTCGAGATGCAAGCTTCCTACTAGTGATTGCCAGTAGCTGATGGCGTGGCTCTTCGTATCCTGGGTGTGGGATGACAAGGAGAAGTTCGAAGCGTGCGCACGTGTCGCCATCGAAGAGAGCGTGGACAGTGTGAAGCCTTACGGCTTGCCTTTGTCTGAGGAGATCATTGGTTGGTGATCCCTATTCAACTTCAACTTTGCCGTTGACCGCGATACTGATATCTACCGTAGAGAATCTGAACACACGCCGGAAGAACGCCATCGAAGGAATTATGAATAAGCTTTGGAGGAAGGAAGATCAGTTTCTGAGCGCGCGCGAGGAGGGCCAGTGGGGAGATAATGCCACCTTGCTGGGATGGCTGAGGAAGAATGTCCATACCAACATCACAAACTATGACTGGGCGCCGGGTCATCCCTACAGAGGCTTGTCATATCGGAAGCTGCTCAACGATATAGCTTCGTTCAAAAACCCGAGACCAGAGTTGACTTCGCAGGTTCAATACAACTTTCTGGATATGCTGCAGGTAAACCAAAATGCTAGAGGGTTGAAGCTGAAGGGCTCCACTCATGGGAGTTATCGCCCCGAGCAAGTCTGAGAGGAACATTTTGTGGAGCCAGTTGATTGTTTTGTCTGTGTCTCAGCCGATCTGATATCGCATTCGCCATAATTATCGCCGTGGCAGGGTATCATCGAGGGTATGAGGAAAGGTCCAACAAATCAAGCCGTGTCAAAGGTTTGTGATGATTGTACTCGATTTCTACTGGGTGGTCTCGAGCTTGGGCATGCAATGAAAGTTCCCCCAGCTTCGACTTGATTCCTGAGGGAAAGGTATTAATGAGGCTTGAGGTTATTACCTTCGCTTTCCGCATCCCGCGCTATGATCACTTCAAAGCAGACAACTGAGAGAAATACGGAGATAAACTCAAATCTGCAGCGGGCACCAAGCCACCGGCTGAAAAATGGCGATGATTTGCTGCTAGGTATCACTTTCCTTGCTGATTTGAGCATATACTTGGCTTGGTCATGCACAGATTGTCTGATTCTAATTTTCTTTGTATCTTTCCTTGTGTATTTTGCCTATTTACAGTTCAAGATTGTATTTGTGAGTCTCGGAAGGCAGCGACAGTGAATGGAAGAGTATTGCCGCAGAGGTGTAATCTCATGCTTTATAGGAAAGATGAACCTTGGATGGTAATCTTTGGGGAGCCTTCTATAATTGAGAACAGATACAGATGTCTTTGCGTGTTCTATGTTCTGCCTGAGGCAGACATATCAACCACACATTCAAGCAGGACTGTTCTTTCTACACACTCTGTCTGTCATAACTCACTCATATACACATCCTGAATTTCTTGTACACCCCACTTCACACAGCTCAGCATCACTGACGTCTTACCATGCCTGACACACGAAACTACATCTTCGATCCGAGTGGAAGAGTGACCTTCATCCTGACTACAGCGTCATTCATTCCCCAAGACTTCCCCGATCCAACAAATGTCGACGAGCTTGTTCCCATCGATCTTTCGCCAGCCCACTTGTACATGCGCTCCAAGCCCAATCTATACGCAGACCTGACAAGAAGCGTCCTCAGCAGAGAAACAACAACCCCTCACAGACAGCTTCATCGGCTCCTCTACGACCCATGATATCAAGTCGTCCCTCGAAGAGAGTGAACTTGGAAATCACCACAACCGTTGCAGAACAGGTGTCCGACGAAGCAACCACTACAGAACCCCAAACCACCACCGAGGATCAGATTCAAGCATCTGATACAAAGCTCAAGTTCTGGTCGCCTGTGTTCGAGAAAATGTTCACCGGCGCGTGGAAAGAAAGCGACGAGCTGCAAAGAAATGGGACAGTCACGCTCGAGATCCAGGACTGGAACCTCTGGCCTTTTCTCATCCTGATGCAGCTCATGCACTTCGAAAGACACCCTGCGAAGCTCGACATCGACACGTTGACGGAAGTGGCTCTCCTGGCCGACTACTACCAGTGTCGGAAGGAGCTTCGGAAATACCTGAGCCTGTTGCTGAACGAGACAAGCGAGGATATCCCGCCGTCGCACGCGCACGCTACGTATATGAACTGTCTCTGGGTGTCGTGGTATCCGAGGAGCTGGGGCGAGTTCGGCAGCTACGCTCAGCTGACAATCTACTACGCTGATGGTCCGATCTGCGCCAACGGATTGCCCATTCGTCGTCACGTGCTAGGTTGGTCTCCAGCTCTAATACACTCCATCCGAAGACCAACAATGTCACAGAGAAGCTCGATACCGCTCGGACTGGTGCCCTCACTGAGATCATACGCCGGCTTCAAGAAAGTTACCTCGACGTACAGCAGGCGCGACGGCGCAACGTGCGCTACTGCGGCAGATGCGATACGATGCTGGCTCGAGCCTTGGGAGTGGATCTGTTGGACGACAACCCGGTTGAGTGGCCTGTGGCTCCTTTCCTCGGCCTCAGTATCTTTCAGCTCATGCAGACGACGAGGGAAGAAGAGAACCGTCCGGTGCTGGTGGGGCATAGGGGCTGTGTCTTCCAGTTTGTAAGTCCTACGGAGGATCGTTCAATCTCCACACTTTTGTACCGGCTTGGGATCGAGCGAGTTACTTTGATGGGGTGCTTGGACGAGATGTCTGGAGATCAAAGATAGATTAAAGAGAAAATCAAAATAAGTTAGATACAGTCGTTGAATACATAGTATCTCCTTTTATTGGTGCAGTTGGCTATCGACGCCAGCCCCCCTTTCTTTGGTCTCGATATGATAGTATTTGCTTCCGTTGGATTTCTTTTTTGTCTTTCTATATTGCTCTCATGACTGACATGAGATTGAAATCCAGCAGTCGTGGAGCTGGTGCTTGACAGTTCAGCTGCAGTGGGTAGATGTGAAAATGGCAGCTGAGGCTGCATGGGCCCTGCAGCTGCAGTTCTGTGCTCAATCTCAGTATTGCCTCATTGTGGTGTCATGGCTAGCTCAAGGAAATTGGCTTTCTGATACTGCAAGCGTGGCCGATCAAGACTCGATCTAGAATCTGGCAAGCGTTGCTGTTTTAGGATATCCTGGGGACGATCACGGGAGGACAGTCCGGAGTCCGTAGTTACATGCAAAACTGAGAGTGAATGAAACAAAACAAAAAAAAAAGTACCGGAATGAGCTCGAAAACAAACCCACTCCACACCGCCTTTGAGAGAATCCCAAAAGTCCCAAAATTCCTCATAGACGCGCTTCCTTCTGCAAGCGCTTCAATTCGCGGCGCAGGATCTTCCCCGACGGATTCCGAGGAATAGCGTCCACGAAGCGCACCCCTCCCCTGAGCTGCTTATAACTCACGACTCTCTCTCTCACCCAGGCCTCAATGCGGCTGCCCACCTCCGCCGAGGCGTCCACGCCCTCCTTGACCACGACGTACGCCCGCGGCAACTCCGTCCCCGCGGTGCCACTGGCGACGCCGACGACGCCCACATCCGCCACCACCTCGTCGAACCCGAGAATAATCCCCTCCAGCTCGGCAGGCGCCACCTGGAACCCATTATACTTGATCAGCTCCTTGACGCGGTCGGTGATGAACAGGTTCCCCCGCGCGTCGACGTAGCCCACATCGCCGGTCTTGTAGTACCCCGTCGTCTGGGCGAACGACTCGGCATTCGCCTTGGCATTGTTCAAATACCCCGTAAACACATTCGGGCCCCTCACCCACAGCTCCCCGGGTAACTCGCGTGTGCCCGGGGAATGCGAGTCGGATTCCTCGCCTGGCACAGCCGCGAAGGTGGCGGTCATATTAGGCATGAGACGGCCTACAGAGCCAGGGTGAGTGAGGGCTTCATCGAAGGTCTGTTTTGATGGCCTGTGTCAGCACGGTGCTTCGCTCGCGTCGGTGTCGGCCGTAAGTAACCGGGCAACGGGGAACGGGGAAGGGGGCGGAATCCAGGATGAAAAGGGGAAATGAATGTGATGGATGCGTTGCATGCAGCATGCAAGCCCCTGTCTAGCGCTATGCAGCCTCGGCGAGACGTGTCACTGTCACACAGCCGCCGGGAGGGGGAGCGCAGAGGCGAAACGCACCTGCAAATGTGTGCACGGCGCACACTCGCTCATGCCGTACGCTTGACGCACGGGAACACCCAGTTTCTTTCTTAGGGCGTGGATCAACTCCACGGCTAGCGGAGCGGCGGCGGAAAGCGTCATGCGTAGTGATGAGAGGTCGTATTGCGTGACGCGTGGATTGGTGACCAGCTCCAGCACCACGGGCGGCACGACGTAGGCGTAGGTGATGCGGTGGCGCTGGATCGTCGTGCAGAAGGGGTCGAAGGCGTAGCGCGGAAGGACCGCGATGCTCATGCCGATGAAGACCGTTAGGTTGAGGAGATAGGTGATTCCTATGGATCGATTAGATACCCTTTGCTAGGTATTGGGGGGCAAGTTAGGGCTACCGTAGATGTGGAAGAAAGGCAGCACGGCAATCGCCCGGTCGGCCGTCGTCAGGTTGCCCCCGTCAATCGCCACGTTTTGCGCCAGGTTCGCGACCAGATTGCGGTGCGAGAGCATCACTCCTTTCGGCAATCCGGTCGTGCCGGAAGAATAAACCAGAAAGGCGAGGTTTTCGGGGGATGCGATCGGGGGCTGGTGAGGCTGGTCGCGGGCGGCGGAGAGCGTCTGGTCCACCACCAGCGAGCGCACCAGCGCATCCAGCACCAACACGCGATCGCGCGACAGGCCTGCGCGGTCGACGGCCTCAAACACCACTGGCGCTTGGGCCTGCGTGGTCACTACGGCTTTGACCCGCGCATCGGTCAGGGGATGTCGCAGCTCGTCTGCACGGTAGTGCGGGTTCACCGGACACACCACGCCGCCGGCGGCCAGTGTGCCATAAATCACCTCAGGTAAGGCAATGGAGTTGGGTGCAACGACCATCAGCACGTCTCCGGGTTGCCAGCCCCATTGCTGCTGAATGGCTTCGGTGAAGGCCAGGGATCGCTGGCGGAGTTGGCGGAAGCTGAGGCTGTGGTCGCTCAGAGGGTCCAGGAAGAGCGCTGTCGCGATTAGCACAGTGCGGTGGGATAGAGGTCTTTACTCACTTTTGTCTGATGCGTAGGGACGATCGACCCTCTCGAACAGTAATGTCCAGAGGTCGAGGTTGGGTATCTCAATGGAAGGGAAAGGCGACGCCATCATGACACTGTCTATGGGGGGAGAAAGAGGGACGACAACAACTCCGACTGCACAACAACAAACAAGAAACAGAACAGAAAAGAAAAAAGTCAGTCAAGACGGAATAACCCATCAGGCTAGAGTAACACCCGCAGAGAATGAGACTAGTTAAAGGCCACGGATATCGTCATTCTGCAGTAACTCCACCAGTTCTTGAATCTCTGCGCATACCTTGAAATCTGCCGTGATGGAACTTGGCTTGCCCTAACAAAAGAAACTCCACTCGGATATCTGGGATGCGATCGACTCTCACACCCACCGATGAGCTTCACTGCCGTGCCTGAACCCAGTAGTCTCCACTGATCGTCCTGGAATAACTTCCGCCATGTGGTTCCCGATCTGCACTCACTCGATTCGGTTGTTCCGATCGGGTCAATTGGTCCATCATGCTGGGTCGGCACGGCACGGGAGGCACAGACAGGGTTCCAGTGCAGGACAGCTGAACGAACTGAGCTGAACTTGCGTTCACGAAACATCCGGATCGTGTGCTGATCACCCTCTCTGACTCTGACTCTGACCCCCGGATAGTGACGGCTATTTGGATAATACCTCCAGCAAGTTCCTCCACTGATCGGCCCCTGCATTGGCGTGTGAAACTGACGCAGTCATCGTGGCGGGCTCAAATGCGTCCATCCGGACAAATCAGCGCCTGCAGCGAGGCTTATCGCCCAGATTACAATACGAGCAAACAAAAAAAAAAGAAAAAAAAAAAGAGAGAGATCAACAGGGGATGCTACTGCTACTGCTACTGCTGCTGCTACTGCTGCAGACCAGCTCAGAATCAATGCCGTCAGTGGATCGAATCAATGACCAGGAAGTCTGCATGCAGCCAGCTGCAGGTGTCAGCGCCCTATAAATCCCCGGGGCTGCTCATGCTGTGCTTCCTGTCTGACAGTGCTGTTTCTGTGCCCTTCTGTCTCACCCACTCTCCATTTTTCTTTTTGCTCTCTGATTCCCATCATGCCTCATCTCCCTGAACCTCCCACACATCTGGCCACAGCTCACCGCACCTGGTCGCGGTTACAGGAGCTGCGTGCCAACCCGGCTGTTGATTTGGATGGAAACAGCCTGGACATTGCCTCTGTTGTCGCAGTTGCCTAGTACGTTGGATTGAGCCCTTCAATCCCACTTTGATGCTCTTACTGACCTGTGTCCCCAGCCATGGCTGTCTTCCCAAGCTCTCCTCCGACCCCTCCGTGATTGGCGCCATCACCGACAGTGTACGGGTATTGATGGACCACCTCGACCATGGATACTGTGTTTATGGTACCTTTGATCGTCCCTGATTCTCCTCCGCCTGCTAACTTTAGTCTAGGGGTCAACACTGGCTTTGGCGGCAGTGCCGACTCGCGTACAGATCAGGCCTCAGCCCTGCAAGCTGCTCTACTGCAGCTCACCCAAGCCGGTGTGTTGACTGCAGCTGACAAGACCACCGGAGATGCACGGGGGGTGGCCTCCGCTGCCGGGCCTACAGCCATGCCTAGTCCGTGGGTGCGAGCCTCCATTGTGGTGCGTGCCAACAGCAACGCCCGCGGCCACTCCGCCGTGACGCTCAACGTGCTCGAGGGGCTTCTGGACCTCCTGCGCCATCGCATCACCCCTGTCATCCCCCTGCGTGGCTCCGTCTCCGCCTCCGGTGACCTGATGCCTCTCTCCTACATTGCCGGTGCCGTCGAGGGATCGCCCGACATCTACGTGCAGGTCGCCAACGCCGACCCCTCCATTCCCCCCCAGGTCATGTCTGCCCACGACGCTCTCGCCGCGGCCGGCATCCCTCGCCGCGTCATGGGCCCCAAGGAGGGTCTGGGTCTGGTCAACGGTACCGCCTGCTCGGCAGCCCTCGCCAGTCTGGCCCTCCACGAGTCGCACCAACTCGCCATCACCACCCAAGCCCTCGGTGCCATGGGCGTGGAAGCCATGATGGGCACCGCCGAGTCGTTCCACCCCTTCATCTCCGCCACCCGCCCGCACCCCGGCCAGATCGAGTGCGCGCGCAACGTGCTCGCCCTCCTCCAGGGCTCCCGTCTGGCCGTCGGCGTTCACCGCGAGAAAGACCGCAAACGCTCCGGTCTGATCCAAGATCGCTACGCTTGGCGCAGTGTGCCCCAATGGGTCGGCCCGCAGCTGGAGGATCTCCTCCTCGCCGACCGGCAACTTACCACCGAGCTCAACTCGTCCTGCGACAACCCGCTCGTCGACACGGAGAACTCAGAGATCTACTGCGGCGCCAACTTCCAAGCAGCAGCCGTGACCTCCGCTATGGAAAAGACCCGCCTCTCCCTCCAAATGCTCGGCAAGATCCTCTTTGCGCAGGCCACGGAACTCGTGGACCCGAACTACAACAACGGGCTCCCCACCAACCTAGTCGCAGACGACCCGTCCTGCTCCTTTACGATGAAGGGCGTGGACATCAGCATGGCCGCGTACATGTCCGAGCTGGCGTATCTGGCGCACCCGGTCAGCGCGCACGTGCAGACAGCGGAGATGCGCAACCAGGCCGTCAACTCGCTGGCGTTCATCAGTGCACGGTACACGATGCAGGCGGTGGAGCTGGTCAGCTTGATGTCAGCAGCGTACTTGTACATCGCCTGTCAGGCGCTGGACCTTCGGGCACTGCACCTGCGGTTCCTAGAGACGATGCGCCCGCGCGTCGAGGCGCTGACGCGCACCTCGTTCGCGAGTCTCCCCGCCGACGTGCTGGAGGCGCTCATCGAGAAGCTCCTGGCCACGCTGACTACGACCTGGGGCACGACCACCCGCGTCTCGCTGCCGGACCGCTTCGCTCAGACCGTGCAGGCCGCCATCCCTGTCATTGTCGACCACACTGCGTCTGTTGGCGCTGCTGGCGCCGCCGTCACTCTCGGCGACATCACCGCCTGGAAGACGCAGGCCATCGCCATGCTGGGCGATGCGTACTCCATCACCGCTGAGACCTTCAAGCAGCGTCCGCACACTCCTGAGCTGCTCGGCGCTGGCGCCAAGGTGCTCTACACCCTGGTGCGCGAGCAGCTGGGCGTGCCCTTCCACCAGGGCTTCGTCGAGCACCCGACCCCGGGTGCCACGGAGCTGGATGGCCGCGAGAAGAAGACAGTTGGCTCGTGGGTCAGTGTCATCTACGAGGCTGTGCGGCGGGGGGAGCTCGTCAGCGGGTTGTTCGAGAAGGTTATGTCTTAGCTGCTGTAGGAGAGGTTTAGATTTTCTTCGTGTACTTGCTCGAGATTGATTTGGTTTTTCCTGGGCTGGGACTGGACTGGATTGGAGTTTGTGTTGTATAGATCTTACATGTGATAATACTAGACTATTTCTCTTGTTCATTGCTGAGGATACAGACGAGCTTGGTTCGTTCTGGTAAGTACTTCAACGCATCATCTTGCATGAGTGAGTAGACTGCGCCGCTATCCTTGACCAGTCTACCGCGGAAATGAACACGTAAACCTAGACTTGAGCATAAACCATCTCTCGCCACGGTCTAATCCCACGAATAGCAGCCCAACACAAGCAGATATCACTGTACCTGAGCAAACCCAATCGACAACCACCGAGGACTAATCGCTCCACCGATCATCATCCTGGGACTATTTTCCGAATGGTCGATCTCGACCCGGCGTCGAAAGGAGATCGCATCGCTCATGTTCTGGAGACGAAGCAGAGCCGAGGCATCAGATGTGGTCCTTATGCAGCAAGCCAATCAATCTCAAACTCATTTGTGACAGGGACTCGGTCTTGGGGTTTGGATTGGTTGTACAGATCATACGCAACGGCTTCACCGAAAACGAATCGATGATCCGGACTGGTGGTCTCTTCGTCATTGTGCAGCTGAGGCGTGGTTGGTGATGAGTACATTTGCACGCAGCTGATGCAGTCTGGTTTGGCTTCAAGCTGAGTCTGTTTACAGCGCTGGCCGTGGTTACACCGCTGATGTACACTGGAGACAGTTCGCATGAGCACCAGATCGAGATGCTGGAGTGGAACCCGGTTCCATGTCACTTCGTCATGCGAACCAAGCCAACATCCCGGAAGTGGCTTGACGGAATGCTTCCTACCCTTAGCATTGATCTGCGACCTCGGGACTGCCCAAAGTTATCCAGCCAAGTGTGCAGAGATTGATCTATACTGGACGCGTTTGCTATAAGCCGATTTACATCGGGGGACTGGGTATCTCTGTCTCCGTTGTGCAAGCAGCCGACAGACACATGACTCCAGTAATCTACTCATTGAAACCTAGACGAAAGTTCGCGTTATCATAGCCTTCTCAAGGTACATTCCGGGAGACATGGTTAGATTCTCTCGGATCCAGTAGGTTACCAATACAGACGGGAAAGCCTCCAGCAATGAAAGCAGAGACAATCTAAAACATCAGACGTACATTTACACCACTAAACATAATCTCACAGTGATGAGTTACTCTTCTCGTCTTGATTGGTAATGGCGAAGCTAAAGGCCGGATCATAGTGAATCGCCCAGTAACCATCCCAAATCTTCTTCGTAATGAGCCTGACCTTCCCATCCTTCACCAGCTGGCCATCGAGTGTGGTGATAGACATAATGCCGCCGGCAGTGGTACACATGAAGATCTCATCGGCGTCGTACACGAGGCCAGACCAGGGCCTGATACCTCGGCATGAATCTTGGTCATGAAGTTCACATGGCCGATATTGATTGCTTGCTGGCGGGTCGGGGAGAGAGGAGGATTGAACTCGAATAGAGTGTAGTACATTTAGCGGAATGGTGCTGATGACTCGACGCGCTTGATGGATAGAGCCGGATGCAGCGGTTACCTGCACGAGGCTGCCGCGGTCATCAATCGCACGCACCGCAATGCGCAAGCTTTACTGCAGTTCATTGTCCACAGCATCATTGAACATGCGCCGGGCCAGCTCGGACTACCCCTCGCGCAGCTTGAACGTCGTCCACACCGGGGTGAAGTTCTCGGCGCTAAACGACATCAGCGCGTGGGAGCGGACCATATCCCATAAGCTCGAGGTTTCCAGACTCCCTCCCCAGATATGCAGGAGCAGGGCGACGAGCACCTCCGCTTCTTCCACGCTGAGTAGATGCTTGATATCGTCGAATCGCCCCCGGCAGGATATGCGGTAACCGCTCCACTTCTTCCCTCTGCACGAGGACGTTGCCCAGCTGGGCGTGCGGCAGTGGAAACAGACGCGACAGCAGTTCTGGCCATCAACATTGACAAAGATGTCCCACGCTCGCACGACAATCTGGCCGCCTTCTTCATGGGTGAGCTTGCGCGAGGTGGCCCCTGGGACGTGCAGGGTGTAGTAGTCATTCTCGTATTCCCGACTGTGGGTGAGCATCAGGTCGCGATTCATCTTGTAGCGGGTCAGCTTTTTGAACAGATAGGCCATGTGTTGGGTGCCCCATGTCCCGCCCATTTCCCAGAGCAGCCCTAATTGCTTGTTAGCTGGTGCTGGACATCTTCTGCTCCCCTGAGGTTAAGTCATACCATCTTCCTCGACTGTATACGTCCGTCCACCTATGCGATCCCGCGCCTCCAGCATTAACACTGATCATCCTGAGCTTACTGTTAGTCATATAATAGTCTTTTATTGAGGCCAGATCAATTCCAACTCACCCTATTCAGCCAGATCGCGAGCTGCAATCAGCCCAGCGTAGCCTGCTCTGATCACAATCACATCGTAGACGTGGCCTGCGGGGGCTTTCCGATTGCCGCTCGGCTCAATGACTCCTCTGCAGCGGAGATTGCCTTCAGTCACTCCGGTTGCGCGAGCCCAGGAATAGCCATCTTGCGTCCCGGCCGCTCAAGGGTTGGGTTGGGGCATAATGCGCGTAGAGTGTCGAGAGATGTATGGGTCAAGATCAATATAGTTTTGGTTTCAGAGACAAGCCTGGACTCTCTGGGGAAAGTAGATCTGGTGGGTCAGACTTATAGTCGCTATGGGGAGTAGTGTACTGTTACATGCTGTGTGGCAGTTTTGCCCTAAGAGGCAACCGAGAACTCCCGCAGCCCGCCCACCCTCCCCATGGCACGATCCCAAACCTCAACCACCCTCTTCTCCTGCTTCCTGGATCTGATTTATCCTCAGCCAGTGAAGAATCGGGGCCCAGCTGATAAATACCACCCCGCACGCATGGCACCGTTAGGCAGTCAGGACCACCCTTCAACCCCAACCTCAACCTCCGCAATCACCCAAAATGACCACCCCGCAAATCATCTACCGAAACCTTCCGGCCCCGTGAGCAACTGCCTGAAACCTACTTCACTATCTACAACAGCAACCGTGCTCGTCATACCCAGCAACTCCCTCGTCTTCACCACAGGCCACATCAGCCTCAACCTTGCCACAGTTCGACGCCATCTTCGACTGTTCGGATGCAGCGCTGAAGCACGCGCGAGTGGAGCAAGGCTCGCACCGGGCCTATAGGCTCGTGAGCTACCTGAGCAGCCCTGGTGATGAGGCGGAAATGCACTGCGTGTTCCGCCGGCGGTGCCCGGGCCACACCCCGACGTGGTGTACGGTCATCGTGAAGGAGATTAATGTGCTTGGCATGCGGGCTGAGATCGCGGCAGAGGCTGCTTGTCCATTGATGTTGATGTGAAGTCGGAGGTGGCCAGTTGCGTGGCAGGTTGAAATTCTTCTTCTGGGAAGACTGGCTTGGGTTCTCAGTCATTTCATATCAAACAATGCGATATGTCTACACCCTCGATGCATATCTGCATGATCTCTCTTGTGCATTAGTCTTGTTAGTTTCTCGATTCCTCTCGCGTAGTATTGTGCTTAGTACGTAGCGTAATGTCGTTTGGCAGCGGTGGACTCTGTTCAGACAGTGTCGGTTCAGTCTGCCGATAACAATCAGCATCAGCCTTTGCCCAAATTGCCTTGTGTTTCGTGGTTGTCTTGGCCCACCTGCTTAAGGGGGTAGATGCTTCACGCCTCAAAACTAATCAAGGTTTGGCTCCAAGTTCAAAGCCAGTGCTACATGAAGCATCTCATATCTGTACTGGTTCCTATCAATACTATTGCATCTAAAGCACTCACGCTCGCGCGGCCAGTTGAGACGAGATATTCACTACCAGACTTACACGTCCGCTCTACCCCGAAACCTCGCCATAATCACGTTGAACCCTTCCAGCACCCAAAATTGATTCATCATGGCTAGAGGTCTATCAGCTCCGGCCGAAACCAGGGCCCGAGCAGCAATAGACACTCTAAGAAGCGGCTCATCGCCTAAAATCCCGAGACTCGTGTACGCAGCAGTTGAAAAACAGGCGAGATAAACTTCAGCCACGCCTCCAGGAAGACGGGTCTGGACCAGGAAACGCCCATGACTCTAGACACGATCTTCAACATGGCCTCATGCATAAACTGCTTACAAGCATCGCATGCATGCAGCTAGTAGAGCAAGGCAAGCTTGCGCTGGACGACAGCGCACAACTGGAAGCATTGCCGCCGGAGCTGCGAGACGTGAAGGTGTTGCAAAGCGATGGCAGCGGGGGGGTGAAGCTGGTCGCTAAGGAGAGACGGTTGACGCTGCGGATGCTCCTGAATCATACATGTATGCATTCCCCCTCCCCTATCCCCAACCAAAGCTTGAGACGCACGCAAGTTACTAACCCAACGGTATAATTCAGCCGGCTTCGGCTACGCCTTCGAAGACCCCAAGCTCCTGGGATGGTCGCGACCCATCGAACCAGACGACTTCTCGAGCAACGTGCACGACGTGCTGCACCGACCGCTGCTCAAGCAGCCCGGAACCAATTTAAAGTACGGAGTCGGACTGGACCGGGTGGGTCGGCTCGTGGGGCGCTTGACGGGCCTCTCGCTGGAAACATACTTCCAGACCTTCATTCTGCGGCCCCTGGAGATCCAGCGTATCACCTTCTTCCGACGGAAGATATGAAGGCGAAGCTGGCGGACATGCATCAGCGTGCACCAGACGGGTCGGTAAGTATCACGGACCATCTGTATCGGTACGCGGTGCTCCCCTGCGCCCCCAGGGAGGAGGAGACACGTTTCTGCATGGGAGGCGCGGGTTGTTTTGGTGCGCCAATTGAGTTCTGTCGTAGGGCATTACACTCTCCTTGAAGATACAACAGAGGTTGAAAGATGGTAGGTATCATCGCGACGCTCCTAAACAACGGCACGAGTCCCAACACTGGAGTCCGCCTTCTCAAGCCTCAGACAGTTCGCGGTACATTTCCTCTTCACTTTCCAACTTGTGAAAAAGTCCCTGACGAGCTGCAGAAATGTTCACAGACCAAATCCCCTCTATGCCCAGATACTGCAACGAATATACACCCTCAGCTAAACCACTGCTGGCGAACCCCTGCACTTTGGTCCCCTGTGCGGACGACCTGACCGAAGGCTGGGGGCTGTCGTTCTCGGGGAGAGCAGCGGGCTCCGGCCTGGGAAGAATTGCCGAACTTGTTTTGGTTTGCGGATCGGGAGAATGGGATCGGGGGCATAATTGCGGCGCAAATATTGCCTTATGGAGGGAGGTGTGTAGTTATTGATATCGGTTTTTCCGATTGAGTTGTGGCTGACCAGACAGTGATCTAATCAGACTTGGAGGTTCTCGCCTGTGCGGAGTGGGCGGAGAAGATTATTTATGATGATTTGGTTGGAAGTAGAGTATAGAATGACAACACTCGGCGCATTGATATACAGAAGCCGAGGAGCTGAATCTCTCGAATTGCATCCGTTATGGGCTTGTTCCTTCTACCAGTCTCTGCATCTGGCTCGTTTGGATTCTAGGCATGCCCAAAGACCTTTGGTTTGGTTTCGATTTTCATAGTCCATGAGGCATTAGTTGGAGTGGCTATCCCATAGGGCGTGCATGAGGTGTTGACAGTGATGACTACAGGGTTCAACTATGGGCCCACATACTGCTGGCGATTTGGGAGACTACGCAAGTTTCATTTCTGATAACAAATCTGAGTAGAGTATCATTATGCACGTCATTCATGCTAAAGGCTAACAGTCAAGGCTATCTATTTTTATCCAAGCCAAACAATATATAAACAATCCGTATATACATCCCATCGTCACCATCACAAGTCCCTCGTTCCTCCCCTAGATCGCATTGTTGGCGCAGGAGAAGCTCGACTTGGACGAGTCATCATGGATCGCCTTACCAGACACGTACAGTCCCAGACCACACTAGCACCAGTTAGTATAAGCCGGAAGCATTGAACGACACATTCGAGCAAACTCACAATAATGGCACCAATGCAGAAAATCAGCATGTTGATGATGGTCAGCGCGATCTTGCGCGGAGACGACCACCATTGTCCCCAATTCATGTGCAGCCAATACACGCCCGACAGGCCATAGGTGAACCAAGAGGCAAACAGGGAACTGATCAAACTGACAATGTTGCTGAAGGAAGGAATGCCCTCCGCGATGATCCAGGCGATCACCCAGCAGGTGACACCAATGGCAATCCAAGAGCCAACAGCGACGAAATCACGCTTGCCCATGCGGTCGGAGTGACGGAAGATGCGCACGTAGATATATTTCAAGCCAACGTGACCATTGACCACACCCGCGCCGACAATCTATATAGTTGCGTCAGTACAGCGATCCCGGATAGGATTCGAGTTTACAAGGTCATACCGTCGGGATGGCAACGCCGTAGGCGACCTTCTTCAACACCGGACCAGCCGAACCAAGAGCGGGGGAGTCGACACCATTACCCACATAGTAATAGATGACAATCGCAGCGGTGACATAGAGGGCGATCTCGAAACCCTGGAGCAGACACAAGGCCTTAGTGAAGTCTTTGGGCTCCTCCATCTCTGCGATCAGACCGAAGAAGGCCACGTGGGCGCAGTAGGCGAACACAATCTGGGTGACACCGTTAAACGCGTGATACAAGTTCGTATCGGTGGTCACACTGATGTTCTGTCCTCCCTTGTACTGCACACCCACACCAATCATGGTAATCATCACAGCCGTGAAGATACTCAAGAATGCTACAACAATCAGCCATCGCCTTTCGAATCATATCCGGATTACTCACAAGCACAAGAGATGTAGGTCAGATTCTTGATGGTGCGCGGAAGCGACAGGACCAGACAGATCACAAACGCGACCACACTGAACACCATCGAGCAGGTACCATGGTCGGTGATCGTGTTCATCATCACCGTGAACGTGACAATGTGACTGCCCATGATGAAGATGGAGAACAGAATCTGACCGAGACCGAAGAGCTCGCGACCGAACCGACCCATCAGAATCTCTCCCGCATCAGCCAGGTTGTGGATCGTGGGGTGACGTTCGCGGAATTGGCCGATGACATAGCCGGTGTAGAGCGCAAGGATACCGAGTCCAACGATCAGGATGATGGCGCTGCATCGATTAGCATAGTCCAGAAGCAGTCATGGTATGATCACTTACGGCACCAGGCCCAGCGCAGTCAGCGTTGCAGGCAGGGACAAGACACCCAGCGAGACGGACTCTGCAATCATGACTACTGCCGTTAGTAATGGCCGGACCCATTGTTCCGTCGCAAATCACGTACACATTCCACATTGCCTGCATTGTTTGTCAGATCAGTTGGTGGCTGCGGTCGGTGCGGACAAAGAAACACATACCACCACTTCAGCGTCTTATACTTGACCTCCGCGTGGGCCTCATCGCCAAAAGCATCCGGCTCATTGCCCTCGTTTACAGCCTTCAGATCCTCGAGATCGTACGGAGGCAGATCATTCTTCTTGATCTCCTCGCTTTGAGTCGGAGCCGCCATGTCGTCCGCGCGTTGTCGATATGTCACCGGGAGAAAGAGAGGACTCAAGCAATAACGATAACAAGCAGCACCGCAGCTGGATCACCGTCGCAATCGGAGAAAAGATCGAAGAGTGGCGCAGTGACAGCTGCAGGACAGAAAATTTCTGGCGGGCTGGTGGGTCAAACGGTCTGGAAACTCAATTCCGTTCCTCCGCTGCAGTGGAATTGAAGCCGAGAATGCAGACTTGAAACCGAGACCAGCGGACGAACCAGGTAGACTTTGCACGAGCACTGACACCAGACCAGAACACAACACAATAACAGAGGAGGAGAGGGAGAGGAGAGGAGAGGAGAGGAGAAAAGCAGACTGGCGAGATAAGGTGGTAAGGGTAACCTCAGGCGGTAATCGTGGCTGCCCTGTTGGGGGATCAGCGTCTGGCTGCTTGCGGCCATGGCGGAATTATCGCGGTGATAACAGCCATTGGTGCGTTGAGCTCCACTCTCCCTCAGATAGGGGCGGGGCGGGAAGTTGCTTGTTGCCCAATGGTTGCTGATCGCGGTTGAAATTAAGTAACAGATTTGCCCCGCTGGCGAGGCACTGCGCGGTTGTCCGACAATAACCGCTCTTCCGCCCGCGCGTGATTGGTGCGGCCCCAGTCAGGGCCAAGCGGCTCGGTGGGATTCCGATCTGCTTCTAGAAATTTTATAAAAAGCTGCAGCTCATGATAAGATGGCTTACCAACATTTGTTGACTGTTTCCATGACGAACAATTAGCTGATGGAAACTCGTAGGAGGCAAGTGATTTGTTCTTGCTTATCTCAGAGCACTGCCTCGGCTCCTCAATACTCCAGGTTCTTATACCGGTGGACGGCTGTGCCGGCTTCTAAGTTCCGAGGAGGTCTTGCAGTCTTGGCGCAAAGCTTCGGTTCTCCCTCAAGATTTTTCTGCCTTGGCATCTGTGGTGGCTGACCCGCCATATCCGTGCTCTTAGGCGAGATCGCTGAGACGTGCCAGTCCTCTGGTTGGGCTTGCTATCAAAGACGGTATGCTTGATTGCCTCTACCTACCTCGCTACACAATCACAATGTACTGTACATACTAGGATGCTAACACGAGAAACCTCCCTACAACGTTCCGATTGTAGCCAACGTCAGTTAATCTACCCTCAAGCTACATATCTAATGGTCAAACTGGCCATAATATATAATGATCACATTCCCGCAACAAGTTGCTACTTTTTCCAAAAGTGATGTATCATCTTACTCGGCCACGTCAAATCACCTTAATCATGCGCCTCTTCATTACCAGACTGATAAGTGTAGTGGGTTAATGGCAAAAAAGAAACCTGCGGTCTAGTCGAGGGGAGTTTGAAAGAACATACTGTACACTAGGCAAAGCGATATCTCGCCAGATCTAGAGATCGTCCGCCCTCCTTGTCGCCTTCTCAAACATCTCCCTCATCTTCCCCTCCAGATTTTCCAGGCCCCAGTTCCGCATCAACTTGAACAATTCAACCGCCTCATCATATGTATCAGCATGAGTCCAGCCATCCCGATCGAGAACGGGCGAGATGGCATCCCAGAAATCCTGTACGTTGTTCCACCCATCGGCTGCCTCTAGATGAGTCCGCCGTTCCTCCTCCGTAAAATGTATCGGACACGGAAAGCCAAAGCCCATTTCATCCCAATACCTGGAAACTAAGTCAGCGAGAGGCCGACACCGGACGCACAGGCAGATGGATATTCACTTGACAATTTGCAGCAAACTCTCTCTCAAGCACACGATCTCATTACTCCAGGTGTCAACTACGAAGAAAACTGGGTTGCATCGCAGGCGACCATAGTCTGTTACAAAGACCTCGTAGAGAACTGGGATCTCTTTTTCGACCTCCGTCTGATAGACATACTGGACCACAGATTTGGAGATCGTCCTTCTGACCTTCTTCTTCTCCTCGGCATCGAGCTCCTGGAAGTTCTCGGGAAGACGCAAGATCATCTCGCCCTGGTATCGAATGAGCTTCGGGGGTCGCCCGTGGAGCCACCGGGGTGCGGCCCAGAGCCCCTGCCAGTCTATCACACTGGTGATTTTGCCGTCTTCGACAAAGATGTTGCCGTTGTGAAGATCATTGTGAAAGAGATATGGTGCAACAATGGTAGGGTCCTCAGGGAGCAGAATCGGTGCGACTTGCAGGTACTTGTCAATCAGTTCAATGTGACAGGCCGGGGAGTTTTGACCTGCCGTGTCCGGTTCGTCATTATCGCCCCTGGGAACCGCGTATAGCTGTATCCAGGCTTTCTCTCGATGGGCCAAAGAAGCGATGTAATCCTGTGGCCGGGTCCCTTCGCATAGTTAGCTGAGGGCTAACGAGATACAACACTAGCAAGATCATATCGGAAAGCTTACATGGTCCGCGATCGAGGGTCATGTGTGCGCGTTCTCCAGTCCAATAGTTGCTCTCTGCAACAGGGCCAACGACAAACCGCCTCGCTGCTTCTTCTTTCACCTCAGCGGGTATGTCTCCGGCAAGCTCAACCGGCACGGCGCCAGGAATATTCTCGGCGGCATAATACAGACTCCCATAGCTGGATCGAGGTTAGCTCGTGGCGTCAATGTCACATTGCGATACCAACCAGTTCAGAGACATCGAACACATCTTTTTGTGCAACTCCACAAGACCACGTGTGATCGAGAGCTTCTGTTTCGGGTCAAAATCGTCGTCCCACACCTCCAACACCTGTGTTCCTGGTGCTACCTCCATGATAATGTATTCAGCACCGACAGCGCAGTGACTGTCCGCGCTCCAAGCAAAGACTTTCGGTGCCTGTATCCCAAGAACAGTGCGAGCCTATAGACTGGTCAATTCGGTATACATTGACCGGATACCCCTGGAACCCCGCAAACAAAGCCTGTTTGCAATACGTACAAAGTCCATGGTCGCGACTTCAGACGCGGTGGTGTAGTACTTGGGTCCGGCGATGGGATAAGGAAGCTTTGCGATGACAGATCTGCCATCGTCCATCTTGAGCAAGAATGCCCTGTTGGAGCCGCCCTCTGCCAGCTTTGTGATCGAGACGCATTTATTAGCCCCAATACTGTTTGCAGCTACGGTCTGAAGCTCGGACACGTTGAACGCGACGAAGCGGTCTTGAAGTCGCTGCTCCTCGTTCCAGAGCCAACGTCCGGAGGTATAACGGAACAGATCGTCGGATTCGGACACATTCTTAGCTGAGCTCAAAGTACGTATTGAGTGAAAAGGTCTGGAAGGTGCTAATAAGCTCGATGACGGTGATCTCGAAGAACAGAGGCGATGACAACGGACCGGCAGCTGCGTCAAATTCCGAGTAGGATAGATACGACACGACAGTCCATACTTAATGTTATAGGACACCAGTCGGTGCATGAGACGAAAGTCATGTATCATCATATTCACTTGCGCAGTCAGGGGACACGCTCAAAGCTACAGTGAACTTCAGATACCCTCATGTAAACAAGGAGTGAATCTAGCCGCCATTCAGGCACCCAGGCAGCGATAGAATGGGTCCGGGCTCGGTAGCACTAGTCCCGAGTGGATTAGTCTTCCCGCGCCCGCGATCGGACCTGGTGGGGCATTTTCCTTCCCATTCTTTGCAGTATGAAAACACGGGCATCATCTTCCCATCACGATTCACAACTCTGCTACAACCAAGGATCTTCCTGTTTCTAAGCACTATTTCATTGCGCCATGCATGCAGCAAGTCCTGGTTCTGGGCCAGCCACCAAGTCAACAAGACGGCAGCACCTATGGCAACAGCGATGATGTAAACACCAGATAATGATGTCGTCGCGTGCAATGCTCTACCGCGTCAATGAGGACGCTGATCTGAATACCATTCGGATCTTGTTCCGAGGGAGAAGAGACAGCTCCGCTTTAGTCTACAGAACTACATGTTATGCTAACTCCAAATCCAAACGAGCAGTCGCATCAACACCATCACTCTCTCATTACCTTCCATCATGACTTGTAACGACTGCCCTCGCAGCCTTTGCCAGGAGCATGGGCTCCTGCGTATTGACCTGCACACGCACATCATGCCACCCACCCTGCCAGATCTATCATCCTACAGTTCCCGTTCGGACTCCGATTCTAGCACCGCCGCCCCATGGCTGACCTTACGTCCCAACGCCACAGACACCACCAAGCGAGACCTCTACATCGGCGACGAGTTCTACCGCACCATTGAACCCAATTGCTACGACACGGCCACCCGCCTCGCGGAGATGGATGCCGCTGGCACCGACGTGCAAGTCCTCAGCACGATCCCCATCCTCTTCTTTCACGACCAACCCAGCGAGCCAGTCACCCTCCTGGCGCAGCACCTGAACAATCACATCGCCTCCCTCTGCCATGCGCATCCCACCCGTTTTCTGGGCCTCGCCACAGTGCCCCTCCAGAACATCTCTGCCGCCGTCACGGAACTCCAGCGCGCAAAGCACGACCTCCGCCTCCACGGCGTCGAGATCGGCACCGCCATCAACCACCACATCCCGCTCGACGACCGCAGCCTGGACCCATTCTGGCAAGCGTGTCAGGACCTCGACATGGCGGTCTTCGTCCACCCGTTGGGCTACGCCTGGCCGCAGGAGAACCCGGACCTGTGGTCGCGGTACTGGAGCGCCTGGCTGGTGGGCATGCCCTGCGAGACCGCGCTGGCGATGCACCGCTTGCTCTGTGCAGGGACCTTGGTGCGGTTCCCGCGGCTGAGGCTCTGTTTTGCGCATGCTGGCGGCGCGTTCCTGCCGCTTCTGGGGCGGATTCAGCGTGGATTCGAGTGTCGGCCAGATTTGGTGGCCAGGGATGCGGCAGACGTGAGTCCGTTGGAGCATGTGATCATGAAGGAAAACATCTGGGTGGATAGTTTGACGCACGATGTAGATTTGTTGGAATATGTGGTCAACAAGGTCGGGCTGCGGGGGGTCGTCATGGGAAGTGATTATCCGTTTCCACTTGGGGAGCAGCCTGAGGCGGGGAGGATGTTGGCGAGCGAGAAGAGATTAGACAAGTTTTTGACCTGGAGGCAGAGAGCGGAGATCTTAGCGGGGAATGCGCTGAGATTTCTGGGACTGCATGAGGATCCTGAGTGGAGGACACGTATGGAGGAACGTTGGCAACGATTTGAAAAAACACAACATGACGACGCTGGGGCTGGAAAGATCAATGCGAGCATGAAAGATGGAAAGGTAGCCATCAGTGTTATTGAGGAAATGCCTTGGATGCGCCCGTCGCTTCCGGCAGCAACGTGCTGATCTTTGAGTTCACAAGGTAAATAATTGGGTAGTAAATGCATTCGAGAATCGATCGACCTAAGTCAGAGTGCCCACATTCCCATATCTGACTATTCCTCTCATACATGAACAAGACAGACTTTCAAGCGGCCAGCTGGCGATTGGGTAGTGTGTGCTGAAGTGCAATCCGTTGATCCCTTCTCCAGTATTTGAAAATTTGTGGGCAAGGAACTGGGGTGCGACCAACTTTCATACGACAATTCTCTGGAGCTCAAACAGAACCTATTCAATCAATAAGTCAGCATTCAGAACAGTCAAGCGCGAAAATTCGTACCTTCTCAATATAGCGGACACCAACGATGATCCCATCGTCATCCAGAAATTCCGTCTCAGGTCCAAACGTAGTGTTGTTTTTGTCGAGACATGTCAAACACGACTCCACGACTTCAGCATATATCGTGCCCATGTGCAATGGCAGCTTAGTCCTGGCCAGATTGATGAGCATTTCCTTAATATGGGCTGCCGCCCGTCGCTGATCTGTCTCTTGGATAAATTCATCAATAGATAATGAGGGTTCTGGGACAGCTTTGCTCATGTCCCCAGGATACTGGACAAACGAAGTCCAGAGCCCGATTTCCAGCAAACAGACACCAATGCTATATATATCGTGTTGCATCATGTATTCCTCATCAGGGCGTATACCTTGGCGACCAGGATGTCGGTAGATGTTCTTCTCCCAGGCATTGTCACCAGTCCTGTAAGTCCGGCCTTCTGCCAGTCGAAATTGATCAAAGCCAACCAGGAAGGGAGTACCGAGAAGGGTTGGATCTGTTTGGCAGATGATGATGTTCTCCGGAGCGATGCTCTTATGAACAAATGAAGAAGAGTGTAGGAAAACAACGGAGCGAGCTAGAGAAGCAGCCAGGTTCACTCGCTCATTTAAAGGATAACTGATGCGAGCATCGGTGGGGAGAATTGAACGGAGGCTCAGAAGATGTGCTTGCTGGTAACTTAGTGGAATGGGCAAAATGAGATTAAATGCATTATCTGTCCGAAGCACTCCGCGACAAGACAGAAGACCAAAGAACTTGGGATCGACTGTGGAAAGAACGCGTGCTAAGTCCCGAACGTCCTTGGTGCGTCGGCCGAAGTCGTTTTGGGTCTTGAATGGGACGCGATCGATGACAACCAGGCCTTCGTCGGTGTGACCGGTCCATGCAGACGACAATACAATCTTCTCACGGCAACTTATATGGAAGTCTGCTGTCAAAAAGATTGAGGCGAAAGTCTCTCCTCCTGAGCATTCGTTGACTTGGTGGGCTTGGCGGAGATTGACGACTGTCGAGACGGCTTTACTCTCCGCAGCTCTCCTGTCATCAAATTTCTGGTCAATTAGCTGAACGGCCAGGCGGCTAAGAAAGAACCAAGAAGGATCGAAGTCTCTCTGCCATCTCTCCAGCTCTTCGACAATGTGTTGGAGAGATCCCTTGGCGTAGGCGGCATATTCGATTCGCTGCGTTCGGGATAATTTGGAGAGGATGCGCGCTCCTCGAGTGGCAGTCTGTCTTTCGATAGCGATTTCTTCTGTCGATCTTACGCTCAGACTTTCAAGTTTCCCAATCGCTATCTCAAGCTTGCTTTGCAGGATTTGTAGCACCTGACACTGGTGGTCCTGTAGAGGATCTGGTAGCGCCTCCCAAACCGCTTGAAGTGCGGATAGTTGTTGTTCGATCTTGATCCAGTGACCCTGGACCCTCAGATTTGCTTCCTGTAGTTCGCACTCGGCCTTTCGGTAGGCTTCACATCGTGCCCACAGATCTTTCCCAAGACTAAACTTGTCAGCGAAAGGGGAATTGAATGGAAAGAGCAACCATTAGAGGAAGGAATAACTCACCGGATGCATAATTCCACCATGGACACAACAGAGAAGGCAAAAGAGGCAGGGTCCATTTTGTGCAGTCAGGAAAAGGTGGAATAGAATTCAGTAGGGATGAAGCGTGTGTTGAGTATGTTTCTGTTAACCCCGCGATGGAAAGAAGGAAGGAGTTCAAGATTGCGGCGTCAAGGCGAGTCTTCTTATTGGATCCGCCTCGACATCCCTGCAACTTAGCCAGCTCATCTCAGCCACCTTTCTCTGTCTCTTACGCTCTCTCTTCCTCCAGCTCGCAGGTCTTTCTCCCCTTCTACCTCCTTCTCATCCATTCAACGCGTCTCGTCTTCTGCCCCTCCTCCCCCTCGGGCTCTCTCATAATTATCCCTTTGCTGTTTAAGGTTGTGGTGCTATGTTGATATGCGGCATTTACCACCATGTCCTCTTCATCGTATGATGACTTGCTCAATCTGGTGGAAGGTAATGCAGAGCTCACTGAGAGAATCAAGAGCTTGCGTTATGGCTTGGAGGCTGAGGATTTGCTTCAACACTTTCGATTCAACGCGGTGATCAGCCAGGACTGTACCACCCACACGGAATATGAGCGAGATGAAAGCCATGCCATTCGAATTGTCAAGCGAAGATGGTATCGGCGACCCGATGCGCTGGGCTGGGGGGTCTATGGGAAGGTCTGGTTAGAACGTGATGATGACGACGGCCAAAGTCGAGCAGTCAAAGTCATACCGAAGGATCTCATGGAACGCGACAAGATCAACTATAAGAGGGAGGTCCTCGCACTGGCCAAGTTCTCGAAGCGGCAGTACCAACAGCAGGAGGTACTGGTCAACTTCCTGGGATGGCTGGACGATCCCTCCAACCTTTACCTGTACATGGAATACTTCCCCCTTGGAGACCTCGAGGGCCACATCTCACAGCCCATCTCGGAGGAGGAGGTCAAGGACATCGCAATGAATCTGCTCAACGGGCTCTGCATCATCCACGCAGAGCACTTCGCCCACCGCGACCTCAAACCGGGTAACATCTTCGTGGTCCGTAAGCCCCCCACCGCGCGATGGTGGGTCAAGATTGGCGACTTCGGCATCGCAAAGCGCGTAAACCATGAGAGAACAGCACTCCAGACGTCCATTGGAACTCCGCAATACCTAGCACCGGAAGTGAGCGGTGATCTGGATCTCGATGAACCGACGTCGGTATACAACAACGCAGTCGATATATGGTCATTAGGCTGTGTGATATACAGGATCGCCACGCAGCACAACCCCTTCCCCGCACGCACCGACCTCAGGAGATTCTGTAGCGGACGCAAACCATTCCCCGAGGAGCCGCTGCGGAACACGATGGAGCCCGATGGCGTGAAGTTCGTCAAGGCGCTCATTTCTCCTTTCCCTAACGAGCGTCCTTCTGCGCAGGCCGCATCAGAAATGGCCTGGCTCCAAGGCGACTTTTCCACGGTCACACAGGAAGTCGCCAGAGCTAGATCGGACGGCAAGTCTACACCGAATCGAAGATTGTATGGCACTAGGCAAGCACAGCGACCAGCCAGAGTCGTAAATCTGTCGAGCGATAACAGTCACGTCCAGGAGGATCGCGGGAATGCTCACAACCAGGGCCCACAGCAAGACGCCCCCCAGAACTCGTTCAACAGCAATCCACGCGATAATCCGACTATCGAAGACGCGATCCGTAACATGATCCGGCCTGAGCTAGAGAAACTTCGTCGTGAGGGTTATCCGCGCCATTTTTTTAGAAGAGGGAACGTCCAGCCTGGATTCCCCGTCCCCGTCGCCACCCCTTACGTCTCCGACTCTGGAAAGCGGCCATGACGGGTTGCAGGCGCATGACGTGCTAGAAAATCGCAAGGTCAAGTGACGATACGTAGTCTCCATCCGTTCTTGGTCTATCGAAACTTTCACCCGATGTAGCATATACATCAATGCATAGAGAACTAAATGCCATGCTCGGACTCTCAGACATTAAAGCTCTCAGAGGATAATAGTCGGCTTGTAATTTCACCCGGGCCTAAATTGGCATTGATAGATAGCTTTGAGCTAGAAGATGGAAGGAAGGTATTCTAGGTCCTGTGCTGCAGATTTGACTCCGCGATTCATACATGGCATTTATGTGGTGCATAAGAAACGCATCTAGACCCAGCGCTTGGTTCCATTGGATCCCAAGATCGTCAACATATCGACTAATACAATTTCAAGCTCAAGTCTTGATCGCCCAGCAGCGGGCTTCGCTTATAACCAGTCTCTCCAAATATTGCTTAAGGAAGGCCGTTCCTCGCCCTAATATTCTTATAGTACCGCAATAACCTTTGAGCGTTCATAATTGATGAGAGTCTGAACCGGCGGACTGGAATAGAAGGACCCGAATGGTTTGTTTGAACCCTGGCAGATCTCCGGGTAGTCTCGAAAGCAACACAGCGCAGGTTTGACGGTTACAAAGCCCGGCGCCAAGCTGACGGTTGAACCCTCGGTCTCCGGGCCCACTCCGAACCCGCCGAAAGGTTGAACCCACCGCCGAACCCCGATCCGACCCGCTATCTTTACGGCCCCACAAACTCGCCGAAGGTTGAACCCCTGGACAAACTTATCGGCGGATTTCTGCGTTTGCGGCGATACGGCTGCTTCGCACAGGAATGGTCCACAAATCATGCATTGGGATCGCGATGCACAGTAGAATCAACACGTTCGCCAACTGGTTTGTTCGTATGGATTGTCCAGTCCGATCGGACTTGACCTTGTCTTATTGCTGGTTTGGATGCTGTCGTCGAGGTACCATCCGAGTGTGAGGGGGATTTTGACTAAGAATGCGAATCGAATCCGTAAGGGAACAAGACTGGGTCATCGGAGAATACATCTTGGAACCGGGGCATGGGTGATGAAGCGTGGTCGCGCGGCTTATCACGGGGTTGTCTAGCATTAATCATTAGGTCATTGCAGGAACTAAACGCTGATCACACAAGAACTTACCGAGAAGCATTCATGGTCATAGCCCATGTTGTCAACATCTCATGCAGTTGTCGTCATAGAGTTTTCGTAAAGAAGCCTAGGTCGGGTTGATGGCCAAATGAAGGACGGCTGCTCCGCATCTGGACAAGTTGTCGTCTGAGGCAGAACGGACGTACGTCGGGCTTTTCGAGTCCAGGAATCTCCCACCGCTTCATATCCCTCGTGCTCCGTAGTTGTTTGATTCCAAGTTTCAACGCACGGACAATTGCTACAGCCTCGATCCATGATCCTCATCCAGCACTACTTGCGCGGCTACGCACTCCGACCGTGCGCACAGTCATGCTGCGACCAAGCCCACCCTGCTGATGCTGTCGGAGCTCTTCCAGCTTCAACACTATCCCAACCGCCTTGTGGTCCTCGATGAGCTTCGGTCGCCGCTGCGCAAAATACTTGGCATATTTGATCAGACTCCAGTAACAGCTGATCACGTTGATGCCGGCGATGAGCATCTTGAACGGCATCTGAGTTGCAGGTGGTCAGACAAGGCACGACGGACTGATCGAAACCACTTACATAATACCCAACGATGACCTTCCAGCTCACTCGTTCATTTTTAAGTCGCAGGTGAATCTCATTGAAGAGCACGGCGTTCAGCAGGTACAATCCCAATGTCGCCATTACCAGACCAATGCAGAACGACGGCCGCACAATCAAGGAGATGGGTAGGATGAAGGGAGCCATAATGCTCAAGACGGTTTCGTATACCTAATCACTCGTTCAGTCTGGTCAGTCACTCTCATTACAGTCAAAAGCGCAACATACCTCTTGCATTACGAAGATCTTCGCACCAAGTTCCCACCGCCCCAGCTTCCAGGAGCCGAAGATGTATGCCAAGTTATGTCGCATGCCATTAACCAGGAAGAAGTTCCATCGTAGGAATCGTTGCTTGAAGACAGTCATCTCGCCAAAGCCCCCTCGGCTCTGATCCTTGTCCACCCACAGAAAGGCAGGTGGGGCAGCAGTCTCGACGAAGATCATGCTGCACATCTTGATGCGCCCGCCTAGACGTCGGCAGCTGTTTCCCAGAAACCAATCCTCACTGATCGAGAAGCCCGGATGATCTTGAAGCGTATCCTTGAGAAAGGACCGCTCCCAGAGGGAAATGGCTCCGTGTGGAAAGGTGGCGCTGCCGACGCGGCCTGCAAAGGTGCGCTGCAATCCAGCCAGCTTATATTCCAGATCCTGAGCTTGTTGGCAGTACGTGCCTTTGCTAGACCCAGGTCCTACCACCTTGATCGTGTAGCCCAGACAACGCACATTATCCGTCAGGCGAGAGATGGCAACGGGAAAGTTCGCGGGGAGGACACAATCATCATCCGTCAGGAGAACATAACGAAAGCATTTGGCCGCATAGCAGCCGACAAACAGGGCGATGATCTTGGAGCCGACCGGGCACCAGATGTGGTTGACTCCATAGCGGCGACAGATCTCTTCCGTGTTGTCTAAAGGGTTTGTTGAATCGCCATTTGCCACGACATAGATGTGAGATGCAGGGAAGATCTTCAGCGCAGCCTCCAGGGTCTGACCAATGACGGGTGCGGATCGGTAGCAGGGAATCAAGAGCGCTGTATCCGGAGCAGTCGGGTGAATGTGGCGATCCTGGTAGTATTCTGTGTCGGGATGATCTTTCTCGAAGAGTGTCAAAAGTGGTGCGAATGAGTAGCTGTGGAACCGTAAGTCATTGGGCAGAGAACTGTGTGTCAGTCCTAAGACAGTGACTTACAAGATGACCAAGCTGATGACAATGGCCCATCCGCCTTGGAAAACGAATTTGTTTCGCATCAACCAGTATAACCAATAGATGGTGCCCCCCCACAGTGGCTCTCCCACGAGCACGAAGTAGACGAACAGAAGCAAGGTTGTATATGCTCCATATTCGATCAGCACTTGAACCCAATATCTTCGTTGGTGTTTGATCTGAACGAGGTTGGCTTTGTCATATAGCGTCCAGAGACTGCTCTCCCGGGCTCTCTCGACTGAAGTGCTGATTGTCTGGCGAAGTGGGGCAGGGGACAAGACGGTGAACTTGTTCAGGATGCTGCTGCTGTCCAGTGATTGCCGAGCTGTGCGCGCTTTGTGCGGAGGAACCGATGAGCCGGGAAGCTCCGCAATGGGGATAGGATCATCGCTGAAGCCCGCTGGCGCTGAATGAGGGACCGCGTGAGGACCTTCTGGGGTCTCCACCACCACACAATCTTCATACAGCGGGTATATGTCGTCGGTTCTACCATAGTCGGTGCTCAAGGGGCGACCCCCAGAATGAGGTCTCGTGCCATTTTGCCAGCTAGGGGCGGTCCGTCGTCGTTTGTGCACACGAACTTCATCCGAAGGCACACCACTTCGAAGTGGACGGGGGATGTCTCGGTGCGGTCTCTGTGACCAAGGTCCGCTTGAGGTGGCTGCTGCCAAGAGGGATTCAGGGACGAAAATTTCCTCATCCAGCGGCAAGTTGATATCTGGCTGCATAGTAGTGGGAAATGTAGAGCGACAGCAGTGACAGATGCCATCTATGCGCCCCGTGCGGCATCAGCTGATTACACCGACAATTGATGATAGGCTGAAAGATTATCCAGCCACATAAGCGAAGACGGAAAAAAACAGGAATCATGAGAAAGGAGGGGAAGGGCGAAGGTTCATAAACAAGGACAAGGCTTGTATTGAGTGCAACCTTCAAGAGGCAGGGTTCCCATCGAAAATGTACGATTCGGGCAGGAATTTCACACCAACTGAAGTACTCAGCTTCCATAGGCGAATGGGTACAAAAGGAATAGTCAGCCGGGAGGGATGTATGATGGGACATTGGCTTGCTCTCGCCAGGGTGGCCAGCGCGCGCTCGAGAGCACAACACCGGGTTGGAATGTATGCTCCTGCGGTGGGAGAGGGAATTGTCCGTCTGTCATAATCTACGAGCAGCACGCGAGTCATGTATTGGCGAGTTGCATTTCTCTTGTATCGACCCGACCATCGATGATTCGTGGTTCGTTTCCTTGCCGTCTTAACTGAGTTTCATGCTTGAATCGACTTAGGAAGATGGAGAAGGCCATACAACGGTCACCCAGTTGGACACGAAGCGGACGTCCTGTGGTGGTCCCAGGGGCTCTGTTTCCATGCGGAACGATCCACTGCGGGAGCCAGTTCAACAGCGGAGGCGTCCCGTTATTGTTATCCGAGACATAGATGGGTCCCAACGGCAAGGGGCTAGTTGACACTGCATGGAGGCTAGAGTCTTGCCGCCCGCTTAAACAGGTAGGCTATAAATCCGTAAGACATCCCTCCGGGCGGCTATGGAGTCGAACCTAGACTAAGGAATATTCTCGAGTGGTTATCGGGTCTAGGCCACTATCAAGGAGCCATCACGATGTTCTCGGTTCGATGAGGGGAGAAAAGGGTCAAGAGAATGTTCTCGCACCCGAATGCACACGAATCGGCAATGGTGGAAGGAATATATCGATCTGCATGGGTTCGTTACACTAGCATTCCGCATGCTGACTATAGGATTGTGATCCTGTGCGGCTCTAGCGGAATGGATAGGGCAACCATCAGGCGCATCACCACCACGCCCATCCCATAGCTATTCAATCCACTGGTGCCCAGCCTTTCGTGGTGGGATCTAATTGCAAAGAGGGGGGTGTTCTGGGAGAAGCGAGTCTGGAAGAAGGTTAAGCTCATCTTGGGTCGACGGATCGCAATGCGGTGCGGGTGGGGGGTCTTGGCAAGGCTAGAAGCCGGGTAGGTTCAGTCCTGGATGATTGGAGATCGAGAATGTTCTTGCTATTGTTATTGTCAACTTTGTGCCTTGTCATCAATGAGTTGAAAGTAGAGGGATTCAGTAGATGCCCCGGGATTTGTGTCTCGAGGGGGGGGGGAGGAGTAATGGACGAACCGATCAGTGGAATGTTGACTATGGCGGGGATCTATGGTTTTTCCGGCCTCGGATCCGAACCCACTGTGACTGGCAGGTTCCAAGGCAGAGCTCCGATCTTTCAAGGTTTCTCACTCTCCCCGAGGGTTTGTGACAACTATACCTTGTTTACCAAACTTAATTCATGCATCAAGGAGGATGTGAACTGATGGGCCAATCTACAACCTACCTTCCTTGCAACGAGATCCTGTCTCGCGGTAGTAACGGCCGATTCAGTCTCTAGAGAGGAATCCACCAGAATGTGTGTCGTCCACCACATCCCTCGCAGCAATGCTTATTCACCAACGCGCTTGCTGATTTGCCGCATCTTTAATCCGGTCTCATCCTAAGAATAGGCACGCACCCGCGCAGTTCTGCTGGGCTGGACTCTTGGAGATCGACTGAAAGAGATTGCCAATAGGAGGAGAATCCTGGGATAATTTTAGACGTGTTTGACGGAATTGGATTATGTGGAAATCGAGTTCTGATTTGGAAGGCAGTCGGTATATCTGAATCGCAGCTGTATCGAGGCCTCTAGTACTAGTATGACCAAACAACTTGGAATGTCATAGACCAGTATGAACGTGTGATGAGCATATTGCCGCTGCTCTGAAAGGGTAAAATAGCCATCGGACAAGCATACAGTCCGTTGATGCTAGTCTATCTGCCAAACTGCGGGCCGCTCGGGTAGACGGCTGCAGTCCCACCATGGGACGTAGACATTTATTTTGGGTTCAAGTTTGCGGCACTACATAGAACACCAGACTCGAATTGGCCATTCAAGAGTACTTGAATTATTGATTCGGGCTGGTCAATGACGGTGGGTAATCTACAGGGCGCTTCTCCTCAACTGTCCCTCTGCTCACGATTACATGTCATCCAGGGCAAGGCCCGGCAATAGAGTTCAAGCCACCCTGCAGCAGAAGGCAGGAGACCAGGTTCTGCTCATCCCTGGATTGATTCGATTCCAGAGTCGTTGATATAAATTATCGAATTAATGTACAGTACTTGCACCGCACTGGACTTGCCCGCACCTCAATGGCCGGGAGTTATCCCGACCAATGAGAATTCGGCTGCAACATTCCCTTCCGTCCAGTCTGCACGGGTCAGGATTGTTGCATTCCTCAGAGAAACCCGAATATTGCACTTCACCCTATCACTACCTGAGTGAGCTATAGCAGTAATTAAGCGTGGAAGCGACACAGTTGGTCGAACGTTGCAGCCTGGGGGTAATGAGGTCACAACACGGAATTGAAGCTGCAACCAGACCATAGGTCGTGCTGGAATTTTGCGAGCGGACCAGCCGGTTGTTAAGGCTGACTTGACTTTGTGAATGGCCAAGGTGGTCTCTCATCACTCTTATACTGTATCACTCGTAGGCCCGCTGCCTCCGTGCCGAAGCTGGAGAGTGTCAGGACGCAATTGACCTTCCGTGATAAGCTCTGAAGAGTGCGAGTCGACCCGGCTAGACCGGACATGACGACGTAGATGGGTAATGCGCTAAAATTACTAAGTCACTGAGGAGATGTTGATTCTCACTGCAATTGGAGTGTGAAAGTCGATGTGATAGTGGTGACGTGATGGTGACCGGAGTGTGGTCGTCATACTGACCGGGTAGTAATTGACTTGACTTGATTGGCGTGTCGCGATGATGAGTGCTATAAGAACAGGTTAATGGGAGAAAGATTAAAGAAAGCGATCAAGAGAGATCAGCTTTCTGCGACTCATTGTGTCAGTGATTTGTGTTTGTAGCCGAACAAAGGTGAAGAATGACTACTCGGCCGTTGCAAGCGTTGGGCGGAGCTCTGGGGGCGATGGCCCCAACCGATTCGCTGTTCCAGGGCGCCAATGAGGGGCCCGCCCAGACTGCCGCCAAACTGACGGGCGTGCAAACCGTCGGCCAACGCGCCGACGATGCTTCTTACTTCACTAACAATGAAGGCATTCCCTTTCCCGACCCCGCTCACAGCAAGACTGCGGGGGGTATTCCCGTCATCTCCGATACTTTTCTCATTCAGAAGCAGCAGCATTTCAATCGCTCCAAGAACCTGGAGCGTATGGTTCATCCTTGTGCGTTGTCTGGATTGATTGTTGTGCTCTTGCGTTTGATTCCCTCATTAACCCATTAACCCCACTACAGGCGGTAGTGGCGCCTTCGGATACTTCGAGACCACCAAGGACGTTTCCTCGCTGACAAAGGTGACGACGATCTTCCATTTACGACCGTGGGAGAGTAACTAATTGTTCAGGCCAACTTTCTGAGATCCTCCGGTGTCCGAACCCCCGTCTTCGTCCGCTTCTCGACCGTCACCCTCGGCAGAGAGTTCCCCGACCTCGCCCGGAACCCTCGCGGTTTCGCCATCAAATTCTACACCGGGGAGGGCAACTATGACATTGTGGGATTGAACTTCGTATGTCTCTTGACGAGTCATCTGCCGACTGCCACTGATACCCGGATCTAGCCAGTCTTCTTCTGTCGCGACCCGATTCAAGGCCCCGATGTGATCCGCTCCCAGTACCGCAACCCCCAGAACTTTCTGCTGGACCACAACTCGCTGTTTGATTTGCTTGCGAACACACCAGAGGGGTATGTGGCAATCCTGCGAGGGAAGGGACTGCGCTGACCGTCACCAGTAACCATGCAGGAATGATGTTCTTCAGCGACCATGGTACGCCGGTCGGATGGCGGAATCAGCATGGCTACGGCTGTCATACTTTCCGATGGTAGGTGATACCCGAGTGGATTTGGGGTACGACTCTGACACAGGGCAGGGTGAATGCCGAGGGCCGATTCGTCTACATCAAGTACCACTTCCTCGCCGACGGCGGCCAAAAACAGTTCACCGCCGATGAAGCCCAGCAGCACGCTGGAGCTGACCCAGACTACTCCAAGCGCGATCTCTGGAGAGCGATCGAGAACGGAGAAAAGGTCTCCTGGACCGCCCACGTCCAGATCATGCAGCCCGAGGATGCCGATCCGTCCGTACTGGGCTTCGACCCATTCGATGTCACCAAAGTGTGGCCGAGAGACAAGTTTCCGGTAAGAGGACATCGAAGCATCCAAGATTCTCAAAACTGACAGTGACCAGATGGTCGAATTCGGCAAGCTCGTGCTCAACAAAAACCCCGAGAACTTCCACCGCGACGTCGAGCAGGCCGCTTTCTCGCCGGGCAGCATGGTGCCCGGCATCGAGGACAGTCCGGACCCGCTCCTGCAATTCCGCATGTTCTTCTACCGGGATGCGCAGTACCACCGCATTGGCATCAACCTCCATCAGATCCCAGGTACTACATCAGCCCCTTCCTCGCTATCTCCTCGAACCGCAGCACACTAACCATTCCAGTCAACTGCCCCTTTATGACCAAATCGTACTCTTCGCTCAACTTCGACGGCCAGATGCGTGTCGACGCCAACCACGGCATGAAGCCGCAATACGTGCCCAACAGCTTCGCCCACAAGTTCCGGCCCGACACCGCCGAGGCGCCATACCAGGTGGCGGACAACAACGTCGGGCGCAAGTCGCACTTCTACCACGAGGGCAAGGACTCGGAGTATGACCAGCCGCGCGAGCTGTACCACCGGGTGATGGACGACCGCGCGCGCCAACACCTGCACGACAACACCGCGCGGCTGCTGCGGGTGGTAGAGTACCCCGAGATCCAGGCCAAGTACCTGGCGCAGCTGTATCGGGTGGCGCCCGCGTATGCGCGCGGCGTGTACGATCTACTGCCGGAGAAGAAGTTCGAATTTAGCGAGGTGGAGAAGCGGTCGCAGGGGGCGGAAAGCGCGGGCAAGACGGCCAAATTCATGCCCAGCGTCGAGACGGACAAGCTGGTGGGGATGTGTCCAGCGATGCCGATTTACAATGTTTGAGGTCTATGCTTTGATAATGGTTGACGCGAGGCTAGTGTATGTCTGTCTCACGTTTGAGTCTGGTGTTGGTTACGCTGTTCCATGAAAACTGGTCATTCTATTAATCTGCAAACTATCTCAACTGTCACTAAGTCGTACACATAGTACGATATACAATGCACAAGGCAAGGAAGTAGTCCTCGGTTGCAAGACAAGCCCGTCGACTGAGTCGCTCAGGACATGCATGCACTGAAACGCAGGGAGAGAATGAGGTTCGTTAGAATCGCGACAAGCCAATAGAGATCCAATGAACCCACCCCACACACCCAAGCGGGCGGTGCGCCCGTCTCGCGCGTAGTCAACAGTAAGTAACTCGCACAAGCACAAGCACAAGCACAAGCTACCCACGCAGACGAACGGCACGACATCTCGCAAGATCCAAGCGCACGCATGCATCCAGATCCCACGAGCGAGCAGCCACAAATCCAATTCACCCGGCCGGCCACATGAATCGACTCCTCAATCAACGTCTCAAATCCTTCAGCCGCCTCGTCTCGCGCACAACCTTCCCCTTCTTCTTCTTCTTAGACTTCGCTCCCTGCGAGGCATTCTCCTTCTCGTCACCGCTGTACTCGGCAGAGGGCCCCGGCGTCGAGCGCGGAGAACTCGCCTCCTCGGCCTCCTGACTACTTTCCCGGGCTATGCGCTTCAGGAGCGCGTTGCGGCAGTAGGGACAGCTTTTCTCACGCGCGGTCTGGTAGATCTGCTCGCAGGTGGGGCATTGCGTGATGTGTCCGCGGTCGAAGCAGGAGAGTTTGAAGGGCGTTCTGCATACTGTGCTATACACTATATTAGCTTGATTCGACGGATTGGGGGTAGAAACGGCGGGACTTACCAGTGATGAGGCATGTTGTTCGGTATGTTTGCCTGTGAGAGCAGGTAAGTAAGTGCTGCAATGGTTGCGTTAGTCGTGTCTGTCCTTGTGAGTTATACAATCTGTATAGTTGGGTTGTGGGGAGGTTGAGCATTTGTCTATCTTCTCAACCAAGGTTACGGCGACGGGTGGTGCCGTACTTATAGCTCCTCTGGCTGGTTGCGATAGGAGAATACAGACTGGCGATCTTGAGGGAGTTTTCAGTCCTGCATTTGTTCTTGCGTGCGTCTGCGTGGGCAGACGACGGTATACAACGCCATTGTTGCGGACAATAGAGACAATGAGAGGTTCTTTGTTCCGACATTGTTCTTTGTCGTTCGGGATCGTGAGCCTTGTTGACTGCTTCGCTTGCATGCTCGTATTCCGAGCATCGTGGTGTTGGCATTTGGGGGTTGGTTATAGGGTGGTGTTGATGAGGTATAGCTGTCTTGGTCGTTCTCTGTCTCAGCCAATGACCTCTAGATATATTGGAAGAGAGTAAACCACATATAGATACTCAAATATAACCAAAACCCTACAACATCCTCTCCCACACGCTTCTCGGTCATGGTCTGCATACTGTTCTAGCAGCCTACAGCTAAGGTCAACCTACTGACATGCTGAACCCTAACACAGCTTGGCAAGCGCATTCCCCTGGGCCATTCACCAGACTTGGCTCATGAGCAGCAGAATCAACTCCCTCATCATCAACAGCACTCTGCTTGACTTCAAATGTTCAGCTGCCCTGCTTCATCCACATCCGCTCGACCGGGCTGCCCCGCGCGGCAATCTAAATGATTAATCTCGGACAATGCTTGGCCCCTGCCAAACCACGTCACTGCAAGATCCGCAGCAGGTCTCGGACATATATTTTCCAGGGAATCGGATATTGGCAGCGCAGACTTCTTCAGGGACGCCCCACGCGGGGTAATGCCGGGGTCGCGTCAATTGGGCGCTGGTTTGCTCGATCACTGCTTCATCACCGGTACAATGACGACCGAACAGCAGCAGCGCCTTAGCAACAAGACGCAGAGTCAGGCCTGGCGACATCCACCCCCTGGCCGAGTCAATCAGTCTGCTCGATGATTGCTGGAAACTGTGCTCAATTTCTCCATATGGTGGGGTGAAGCCAAAGAGGGTGCACATAAAAGCTACACCCGTCATGACGAGCAGCCTCTCGCGCAACACACCCCCAACCATACCTCCATCCCAAAGAAAACCAAAATGAAGCTCAACCTCATAACCTCCCTCCTCGCTCTAGCAGGGGGCACCAACGCCCATCCCAAAACCACGCCCCGGGCCCCCCTCTTCCTCCTCGCCGGCGACAGCACAACTGCCAAACAATCCACCGGCGGCGGCGGCTGGGGCAACGGCTTCATCAACACAACGCTGCACCACGGCGCGACAGGGATCAACTACGGGGTCAACGGGCGCACAACCGTAAGCTACCGAGCAGACGGGTACTGGGCAACCGTGCTGTCCAAAGTCACGGCGTCGCGCAACGAGGCCAATCCCTACGTGACGATCCAATTCGGACACAACGACCAGAAACCCGCGGCCAACATCTCGATCACAGAGTACACGAGCAACCTGGAGAGGTTCGTGACTGAAGTCCGCGCCGCCGGCGGCAACCCCATCCTCGTCACGCCGCTGTCGCGCCGCGGCTACGATAACTCCACCGGCGTGCCCCGCGTCGTCGAGAACCTGGCTGCCCAGCGCGCGGCCACCATCGCGGCTGCCCGTGCCACTGGCGCCACGTTCATTGATCTCAATGAGGCCAGTACCCGCTACTTGAATAGTATTGGGCCCGCCGATGCGTGGACGTATAACCTTAATCCTGAGGATCAGACGCATCTGAATGCGCAGGGGAGTGTGGTTTTTGGGGGCCTGGTGGCGCTCTTGATTGAGGGGGCGTTGCCTGAGTTGAAGGAGGAGGGGTTTGTGGGTGTTGAGAAGAAGTTGGAGGTTGCGTTGGATGAGAGGAAGTATTTTTGGCCTTAGGGCGGCTTTTTGTGCTGTGTAAGAAGGTGGGTTGGGGGGGGGGGGGGGGGGGGGGGTTGTTTGATGTATCTGGCTACGGTTGATTGTCTATACTCGAATGTATGTGCTTCCACATCTGCTGCGGATTTATCCGTGAAGATAATTCTTGTGGACCGTGTAAATGCACCTGCAACCAGGTTGAGATACATTTTGGGGTAGTCTCCCCATCATGCCTTGAGGTGATCTGTGGCCCTGACTCCGGTTTTCTGATTCAGCAGTGGATTTATGATGTATAGCGATTACTGCGTTGGAAGGATGCATCGGACTAGAGAGTTGAGAAGCTGTTATATTGGGGTTCGATGTCGACTGGTTGATTTCTCGGGGAGTATTGGAGAGGATGTGGTATGCTTGCAAAAAAATGACCCTGAGCATATTTAAGACCAGACTGAACTATGTGCTATACTTCGATTTCCCTGGTTTGAAGATATTGGTACCCAGGCCTTTTGAAAGTAAACTCTTGCTTGACCGCCCAGTATTATTCATTTACCCACTTGAGCTATCTGCATCGGGGTCCGCAGGAGCTGATATGCTTCTATGTGTCGAAGATATGTGCTTGTAGCATTTCCTGGAGCTATACCACCAGGAGGTGCGATAAATGATATCTATAGTATTGACTCACTCCTCTCAGTCAGTAGGACTCAGTGACCTGATTAGGGCGACGATGTGTTGCATTCAGTGTTATATGTAGAGCTCTCATCTGATGATACCCTATCATCAGGTTCTGCTCAGCTGGGTTTCTTAGCCAGTACGACCTCAATGAGTTTGAGACGAGCTAGGCTGGGTTCGTAGAGTAACGCCAGTATAGAGGGAGAATTTGTTATTTGACTCCTGTTTTTACCAGTCCCTCTTCCCCAGGCAAATGTGCTCGTGTATAAATGCGGTTGGGGCAGAAGTGACGCTTAGCTCACGATGACCCTTGCGATTGAAGGCTTACCATGATGTATCGTTCGGAAGAACAGCTTCAGCATAACCGATGAAGGTGTTGAGTAGCCATAGCCAAGAAAGGTCAGGAATATCATGTCAAACCACTAAGGATTGAGACGGTGCTCATCCAAGCAGGAGGCAAATCCGGCCGATAACTATAGATAGTAGTCCACCTCGACACTACCCTTACACTGAGTCAACACACCCCCGCCAACCATCTGTGCTCGTGCAAGAATCATGCACCAAGCGTACATACCAGCTGCATACACCCACCGATTGCATACATATCGCCGCTTGCTCCAGCGTGGAATCCACGAATCTTAGCCAAGTGCCTGATGCACGGCACGAGGATCCGACGCAAAGAAGCGAGATAGCGGACAGTGCGATAATGATATGATCACAAATGTCAGGGCCAGGCCAGATACGAGATAGGGGGCAAACAACCAGGTTGCATTGCGGCGATAATGAATAGGCTTGGCAGGTCCAACCTCGCCGCGTCGCAGATCGGTTTTTCTTCGGAAGAATTCGCGATCTCTTCCCGGACAGCCGTGCGGATGCAGGAATTTTTCCTGCAGCGCTATCGCCAGAGACACCGGGTTCTAAAAACACCGCAAGTGGCGTGTCGGGCGATTCAGAGCTTGCCACCCTGTCATTTACCCTGATCGAGTAGTCCAGGTCTCGGTATGATCAAGCAAGCTCCTTAAACCCACGAGCACCGATTGTTGGGAGGGCGGCTGCAGGGACCATCGCTCGGCCTGTGCACCTGGCGGTCGCGCACAAGTGATCGATGGGGCCAGCACGAAATCACCAACGCTTTCTGCACGGCGGGCCGTGGGACAGCCTGTGGGCTCGATGGCGTGCCTATCAATGCCAGCAGTTGTCGACCCTCGACGGTAGGGCGGACGGGAATTACGGTTATCTATCAGCGAAAACCTGCCTCCGATCGTCGTGAGGACTCCAGCCACCATGCCATTTTGTCCGTCCGGTCTCGTAGGGTCGGACATCCAGACCAGACCATGGATCTGCGCGACTCGACCTGCCGGGAGACATGCATTAGCAGTCTAATTGCAGCCCTGAGTATCACGGAGTTGCCTCAAATCATCCTCGGACATTCTGCTTGGATCTCCACTGCCCCAGAAACCCACAGCTCAGCAGTCTAGCTATCTCGCACGGTGCTTGCAAGGCTCCATCCTGTGTACTGTAGAGTGCAGGATCGGCGACAGCCGCATTAACGCTCCACATTGTGCGTGATACCATGTATGACTGTAAGGCGCAGTTTCCCAGAAGGTTTGGAAACTGGGTGTAGACGCGATACAGCGTACAATACATAATTTCAGAGTCAGTCGATTCCAGCACTAGGACGATAGAGGCGTAGTGGGATGATGGTGTCTGTACTTATGCACGTCCTACTTGTCTAGCGCATGCGGTAGCATCAGGAACGGTTTAAACACCCGTCCGGCCCAGGAGGATCCCTGCCAGGCTAGGATCCGGTGGCTGGGGAAAATGACCATCCACATTGCTTTGCGCGGCCCGTCATTTGGCAGGACTCTGCCATTAGTACTCGTGTGGACTAGTTCGGTGGCACCTCTGCTGGTGATACGTATCATGCAACAGTTGGCGCACGGCGACTCTCCACAGATTCAAGCCCAGAGGATATTACTCCAAGTGACTAACCCAAACCGGTGATTGGGGAACAGGCTGGCTGGTAACAGCTGTGAGACTAGTAGCCATCGTTGTAAAGGTCCGACCTCGCCGGAAGACAACTCGCGACATCGATAACTCCAAGGGTGGTGCTCACGAAAGGAGCTGTGGCTTAACACCGTTATTGCTCCGAGGTTCAGGGTATCAGCTACTGCGGATCCCTTATAGCAACACGTTGTTATAGCACGATCCCCGAGTTCTGCAGCAGCATCGATGGAACCAGAGGGCGCACGAGGGAGCCGTCGCAACACCTTCGAAATTAATGACTGGTCAGAGCTCCAATAGTGGGTCGGTCGGTGGGACATCGAGCAACGCCTTCAAGTGGCCCGCACGGAGTCGGAGTGTTCAACCTGACAGCAGCACCTATCATGACCCTGACTCTTATTACACCAGCGCCATCAATCAGGATAGCAGATGGAAGATGGCGTGCTAGGCTAGTCAAGCATGATTCAAGCAGCACTGAGCTATATCTGAGGACGACGCCGCCCAATCATGATCTTCGTGCGTAATAATACCTCAATTAGCCCAGGATGAGACCGGGGGTGGACTAGTACTGTACTCCTAGGTACTAGGTAGCAGGTACCTCACCAGTGAGCGAAAAACGCCTCCCCGGGCTTAGATTGGTCACATAGGTATGAGACCGAGTCAACTGTTTTGCTCTCGCACCAGTGTTTCCCGCGATACGAAGACGTGCTTGTTTGGCTGTCTTGGGGGTAGATTATTGATCGCTGGACACGCCAACCGAGATGTCAAAGTCTTGGTGGTCAAGAAATAGCTGGCGAGTGCAGGATCGACATTCTCCCATGATGCCATCCTGCATCCAAGGCCGTCCACGAGCTCGGAAAATTTTCTGCTCGTTACTCGCGTCTCGCAGGATCTACAAAGCGATTGTTTGCGATTCGTCCGTCCGGAGGTGCAGACTGCATTATCCTGTGTCGGATCATAGTGGTCCGTGGCACCCGCGGCTGTAGCCTTGTCTTAGCTTTTCTGGCGAAAGTCGCGATAGAGACTGCATCGGTCGCTGCAGGCCACCGAAAAGCTGCCAACCCCATTTGACGAGGAGGAAAGTGCACTATGCGATGGTGCTGTCAGGGGCACTCTCGGCCAGCGGTCGCAGAGGTTCTAGCATGCTTCTGTGAGTAGTCAAGCCAAGGCACCTTGCCACTCGCTTCGCGGGCGACTGGATGTCGAGGGTCTGTGAAAAGTCTTCGATCTATCTGTTGAACGGTGCTACGATCGTCCACCCCAGGAGCGACACAATGCCATTTGTCCGACTGTCGAGCGTTGAGTGGATACCATCAGAAGATCTTCCGCAGTGGCACCGCGAACGAAGTCCACGAAGATGATTGACTCTGGGACTGTAGTTGGCTAAGCCCCAGTTGTCTTTGTTGAGTGGAGGTAATGATGCGCGAGTCTAGTTCGCAAGGGAGGTACGGAGTAGGGTACTGTAGGTCAACAGCTGTAGGAGTTGAGTTCCCGATCATCAGGATTGATAGAGAGCAAGCACAGCACCCACCCACAAACAGGATCTGGTTCCGATCGCCCGAGGGATCCCAGTCAGCGCTGGGCTGGGATGGGATGGAAGGAAGGAAGCCTTGGAGATGGTGTGCAGCAACCGACGCGCCGCTAAAATGGGCTCGAGCGACGGTGACTGGTCTGCCTGCCTCAGGTGTCGAAGCCACCCCATGTCTGTGGTCGGGGTCCGTGCCATCAACTAACTACCTAGGTTGTCACTTATCACTTGTCACTTGTTACTACTACACCGTCACAATATCAGCCATCGACGTGTTCGGGCATGGATGGCGCAAAAGGATTCACTCCCGTCTCTGATTCTGATTATCACTCACTTGTCACTGCTACATAGCATGTAAGCTTCCAGAATCGGAGCTCCGGTTGAAGTCGGCTCAATTTCGTTCAGTCACGACGATCATCATCCAGTGGGATGGTGGCACGCATATTGATTACTTGTTGGGTGGCCTATATATAGCACGCGGTAGGCCAACCACCCGCGGATATTGGCTGCAGTGGTCGAAGCCTTTTCTGCCTCAGGACGTCATTGACGGCGGCTAATCCTGGTTTGATCGCTGATTGCCTCAAGTGGATGTTGGAGTCCTCCAGCCTGTACTCATTAGAGTGCCGGATATACTCCCCCCCGGTCCAGTCATGATTTGATCAGGGATTTTTGCAGAGCTTACAGCGGCAACACATCCCAATGAAACCCCCACACTATTCGAGCATGGACCACCGGTGGATCCTCGTCCGCCAGAGTCTCTCGCTGCTCGACACCGTACCGACGTGCCTACACGCTACCATTTTACAGTATGAAAGTGGTACGAGGTATGCAACCGATGCAAGAGAAAACGGCGCCCAGGCATTCAACCAAAAATGGTTCTGGATCTGAGTTTCATATCCACCTCGCGCATGCTGGTACGCAACCCGCAAAGACAGGGGTCTTGAACTATGAGTATGAAAGAGATGAGGCAAGATAGGTAGGTAGTCGTTGCAGCATCCATTCATCCTTTTCCTCCAAACCAGCAGGCGGTACTTTCGCTAACTGCCAGAGTGGTGAGTGACCAGTAGCCACTATTGTCCAGGTACCCGCACGGCTCGCCACGGGCAATGTTCTAGTCGGACTAGGAAAACCTTCCTCGTCTGCATCTCACTGACTGAATGCTCGGACTATTTACCATCAAACTCAAACCGAGTGGGCCATTCCCCTAACGCCAATTGAAACCGATGGAAGTCAAATGGGCCAATGCAACGTGGACGCGGCGGTTGACCGATTGCTCGTGTTGCTTGGCCATCGAGGCCCAAATTTCGAGCTACGACAAATCGTTCTTTAGGCAGGTACACAATGACACGGGCACAACTCGTCAAGCATATCGACTCTCCTGACTCAGTCCGTCAATTGGGGGATGGTGCTAGGCAAGCCGCCAGCCCGTCTGCGGATCAATCAAGACCGGCGCCACAATCCAATCAGGGACTGCAATGGCTCTCGCGAGTTCCACTGGTGGCTCCGGGGTATTTCCTGACTTTCTTTTCCAGAGTCGTGCCGAATGAACCGCCAAGTCTTCAGTCACCAGGAAGACTTCCCACCGAGAGTAACGGTCACCTGCCAATGGGGTGGACGTGGATGTGAAACACCGATCACATATTTTAGGGGGGGGAATGTGGCTAACATGGCACTCAGCTTCTTTTGCGGGATCGGCCGATGCTAAGAATGAGGGAGCTGCGGGTTGACCGAACCTTGGGAAGGAGTCGGACTCCAGCTCCAGCCCTTTATAGAGAGTCTGAAATTGCACCCTTATTCAGGGAGGGATGACCGTCATGGATCCACCCGCCAGGACGGATCGAACGGAGGCGATTGGGACAATACCCGCCGGATCCAGGGAAAATCCCCCACAAAAACCGCAACCTCGCTTTCATTCCGCTGCCCGGCCTCTCCCCCACAAAATGGCGCACACGCTCTGCTTTGCCCACTGCGGTCCGGCCGGTCTTAGGGTCCTCTCTTGACTGGAAGGGGAGGGTTTGGCGGGCGGCGCCAACCGCCCCTACAACGACCGACTAGGAAGCAAAGCAACCTCGGTCCATGGGTGGGTGGTTCGGATTCTCCCAACCTTTTTTTTCCCTCCAGGTCTCGATTGCTCTCAATACACGGTGAGTTTCTTTTTGTGCTCGGTACCAAATGCTGGGGAAGGAGAATGCGAAACTCACGCCCCCGTGCCTACTGCGTCTCGGGAACAACAGTGGCCGATCCAGCCGGGTCACGAGGTCTGGGGTTGGATTCGTGTTAAAAAGTTAGTAGATGGAGAGACGGAGAGAGAGAAGAGACCAGGAGCATAAACGGCCCGTGACCTGGTGGATAACTACCTATGTCCCCCCGGGGCCAAGACAGTAATCTTACTTACGGCTTACCGTACATGCTGTATCATACCTAGTAGGTGTCCCCATTGTTACCACTGGCTGGCGACAGGCCGTGAAACTGCCTAATGGGGCTAGTGGTCTAGTTTGCAGTGGTTTGCTGCCACCGTGACTAGTTCCGGACCGCCGTGCCAGCAACTAACTGAACTCACCGGTAACCTCCCATACAATACAACTGCCGACGATAGTCGATGGACGAGGTTGTCGACTAACGACCAGATGCCATGCCTTCCGGACAAGGTCCGTGATCACCACCATAGCTATCTTCATCATGTCTATCCAGGAGCTAGGATCGGACAGAGCCGTGAGCATGCTCCCTCGTCCAGTTCAAACGGGGGCAGTGGCAACTCGACTGTCCTCCCCCGACGCAGCAGGCAGCAGCGCAATCGCCCTGTAGACCGAAAAGTCGGACTCAGGCAGGGGGGGGGAGGGGTTTCATTCATGGCATTATTCAAGTCTCGCCTTCGCACCACCGGGATGATGGGCAATGAACGGGCAACGTTCCGCGTGGACCTCTCAGTCAGTCAGTCCTTCCCAGACTCCTAGCCGGGCTCGGATGGGGAACTGGGCTGGCAAGCGATACCTTCCGGTCGACATCGGGGTGCATCCGAGCTTACACTGCAGGAGATGACCAGGATCGCAGGTGTAAGAGCCTATTTTGTGGTTGCTTTGATTGCTGGCTCGCTGGAGTCGCTGCAGGGAGGAGTTCTGACAGAAACGATGGTTCCAGAAAGATAGTTTCCCGCCTCTGTCTGTCTGTCTGTTTGTCTGAGCCCTGATAAAAAGTCTAATCGATATTGGACTGGTGTCTGGTGTTAGTGAGTTTCCCCGTCACCGAGCAGAGTCCGTAGTTAGGGAGGCGTCGACTACTCTAATTGTACAGGGTCTGTCTGTCTTGGAGGGACGGGATGGATTCCAGTTGCTGAAGACCTTTGTCTCTTCCTACGTCATAAGTGGCTGTTACTTCAGGGAGTAACTATACTTAGTGCTAGATAGGTGAAGTGCTAGGATAGTGTGATCGTTGGGGGTAGTAGTGTAGCTATACGTGGGGTGGCTTATAGGATGATCGGAAAAAAAGTAGAATAGGGCAGTGGAAAAGGTGGAATAGCGTAAGGTGGTACTGATGATGATGATGAGGATGATGATGATGATGACGATGATGCTGAGGGTGTATTCCTCATACTGACAGCGTACGATACCCGAAGTCCGGGTGAGACCGTATTGGTGTAAGCAAACGGTATGGCAACCGGGGGTGGGAATCGAAGTGGAGCCGAGCCCTCAAACTAACTGAACTAAGGCTTTGGGTCTTTGCCTGTCATGGCCCTCATGGCCCACTTCATATTCAGTGATCTTGGATCATTGGGGGATGTAATTGACTGACTAAGGCTGGATTTGTCTGTGGTTTCGTGAGCACTGGGCTGGTTCCAACTCCCAACGAGTGGTGGTGGTGGTATGCGTGTGCCATACCGAGTCTTACCCTGGAATCTCTCTCGCTCTGCATCCGCTGAGATAAACGAGCCACCAAGCGATCGCAATTAGCTCGTTGGTGAATTATTTCGTTCAATGGATTAATTCTATTATTAATAATCCCGCATTCGGATCAGTCTGGCCGGAGACCGGCTTGCTGACGACGTTGGCTCGGGTGTCGCCTCGGGGGCAGCAGGTAGTCGTAGTCGTAGTCGTAGTAGTAGTAGTAGTTAATAGTGAAAGAAGCAGAAGACGCAGGACTGAGAAAAGGGTATTATTCTTTTTATTCTTAGTGTATCCCGTAATTAATTTTCCCTTGCGGCAAGACTCTGAGTATATTTGAATGAAAGGGAAGTGTTCACAGTGAAGTGAAGAGAAGACAGAGAGGTAGTTGGACTCCAGACAGTCAGACAGCCTCACTCGGCACAACCACCACCGATCACCTTTCTTTCTTCCTTCCTTCCTTCCTTCCTTCCTTCTTCAACCTCTCTTCCTCTCCTCCCTCCCTGCATCTTTCTTCCTCCATCCCTCTTCTCTCTTCTCTCTTCCCTTACTTCTGCATCATCACTCGAATTCCGTGGACTTTTATTTCTTTTATCCATCAGTCGGTTCTAGAATTCCTGATTGAAGCAGTCTTATCATTCCCCCATTCGGTTATCTCCGGGGTTGATCCACTTTCCTCATTCTCTCTCCGTATCTCTCTCTCTCTCTCTCTCTCTTCCTTTCTTGTGCCATCAACGCACATCACGCAACGGTGGATAAGAGATACCTTCAGTCTCTTCAGTGCATTCGCATCCATCATCGTTTCTTTCTACCTGGGTGGATGTGACTTCAATGCTTTATCCTCATTAGCTTCAATCCTCCCTTCCCCCTGGTAGCCGGGAGAGAGTTCCATCGACTGAACGACCCCCCCCTGCTGAATAAAGTTGCGCTGACCCCCGAGATCAACCACCCACCCCCAGGTACACTACACTTTGCCACCTACACTTTCTTACTTACCTTGACACCCACCCTACCCACTTTCCTACCTCGTTCTGGCAACCTCTTTGTAGTACCTATTTCATTAGGTTCATTTCACCTCCCACGACCGCTCCTCTTCCAATCTCCATCAATCTCTCTTCTACCCTTTCTATCCTTCCAGTCTGTCATTCTGACATCCTTCCTTCCCTAATTGTCCACTCGGCCTCGACTTAAGGTTGTTGGATGCTTCCTGTGTCTGGTAAGTTCCGTTGGTTGGCCTGCACCTTATTTGACGCATCGTCATCTCCGAGCAAATAATACAGCAAAGCTAACCCCAATCGTCTTGAATCAGAATGCGGTCAATGTCGGGCTTTGCTTTCCCCCGTGCGCAGTGAACCCTTTCCTATCGCCCTCGATAATCGTCATCTATACATTTATCGCCGCCATCCCTCTCCTCCGCTTTCATTCCTATCCTCAATCGGCCTGCGCCTGTATTCAGACTCTCGCCCAATCCAGTGAAGCCACTGGTGCATATACATTCGTCAGGTAATAGGATGCTACACGACTCAATGGCGGGCCAAGATCCGGCCACGAGCCCCAAGATGGACAGCATCAGTGAGGTCCCGGGGGACCTAGCGGGTGAGTGACTATAGTGGCAGACATCGCTCATGGCTCCCTTGATCCCTAATCACAAATCCAGCACCGCCCAAAACCACCGCCAAAAAAGATCCCAACGGGGTGGCCAACAATGCAGCCGCCGCCGTGCCGCCGCCGAAGACCGACAAGCCACGTCCACACGGCTGCACCACCTGCGGTCGCTCTTTCGCGCGACTGGAGCATCTCAAGCGTCACGAGCGGTCGCACACCAAGGAGAAGCCCTTTGAGTGTCCCGAATGCGCACGCTGCTTTGCTCGTCGCGACCTGCTGCTGAGACACCAGCAGAAGTTGCATATGACCACAACCCCATCGTCACGCCCGAGGAACGCGCGCCGCGAGAGCACCGGCACCGCTGGGACGGGAACCACGAACCGGGTTCGAAAGAACTCCATCGTCAGCAATCCCAGCAGCATGCGCCCTCGGGCTAATACCATCAGTCATATCGACGGTGCGTCGTTGGGCTTGGTTGGGGCAACCCACCCCCCGACCGCGGGCCCCGGTCATTCGGGTCATGCTTACCACCCGAGCATCGGTTCTGCATCGGTGGGTTCCAACCTGGACTTCCGTGGGTTTACGGCAGGACACCATGCCCCAGTCAACGGGCTCACCAAGTTGGATACCTCGGGCTTACCGATCGACCTGTCCGGGGGTCTTCGGACGGCTCCGGTCTATGGAACCTTTGACCTTAGCGTTCCAGATCTGGCCCTGGGCTATAATACCACGATCAATCCCGCCCAGCTCCACTTCGGCGGCTCACCGCAAGCCTACGGAAATGACTCGCCCTCCTCACCCTACACTCATGCGGCACACCATATGCCCCCAACCGATCCCATGATGGAGGACGACTTCCAATTCGATTGGATGAACGGCTACGATCCCTCGATGCAGATGCGAAAGAGCAACGACTCCGCCATTGATGAATCATCGCCGTCGGCCATGAGTACTGGAAGCCAGAGCGGGATCAGCGAAGCCATGATGGATGGTTCCAATCGCTACTCGATCTCGTCAGCGAGCTGGCACAACCCATTTCCTCCCCACACGACCGCAGCATCCACGAACCACTATTCCCTTGACTACTCCGGCGCTTTTAATGATCTAGGCATCCCACCAGAGACCGTCTCTCCCAAGTCGTTGATGGCGCAGAATCCGTTTGCCGAGACGTATGCCACCCCGCCGTCCATGACCTCAGTGGGCCAACCCCTCATGGGAGGACACTCGCAGAGTATGTTCCCATCCTCTATGGCAACCAACGGAGATTCTCCTAATCCTCTCAACTTGCCTTTCACGAATAGTGCCCTACGAACTCCCCATGTCCCAAGCTCCTCGGATACCTTTACAGACTCCACCCGACAGGCTTTACTAGCCAGCATGGCCCATCCGACCGGTCTGAATCATCGCAAATACTCCCAGCCGGCCAGCGGTATGGTGCCATACCGGGATCTCTTCTCGCGTTCTTCAAGCCTCAGTAGCTCTGGCCAACTTCCCAGCACTTTGGACATGCAGCGTTACATCTCCGCCTACATCACCTACTTCCACCCGCACATGCCGTTCCTCCATATTCCGACGCTGGATTTCCAGGCCCCCGAATACACCACCAACCTGCGCACGCCGAGTGGCCATCTCAACCTGTGCTCGACCGGTGTCGCTGGCGGGGGCGGATCCCTGATCTTGTCCATGGCCGCGATTGGAGCACTCTATGAGTTCGACACGGCGGCGTCGAAAGATCTCTTCGAGGCGGCCAAAAAAATGATTCAACTCTATCTCGAAGAACGTCGGAAGGTGGACATGTCCGCTGCGTTGGGCCGGGCCAGCTACGCCCGCGATAGCTCGGTGCAGAACACCCCGTTATGGCTGGTGCAGGCCATGTTGCTGAATGTCATTTATGGCCATACGTGCGGCGACAAAACGTCGGCCGATATTGCGAGCACGCACTGTGCAGCACTGGTCAGCCTGGCGCGGGCGGCTGAGCTCACCCACCATGTGGATGCCAAGGATCTGCCTCAAGACTACCTGTCAGCGGGTTTCGGTAGCACAAACGGCGTCAGTGCTGACGCTCAAAACCAGCCAGGCGCCGCACAGCCGAAAGAGAGGAAGGACTGGCTGGACTGGAAGATCGTCGAAGAACGGAAGCGGACTCTGTATGCGATCTTTTGCTTGTCATGTTTCCTGGTCTCCGCGTATAACCACACACCGGCGCTCACCAATTCGGAAATATGTCTCAATCTGCCTTGCGAGGAGGATCTGTGGGCTGCAGAATCCCCCCAGGCATGGAAGCGATTAGGCGGCCACTTGTCCGCGCGGAGCAGTGCTCCCTTCCCCTCTGCCTTGACCACCTTGTTGACTGCCAGCCAACGGGAGCGACAATCGACCCCATCCACTCAAGTACAGTCACCCAGTGAGGCGGCTTCTCCTAGCCCCTCTGCATCCAATCTGAAGCCTAGTACATTTGGCTGCCTGGTTCTCATCTATGCTCTCCACAATTACATCTGGGAGACTCGCCAACGGCACCTCGGCCGGCAATGGACCGCTCGTGAAACGGAGGCTATGCAGGCGCATATTGAGCCTGCCTTGCGTGCTTGGCAGACCGCCTGGGCCAGTAACCCGGTGCACAGCCTAGAACGCCCGAATCCGTTCGGTGCGGGGCCGTTGTCGGCCGACAGTATCCCGTTGTTGGACCTTGCCTATGTAAGGCTGTTTGTCAATCTTGGCAGATGCAAGGAGGCATTTTGGCAACGCGACTGGAATGCCATGTCTGATGAGCTCGCGCGCGGGATTGAGTTAGTGCACCCCCTCGACGACATCCCACCCGAGGTACTGGATCCTTCGATCACCGAGGCCTCGGCTCAGCTTGACCAGCGTCGTGATTCAATCGCAGACTTGGGTGTTGGTGACCTTGCCATCTCGGGAACCCCCACGCAGGAGCAGCCTGTGCAACTTATGATGGGTGTGTATCGACCGGGCCAGTCCAAACGGGAAAGGCATCTGCGCAGAGCCGCGTTCTATGCCGCGGACTCGATCAGCATGTCGGACCAACTGGGCAATACCTTTGCAGAATTTACCTGTCGGGAGTTGCCCATCCAGAGCGCCATGTGCACTTTCGATTGCGCCCAGGTGATTGCGGAGTGGATCACGACTGTACAGGAACGGGTTGGGCCATACTTAGGTGTCCTCGGCCGTGACGAGGTTGATTTGGCTCAAGCTACTCGTGTCATGTTACTGGAAGAAGAAGATTGCAAGCTCATCGGCAAGATCAAAGAGATACTCGGGAACATCGAAAGCAAGATGCAGAAGGAGGCGCAAAACAGCGTCACCATGTCCGCGCTCAGCGTTCTGCAACGCCTGCCCAGTGTGGTGGAGGGTGGTTACGGCTGCAAGATCCTGGTTGCCACTGCGAGCCTCCTCGACCGGGCTGCGGTGTGGCCGATGATCAAGATCATGGCTCGGTCTCTTGAAGCACAAGCCTTGCGATCGAAGGAACGCGCAGAGAGCTCTACGCTTGGGGGTAACTAGCATGGGGTGTCCGCCCGACTCCATGCGCGCTGCATCGGATATCATTACCTTGCTGCGATTCAGACAGACCATACGACTTGGATCTTTCCGGCTCCTATCTTCACGAACCTCATTCAAACCTCATTTTGCTGACTGGATCTCCAAAAGTTATTCTGTGCCTCGGCTGGTGAGAACTCCAGCGATGTTGCCAGACCGGACGGGCTGTGGGACGCCGTCGGTATTCCCCCCCCCGGGGGCTTGTTCTCGTTACGCTGTCACGCAAGTGCCACTGTGCTCTAATCTTTATTGTGTGCGTTCTGTACTTCATATCGAGACATCTGTTATATGTATTTGTGAACGAACTGTTTGATGTGTTTTCATGTTTTCTGGACAGGCGGACCTCTCTGAGCGGCGAAAGAAATTGTTTGTGGGCCCTTTATGATACGACTGAAATGCTGGATTTGTCACGATACCCTGGATCAGCAGTAAGATGCGAGACTGACATGACTGACGGGTGGCTGGCTGATGGCCTCTGCCGGTCCCGTTCGATATCTGTGCACATATACTTGAGATAAACCTGTACATAAGCAATAAATGTGCGACGATCTTTGATCAGCTTGTTCCGATTCGGTGTTGAAGTATTCTACTAGATAAGAGGGGGTCTGAGGACAAGCTACCTAGGCTCATTCATAGTAGCTGTCAATGGTGATAACAACCAGATCGAGTCAATAGAACTGCTCTTCCTCCCCACCCCTCTACACATCTTTCAGACACTACACTAAAAGACAGATTCCAACTACGTTTAGCTACAGACCTGAGAACACTACAAAGGAAAAGGAAACTAAACCAAGATATCACTTTTGATCCGGTAGTATGTAGATGGCACATGCAATGTGTCTGTCTGGCTGTCCGTCTAATCTATACAAAAAGCCTCTCAAAGGAATACTTGCCCACGGCCTTCCGACGCAGATACCCGATCTCACGACTACTGCGCGCGCGCACCTCGCCCGTCTCCTTACGGACCTTCGTCTTGCTAACCTCGGCAGCGGCCTTCAGCGACAGCGGCAGTAACTTGCCGGAGGCGTCGCCGTCGTCGCCGTCCGCAGGATCGAAGACCACCAGGTCGGCGCCGTTGAGCTTCTCGTGGCGGATGTGTGCTGACGCCGCAGCAGTGACGGCGGGTTGTTCTGCTAGTGCGGTAGCCTCCGCCCCCGGCGCCGCCGCCGCCGTGGTGGTGGTGGTGGTGGCCTTGACGCTGGTGGCGTAGCGCAGGTACTCGCGCAGAATCCCGGTGAGATAGCTCGCCTCCTCGACGCCCGCTAGCGCCGCCGAGATCTCGGACTTGATGTCTGCGATTAGCTCCTGTTCGCGCGCAGTGTCGTCGAACGCCCCGCCTGCGGAGATCCAGCCTGAGGGCCCGATTGCGTCGATCGCTACGTTCAGCGTCCCCGTGATTGTCTCGAGCGAGAGCGCGGGGTTGGTCTGGTCGGCGGAGATCGGCGTCGGTGGGTTCTCGGTGAATCGCGTCGTGTGTCCGCTTGTGGCGAGGCAGAGACGCAGGTGCTGCACCATTGAGATGAGCTCTGCGCGCGTCAGGGTGATGCGTAGGGCGTGTGTCAGTGCCGCTTGCGGGTGCGCGTGCAGTCTTTCGAGCGTTGTGTTTAGGCCCTTGTAGATGTTGTGTAGGCTGGCGGGTTCGTCGGAGGTGGGGTCGGTGGGTTGGGTTTGGAGGGCTTGTGTGGGGTTCGTGGTGGTTGTCGTGGTATTAGAGGTGGAGGTAGAGGTAGTTGTCTCGGGGGAGGGCAGGAGGAGCTTGGCGCGCTCTTCTTCGAGGATGATCGCGCTGGACCGCGCCTTGGCTAGGAACAACCGCAGCGCATACGCGAGCTCGTCCGTCGACAGCAGCGCGCGGCCTGTCAGGATGCTGTTGAGGCGCTCCAGCGTCGGGTCTGAGTCCACCAGCCCCTGAACGAACGAGCCGACGGGCAGCTGCGGCAGGATGCGCGGCTTGGCGCTTCGGCGCAGCGCGATCTCCACGTTCGCCTGGCACAGGTGGCCGATGTTGATCAACCATTGGCAGGTGCGCTCGGGCCAGATGGCTATCGACAGACGGGAGGCGGAGGGGGCAGAGAGGCTGTCGTTCGTTTGGGTGTCCTCCTTCAGGGAGAAGATCAGGGTCAGCAGGAAGAGCGTCAGCTCGGAGTTGACGAACTTCTCGGGCCCTGGCAGGGTCTTGGACTCCCCGACGCCGAAGAATCGCTGGACGGCGTTGTCGAACTCATGGGTGTTGCTGTTCTGGACGCACTCGCGGAGGTCGGCGGTCAGTTGCGTCCACCGCGCGGTCTGCTTGGCGCTCAATCCAAGGGCTGCGGCGTCTTCCGTGCGCGGCTTCTTTGAGCTGCTGGCGTCTAACTGCGTAGCTGAGGATTCGATACCGCGGCCAATGGCGTCGATCAGGAGACCGTCCCGGGGGCGCTTGAGAGGTCCTGCGGCGAGGTTGGACGAGCTGAGGTCGAATGCCAGGAGCGTGTTGTTCTTCGTGGCGAGCGCGACGCCCAATCGGGCGAAGTAGCTGACAAAAGTCGTGGGCGCCTTGGCACTGGAGGAGCCACTGGCTGGAACGTCGGTGACGGCGATGCTCCGCTGGATGGACTTGTATTGCGTGTCGTAGACGGCGATCATCGATCTACCGGCGCCGATCACGGATTGCGGAGAGATGCGCATGATGGACGAAAACGTCTCGTTCTCAAGGATGAACTTCGATGTCAGGGTGGGGGCGTACTGGGAGAGGTCGAAATTGAGGTGTCCGTGGGGGTACGAGAGGTTCAGTCCGGCCGATCCGGAGTGGAAGTACCACTGGGAGCCCTGGCGCTCGATTGTGTCCTGTCCGCTGACCTCCGGGATGTTGATTGTGAGCAGGTGTCTCATCTTCTGGCTTTCGTCGATGCTGCGCTCCTGGTGGGTGACACTCGAGGGAACGGAGAACATCTGGACTTTGACGTCGCTGAGTTTGACCGGGTCGGAGCCATTGGGATGCGATACCACCAACAGAATCGAAGGCTCGTCCACGCCAGAGTCAGTGAGGCTTCCGAGAGCCAGGGCCGTCAGGTCTTGTCTGCGCTTGAGCAGGGACTTCTTAGCATCCTCGAATTCGACCAGGAAACAGGCGTTCACGTTGTGCGTCGAGCTGATTTTCGCCACCTCGCTGTGCTTCATGCTCCACCGCTGGGTCTTGAGGTCGGGCGAAAGGCGTCGGACCCGGCCATCCTGATGAACGGCGAGGATGTCGAAGGAGCCTTCCGGTTCGTCCTCGGTAGAAGGGCTTGGGACAATTCCCACAAAGTTGACTGGGCTCTCTGAGTCGCTGACGGAGTAGGCCGACGAAGAGATAACAGGCGCGCTGGAACCGTTGCCACCACTTTCTTCGACGAATGCCTTGATCTGTTGCTTCAAGGCGATGTATGTCTGTCTTCTAACCACGGCTTTGCTGGGGATCTTTCTGCGCACCGAGCAGGGCTGGCAAGTGAAGGAGGATTGCGGCGGGACGGCATAGGAGGTCACCAATTTGGGGGTTTGGATCTAAATCAAACACACGGTAATCAGTATGCCTGACGCTTTCATAATTCACTAAGAAAGAAAAAACATACGTTGTAGATGTTCACAGCTTCTCCATCGGCCGCGACGACGACCTCATGTCTCTTGCGCTTTTTCGACTCGGCCAGACTGAAGACATCGCCGATGTGAGTTTTGCCGGTAGAGGCGTGCAATGGGCGAGGCAACTGAGCCAGCACCGACGGCGGTTGCAAGTCCATGATGACGACGCTTGAGATGAGCGTAAGCGACAAATCTGCGACCTTTCTCGCCGTGAATTGCAGCGTCGGCCTTGGGAAAGAAAATGGACTCTGTATGCCTTCCCGAAAAATTTCCGGACTTAGGTTGCTCCGTTCTCCGGCACCGATACCCAAAGTGGATTAGAGGGAGAATGACGTCCGGGCGGTGGGAGGAAGGAAGGAAGGAGGCCTGAGGCAGAACTCCAGCTTAATGGGCGGCGCGGAAACACGCGCATCGCGTCTTTTGGTGCCCGCCGCAAGTCTCCTTCCCGACATGGTCTCTTATCATAACTTCAACGTCCTTTTTACTTTTTACCTACTTCATGACTTAGATTCCCGGGAACAGTTTCCGCTCAATTGACGTCTCTCTTTTACATGTCTGCTCCTTTGTCACTCCTTTCAATCCTTTTCAGGTGATGAGCGTATGCTCATCATCTGGAGACCCGAGATTCCATCAATGGCGACCGGACAGGGCGAACAGAGGGCTATCCACCCTTTCTTTCGGCGAGGTCAGTGTCATACCTGACACTCACTTCACATGAAGGCTCACTGTAAGCAGATTTCGGAGTAACACCTGACCCACTTGTCCATACGCCCGTCCATGATGCTCCAGCTCAACCGCACCCTCCTCACAGTGGCAGTGCTCAGAACAAACTAGACACCAGCCTTCTCCACGCCGACTCCCCTGCTCCCTCCGACTCTTGCGATCCGTCAGCTACTCAGTCATTAGCAATGCTTGATCACGATCCAAATTCAGAACGGAGGAAACGGAGGAAGACAGACAAACACAGCGCTGCAGTGGTTACGCAGGGCACGATAACCCTGCCCTCAGACAAGCCAGAGTTCAGCGAGTCGCAGCCCAACACACCCACCAGTCCAGAAATTGAGGCACTCCCACCAACAGATCCACGGGTTATATCCGGTTCCGGGGAGAGAAAGTCTCCCAGACAGAAAACAATCAAATTGAACGCCAATGGCAAACTGTTGTCGTCGCCTGTGTCTGCTAAAGTCGAAGACAATCCGAAGAGAGGGAGGAAGAGCAAGCGCGGTAAAGCGGCTGAACAAAAGCCTCAGTCTCTTGGGAGCAAGATTGTGGTCATCAGGTACAATGAGGACAAGCCCGATAACAGCCTGGGGCAGCTTATAGACGACATCATCTGTGGTCGAAAGAAGCACACCGCTGTCAACAAGGTCCCTACCGCGGCTTCTGCTCCTCCTATACCCAAGCAGGAGCAACCTGCGAAACCGACCCATCCGTTCTTCATAAAGAAGTCCTCTCGCAAGGCGGAACCCGCAAACTGTCAGGCGGGTGCGCACGACGAAGCCTCCGACAACTCCCAGCGAGAAGAGGCCAAGCAGGCTGACGCGGTTCCTCGGTTTCCCCGTGAGCCGAGCTCAGGCTTCCTGGGATCGTCCACATCGTTCACGTCTTTTGCCAAACGGTCTAGATATCCCGACCTTGCTCACCCACTCTGGCCACCTCAAAGTCTCACCCACGTTAGGGGCATACCGGATGATCATGGCTTTTACAGTCATGGTAGCGATGACGTTCCAGATCTAGGCCTGAAAAAGTCGAAGACTGCGGCAATCAATGTCCCTGACGAGGAGAATATACTTTTGCGTAGGGTACCAAAGGATCCCTCCGCTGCGCCGCGGACATTGAGAGTACCTGGAAGACACGTTGCTAGTGGAAAGATATTGCGGTGTGCTGTCACCAGGCAACTCTCGGATCAAGCTTCATCTCCAAGGACGAAGAAAAGTGAGCTCAATCAGAACTGTCACCCGGCCCTTGCTGGCCTCCACTCTTCACTCACCAAGTCCATGTCCGCTTTCGACCTTGGCGTGTACGATACTATCAGCTGGGCTCACAAGTACGCCCCCCAATCTGCAGAGCAGGTTCTCCAGACTACGAGGGGAGTGTTTATCTTGCGCGACTGGCTGCAGTATCTCAAAGTCACCGCTGTGGACACCGGCAAACTCCAGAAGGACGTCGAGGTGAAACAGAAGACGGACGAAAGAAGGCGCAAGAAGCGTAAGAAGGACAAGTTGGACGGCTTCATCGTGTCCAGTGAAGAAGAAGCGGCTGAAATGGACGAACTTCCCGGTTCAGACGACGAATTAGCTGGGGACGTGACCACCAAGACCGTCATTCGTGCTGGAGACATGGCTCTTGGCTCGAAATCGGGGGCTGAGCGAGGCCGCATGTCCAATGCCATTTTGGTCAGTGGACCCTCAGGGTGCGGCAAGACGGCATCCATCCACGCAGTGGCCAAAGAGCTGGATTTCGAAGTGTTCGAAATCAACCCCGGGAATCGACGCAGCGCCAAAGACATCCTGGATCGTGTAGGCGACATGACACGGAATCATCTTGTCCAGCACCATCAAGACAACGCCTCTGAAAGGAGCGGTGCTGAGCAGGTCGACCCGAAGCAGAATAGGTTGAAGGGGTTCTTCCAATCGACCAAGAACAAGGCGGCTGGATCAAGCCGCCCAACGCAAGAGCCAGAGACGAAGCGTGTTCGCAATCAAAAACAATCTCTTATCTTGTTAGAGGAGGCAGACATTCTCTTTGAAGAGGACAAGCAGTTCTGGTCCGGTGTGATGACGCTCATCAGCCAATCGAAGAGGCCAATCATTATCACCTGCAACAACGAGAAACTTCTCCCCTTGAAGGACATCTCCTTCCATGCCATCCTTCGCTACCGGACCCCTCCCAAAATTCTTGCTGCCGATTATCTCCTCCTGCTGGCTGCCAACGAAGGCCACATGCTCAAACGAGGAGCGGTCGAAAGCCTGTACGAGTGCACGGGGAAGGACCTTCGGCGATCAATTATGGAGCTGAATTTCTGGTGTCAGATGGCGATTGGCAGTGAGAAGTCTGGACTTGACTGGATCCTTGATCGCTGGCCGCGAGGACTGGATCTTGATCCCCATGGCGACCCTCTAAGGGTGCTAAGTCTCAATGCATACGAACCATTTATGGGATGGTTAGGGCGCGATATGCTGCAAAGTAACGGACCCGACAAAGAAATCGAACCTCGACTCGAGTCGCTTGGATGGTGGGGAATCAGTATGCAGGAGATGCGGATCATGGAAGACTCTAGGCATCCTGATACGCCCAGTTTGAGCTCAAAACAGTTCCAAGCCATGTCTAATGTCGAGCGCCTCAAGCAATTACAACAGAAGTCCAACTTTGCCGCTATGCAAAGTGATCTTGACCTTCTGTGTTCTCGCTGCTCAATCGACATGAAACTGGTAAGTCCGTCTGTTTTCCAGCTCGTCAAGACTAAGATTGACACTTTCAGGACTCGGTCGATCCATCAATCCCTCCGTTACCTGAAAAACAAAGACCGAACTACATTGAAGGCTATCAACTGCTCTCCGTCGACGTCGCGCCGGACTATACACTAATGCCGGCTGTCATGGGCTGCACCTTCGAGGCTTTACTGGAGAAAGCTTACCCGCAAGAATATGAAGATAAGCCCAAGTCTCCCGATACAAACCCTTCGGATAGGAAGCCTTCCGACCCGGAATCCGAATATGCAACAAGAATCCTGAAGAAAGCGAACAAACCCGCTAGTACTGGGCCAGGTCGCGCGGAGTTCAGTGCTGCTTTCGAACCGATGATGCGCGCTGACTACGTCTTCCCCCTCCCCACAGGTCGATTGGCGCCCTCGTTCGAAAATGGCCTGCGTCCGATAGCCGAAGATCTGGGCCCGTATATTCGAGGAATCATGGCTTATGACATCCGCTTGGCACACCACCGCCTACAGCTGGGAGAGATTTTCTCCCAGGACGGCAAGGGGGCGAAGCGCACACGACAGACCCGAGCCAGTCGAGCTGCGCTAGAGGGCGGGGATAAAGCATCCACCCGGAAGGAGAGATGGTTCTCCTCAGATGCCAATCCATCGCTCATCTTCGCCACAGGCAAGCAGGAATGGCAGGAAATCCTAGCGCGGAAGGGCTACTTCGTTGTGTCACCTTCCGGGGAAAGCCAAGTGGAATGTATTGATCAATCCACTGAAAGCTCCAGCGAAGGGGGCATTTAGGGAAGGGGAAGAGCGGCGACAGCATTGATGCGCGGACACGACTGCAGGACAGAGCTCGAAACTCCGGCAATGTTTCATGAAATCTATATTTTATATTTTACTGTATATAAATTAGTAAGAGGTAGCTGCAAATCAAGTTTCAAAATCATTCAACCTTGCGGTGTAGGGATATAGACTATATCCATTTTTTTTTTTTTGGGCGGGGTTCGTATGGAGTTTTATGGAGTTGAAATGGCTGAGGAGGGATTAGCGTTTCCCGTGGTGGAGCGGCGACATCACTCCATATTGAACCCTCTCTCTCTCTGGGCTTACTCTTCCTCCTTCGCAACGCGTTTCCTTATCAACTAACTAATTCCCCTTCCGCCTCCACCCTCGCTTTCAGCAGCAACAACAACAACACCAACAACACCACCACCTCTTATTTCCCCTCCCCCTTCGAGGAAGAAGAGCAGGCCCTTTTCCCTCTCCCTATTGTTGGTGCGCTGTTGATTGCCCATGGTTAGCTTACTATAACAGGATCGTCTCTATCCTTATCTTAGCTTGTTTTAGCTTTCGTGTTTGCACTCAAGGCTCTCTCTATCCCTTATCAGCCTCTCTCCCTCCCTTCCTCTCTCTCCCGCCTCCGACCGCACTCCGCTTCGTCATTGCCTTGGCCGCCGACGACATTAACAATATTCCCTCCAACATTCACAACCACAACGTCATCGTCATCATCCCTTCGCTATCTTGACCTTCCATGTCGCTTTTCGGTACCTCTCCTGAGGACTCAGCGCCGGGTAACTCCGCGCAGAGGTCCAAGTCCTCCCTTTTCGCAGACGAACCGTCCTTCGGTGGGAATACAGGTCATGCGGGCTCCTCCCTCTTTGCCGACGACGATGGCTTGAACGCCGGTTCGCTTTGGGGCAACAGTGTGAACAAGCGGACAAAGCACCAGATTGTGAGGACCCTTCTTCCTCAAGATGAAGTTCCCGACAGCTATATCGATGCGTATGATCTGGTGCTCAGTGTGGGGGATCGCGTGGGCGGCGGTGTTGGTCTGACTTCGGTCCGCGAAATCCTGTCCAGCAGCGGACTCAGTGCCACGGATCAGGCGAAAATCCTGAATTTGGTGGTTTCGGGGGATATGGACAGCTCCACCGGGCTGGGACGTGGCGAGTTCAGCGTGCTTCTGGCCCTCGTGGGCCTAGCGCAGGAAGGGGAGGACCTGACGTTCGATGCGGTCGACGATCGACGCAAGAGTGAGTTGGCGCTGACCCTCCATGTCACCCCCGCGCCCGAGTTACGCGGCTAACAACAGGTGCGCCTCATGAATAGAGCTGCCGCAGCCCAGGTGTGCCTACTTCGACGCATTGCGCGCTAAACAAGAATCTGCTACATCGGCGCAGCCGTCGCAAGACCGTCCCACCACGCCTCCCGCCCCTGCCACCCCGCCGCCTGAGCCAAGCTCCGCGCATTCACGCCCGTCTGCTCGTGGCTCCATGGGTGGTTTTGAAGCCGATCCCTGGGGCAGTCCTCAGCTGCATCGAGGTCATGCCCATGCCCAAACCGAATCCGAGCACCCTGTCTTGAATGGCTACGGTAGCGTACGGTCAGGAACCAATGCATGGGCTAGTCGAGCGAGCGAGACCAGCGGCCCGCAGGATGCGCCAGACAGCACCCATCCAAATGGAGGGGCGGGTCTGGGTCCTTCCACTTCCGCCGGCTTTGGATGGGGAGAGAATCTCGGGAATACCTCGGACGGGAATGGACTGAGAGGGCCGGTCCGAGCTGGGCTTGGAGGCTTTGGTTCATCCGGGAGCGACCAGGGCGACCACAATAGTCGCCGTCGGTCCTTGGGCATGGGCCGAGTTACGGACACTCGCTTGGAGGAGGTGATCACAATCACTTTGCTTCCGGAAAAGGAAGGCATGTTTATGTTTCAGCATCGCAATTACGAAGTCAAGTCCGCTCGCCGGGGAAGCACCGTCGTCCGCCGGTACAGTGACTTCGTGTGGCTCTTGGACTGCCTCCACAAACGCTACCCCTTCCGCCAACTGCCACTGCTGCCACCCAAGAGAATTGCAGGTACGTCCAAGTTAGGGCTTGCTACAAGCTGTCCTCCAAGCTTACTCACCTGTTTCAAGTCAATGGCACTCACCTTTCAGCGGACTCGAATTCCTTCCTGGAAAAGCGTCGTAGGGGACTTGTACGATTTACGAATGCGCTCGTTCGGCATCCGGTCTTGAGCCAGGAACAATTGGTGGTCATGTTCTTGACGGTTCCGACGGTGGGTCTTGCCACTTCGAATCTCGACGCGGAGGATGATGATCTGACATTGAGACAGGAACTATCGGTTTGGCGGAAACAGGCGACCATCTCGGTGCAGGACGAATTCGCAGGCCGAGCCCTTCCCCCGGATCTCGAGGATTCACTCCCCTCCAACCTTACGGATCTGTTCGACACGGTCCGCAGTGGCGTCAAACGGTCGGCGGAGGTATACATCAACCTGTGCACGCTGTTGGAGCGATTAGCCAAGCGTAACGAGGGGCTTGCTGCCGATCACCTGCGATTCTCTCTAGCGCTACAGTCGCTGACTGAGGTAACACGCGACACCTACGCCGTGGATACGAACGATGTGCCGTTGCTCAACGAAGGGATCAAGGCCACGGCGCGACATCTGTCGGCCAGTCAGAGTCTGCTGGAGGATGAGGCTCGGGCGTGGGAGGATGGGATGTTGGAAGACCTCAAGCGCCAACGTGACTGTCTGGTCAGTGTCCGGGAGATGTTCGATCGGCGGGACCGATACGCCCGCAACAACATCCCTCAGTTGGAGCGCCGCATTGAGAATAACGAGCGAAAGCTGCAGGAGCTGCGGGCCCGGCCTCAAGGCGCAGTCAAACCAGGCGAGATCGAGAAAGTGGAGGAGGCGATTTTCAAGGTATGTCGAATGTACAGTTTGGTCCAGACTGAGATGGCTAACCCGGGGGTTGCGTTGCCGCTTGTAGGACAAGGAATTGATTGTGCAACAACATGCACGTGGGGTATTTATCAAAGAGTGCATTCGGGACGAGCTCGTGTTTTTCCAGCAGAGTCAATATCATATCAGCCGACTGCATCAGGACTGGAGTCAGGAGCGGGTCAAGTACTCGGAGCTGCAGGCGGACAACTGGCGGTCACTCAGTGATCAAGTGGAGGGCATGCCGTTAGGGGAATGATGCGCGTGTCCATTCCCGGCCTTGAACGTTACTTCTTTTTTTCTTTCTCTGTGTGTCTCACCGTGTGTTCTGTGTACTGTACTTCATTTGAGACTTTTTCCTTTTTTTTCTCTACTCGCGCTATCCCGTCGAAGTGATTTCTTTCCTGTTGCTCGTTTTCCTGCCGCGATTCTAGCCCTGTACGTATCCCTGTTTCGCAGACGAAGCTGCCGTCTGCAAAGTGATATTTTAGGTTTGTCAGTGGACATCGAACGGTTGCCTGTTGAAGATGGTGGTCTGGTGGTAGTCGAGTGCAGGGATCCGTGGTTGAACACATGGTTGGGTTGCTTGCTTGGTTGGGAGTGACCTGCAGGAGACATTGCATCTGGGTCCGGCCAAATCAGGCGTACCGCGCCTGTTTGTGATGTGAAGGCTGAAGTAGTTGCTCGAGAGATTCTGCTCGTCGGCGGCACCTGGCCCGATCTTTTGAGACTGGGAATTGCCGAGCTGAAGCTGGATCACTTGTTATCCCTGAGACGCGGAGTTGTTTGGTTCCCCGTGCACTGGAGAATCAAGATATATATATTGTACGGTGGTTGTATTGTGGTGGACGGCAATAGTCTTGGTAGTTTGGGTGATGGATTACTGGTGATAGTCCCGGCAAGGCCGTGAGTAAGAATAGGAATGTTTGCCGTCCGTCATGCTGCCCTCTGGAGCAAAGCATGCATCCCCTCCAGGCTGGTCCGTCTCTCAGTGTGTTTCTACTCCTGTACATCGGATACAGTACAGTGTATCCTGAATGGTCGGGAAGTCGGGAAGAAGGAATGGCCGACAGTCGGGCATTGGTTGGTTGGTTGGTTCGAGTCGTGTAGTGGAAAGTCACTAATTTGGATTGGGATTAGCTCATATCTGCTCCACACCCTCTGACCGCCAATGACGCGGCGGCAGAAAGCGAGAGTTTGCAGCCTTGCGAAGCTGGGCAACGATGAGTGTCCATGATTTCTTCTTCTTCTTCTTCTTCTTCTTCTTCTTCTTGTTCTTCCCGAATCTTTCTCAGCTTCACTTCGTCCTTAGTCCTCTTCTAGCTGGTGGCTGTGGCGGTTAGTTTGGATCTTAGCCTGGACTTAGTTCGGACTTAGTTCAAGGAACTGCACGCCCCCTCTGTCGTCATGGGCATGATTGGCACCATGTGGTGACTGAGACCGTCTCAGCTGTCATCCCGCACCATCACCTCGTCCACGGAGATGATCCGGAGCAGCACAATCTGATCGGTCTTATATTGAGGAAGTACGAGTACTACGAGTAAGTACGTGGGTAAAGTAGGGATAGTGGATCCCTTGTTGGCGGGACACGAACTGAAATGTGATCGGTAGTCGGACCGCAGCCCTATTGGTGTGGAAGAGAGAAACCCGTGTACTTAATAGTAGGTAGGTAGCAAATAGTTTGGGGATAGTCACAATACTAGTAGTACTACTACTGTACTTATCTACAGTATCTCTCCAATTGGAATTACCGGGAATCACAAGGATGGTACTTCTGACAGGCTGGAAGGGAGTACTAAGAGTAGTATGACGACTGCGATATACTAAGTATAACTAGTATAATTATCTATAGCAACCCTCCTCCTCCAACTATCTCTTCTAGTTATTGATCATCGTCATTATTCAATCCACTCCCTCACCCACCAGTGGAGTCCCGCCAGCTGCCAAGCCTCGCCTTCGTTCGTTCCGCGACGAAACAGAAACCCAAACTTTCCCAAACCACTGCCACTGTCGGCCTTCTTTTCCTGCCTTTTGCTTGCCAACTGCGTAATCAGTCTTGGTTCAAGTCTTGGTTCGGTCTTGGAAGGGCAGCAAATCTCCGATCTCTCTGCCCACGCCCAGCTCGTGCCCAGACTTGGCTTGTTCTCATTCCTCATTCCTCACTCTTTCTCGGCTTGGGTCGGGTGCCGCTATTCCCTCTCCCTCTCTCTCGTCTTGTACTGTACCTCTCCTTCCCAAAACCTTCTCTCGCCTCCTCTTTTCTTTTCCCCTTCTCTTGTTTCTCAAACCTCTCTGTCGGACCCTCTTTCTTCTCGTTCCTATCCCTAATCCGTGCTTCCCGTCTTCTTGGGAAGATCTTAGTTCCTAATCCTGCAATTCAAGTGAACTCCGACTTGGACTGTGCCGTTTGGCTTCCAGATCAGGTAAGCCCCCCCCGATCCGGTCTTTCAATCCTCGCCCTGCAATGCGCGATCTTCTCTCTTGTCGCCATGTTGAGAGGACTGAAGGCACTCGGACCAATGCTTTTCCCTCGTCGCAATTTTCCTTCTCAATTCCTCCCTCTTCTCTTGTTTTCGGAAACTAATCTCACCTTCTGCTCGTTCTCATAGGCATATCTCCCCTCCCTTCCACTCTTCCCCCCCCTTGCAGGTGACGACGCCCACGAGGCACTCGACTCACAGAAAGTCCCCGTCGCGGTCTTTTCTCCGCTTTCGCCTGTCATCATTTCGGGCCGTATACCATCTCTCTTCAAGGCATGCGGAAAACCGGCGTGCGTCCACCTTAAACGGCGGGTTTCCCTTGTGTGAGCGCATTCAGGTCCGATCGGCTGAGACCCCTCCGAGATCCTCAATCTGCAGCCTGGTTGACCGGCGCATCGACTCACGAGCGCCCAGGGAGGAGGAAATCTGGTTCAACCGCAATTTTAACCCGATCATTTGACCAATAACAACATCAACAATAACCATAATCGCGTCGGAGCAACGCTTGGTCTCGTGTGCTCCCCGCCGTCGCAGTCATGGCGTGGGAACATCTAGATGTCGATAAGCCCCATCTGGCATACATGATCCTCGGTGGGTTTACGAGTCTGTTCATGTTATGCTCGCTTTTCGTCAAGGAGAAGCTGTACATCGGCGAAGCCACCGTCGCCACCCTATGTGGTATTATCTTCGGGCCCCATGCGGCCAACCTCTTCAACCCCACGTCGTGGGGCAACGTCGACAAGATCACCCTGGAATGCTCGCGCATCGTCCTGGTCGTGCAGTGCTTTGCCGTCGGGGTCGAATTGCCCAAGGCCTATATGGAACGGCATTGGAAGTCCGTGTTTCTGTTGCTGGTGCCCGTCATGACGTGGGGATGGCTGGTGACCAGTCTGTTCATCTGGTGGATGGTGCCGCCCCTCTCGTGGCTCGAGAGCCTGATCTGTGCGTCTTGCGTCACCGCCACGGACCCCGTCTTAGCCTCCTCGGTCGTGGGTAAAGGTAAATTCGCCCGCCGAGTCCCCAAGCACTTGCGAGACTTGTTGTCCGCCGAGTCGGGCTGCAACGATGGCATGGCTTTTCCATTTATCTATCTAGGTTACTACATCTGGCGCTATCGCCCGCACGCGGGTGAAGTGTCACTCCACTGGTTCTGTGTGACCATCCTGTACGAGTGTATCTTCGGCGCGATCTTTGGGTTCGTCATTGGGTATCTCGCCCGGCACTCCATTAAGCTTGCCGAACGGAAGGGGCTTATTGATCGCGAAAGTTTCCTGGTCTTCTACTTCGTGCTGGCGGTTTTCTGCGCCGGCTCGGGCAGTTTACTGGGCATGGACGATCTGTTGATCGGGTTTTCCGCCGGCGTGGGCTTCAGTAACGACGGGTGGTTTACGGAGAAGACGGAGGAGTCCCATGTCTCCAACGTCATCGATCTTCTACTCAACTTGGCGTATTTCGTGTACTTCGGGTCGATCATTCCCTGGGAAGACTACAACAACCCATCCATCGGTCTGGTGCCATGGCGATTGGTCGTGATTGCGATCCTGGTCATCTTCTTCCGTCGCATTCCGATCATGTTAATTTTAAAACCGATCATTCCAGATGTCAAAACATGGCGTGAGGCCCTGTTCGCGGGCCATTTCGGGCCGATCGGCGTCGGTGCTATCTTCGCGTCGATTTTAGCACGGGCCGAACTGGAGGGACGAGGCACTAGTCCCCTAGGGGAGTCAGAGCTTCCAAAAGCCGGCGCTCACAATTACTACATCATTCAACTCATCTGGCCGATCACCACTTTCATGGTGATCTCCTCGATTTTGGTCCACGGCTCCTCTATTGCCGTCTTTACGCTGGGCAAACGGATTAACACTCTCACCATCACCTTGTCGTACACCACCGCCAATGAAGAGGGACCTTCCTGGATGAACCGCCTGCCGCGAGTGCAGTCTCTCGCGAAGGGATCCATGTCCTTCCGCAAGCAGGACGAGGAAGAAGACTCTTCCAACGAGCCCGAATATCCTCCGGGCACGCTGCCTCCTATCGGAGTTCCGGGCAACTTTTTGCGTCGCCAGAAGGAAGACGAGACTGATCCGGCACGTGCCCGATCGGCCAGTCGGTCCCGTAGACGACGCCGCAGACGCACGGGCGGAGCGGGTGGTCCCATCAGTCAGTCGGCTATTGCGCCCCAACGGACAGCAGAGACCGAAGGATCAGACAAACAACGCGAGGAAGAGGAAGAGGAAGAGCGGGATAAGATCGAACGGGGATCCTCTCCTCCGACCAGGGAGCGCGATCGATTCGGCCAGGAGCCAATCATGGAAGTGTATCTGGAGGGTCACAACATGATCATGGAAGATGAAGAAGGCAACGTGCTCAAGGTGGAAGACGTCAGCCACATGTCCCCCGAAGAGCAGAAACAGCATATCGAGGAACAGCGGCAAAGGTTGCAACAGCAATCGGGCGAATTCGCCCCGTCGCGCTCTCACCCCCACGAGAAGACCGAAGGCGAGGAAGTTGTGAAGACCCTGGAAGAAAAGGCCGAACGGTCCGTCGACCGGACCCGGAAGATGATGGGGAACTGGATGAAGTTCGGCAAGGGTCGCGTTAAAGTGCCAGTGCACACCGAGGAGGAGAAGGCTGCAGCCAAGCGCAAGGCCGAGAAGGAGACCCATAAGCCCAAGGGCAAGGGTCGCTCCGCTCACGCTTACCAATTCGGAAACACGATCATTGTCGAAGATGAAGACGGAGAGGTCATCAAGAAGTATTCGATCCCTGCGAAGGACAAGCCGGACGGTGGTAATGCTCCGGTTCGACGCGGGCTGACCCGCATGGGTACCTGGTTCGGTATGGAGGAGGAGGGTGAAACCTCGCAAGCGGCCCGGAAGGCAGCTAAGGACGAATGGATGGCTGATGACGGTCTTCGTTTCACCCTGGCCGACGATGGTGATGTCGGAAAGAGAGGAATTGAGCACAAGGGTCGCCGCATGACCAAGCATGAATTCGCCCAACAAATCCGTAATTTGGGTCCGAAAGCCCGTCGCGATGTGGTGGAGGAAACCGATGCGCCGGAGCGGGTCAAAAGTGTTGCTCGACAAGATGCTGAGAAGGCAGAAGAGCAAGAGCGCCGCAAGTCGGATCCTGGTGTCGCCCCCTCAGTGCCCGTGTTCAGTGACTCTGAATCCGAGACCGACCTCAGCGATGAGGAGTCGGGCCATGGAGTCCCCGGCGACAATGTTGCCGCTTCTCTGGCCCGGTTCAGCCGTGGTACCGCTGCCGACGAGCGACGCACCCGCCATCTCAGCCCCAAGCAATCGCCTCCAAAGACACAAACTCGATCGCGAAGAGACTCGGAGGATGATGGAACCGAGCGTGTGCCGCCATCTCAACTTCGGGAAGCGGCTGGTCTAGCCCGCCCGCCTCAGCAAGCTGATGACGATACCGGCGAGACGCCCGCGGAACGACGTCGTCGATTGGCTGCTCTGGGTGAAATCAACAACTCGGATGAATCGGACGATTCTGATACGCCGGTAGACGAATCTGACAGCGAAAACAACGGTGCCAGTCAAAGCAGGGTTCAGTTTGCCGATGGCACGAAGACCGACAGTCGACAGCAGTCCTTTAACAACGGTAGCTCTAGCGAAGCACCAGAGACCGGCTCAACGTACTCGCGACACAGTCGCAGCCAGAGTCGTCGCAGTATTTCATGGGGTGGTGAGAAGGGACGTGAGACATGACAGACCTGAAAGAGAGGGGAACGACGAGGAGCGGTGCATAGAAGGGAGAAAAAGGGAGAAGGCGGTGAACGAAGTCCAGAATCAGCGTTGCTGCTGTGGAAAAAGGGCAGGAGGTTTTGATAGCGGCCTGGCTTGATCACTTGCATTGAGCGAGCATTGGGTTTGCATGCATGCTTTCCTTTTCCTTTCTTCTGTATAGAGCAAGATTTCACTTTTCACTTTTTTGTGTAACTACTTCACCCGGTTGATCCGGTCTACTCAGGACAGGATTCAGCCTGTATCACAAATGGTTGAGTTGATGTTTTGGGTATGGGGTACATAGATAATTGCATAATGCCATTGTTCTTTAAGATTTTGGGTCTAGTGTCGCTTTATATCTCTTAGCTATCTATATTTTATTGACCTGGAGACATCTGGTGGGTTTAGTTGCAGGGGAAGCGAGGGGACAGATGGTATGTTGTCAATCTGTTACCAGATGCAAGCTTGGCCGCCCTCAAGAGCAACCCATTCATTCAGCCCCTTCATGCATTCAATACAGTCAGTCAGTCAGTCAGTCAAGACTGCACTGATTTAGTCACGGGCTTAACGATGGTTTGGGGTGAACGAATCGGCTGTCCAACAATGAATATTGGCTCTTCTTGGTCATTGAATGCGGAACTCCTACATTCAAGACGTCTACTAATACGGCTTGGTCTTCTTCCTCTCCTCTTTCCTCATCCTCATCCACTCCTCTCTTCTTCCTTCTTCTCCCTCTCCCACTTCCATTTCCACATCGATAACTACATCTCCTATCCTACACTTTCATCATATTCCTCTACAATATTTTGCCTTCCTCCTCCTCATCATATCACCACCATATCAACATTTACATTCCTTATCCGACGCCTTCAGTGTCTTTCTTTCCAGTCTTTTTCCATCTTTCCCACCAAAATCACCACCACCACCGCCATCGCTGCTGGCCTGTCTCTATATCCATACCGAATCCAAAAGATTTGTCTACACCGTAACCGAACCCACCGATCCGGTACGTGATAGCCAGAAAGCCACCCACCAACCACTTCAGTCTCTTCACTGTTCATCTTCAACATCAAGGATAAGTCCAGATGAAATGACTACCTAGTCATGCATCCGTCTCACAGCATTGAGGTAAGTCTTTCAGCTGGCGACAGCCAGACTTTTTATCCCGCAACGGCATCCTGATCACCTTTCAGACGCCAGCTTCTCTTCGCAAGCTCTTTCGCATACACATCCTCTGTATGATGACCCCAGTTGTGTGTGCCAAGCTGCTTCCGCATTACGAAGACCATGAAGAGCTCTGGTACGCTCTGTCCACTGGCTGGGTTGAGGCATCCACTCTTGACATCTCCAAGCGGACAATGCCCGGATGATTATGTCCCAGAGTGTCAGGCTATCGCGTCATGAAACAATGCTAAGTCGCTTCCCCACGGCAAGTCCACGAGTTCTTCATCTCTTGAAGGGAGATGGCTGATCTGCTCTCTCTGAGACTTATGGCTCAAATGCTATTCGAAAAATTATCTTTCTTCAGAGTGAGGCTTTACCCAATCGGTTGGTGGTACTTTCCATGTCAATCGCCAATCTGCCTCCCTCGGCATTCAAATGCCAGCAAGGACGAGCAGATGCGTCCCTATGGTTCTGTTACATCAGTGCTCCCCTTTGCAGCCTACTGGTAACTAGACCTCCCCTGCCTCCCGCAAGCCACTTTATAAACCGCACTGAGGTGGTACCCATTATGCTGCCCAGCCTCCCCCCCTAGACAGAAAAGCAGCCCCTGGCTGGTTCGAGCAGGTGTGGATTCGGGCACCCATACTGCGCTCTGTCGCGTACGTTGGGTGGAGTAAATACTTGACCAGAGGACACATGCAGTGTGCTATTGGCTAAGCATAGCATGTCTTACGATGAGCTAATTCGCCGAGAAAGAGAAGAGGTTCTCAGCTGGAACTTGGAACGTTAGACTATACAGTGGCTACTGTTTATTTCCCTTCTGGGTTTGGAAGATGATCAAGTCTGTGAAAATTCTCGGGGCCCAACATGTATCTTGAAGTTTATGAGTCCCTGGTGGCACACGTGGTCCTTTGGTGCGCGGACCTGCCCTGCCACATGCAGGCACTTCCAGGACCTCCAAGTGCGACTGGCCCCGGTTAGCGCTGGGTTGCAAAGCTAGTTTTATTTCAGCTAGAAGAGCAGGTAAATTTTGGGCGCAAGCTCAGTTCGTTCAACTGCCTGCAGATAGTTGGATCGAAACATCACGCTCGGCATGCTTGGAAGGCAACAACAGGGAATGGAATCTCTTCTTCCCAAAATCCGTCCGCGCGGTCACCTCCCGAAAAGTGCCTCCGGCAACTGAAGCTGGAGTCCACACCCGAATCAACAGTCGAATACTGCATCCTGTATACCGAGTCCTCGCCAACTGAGGATTGAAACTACGGTCCGACGATTGCGCAACAGGGCAGATAGCTTTGAGCCTGACTGCACGGCCCAGTACATATCTCAGTCGAGGATGGCATATTGGGAAGGAGGTACCATAAAACCATGTGTAAGCCCTGTGAACATGTCAGGACCGGGCCTGATTTCAAGGTTCTCATGGCGTTATACCTCATGAGAGGACCTCAACCAGCGTCTGCGATGAACAGCTCCGGGAGCTGTTTTGGCAACATGTCAACTCGCAGGCAGAGGTCAAACTATGGCAGACTGTGTCTGTGCTTTGTGATATCAGCTGTCTTGCAGATCCTGTGACTGAGGCATGGAGTCTGAGAATCTGGCACGCAATGAAAACGCTGAGAGATAGATGTACAGCCCGGGAGCGAACTCCAATACTCCGCCGTCCACGGACCTCGTTGCGGAATCTCTACGTGAACACACGATAATTTGAGTTGGCACTTTCCCTGTCAGAGGCGTTATAAGCAACGCTTGGGGAAAGATTGGATGTGCTCGTTTACCACCTCGACAAGGCTCTATTGGTGAAGCAGACTACAGGAAGCCTGCTGCTTCAAGGAACCGATCTGCGAGTCAGGAAGAAGGAACACCACCTCCTCCTAGAAAGAAGGTCTTGACGCTGAAGATCCATGTATATGGGGGCTGGTATGGCTACCTCGCGAAGACTCAGGTGTGTGGCTCGGTCTGTGTGTCCTCTGTAGTTTTATCCTTTTGACACAGATGTCCAAAGGACATTTCACGTCTTATATAATTTGATTACAAAGCCGGCAGCCCTGTTGTAAGAGAACTGCAATATAAGCTGCCATGGTCTGTTTAGCAGGGAATACAAAACCCTATACCTGGTTCCTAATACCGCCCTTCCTCTGCATCGTCGCGATCTCGATAGCAATGGAAGGAGACTAACAATGATACTTGGTCTGTCTTAGGCGGCGGACTATACACTCATTGCTGCGGATTTTACATCGATTCCACAAATTCATTGTCGACCTCCATCCTATGGAGCACGCTGCTGACCTGAGCCCAGGGACATATGCGTTCCACGGGAGCTTACATTTAACGCGCAATACGCAGTACACCACGCCGCCAACGCTGCTGCAGGCCTTCGCGCAAGTCTTCGTGAGGGAAGAGACGAAGAGTCCATGCCTGCTATCTATCTGCAAGAGTGCTATTATCACCATTTAACGATGTTGCTATTTTGAGTTCAGTTTGACCGCGAGACTGAAATGTCCATGAAATTGTCATTATCGATGACAACAACAAATCTTCGAGACAAGTATGACGAACAGCACGAACTGCTGCTTCATAGGCATGACTTTTCCTCAAGCCTGGAGTGTCCACATAGATAGGCATACGTATCGTCTGCATATCGAGCCACTTGTTACATCATGATAACTGGACGCAGAGTGAAGAACATGCTCGGTGTCGCTATAGCCTCTTTCTCATATGGAAAAAAGCATGAGCTCTATCCGAATGCTCAAGTGACCTCAGGCTCAAGCACGGCATTGCTTAAATTGACAGACCACATGAGGTCTATCTGTGCACGATCTCGACCCGAAATGCGTGCGTACTCAGCCACATCGAGTCCTTGACTGATCTTATAGCACGGGCAAATATCTCAAAACTATTCATCCCAGAAAACATTACCTTGCTGCAAATCAGATCTTTGGGCTTGGTAGAGGTTGACGCTGCCTTCCACGTGCGTTTGACTAGCCTGCAGGATTTTCTTACCAGAAAACAGTTACACACAAGACCTGGGATGCGGTTCAGTATTCTGCTTCCGATCTCAAGAAGAGGAAAACCAAGGTCGCGTTCTTCAGCACCACCCCTCAAGGTGTTGGTGTAGCCCTCATGAGACATGCACTTGCAAGATTCTCCTATTCCTTGGGTACCGATATCGCAGCACGCTGGCCGTCGGCCTCGCCCAACGGCGTGTATCTATACTACCGGCCGTGCAACGAGGGGCTGTACCAGATTCATTCATGTCAAGGTCGGAGAACTCGTGCCTGAATACACTCCGATAGGGCCTAATGCTGGCGTCATACAATCCTCTACGTCTCCACAGGTGAAATCCAGCTTAGTTACGGAATATCATGCCGTTGTTCTCGGTCAAAGACCCATAACCCAGAGACCCACCCGCTTCCCAGCTGGCACTTCCTGCAGATACAGTTCTTTTCTTGCATCAGATCGCGCAACTACCTGGTGCGGTCGAGTCAGCCCACAAAGACAACACCTAATCTGACGGTAACGGCCGTGTCAGGCCTTGGCTGCAAGCAGTTGATGAAGCGCCGAAACCCCTCGAACATGGACCGAGATACCCAGTGAGTTTCATGACTGTACTTGTTATTGGCAGTGCCACTTAACATGGAAAATATCATACACCACAGTGCATCGACAAGGTAACCCACAAACTATGTAAGTATCTTGCTTAAAAGGAAGTCGTTTCGTGCGCTACGAGCGCCGCCGCTGTCGCGTCCCCACGTCTCACTGTCTCGCGCTGCCTCCGCCCCGGCCACAGACACTACCACCGCTTCTTCTGTCGCATAACTGCCGATATTTTGGGCCGGATCCATGTCACACAGTCCATTTGTAAACCGCCCAGACGCGGCGACGAGAACGAGGACTACCAGGAGATTATCTATGCGGCGGCGGACGGCTTGAAGCGGCAGTCCGTCCCCCCCGCGCGAACACCCTTCTTGGCATTGCTGATTTGGGTAGTCCGCCGCCGCCCGCGAAGCCCTGGCCGCTGCCGCTGATGCTCTGTCCCCGGTGGGGTTCGCCCCTCAGCGAGCCCGATTCTCCCGCTGCCCCCGCCCCCGCGTTGCTTGCGGTAGGTCTTTCCTCTGCCAGGTGGTCTCATTCCTAGGTTCGCTACTGACTTGAGTGTAACAGCTGCCTGCCCCTGCTGCCGCCACCGCCCATCCTTCCTACCGGCGCCCCCGGTGCCATCTGGCCCCCCCTTCCCGCGACGCCTCATATCTCCGGTCCGGGGCTATCCAGTACACGTTGCGGACGACGAATGTGTGGGCGACCCCCACAACTCGCGGTCCCCTGGTAGCTGGACCTTCCCCGCCCGCGGGCACAAACGCGCGAAGAAAACGAAAACGTTGAACCTAATGAAGAAGATGAAGATGAGCAGGGTACAATGAATGAAGAGAGTGAATGACCGCGGAGACATACTATCTTCATAACATTGTTGCGTCACATCAGTACGTCTCGCGGGAGAGGATATTCGCATAGTTACATGCCCAGGGTGAACAGTCCGGAGATCCAGGGCGCGAAAACAGGAATCGTGCTCGTGCAATGAATGTGCACGCAAAATTGAGAGGACTACTTCGATGAAAGAAGCTCCATGTTATTCCGGGTAAGGAAAGCCGAACAGTGCGCTGATGGCCCAAACTCTGGCCCGTTGATATTTTCTAGGGAGTGACAAGTTCGTTTGCTTTGTGCAGCTTGTTGTCGTCGAATTCATGTTGTGCGAATGAATGGGCGGTGCTGTGCTCGTTCTCGAAGGTAAAAAATGACTGTTGGAAGTATAAGGTCCTTCTTATGAGAAGGCGTGACTGAGAAACCGCATCAATCAACAACCCACCCCGTTGTTCTTTGGCCAACTGTGAGCTCAACAACGAAACCAGTGAGAATTTATGGATCGAACACCTAGAAAGATATGCATCGTCATCTTCATGCGAGAATAATGCGCCGAGCAGTCAGCTGCTTAAATGGCACTGTAGGTCGCAATAGCGAGTCCATTCTGGATCAAAAACAAGTCTGCAGACCAGCTATGCGTCCAGCGAGCGATCAATAAAACTTCCATGAGGCGACGACTGCTAAATGTCTCTGAGTCTATGAGAGCATAAAACGATGTCTCCAAGCCTCATCTACATGGCCTAAAAGCTCAAGTTGACCATTTACGGATACTCGGTAGTACTTCGGCCTTCGTGAGCTTCTTATGGCTCTTCGTCAAAAGGCTACTCGTAAAAACGACTCTAACGATCCTCATATCTCACAATCTCCCAGAAAGGCATAGTGAATAGTAAGCTAAGGGTCGTTGTTGTGCAATGACGAGAAGACCAGAGTACGAGAATAACCCCTCAACGTACGGCAAGCGATTGAACAAGCCAGGTGGCAGAGCCCATCATATCGTACCATTTGCTAGCCACAAATTCTGACTGCAGCGGACAAACGATCCTAACCCTTACGGCACTACGCAAAGTTGGATCAACCTGAGGTCTGCTCCCTGCTCTGCATGCCCTCCTGCATCGGTCAGAAAAGCACATGCTACCAACAATACAGTCAACCACGCATGTGCCGACAACCTTCGAAAGATGATCCTGTGTGGAGGACTATCGTCGTGGCACTCCCACCTTTGCAGGTTATCCATCAACAGAAGTATGGCTAAAGAGGTCTGGAGCTATCTGACTATTGAGATCCCATCCGACAGCGAGCATGGGTTGCTGTACGGTGTATATCCTACCTTCTCGGATATAACTTCTCCTAGACATCTGCAACTGTCTGCTGATGGTTGATTCTTGTATTAAGCACTGGCAACCAATGGTTCACGAGACTACGTCAATGTGTCGAGACAGGGCGGATGCCAATCCGGAGAAGCTTTTATGCACGCTCCTCGGGGTCTTCAGCCGGTAAGCTTTCCATGACCGACGTATACTATTCTATCTGTTTTCCACTAAAGTCCTCAGACTAGGCTTCTCCGAATCGGCATTTTAATGACTACAAAAAGAAATTCATGGCCTGTACTGCCCGCTTTACACCAGCCTTGAACCCCATCCTGTCCATGAAGTCCCAGGATAGCAGGCAACCATGCGTGCTCTATCTACGAGTTGGCCAAGGTAGGTCAAATTGACGATCATTTCCCATCTCAGAGAAACTGGCCTCATCCTCCTCCAAGCCCTTTTCTCCTGGTTTACTTTTGACTTATGGCGGCTGCTTCCATTCAGCCTGAGGGCAATTCAAAAGCTCTCTCCCAGCACCTTTCTATGTTGGTGGTATTCTGTAGCTACTGCCCTATTTTTTTTTACTTCTGCATACTATCTGTGCACGGAAAATGCTACTGACATACTTCGAGACCGCAGCTGAGTGGACAGCAGCTCGTTGCGTTTCTGGCCGGATCCCTGTTCAGGATCGGTCACTACAGAGCAATACCTGTTAATTCATATCCTCCGCCCCAACCTTGTCCTATCTTACTTGATATTTTGCGGTTTGACGTTATGCTCATGTTGGGAACATGACTGCCATCCTTTGGAGAACAGGACGCACTCACAGAATATCTAAGGTACATCTAAGGTACATCTAAGGTACATGATAAGGGAAGGACGCCCTAGAGCCACGCCCGTCCACAGATCCCGAAGCCTGGGCAGATACTGCCGACGGCCCAATAGACCTCCATACACGATTCCGTCTTACAACCTTCGCATCAATATAAGTTTCAGTTGTGGCAGATGGCTCGGCACCTAATTACCACATCCTACACCACCTCCAGTGGGCTCCCCGTCCGCATATCCTCGTCTTTGACTCCGTTCCAAGGCCAAATAAGCAGCACAGATTGCAACTGCAATCTCTCTCATCATCCTATTCATTGTCTCGTTCTTCTCCTCTCGTCTCTCGTGGTCAATCTCACTCGATATCGCTCGTCGATAAGGAGCGTGTTACAGTAAGAATGCTCTTCAGTATCTTGTGTTTGTCGGCTCAGACTCTGTGACAGGTTACCAGTCCCATCGGTAAACCTTTTAGCCATGAGACAGGTAATGCATTAGTCTGCCAATCAAAATTGATTGCAGTACTCGCACAGCAGTCACAGAAGAGGAGAGGATGTACCGATGGTGCTTACTCTACCACCGTCCGATCGATTTATCTACTGACTTTCACAGTCATATTTCGAGCATAGTGTCATAGATGGTTTTGAAAAGGCTTGGCTTCACCTAGAGGCAATTTCTTGTTTCAGTGCTCTAGGCATGGCGCAGTAGCTCGCAGAAGTCTGTCAGTGTCGGAGTTTGAGCGCTGAGACCAGAGCAGGGAGAGAACACGACCTCTGCCCTTGTCTGGTTAATGGACTGTGTCATGATGAAAAAAAACATTAAAGGCCATATCCAACATCACTTTCTCCTCACCCCGATTGCAATACCGGGCTGTGCCGGCTATTATGAGCAGTAAAATGCTACTGCTCCTGCTATTACCACTAATGACCAGTACCTTATGGACGGCCTCACACAGACTGTCAACAATGGCTATCTGCAATGCTTACCCCTGTCTGATTTAAAGCGATGCAGAGGGCGAGAAGGAGGTGAAGCGAAAGACGAATATGTTGCGCTGAGAGAAAAGCAATGGTGAAGTTTTGCTGGGAGACACGCTACCTTCTAGAGGACTCGCTCGCACATATTATATGACATTGATGATTTTGAGAATTGCGCTTACCCTAAAGTGGCCGCACGTGAAGTCCGGATACAAGACGGCAACTTTCCGCTAGAACCGACGGAGATGGAAGAAAAAGGTTGCAGGAAGTATCTCGCGAACGTTATCGCACGCCTTTCGCCCGGTACTTCATCCGTTGGAAAGGTTACGGACCAGAAGTGGCCCTCTACAGCGGTGAGGGCAGGATATGCCTCATTCGGATTGTCTCAGTTACTAGAGTATATGGGTAAGTATGCCATACACATGCACCTAGACTCTGTACCTAACGCCGCTTAGGAGCAACACAGTTGGTCCGCGTCGGCACAAATGAAAACAAGCTCGATATTCCTTTGCCGCAAGCAGTGCGCGATTCAACGGCAATGTCGCCAGCACGACGGCTGCGGCGGCGACTAAAGCCCTGACGACTAACAACGAAGTGCTCAGGTATGAACCTAGTGCATTCTAGGAGAAGGGACGCCGAAGCTTACGACACCGAATGTCCAAGAAACTAAAAAAGTATAGAGCCTGACGGCATGATCTAGTTCGATGCGAAAAGGTATCATCGAACGGATCCACTTCGTCGCAAAATCTTACGAAGGATTGCCTGTGTCGAAAGCGAATTCGTCATCCCAACGGCTGTGACTCTGGGGATCGTGGGAGTACTGTCCCCTGTAACAACCATCTGGTGGAAATCGGAGTTGAGCTTAGATCACGTCATTCTTGTCCTTATAACATCTCCACAAAATGGTTTTGATAGGTCTTATTTTCGATTCGCCAGAGAAATGCCACGATGAGCCAGTTGGCGGACCGAAGAAATTGTGGCTCTCCAAAAGGGCTTGCTGATTCTCATACGGTTACAGGTCTTCTCAGAGCATTGTCCAGGTTGCAAGGCATAAGAAAATTCAGCCTTTTGATGAACGGCGCAGAGAGTAATGAACACACAGCGGTACGATAAGAGAAAAGAAAGAATAATCCTGAAAATCTTTGATGGCTGCAACTCATCAAGTGAATGTTGACCATCGAACTATGAACCGAGAACTATCGGCTCTTTCTTGTAAAATCCTCAAGAGTTGTGCAGCCTCTGGCAGATTTTCACAGACACATACCGGCTTAATACGTTCCTCGCAGATACCGGCAGTCGTGAACCGATCAAAGTCATCTGTTTACTTGGACATGACAAATCCCTTAATCTACAGCATCAAAAGCCAGTGAAGAGCTCTTTCAAGAGGAATATCTCTGCGACATCTGCGACCGGGATCACTTTGAGCCGATCTTCAGCCTGTCTCAAGTTGGATCTGAATCCAGCTTCGATGACCTGCAGCAGTTGAGTGGTCGGTAGCTCCAGGATTTCTCACGAGTGATGAAGAGCGGTAGGCCTTGGGGAAATGCCTTTTATGTTCCTCGGGCCTATCCCGAGCTGTTACTCAACACCATTAGGGCAGTATCGTTGTACCGGTAAATCAGGAAGCGAAAGCCCTTTGCATTCCGGGGCCTTCCAGTCATACTGAGAATTCAGCGTGTTCTGAAAAGACCATCCGTCTTGCCCGCAGGATGTATGACGCAAATCCAAGAGCTGCTGATTATATATTGTCCGACGATCGCATTTATAAGTTGGATCATATTCCTAGGGGAATAAGGCTTTCAATATGCATAATGAGCGATTTCCGTCACGAAACAACATTATAGCCCTTGATCAGCCAGGTTTTTGGATCACCATGAGAATGCCACGTCATTATCCGCTCTGCTTATCAGCTACATCTAGGAGAGGTCCGGTATCATTGCGTCCACCTCCCTCTCGCAATACAATGTTCTCTCCGGAGGTTATTTCCGATACTTCGATCAGAGCAATTCAAAATCACGGTACAGTACACGCCTCGTTCTCAAGATGATCTTGAAGTCTGACATTCAGAACAAGCCTCGACTAGGTTGCCTATATCTAGACCGGAGGGATGCAGGAGTATTGGGCTCACTTTGGCATCTCTATGAAGACCTGAAAGGAACAGTTTGTCAATGCTAGGTACGCTCACCGCGGTGAGCACGAGCTGGACCTTGCTGAACTCGTAAACGTCAAAGCGAATAACAGGTTCCACCCCAAGAACAACTGCGGTTATCGCGTCGAATGTTATTGTTACCGGGGACTCGAGTTATAAACTCCTGCGGAGACGTGTTGTGAACAGTAGGTCGCATCATGATGTCGTGCTAGTCAAGTGATTGGAGAGAAGGCGGCCTACTAGTTGAGCACCTCAGGGCACCATATACAAAAACCCAGTCTCGATTCAAAGCCAATCGTGAGACTGTATTACCTATTCTTTTAAAGAACTGAAGGCGGTTGATCTTCGATGGACCTCATAACGTGCTGTTTTCCTCGAGAGCGCCTCAATGCCAACTCCATCCCGCTGATGCAAATGCGGCTGCAAATTTCCAACTCAGTTCCAGCTATCTTGGTGGAGATGATATCTACAGACTCATGGTAACTGATGCAAAGACAGCAGAATTTTATGTGCCAACTTCTGGCGAAGTACGCCGACGAGATTAGATAACGGACCCCGACAGATACACCCTGCGACGTCAGCCATTGTTCAATCTGACTTAGGTGCTCTCCTCACTCCACTCCTACCTAATGAGCCGATTGACGCTCTAGCCTGCAGGGGGAACTAGGTAATCTGAAGACAAGAGAGACCTTGACTTGGATACTTAACTAGATCGCTTGCTACGTGAGGGGTAAAAAGTATATATAGGTTGATGGCAGTTTTAGCTCCGATGCGATCTAGGGAATCGAGGCGGGGGCCAACTTTCCTCCTACAGACCCATGGACAGATATTCTATCCGATCGTCAAAGGTGGCATACATCCACTTCGAGGGAAAAGTTCGATTGTTCTTGCTTGTGTTGCTTGGATTTTGGCAGATAGGCCGATTCGATATCGCATTGCAGGGTATCTGGCGTATTGCAGGGCCCAAGAGACCTGGGTTTGAGCACATGCGCCCCGCAGACGAAGCCTATGTCATTCCAAAGTATACTTGCGCTCTCGAATTTTATTTGTGGGCTTCGAGGTGATGGACAACGCGGGTGGAATCCAGAACATAGAAAGACCGAAGCCAAGTTTCCAGTCCAAGGAGATCTTGGTCGTTCATACGTCGCTCTAACTGACGGTAACTCGAGTCCATGAGTGGCGAAATCAGGGCGTTGGTGGAGTGCAAGAAAGTCACCCGAACGGGCATCAAAATCACTCTCTGTCTGGACCTCAAAATATGCTGCTGACTCAATAACCACATATTATTGATCTGATCCCATCTGAGTCTCGGTCTTTGGCAATATTGCTTTCTAGCGATTGTCGAGTCTTACTTCCATCCGTCCAGTTCGGGTTTGAGAACTGTGATTTGGCACAGTCAAACCTCGTCTGGCTATATGCACAGCGGAACCGGCTCGGAATGAGCTTTACGGGAGATGATGGCTGCAAACAGGGCCACGACTCTTGCTGTCACATATAGAAGTCCATCAGTGTCTGGGGTGTTGGAACCCATGGGATTGATCCAATTTGCAAGCCGGAGGTCCCCTCTAACCCTATTGTTCGGAGACTGGAGCCACAGCGGCTTTATCGGCTCGCTGTTTAATTTACCGATGTTAAAGAGAGACTGCTACATCATACTACATCATGCTACATCATGCTACATCAACTCCGTCTTATCTTTCGGCGAAGCTGCGGAGTAACTCTCCTTTAAGATATGCACTCGAGCGTACCTATGCAACGCTGACTTGACCGTTCTCCATGGAAGAATGGGACAACACGTTTGCCAGACATTGTCGGCGGTTTGTGTAGCTGAGATAACCGATCTTATGATGAGTTAATCCAGAGCTAACATGACAGCGTAAGGTTATAAGAAAGTTCCGGATGTGGCGGGGATGAGTTTGCCCGGATCCTCGTTGTTTGCTTGGGAGCTGAACGCCGTGCAATGCCTTGGGGCATCATCGGAGGAACGATATATTATATTATATCTTGTTCATGAACTCATGGGTTGCACCATACGACGCCCGTTGAGCAGAGCCATGTTGGCCATATATTCTGTTTTCGCCATGCTGCAGGTGTGATGTTAGCAAGTCTTCGAAAACCTAGGCTGCACTTACAGGCTGTTACTGGCTTCAACACCAGAGATAGTTGATGTTGGGTGTACCCCCCTGGCTCACTTACGGGCTATAAATATTCCATACATCATGAAGCCTCTTTTCTCTCTCTTTTCAACCACCAAGCTTTCTCTGACCGAGGATTGGAGGTATGTGATGAAAATCAAAGCAGATATCAGGGTCTTTGTTACGGACTCGGCAGGGCCTATCCGACCAAGAGTTGGCTTATAGCCCAAAGAGTTCCGGATATCGGATTTCAACTGGCCAAACAAGCATGTGGAGGAACAATTGGCCTTAAGTGCCTAGTTGTGTTTGAGAGACCCCCTGGGCTTATAATGACCATGTGGCCGGGGTACACTCGACATTCACTCTTAGGCTCGGCTGACAGATGCTAGAACACAACATTCATCTACATCAACACGTCTTTAGTTTAGTACAACATATCGGGGTTAGGACGGGATGGCAAGGATGGACAGGCTTGAGGCGTTTACCCGTGAAAGAATTCGAAAGGAGATACCCGGCGCCGACGAGAACAGTTAGAAGACGGTAAAGAGCCAGGTTGACAGGGCACTGACGACGGCCCAGGGTATAAAGGATGAGATTGGTCTTATTCCTATTGGTAAGCATTTCCACCTTTGCCTTCAGGATGAAATCAGTTCCAGATTACTGCCGGATTACATATTTGAGGGATACGTCAATAACAGCGGATCTTGTCTCGAGTACCTCTCATCCTATGCGAGGAAACGAAGGGGACGCCGCTTGTCTTCTTCTGCCCGTGAGAGGTGGAGGCGCGAGCAACACCACGGTGAACAGCAGCCAGATCTTCGAAGATCAATTCTACAGATACGACCTTACCAGCCAAGTAAGCGTGGAATCACCGACATTGCGACCTCACCCGAAAAAGTGTGCCAGGACCCCTAAGAGCCATCGACTTTATCAACCGCCGAGCAAAAGGCGGGTGACTCAATACAAGGTCCCGGTCAAGAGCCAGGTTAGGTTACGTGAGATTTTCCTGTTTGGTGCAGTGAGCATTAATTGAATAGAGGCTCTGCATCCGCAATCTCCAAAGGTCTGCCGTGTCCGACTTCGATATATCGTGAGATACCGCGGGAAATCAGTGCCCTTTACATCTTTATTGAGGAATATGTGGATCGTTCGAGGAGGTGTCCTATAGTACTGGATGATACTGGGATAATAACAATATTGTCGCTCATTTCGCTATATTGTAAGCAACAATCAGGGACTTGATCTCAACAAAGAGGCATACGTTCTAGAAAGTATGCTTGAGAATTAATGCAAGTGTTTCATCAGCCAAGCGCGGCACGGACGTGAGGATGCTGACCCTCTCATTTGCATGACCTGATCTCGATATCACCACTGGCTATAATGAAGCTGGCATCAAACGTTGAATTCCTATACAATCAGCGACTTACAACACCATAGATGGGCTCACGATTGGGATATCGAACTTTCATCAATCACGGACTGTTCACTAAGTAGCCTCCGGAGTCGCGCACAAGAAAGCAACAATATTTCACATCGCACCACCTCATTCTTTACCTTACTTACTTCTACGCCCAGGATGGATGAGCAGGACGTGTGCCAGTCACCGGCACCTGCCCTTTATGGCGGGGCCTACTATTTGTATTTAACCTAGTCACCTCCTATCAGTGGAAGATCAGCTTCTCCTTCATTTCTGATTATACTGCCTGTTGGCTGCCCGTCGCAGGACGGCTTCATTGTCCACAGCGGCTACCCGCTCATGTGACCCAAGATTGTGCTTACCTTGGGCTGGTTTCTAAAGCGCCTTGAGTTGATCCTCTCTCATGACTATTATTGCACCTTTGTAAGGAAAGTCTGATGCCGCCTTAGATTGAGTTTGCCTGATCTTAAGGATATGAGAAAAAGTCTTACTATCTAATTGATCATTACCTATCTCATCACTTTCTGTCCCGGTCATACCTGCCTTTGATTTGTGCCATTACATTGTACTTATCCTGATTTCGAATAGGATCCTGACTGTTATGACCATCTTCTATCTTGATTTCTGAGTCCTTTAATATAGGCTACCAACCCTCCGTGGATAACAACTTGACAGCCCCTTTTTTTGATATACCATGACGAGCCAAGTTAGCCTCATGTCGTACTTACAGCATGGTCTTCCTCACCTGCCTGTTCTCGACCAAGCACAGTCACCGCCCAACACACAAAATGATCATTACAGGGAAGCTGATATCACCCGCGTCGGTCACTGGACAGAATTTAACCTTGCTGCTATCCAACAACAGTACGGGGCCCTTCTGGCAGCCGCACGAATTCCAGACGAACCATTTCAACCTTCTCCTCCACGACCGATCAACTCCAAACGCGCAGTCCAATCCCGCATTAACGCCTATCTGACCAATAGAATCATACGTGCTCTTCGCTGCGGATTTTCATATCTAAAGTCTACCCAACAGCTGGCCAACCTCACGGTTGTGAACTACGACGCTGGTACAATGGCCGCGACTATTGAAGACTTTACTCCCGACCTCGCCTTCTTTGATCCGAACCTCGAGATCAAAACCCGACCAAACCGCGTCCCGGGCGATATCGAACCATCTTTCAAATGGTCCCTTGACCTGAGAAACCATCCCGACCCCACTGTTCGTACGGAATTTAAACAGGCCCTAGCCCAAGTCAACTTCTACATGAACCAACACCATGCGCGCTACGGGTTCATTCTCACGGACTGCGAACTTGTCGCTATCCGGCGGCTTGATCGGGACGGCAGCCTGGAACTCGCTGATTCCATCCCCTGGAGTGCAAGGGGCTCTGCTTCACAGCCCAGACTAACAGTTCTACTCGGCATCTGGTACTTAGGGATGCTTGCGGCAAATGACCAGGACTGGTCTCTTGATTGATTGCGTCTTTGGAAGGTATAAGGGCTTGGTTGCTAATGTCATCTCTGGTGGTATTATGGCTTGCACTTTTCTACACGGCGAGCCTATAATCTGCTGTTGCTAGTATTAATATTAAGGGTAGAGTTTTATCGAGTCACTGAACGTCAGCCAGCCCTATCCTTGGCTCGCGTTTCAAACTGGCAGACAGTTGCTGATACTCTTTTTGGCTCTGTTATGGCTCTATTACCACTCTTTTGTTGTACTGTTGTTACCCTAGTATTATTTTGTCGTAGCTCTGTTATTGTTCTCTTGCTGCTCTGTTGTTACTGTCAATAGCAAATAGGCTATATACAACAAAGCCACCATCATGCACGCTGACACTTCAGAAAATGACACTGGTATCACAGGATCCCGAAGATGCAACCTGCCTGGTAAAGCGGTAGCAATCTCTTCGCTAAGCTTCTTTAGACTTCACAAACACAGACTGGACTAAATTCACGTCCTTCCCCCGGAAAGTATACAGCCACTACAAATCACGCCCGTGATTTGATCATTTGTCCTGGTGCTCTTTCTACCAGCGTGCACCAATTGCAAAAGAGCTGATCCAGGTCACAAAGTCATTGGCTAATGATTAACTATTGAAATTGCGCCGAATCCGCAAATTCCTTACCGCACAAAAGCCTCGCTACTCGGCTTTACTTAGCAAACGGCGCCATTCTGGAACGCGTATAGTTTGATTAAGACAGGAAGCACAAGTCAGAGCACTAGAGTGTTATTGCGGACACACCAGGCAGAAACTGAGTACCACAGGGAACCAGCCTCTGCAAGCGATCCATACTGATGCGATTTCGACTCGCAAGAAAGTCATGATAGAACGGATTGGCACGGATACCCAACGCAACGCCGACGTCCATTGGGCCTGGGGAAACACACCAAAGGTGGTTAACCATGTTCGCTGAAGGCGACATGGCACAGTCGTTAGCTCCGCGCTGGCTATCGCCTCCGAACTCTTTCTACCCCATCATGCATGCCTACTCCGGTAACCCTCGTGGACACTACACTGATGGCCCGTATATCTGCTAGATGCGCTGCATACTCAAAGATAATGAGAAATTCAAAGTTCATGAACCGCACACGCCGTAGCTGGACGGTCTAGCGAAAGCGGGTTATTACTTTCAAATTCGGAAGACAAGGGTAAGATTTTATCTTCGTGTTGGACTTGCTATCTAACCAGAAGGATTGTTCCCAACTATTAAACCAATGTAATTCATAGAGAAAAAGGTATGAATATATTCGAAGCACAGCACGCATCAAACACATACGACCACAGGGTGTGGAAAACAGGGCTTCCCGTCCGCTCAGCCGTACTTAAGCCACACGCCGGGAGGTTAGTAGTTGGGTGGGTGACCACCAGCGAATCCCTTCTGTTGTATGTTTTTGGCTCTCGTAGTGGGAACTCCCACCTTATCACACCCCTCAAATAGAGATAATATCCGCTCACTAGATACAGTGATACTGATGACTCCCGGGGAATGTCCAGCAGACTTGTAGCCCCGCGGCCGAGACTAAGAGTCGTAGGAATAGGCATATGCCTACTAGACTCAACCCGATAATCGTGAGCTGGTGTTTTTATACCACGGACACGCCTGCTGTAGCTGCGATACCAAAGCTCCTTGTAAACGATTCGAATATCTTTGGGCTTTTTACCGATTGATGGAGGGGTGTAGGTGATTGGTTGCCATGGTATAGGGACCCGTTAGTTTTGCTTAAAGCCATTCTTCTCATACTTTTCTTCCCGGTGATGGCAGAGGCACAGGAAATGGATGGGACTAAGGTCATCGTAAAGTATATTGCTGCATTAGCCCAGATCATACTGATCTAACTGCTCTGCATGCTTGATGATACACTTTCCCGTAACTGTAGTGAGTCAATTCCGTTAGGAAGGAACAAAAGAAAGTGATATGCAAATCTCCTAAACAAGGGCGAAAAACGAGACTCTGTCTCGAAAACGTAAACCCGGTAAACAAAATGCAGTGCAACGTCTCATACTTCTCGTGTGGCTGTCGAGTTTCAACACATTCATATTGAGGAGAACAGATTAAGGTAAGTATAGGAGGGAAAGTATATGGGCAAGAATTTAGAAAAGAAAGGATCCCAAAATGCCAAAGAGAAATCACCACGCTGTGTCAGTGCTTTGCTTTTCCAGTTCCGCGTTACCCCAGAAGTCAAACCCAACGCCGTTATATGAGACACATAATGCACGCCAAAAAGATAAGGGCTCGTGAGAAGGAAATTGTCAAGGGATGTGGATGGTAGGTAGGTTAAGTGGATGAAGAGGAAGATGTTGAGGATAGATATCAGCCAGCAGAGGTGGCTCGGGGTATCTCAAGCAAGAGAGTAAATCAGAGGCCTTTCATGATCAAGAAAATGCTTACAAAACTCCACCGGGTAGGTTGATTTGAGCCTGTCGGCCCTCAAAGCCAGCACTGTTCGGAGCTGATCCGCTACCAGCGGCATACACATTGTTCTCAAGCGGATGAACTTGTTTTCGTAGCATGAACATCGGCTTGCGGCCTTCTTTCTCGAGCTGCTTGAACAGAATCAAGGGCCGCTCCTCCAGCCCGAGACACCGTTCCTGGTCACCATACACTATATACAGCGCATACTGCTTCCAGTCCGCGTTGATATTGTATTTCTTCAGAGCGGCTGGGAGAACTTTATGGCAGGGATCATCCATTGACACTCGGAAAGACTTGAAGATCTCCACGCTGGGCGGATCGCCTGTAGCTCGAGAATCTGACCGTGTTGGAATATCGGGACGGGTTGCTTGCGTCGGGGTCGGATTGAGCCGATCAGAGCGGGATTGCGTCGGAGGAGTGTCGTCGTGGTGGTTGTAAGAAGCGTGATTGATGCTGGCGGAACTCGGCTGAGAGTAGGCCCTTGAAGCCAAAGTCTGCGTGTGCAAGATTCCGGGAGAGGTAGGTGACGGAATCCCTGGCGATAACTGTGCCTTCCCGTTCATCATGGCCATGTGAGATGAGTTTGCCGTCGACGGATCCAACCCACCGCCATCACTATACATTCGCCCTTCGTGGATGGAAGGTGGAATGTACGTGGGCGAGCTGGTCTTGGGGGTAGTTCCCCCAGTATGTACCCTCTTAGAAAATGTTCTCGATAATATTGATCCTGAGCGATCGAGAATTGTGATTCCCGACGGAGAAGTCAGGTTTGGAGGTTCGTGATGTGCTTCGTTTCCGGACCCGGGCACCGCCGACGGGGGCGGTAGCGGTTGTGATCGATCCTTAGCCATCTTGAATACAGGGAGAAGTTCCTCTCGCAGTCGCCGGTAGTCCTCCGCCATACGCCGCAGCTCTTGCTCCACCGTGACTATCCGTTCGTCTCGCAGTCGAATAGACTGAATAAGACGGGCGACATCATCCTGAGTAGCGCCATCGTTCATGCTTTGGTCGGCAGCTATGAGATCCAGAGATTAGTTGAATAGTCCAGTAGTGATTCCGACGACGCACTTACAGAGCGGGATATAGTGATCTGCGTCAAGCGGGATATCTTGCTTGACCTTGGTTTCATACACGCTTTTGAGGATAGTCAACCGATGCCCCACACTAACAATGCCCATTTCCTTCAATTCATCGTGCTTCAGGGCGATAAGTGCTTCACCAACGATCTCGTTCTCTGTGGGACTGGAAGTCAGCGCTCGTGGCCGCTGTGCGCGCCAGGGAATATTTCTGAGCCGACTCACCTAGAAAAGCGGCGCAGTACTGACGAAGACCCAGGGCAGCAACAAAATGGGCGCACTCATCAGCCGTCCATTCTGTGATGATTGTTTTGGGAGACCGTGGGTTGTCCTCGACGTTGGCCAGGGTGGTCGGAGTATGTTCGGCGGACGGAAAATCCGACTCGGAGGGGGATGCTTCTGAGTCAGTGGCTAGGTGTGGGGATGTGATGACGCTGCGTTCGTACTCATCATCTGCATCGGAGTCGGCGTGGTAGGAGGTGTGGAGAGACATGGTGGATTCGAAGGATCAATGACCGGCAACGACGCCCAGCACGAAGAGGGGGTTGGGATGGACGTCGGACCGGCTGACAGCGATCAAGACAGCGCCAGGTGCAGCACAATCAAATTCGAGATCGAGGGGAGCACGATCGGGAGGTAGAGGTCGATCTTGGATGGGATTTAAGCGAACAATGGAGGAGACTCTCAATAGCGCCGATAGGGAGTTTCAGGATTCGAGGTTCCGGGTAGGAAGGCGGCTCGTGTTCGATACGACGGAGGTTGGTTGGAGATGGCTGGGATGAGTAGGTGGGGGATAAGGAGGATATAGCAGTTGACGGGCGGCAGTCGAGAATCGAGATTAGAGGCGAAAGAATGAGGCAAGTGGTAGATGGAGAATGATAGTGGCCGTGGATGAGAGAAGAGTGGTGTTCCTGAGGCCAGTAAGGCTAACAATCACAGGCATGCAGCGAGAGCGGGGAAGCTGGGGGGGGAGAGGAGGGGATGAGGAGGAGAAGATCGGAAGGATGATCACGGCCACGGTGGTAGATAACGAAGCTGAGAAAGAGAAGGAGGATGGGAAAAGAGAGGAATCTCTATCGTCTTTGAGGAAGAGGAAGAAGAGAGAAGCAACAGCAGTAGTAGTAGTAGCAGCAGCAGCAAGCAAGCAGCAAGCAGCTGGTTGGGCGCGGAGTAGCGAACAAACGAACCGCCGGGAGGGAAAAAGAGAGGCGCTTCTAATGTTGGATCGCCGCACGTGATCTCCAGCGGTCTGGACTCACTTCTAACCTTCACTCTTCCCTCTGTCATAACATCCTGACTTTCTGATCCATCGCATCTTTTTTTCTTCTTTCTCATTCTTGCCTGATCCAAATCGCAATCGAGGATATTCCCACCTGGGCAATATCACCGTCTCCCCCTCCCCTGAAAATGGTTACGATCATGCTCTTCATCCCAGTCGATCCATACCTCTTCCTTCCCCTTTCCCGGTCCGTCCACCAGTTTTTCGAGTCCATAGTCTAGAGATCGAATTAGTATCGGCGCCAAGCCACAGATGTCTCTCTCCCCTGGATTATGGGGGAGACTAACGAAGGAACTATTTTGATCCAGTTCGGACCATCCGAGCTCAAAGCTCCACGATTATTTGCCTGTCAAAATTCAATAGTGCCGGAGCCTGGACGTTTTTGGGGACGGACTGGGTCCTCAGTGAAGGTTTTCTTCCGCCAGTCCACCGTCATCGTGCCATGGCCCTTTCTTTCTGTTCCGTCCGAGGATCAGGATCTAAGACTCTAAAATTATGAATGCTCCCTCATTATCAGCTTGTGCTACTGCTATGAGCTATACTATGACCCTGATGGGCGTGCGTGGTCCTCCCTCTCTCCACCCTCCGGTAAGACCAATCTGTCTGGGTTGATCCGACCAGGATGTCTTGCCAGCCCTATATCACCGCGAACATTTAATAATGGCGATGCCCCTCCGGTGGCCCCTTTTCTGGGTCTGAGCCTCTGAGGACCTCGGAGTTTAGGACTCGAGTTGGAGTCGACGTGGAGGAGGAGGGGACAAATAAACTCCTTCTAGAAGCTGCGATCTGGTCCCCAGTGGTCGCATTGAAGTCTACTCGTATTGATTCATTTTCGACGGCGGAAGAGAAATAATCCAAAAAACGACGAATACCCATGTAGTTCAGTATTCAATTGACGGCTACCCTCGGGATTCTGTCACATGCCATGGCTACCGCTACGACTCGAATCAACTAGCCACAGAACCAATCCCCCAGGCAGAAACACTGTAAGTAGCGTTATTCATGTAAGATTATGCATACACAGTCAAAAAAAAAAATTCCCTCCTGGATCTCAGTTCCGGATCTACTATCTAAGCTGCGAGGCCCCCCGATGGGTCAACGCAACGGTCACTAAGACACTCTTCACTACTTGGCACAGACAGGGGCACCATCATGATCCACATCCAGTTTAACGCAGAGACACTATGAACCCACAGCTGTCATATCCGCGACAAAATTAGGTGCTTTACTACTAAGTACCTAGGGATTTGATAGTGCGTGTCTACGTCCGAGAAAAGCCCATCTTCACCCGCGAGATGGCCTAACGGTATCCATCCCCAACCGACACATCCAAGCCGTCTTTCACTTACCTAGAACCTTCACTCAATGCACTGTACGTGGTGTAGTGTACCCTTGCAACAAGGATCAGCTACAGCTACAGGTAGATAACAAGGGAGCTTCATTCATAGTCGCGTCGCACAAGCGTCTATCGGGGCCATACATGATCCAAGATTACACGAACATGTGGCTCCCAGCCATGGCGGCACGCTGCCTCGTAGCCCCGAAGGAACCTCAGCAGAGAATTATCTCACCATGCAGCTTGATCACTGTTTGGAGGGGGGGGGGGGGGAGTGCTCAGTGGAGCCCTGCATGTCGACGTAGGTCTCTCGTCTTTGCCCACTTCGGCGCAATGATTGCATCGTGGTCTTGCCTAAGCGCCAGCCGCCGGTGCTGAGGTGATGCTATAAATATCGCGGCACCCTGAGCCTTGGTCATAGGTTGTCCGGGTGCGTGTTCCTGTGTGATGCATACGTCAGTGCTGCGAAAGCTATTACTGTGTGGGCGGATGGACTGTAGAGGGTTGTAGTAGACTCGGTGTATTTGAATATTGAAGTTGTAACACGAACAGTTGACAATAGGAGGTATAAATGGTGGATATATTCTTCACCACATCACTAGTAGTTCTACTACCAGCACTGATCGATTGATTAGTACTTCAGCAACAGAGTGGGTCAGCAGTTACTCAGACCAGCAGCTGCCATCGGAAGTCTAATACAATGCACACTGCTTTCACCCCTAAACATGGACAGTCTTGTCTAGCGCTTAACAAGAAGTAGAGTAGAGTACGGAGTAGAGGGCGGGAAGAGAAGCTAACCTCCGGATGCCGCCGCCGCCGCCCCAACTTTTCCCCGGCTCATCCCAGATCAGTCGACCAAAGCGCACGAGTCTAGTACATACAGTGAAGGTAAGATAACTGGTACATCCTCCGAAGGACCCATTCCTAATACTCAAGAGATCTAACAACCACGCTCACCAGCAGAACCTCGCGGCGCTCGACCTCCGAACCGGCGATTCCGCCCAGATCGCGACGTCAACCACGGACTCGACTGCACCGCCTCTACAACGATACAGAACCTACCCTTGAGAACATATTCGCATCGCCGCAAAAAGCACACTTGCAATCTCACAGCGCCAGACACTCCAAAACAGAAAAGCACCTGCGCCTCCACCCACCGATCCAGATATCCCCCCCCATCCACCAACCTCGAGTCTCAACCGCCATCCCCTCATCTACCTCCAACCCAATCTACAAGCCAAACAGCACATTAAATCCGGCCCACAGCACGTTGATAAAACATACACCCTCGACTCAACCCCAACTCCACAAAAGCGAAAGGCAAAATGTCAACCAACGCCCCAACCACAAACTCGAACCCCAACGCAACAGACCTAGAAACCGACCTCCTAACGCACCTAACAACCACTCCCGCCCTCGAAGACTTGCACAGCACGCTCCTCTCCTCCCTCCAACGAACCGGCTGGACAGAGAAAATCCGGAAATTAGCACAGGAGCTCCTGCGCGCAGGGCGATGCGAGCGGTTCGACGAGGTGATCGAGGCGGTGGTGGCGTCGGCCGAGGGACGGGGCCATCCGTCGCTTGTTGCGCTCTCGTCTACTCAAGACCAGTCCTCGAAAAACGGGAACGGGGATACCGGGTTCAAGGTGAAGGAGGAGGATGGGGCTGCCGGTGGCAACAACAGCACGGATAAAAATGCGTACTTTGAGAGCGTGGATGTGCGGATTCCTTCCTCTGTTGTTGAGCAGGGGGTTCGTGCGATCAAGGAGGTGTTAAGGGAGGTGGTGGTTATGGAGGGTGATGATGGGGATTCTGGTTCTGGTTCCGCTTCGGCGTCGGGGTCGGCGGAGAACAACGCCACTGAAGAAAAGGCGCCGAAGGATCAGCAGGTCAAGAAGGTTAAGACTGGGGAGAGTAATGGGGTCGCTGGGAGTCCGGTCAAGAAGGGCGAGAAGAAGGTGAAGGTCAAGCAGGGGAAATAATCTGTCCCAAAATGGGTTTGGCGTTGGGGTTATTGGGTGAACATCCATTCATTGTCTGGCGTTATCTTGTTTTGATCTGTTTCTATGGTTTGTATCCCCGGTGGTGTTAACAGAGTGAGATGGGCATTGCATTTTGAGATACCAACAATTCTTACTACTTCGTTCCTGCATTACACTCATTTACAATCAATCGCGGAAAGCTTTACAGCATCGATCACGAATGCTATCAAATGAATCATAGAAAACTATCTTAGCACCCAGAATAAATAAGAAATGGTCACAAAAGTCAACCAACGTGATTTAGTCGAGGCTCACCCCGCTTATCTAACTAAGTGCGCATGGGAAACAGAACGTGAGAGATACAGTTTAGTTTAGTCGTAGAGGCTGTCATCATTGCCGGCTTCGCCAAAAGTGTTGTTGTCCGCCACCTCACCCGAGGAAGGGAAGCGGAAGAAGGTGCTGCCGCCAGAGTTCTTCAGGCTCTGAGCGAAAGCCTCGTAGCGGCGGATCTCCACATCGCTGACCGACTTTCTGGCCGACTTCATCGCCTCCTCGAAGTGGGCACGGGTCAACTCGGGCACGGGGTCTTCCTCCTCAAGCTCCTCGTCCTCCATCTTGACATCCTCACCCTGGGCCTCACGCTGCTTCTGGCGGTCGATGTCGGCGCTGATCGACTGCTTGATAGCAAGCTTGACGGCACGCTGGGTAACGAAGCCCAGATCGGCACCAGAGAAGCCGTGGGTCTTGCTGGCGATGAAAGAGATGTCGACATCGGGGGCAACGGGCGTCTTGCGCAGCTGGGCCTTGAGAATGCTCTCACGAGAGGCCTGGTCGGGCAGAGGAACGTAGACCAGGGTATCCAAACGGCCCGGACGAACCAGGGCAGCGTCGAGCTGCTCGGGTCTATTCGTGGCACCGATGACGAACACGTTCTTCTTGGAGGTCATACCATCCATTTCTGTGACGAGTTAGCGATGTAGCGACCAGATGGAAGCGAGAAAACCTACCAGTCAGGAGCTGGTTGACAACACGGTCAGAAGCGCCACCAGCATCACCAACAGATCCACCACGGGACTTGGCAATAGAATCCAACTCGTCGAGGAAGACGACGCAAGGGGCAGCAGCACGAGCCTTGTCGAAGATGTCACGGATGTTGCTCTCGGACTCACCGAACCACATGCTCAGCAACTCAGGACCCTTAACGGAGATAAAGTTGGCAGCGCACTCGTTGGCCACGGCCTTGGCAAGCATGGTCTTACCAGTACCCGGGGGACCGTAGAATAAGACACCGCGGGAAGGAGAAAGACCGAACTTCTGGAACTTTTCGGGGTGGTCCACAGGGTACTGAACACTCTCAATAAGCTCGCGCTTGACCTCCTCCAGACCACCGATGTCCTCCCAGCGGACGTTGGGCACCTCGACAACGGCAACCTCGCGCAGGGCAGAGGGGTTGGAGACACCAAGGGCGTAACGGAAGTTCTCCATGGTGACACCGAGAGAATCAAGGACCTCAGCATCAATGGTATCCTCGTCCAGGTCGATCATATCCATCTTCTCACGGATCTGCTGCATGGCAGCCTCAGAGCACAGAGAAGCAAGATCGGAACCGACGTAACCGTGGGTCTCGGCAGCGATCGTCTCCAAATCGACATCATCACCCAGCTTCATGTTCTTGGTGTGGATCGACAGAATCTCGAGACGGCCGGTGGGGTCCGGGATACCGATGTCGACCTCACGATCGAAACGACCGAAACGACGGAGGGCAGGGTCGATGGAGTTGGGGCGGTTGGTGGCGGCCATGACGACGACGTTCGAGCGGGCCTTCATGCCGTCCATGAGGGTCAGGAGCTGGGAGACAACACGACGCTCGACCTCTCCATTGGTCTTCTCACGCTTGGGAGCGATGGAATCGATTTCATCGATGAAGATGATGGCGGGGGAGTTCTTCTCGGCCTCCTCGAACGCCTTACGCAGGTTCGACTCAGACTCACCAGCCATCTTGGACATGATCTCGGGACCGTTGATCAGGAAGAAGAAAGCACCGGTCTCGTTGGCAACAGCACGAGCCATCAAGGTCTTACCGGTACCGGGGGGACCGTACATCAGGATACCACGAGGGGGCTTGATACCGATGGACTTGAAGAGCTGGGGATGACGGAGAGGCAATTCCACCAACTCACGGATCTGAGCCATCTGCTTGCGGCAGCCACCAATGTCATCGTAACCGACCTCATTGAGGTTGCCCTCCTCGTCCTCACGCTGGATGGGCTCGCCCTCGCAGTGAATGATAGTGTCCTGAGCAACGATACCGTACTCTGGGGGGTCGACCTCGACAACCTTGAACTCCACTTGTCTCATACCTCCTCGTACTGTGAACAGGTCTCCCTGTCGGACGGGTCTGTAGGCTTCGCGGAAGTAGGGGGCAAGGTAGACGTCGAAGAGGGAGCCGGTAAGACCCTCGACGGTGTCGGCAATGGGGAGGACAGCAATACGCTTGGCCTATGACACAGCGAAACCGCGGTTAGCCACCAGCCATCTGCTGCTCGTAAGGTTTGACTCACATATTTGATGTCGGGGCAAGGGTGGACGGTGATCATGTCGCCGTGCTTGACACGGAGGTTGTGTCTGACAACACGGTTGATGCGAGCGCTGCCGTCATCGAGATCATCATCCGCCAAGACAATCAGAACAGTGTCCTTGCGCTTCTTGCCCTTGACGAGAACCGTGTCACCGCGGAAGAGCTGAAGGGTCTCCATCGTGTTGTTGGAGAGGGCAATAACGGAGTTGTCATCGTTCACGGCATCGGTCACACTATAGCACACATGTGGTCAGTATCTCAGCCGTTCACGTCAATGACGCAGGCGAACTCACATCAGAGAGTTGGGCTTCTTCTTCTTCTTGAGGATAGCGGTCGAGGTGTCGAGTTCCTAGATTAACAAGCAAGTTAATATCACCATCAAGGTCCTTGCGGCGTTCGGAGGCAAAGTCTTTACCTCTTTCTTCTCAGCGCCCGAGGGGTCACTATGATGTATTAGCATGCGGGCCGAAGTGGAAACCAGGGTGGACGAAACATACTTGAGGTTGACCCTCTTCTTCTCGTGGGTGTGGTCTGGCTCTGCGCTCATCTTGATGGAGTCTGAAGAAAGGCGCGTGAAGCAACGTAGTCACTCGGAAAGGTAGCAAGGACTGTTGCCGTACCGGATTAGGCGAGCTCGGCAACAGGCAAGAGGGATCTAGAAATAAGGAAAAGAAGGGGAGGAAGGATGAAATCTCAACAGACAGCAGGAAATGTCTGAGAGATGGCGCAAATTGGGGGAGAGATGGTGAAGTGATAGAGCAGGGTGTTTGGGTGGGGAGGAGGGAGTTGGAAGTGAGATGGTCGGTTGGCAGAAGAAGAGCTCCAGTTAAGAGGTGACGATAGCGCCAGGGCCTGCCCAGAGTCCGGGACTGATGACTTAAGCTGGTTGTTGCAGTGTTGCTGCCACTACCCAGCACTCACCGCCTGCCTGCTCGTCTGCCCGCCCGCCGCCACCGCCTGGAGGAAGAACCGCATGGAAGCCGGTCGTATCCACAACGATCATCAGTCCCGGCATATCATTGTGGTCGATGCCCGTGCTTGATAAGCTGGGGAAGGAAGCAGTTGGAATTGAGCCCCTTGATGATTTGCACTAGGTTCTTGGAGCGATCGATCTGTTCTTTTCTTTCTTGCCACTCGGGATCACCAGCAATACGGTCATATTGATGCCTCAGGCATGAATGACATGTATCACTTCGACCTGGCTATTTCGTCAGCTGGCTGTTGTTGCCAGTGCGCCTGTTCAGCATCTTAGAACAGAGAACCTCACTGATCAAGTATATCTGAATACTGCAGAGATCTAAGCATGGTGCTGAGTTATAATGCCAATAATAATCGGACTTCCTGGACAGCCCCCCACCAGTAAGTAAACACGAGAAGAAGATGGTAATAATCTACAATTCATACGACTATGGCTAATCCACTTATCAGCCCTATCTGACAATGTAAAACTCATGATGATTGAAGCAATCGGTGCCTAAACCGCATGGTAAGTGATTGTCGCAGTCCGGCTACCCCGTATAGTCTCAACCGCGCACTCATCAGAGCCGCAGTGAGCAGGAGCAGGCAAACGCAGACCCGAGCAGGTCTGCCTGATCGCCGACTAAGCGACCTGTGAACAGTGATTGAGATCACAGACATCTAACACGATGTCTTCATCTCTCACATTCCATTCTCACCTCTCTTACCAACACCGTCAGTATCCCTATCTCTATTCCTATCACCATGTCGACCTCTACCGCCATGTCGACCGTTCCCACCACCAAGGCGAACAAAGCAGTCAAGGTGAAGCAAGCAGCCAAGGTGAAGCGCAGCCGAACCACCATGGAGTGCTTCACCTGGTACCCGGACAACTACAAGTTCGCCTTCCACAACCGGCTCAAGATCACGGAGCTGGAGAAACTGCAGGCGGACGAGGAGAAGCAGGCCGTCTTCGTCTACGGCATCCTCAAGCTGCCCAGCGCGGTGCGCGCCTACCTCGGCAAACATGACAGCATGGAGATCGCCCGCCGCATGCAGCCGGCCAAGGCGATCGGGTACCGCCTGTACGAGCGGGTCGCCTACGGCGAGCCGTACATGGCGTACACGGGCAACAATAGCGATGTCGTCGAGGGCATGCTGGTGTTCGCACTGGACTGGGAGGACATCGAGGCGATCTTCGGGCCCGACCATGAGGGCGGCAACATGGACTCCTGCTTCGTCGAGGTGGAGACCGTGATTGTCGAGGATGGTCCTGGCCTGGCCGATGGCTGGGTGGAGGTGTCGCGCACTTTCTCGGTCCCTGCGCTCGTGTGGCTCGGTAGCACCGAAGGCATGCGCTGGAAGGGCCTGCCGGTCTGGGCGGTCGATACGTTCCTGCGCTCGGAGCTCTACGATCAATTCGTAAGTTTGGATTAAGCTGGGGATTGGATGTATGCTAATCTGGGTTTAGAGACGTCCCGGCGAGCTCGAGTCGGAAGAGACCATCACCCTCTACTAAGTCTGGCTGGATCCGTGAGACTGTCTACATTCGATGCGTGCTTCATGGTCTGGGACCTACGCTTTTACTTCGGTCGGCGAGCTTTGTGACTATTTTACGCCGGTCCGATATTCCTACCGCTGGTCTGTGACCTTATTTCTACTTGCATTGCACGGTCCGACCTGGCATCGCTGATACCCTTTCATGACGACACGAACGACTTATTCTCAGTATGACACGAACACGAGATGCCCATTCATGATGACACGAATACTTATCCTCAGCATGACACGAACGACACGACATGAGATGACAATGGAGTTACGGGGTTATGTTCTTTTCTGCTTTGCCTATCTGTACCGCCCGTGAGGCAGCATACTCAACACCAGCGGCATCCGTCTCAGACAGCGGAAGTGTAACTGATCTGGTCTGAACCTGTATCTAAGCATGCATCAAGACAGCTAAAGCAATCGTGTACCCACGAACCACCCTCTAATCTTCGTAGCACGCACAAATCCTCCAGACCCAAAGCCAAATCTCATAACCAGCACATCTAAACTATGTACAGCAATAAAGCGTCCCGGGGGAGAACCCCCGGACCCCCCTTTCTTTCAGTTTCCCAGCCGCACTCAAGTATATAACCAAAGAATAAGTGATTCCGGGGGAGAACCCCCGGACCCCCCTTCCCTTCAGCTTCCTGGTCCACCTCAAACAGAAGAACCAGTCCTCCCCCACGAATCCCAAAAATCCCACGCCCCAGCCATGAAACTCACCAACCCGGTCAAATGCTCGGGGAACCCAATCCCCTCCTCAAAGCACCAGTGCAAACAGAGCGGCGCCCAGCAAACATTATTAACCAGGCTCTTCCTCCACGCACGAACCTCCGCCTCATCCTCCGCATCCTTCAATTTGGCATCCTTGGCCCCCTTCCCAGAACCCCCACCAGAAGAAGAAGCAAGCTCCTCCCTCCTGCGTAACCTCAAAGTCCTCTCCCTAGCCAGCACAAAGAACTGCAAAAAGATATGCCCGAACCACGCCCGCGTACTCCACAGATCCCACTGCACGAGCCCGCCCCACCGCTCGATAAACCGACGAGGCACCACCCCCTTCGCAGCGAGATAGCTCCCGTTCTCGAGGACCTGGTAGATCATGTTCACGACCACCTGCAGCAGGGTCAGGATGTACAGGATCCGGTCCTTGGGCGGCGAGCGCAGCGTCGCGGCGCCCCAGGTCCAGAGCGGGAGGAGGCCCAGTAGTCGGAGCGTGAACCGCGTTTCGGACATTAGGGAGGAGAGGGCTAGGAGCGGGGGTTTGGGTTTTGTTGTTGGGGTGGTTGGTGGTGGTGTGGGAGGGGGTTTAGGTGGGGAGGATGAGTGTTGGTGCTGGCGATGACGGCGGAGGCGGGCGAGGAGGCTTAGGCGCGTTTGGAGCGCGAGCCATGGGGCCGAGGCCAGGAGGTGGTGTAGTGCGTGGGAGAGGTACCCTGTTACTGCGAGGACGCGCTCGGTACCCGCTGCGGTGGTCGTGAGTCTGTTGGTTACGGGGTTAGTTTTGATGGAAGGGTGGTGAGGTTGCGGTGGGTTTACTTGTCCAGACGCTCGATCGTCGTGTCGGTTGCTCGGAGGGCTGCCAGCAGCTGACGCCGAGCACGAAGGAGAGAAGGCGAGGGAGAGGGGATGGCTGTAGGTGGTGGTGATGCTCCTGCTGATGGGGATCCCTGCCCTGGGTCGGTAGTCGTCGGAGCGTGCCCCTCATCTTTCTGCTCTGATGGTGTGGATTCGCGAGCAACATGCGCTGGAATGGGTTCAGGGTCCGCCATGGTGTCTGCTGCAGACTGCATCAGTCATCGCCAGCAACCAGGAATCTGCCGGGTGGTGTAGTCGACTATATAGACCGGGCAGGTCATCTGCATCTGATCAACCGTCGGTGCTTGGCGCGCGAGCCGAGGTTCGGAATTGGCTCGGAATGGGGAGCTGGCGGGTGATTCAACCGCGGGACAAGAGATTAGATAGTTGGCTTTCCTTCTCGCATGGACCTTACAGATTGTGAGCTTAGCGCCCTATCAGTAACGCTCCAACTTCTCTAGTTATCTCCATGATTATTATTCATCCTTAGCTGACAACTAAGTAACAGTCGCAGACGGATTATTATTGCGTCCCCGAATAATGGCCCGTAGATGATCTGTATGTACTCGTACAACCTGCCGCATGTGAAATTCACCGACCCTCAACACCACGTTCAACGTATTCGCAACGCCATAAACCCGATCAATGAGACGAACCAAATTCAACTCCACCTTCCTGGACTCTCACTTCAGTAGATACAGCCGCCTTATGCGCACTGCTTGCCCCTTCCCCACCAGTGGAGCTCAAGATCGGGTTCATCCGAGTCATCCGAGTCAGACGTGCCTTCATAGCACTCATTGCTCTTGTCGACGCGCTCCAGCTTCTGCTTCCCCTTACCTTCAGCCACCTTCATGTCCGACTCACTATCTTCCTCATCTTTATCCAGACCCTCACCGTCCTCCTGGACAGCATTCACTTCCATCTTATCCTTTCGACTCTCACCCTCTTGCACAGCAGTCACTTCTTCCTCATCCCCCTCCACAATACCAGCCAAGAAACCCCGTTTGCCAAGATTAAACAACGAGCAAGTCCAATTCCCGCGATCCGCGCGTCTCCAGCCACGATAGATCTCTCGTCGTGCTCTGACCTCCTCAGGACGCGCGGACAGAAGCCGTCCGGGCGCCATGGGAAACGGACTCGGTCCCCGGGGCCCACGGGGCGAGAGGTCGATTCCTGCGGCGTCGCGTGAAGCTTGTAGTTTACTTCTCAGTTTGAGCATCTCACGGTTCAATGTGAGTACCATACCGCTCGCGACTCGGTTGGTATTCTGCGGAGCTACCACGGGATTTCCTGGCCCTGGCGTGGTGATTCCACCTCCCGAGGACGAGGGAAGAGGTGGCAGTGGGCGCGGCGGGAGCAAGTGGCTTCCTGTGGGCGGATAGAAGCCTTCGTTGGAGGGGTGTGCGAAGGGGCCGTGGAAGTTGTTCGTAATTCCTGTTGCGGGGTAAGAGGGGAGGATGTTTGTAGTTATGAATGTACGGGTTGTTGGTCTTGAGGTTGAAGATGGTAGATTAGTGTTGGGATTGGGTGCACGGGTGGTTGTTTGCGAGCTAGAATCAGGTGCGGAAGTTCTGGCGTTTGTACTCAGGAACAGCGGCAGATGGACGGTTGATCTCGCCGCGGGAGGAGATTCTCTGGCTTGGCTGGGTGTTGTATCGTCTGTGGACTCGGAGCCACGATTACTGGTCCTGGACAGGAACGAAGGCAAACTGGTCCATGACCTGGATGCAGGATTGAGTGTTCTGAGTTCGGTTGAGGTCGAGTTTCCTGTGGTCTCAGATCCACGATTGCCGGCTCTCGATAGAAACGAGGACAAATTGGTCCACGATCTAGCTGCAGGAGTAGATGTTCTAGACTCGCTAGAGCTTGGATGATCGATCGACTCGGAAACACGACTGCTGCTCCTCGACAGAATCGAAGGCAGGCGAACGAGAGATCTAGATCCCGCGTTAGCTGTTGTCGGTGGGTATGTCGGCAGGCACGCATTGGATCTAGACGCAGGGCCGGATCTTCTCGATGCATCTGATATCGTCGCTAGATTGGACCTCGTCGATGTATCCGATGTGGTTGCTGGATTTGACGTCACTGCGGCATTGAGTGGCAGGTTACCCGTGGACGAGGACGCATGACTGTTCTGTGTCGATGCATGAGGAGGAAGATGTGGAGTCGACGCCGAAGCTGTCGCTGAAAGGTACGACGGCAGATGAGATGTGGATTGCCCCGTTGTCAAGCCACGATATGTGGTCACCGTGGGCCTAGAAAAGAGCGACTCAGTCGCGTAGAACCGAGGCAGTGGATCTGGTGTCGGCGACGGGTTAGGACGCAAGCCTAAATTAGAAACCGTCCTTGCACTGACAGGCTCTCGGTCCCGCAGATCGAACGCACACGGCACCGGACAGCTGGGCTTGCAGATTCCATCGAGGCTCTGCCAAGTTCGTTCTAGAAGTCTAGACGAGCAACGTTGACAAGCTCGATAAGTACATCGAGGTAGGGGCTTGGGCGGATCAGCACCTTGAGTATTAGACTCTCCGCCCTGGGTGGAAAGCAGGCCGTGAAAGGTAGGGCTGGATTCGTGTGGAATGTTTTGCTGAGCATCCTGTTGAATATCCTCGATTTGCTCGACCTGGCCAGTCTGGTAGTCGTCGTGGTGGTCCTGCACCTGACTCACATCGACGTGCTCTGTATGCTCGATATGCACCACAATACTTGTCATGTCACCCTCACTACGATCATAATCCTGTTCCTGTTGAGCAGCTGCGGTAGACTGGGCGGTGGAAGACACATCATTGACGTTCGGGTACGCAGTCTGCTCAACATCCTCTATATGCTGAGTGTAGAAGGAATCATCGTCATGATCTGTGTCCTGGGCTTGCTCAGTTCCACGTGTAATGTGCATTTGAGGGAAAACGGTGAGCACATTCTCCCGATAAAACTTGATCTGTGCCTCACGGGCCCGACGAAATACGTTGAGCTTCTGAAAAATGAGTGTTTCTCTCTCGGCCAAGGTATATTCCCCAGCTTTAATGGCGGCAGCGACCGATGGGCTCATCATCTCATCCGGTCTGGGTTCATTCGGGCCACCGATTTCAGGCGTGTCGACAGCACATTGGTACAACCAACCCAGCGCGGGCACCCGGCCGCAAGTATCGCATGCTTCGTACTGATCGATGACAGGCTGCCGGACAACCTTGCCATGCTTGCAGCCATCGTTTCCCTTGGGCTCTTCAAATTCGTCGTAAACGGAATGGTAAAACAAGGGTTCTCTCAAGTCACCTGTCGGTGCAAGGATCCCTCCGTACTGAGCTCGATCGAAAGGGTAAGAAGCGTTTGTGTGAGCATGATTGGCTTCAGAACTGGTTGCATCAGTCTGAGTATGACTACGTTCTGCGGAAGATGGTTCGGCTCCAACGGTGTCCCCCTCTGTTGAGTCGGGAGTCCGGTCTGTTCCCGGTTCGGTCCATAACCCTATCACAACCGTCTCGGAGCTTGATGTACAGTCAGTCTGGATGCGATCACAATCTACGGAACATGAAGGACTCGTTTGGGCGTGAGCATACCTTGAAGTTTGACCTCGATTTGTGACACGATCTGCGGACTGTATACCTCTTTCAAAGTCCGTAGCTGTCCATGGCCCTTGAACTTGTAGAGGGTCGGCTCCTGCAAGATTTGTATGGCCAGACTCTGAACCATGGCCGTTCTCCTCAACCGAGGCAGGACTTGACTGCAAAGAGATCTGCTCGATCGGTGTCTCGCTTCTAGACACGCGGTTAGTCTCGACTGACTCATTCTCTGCAGAGTAGTGAAGCTTAGGGTCTTGAACTTACGAGTCAGCCATGGTCTGGGATGAACGAAGACCAGAAAGCTCTTCCGTATCTCCAGCTCGACCATCCATCTCAAATGATAGCCTCTGTCTAGTAAGGTTTTTTCACACAGCCCACGACCTACGTCTCGTTCCGTGGTGAGCCCAGGGTGGAGTCGTGAAAACAGGATTCACAGGACGTGTCTGCTCTTTCTAGCCAGAAGAAATCCCCAAAGGGGATGTTATCTATCTGTTGAGACAAGAACGCTAGATGGGAAATGAACAGAAGGCACAGATGATATGAACACGGTGAACAGGAGAAAACAAGAGAGGTCAGACAGCAACATGGCAGGCTGCGCAGGTTCGTGTTCATCTCAGCACGTAACAGGGCCCAGGGTAACAGGAAATCGTCGGGGCAGCCATTGATTTCGTTGAGAGGATGATGTCGTCGTGCTGGACTTGACGACAAATCGAAAAGCGGAGCCTTGCGCAAGCAGATCCTGAACAGTAGTTCACAGAGGAGCGATATAGCGCTATTCCATCGATGGGATAGACCGTAGAAGCGCAACAGCATGCCATACTTAACCGGTGAACCGGTGATCGATACTGAGATACAAAAGAAGTAGAATTGCAAGTTTCCAATTTCTTGATAAAATCTATTAGAATTGAACTAGTATATCTACCTGCCTCTCTGTTAGTGACAACCTGAGGTCTGGATAGAGAGTGTACAATACAGATCTATTTTGTGCAGGGGACAGTTTTGGTGGTGAGTATCAGCTCCAACTGCACTTATCCGAAATAGGCCAGGTTTTCCGAGCCTGCCCTGCCTTTCGCTGCCATCACATATCAATCCAGAGGCAACGTGAGTTCGAAGACGCTCTCTGTACTTGTCTTCCTGACAGCAATAAATTTGAACCTGAAGTAGTATACATGACAGAAACATAATTGCAGGGGAGGTGGTTAAAAGCACAGTCGACTAGGAGATAAGCGGTGGTTGGGAAGAGAGAGAGAGAGAGATAGAGAGAAGCGAGGAATCGGAGGTGACCGAGGGCGGGATTATGGACTAAACAGGTATAAAGTTGACGCGATGGCCATTCATTTGCCGGCCTCGTGGCCGAACTTCCAGCTCTCTCTCTCTCTCTCTCTCTCTTCCCCAGCTTTGGGTTGCTTGTCTCTCTTTCTCTCCCTCTAGTTATAATAATCTGGGGTTTTCTCTTTGCATCTTTTCTGTCAGTCTCCCTTATTGTTACCGGACAAGCAATTGAGTGGGAGTGTGTGCTGGTGCCAATCAATTGCTGTAGCCTCGGTAAGTCTTACTCCCTCAACCTTGAACTTCCAGCCTCCTCTTCTCTCCCTCCATCTTCTCCTCCACTTCAACCCGACCCGTAAACAAACCCACCCCTGGTCCGTCCGTTCTCTCCTGTGCGCGGGACACCCATCCGACCATCTTTCTTCCCCCCCAGTCTGTCCAACTTACCCACTCTCACCACACCTTATTCCATCCGCAACCTTCCTTTGCTTTTAATGTCCATTGCGAGTTCAGTCCCCCGTTTCTAACTCCAATTCCATCTCCGATCGCATTAGATCACCGTGCTATCTCTCCGCAATCGTCATCATCATCGTTATCTCGGATCTGCGATCGCTCAACCACCCATCTAGATCTCGCGCGCTTAATCTCCCTCCCTCGATCTATCAGCAGCAACCATGTCCGCCAAATTCCAAGATGAGGCCGCCACCTCCCTGCGGAAAGACACAAAAGAATTGGTCCACAAAGTCGGTGAGCGACTGACCGGAGGAGGTTATCTCACTGTACGTTGGCTCTGAATGTCGATTCGATGTCTCGGCTGTCGCTGACTGGCACCCTCTCTCGGCCGACTATAGCTCTACCTCCGCCAACTGCAGCAGAACCCGCTGCGCACCAAGATGTTGACGTCCGGTGTGCTGTCGGGTCTGCAGGAGATCCTGGCGTCCTGGATCGCACACGATGTCAGCAAGAACGGCCACTACCTCAGCCCGCGGGTGCCCAAGATGGTGCTGTACGGCATGTTCATCAGCGCGCCGCTGGGCCACTTCCTCATCGGGATTCTGCAAAAGGTGTTCGCGGGCCGGACCAGCCTGAAGGCCAAGGTGCTGCAGATCCTGGCCAGCAACCTGCTCGTGAGTGCTCTACTTTACTGGGGAGGTTGATACGCCCGATCGCTAACTCCATACCCAGGTCTCCCCCATTCAAAACGCCGTGTACCTGACCAGTATGGCGGTCATCGCCGGGGCGCGCACCATTCACCAGGTCCGCGCCACCGTGCGGGCGGGCTTCATGCCCGTCATGAAGGTCAGCTGGGTGACCTCGCCGATCGCGCTGGCCTTCGCGCAGAAGTTCCTGCCGGAGCACACCTGGGTGCCGTTCTTCAACATCGTCGGCTTCGTCATCGGCACCTACGTCAACACGCACACGAAGAAGAAGCGTCTCGAAGCGCTGCGAAAGGTGAGCTCGCCAGTTCCTTCAGTCGTAAACAGCTCTAACGAAGTCCAGCGTTACGACCAACGTCGTGGCCCCGGCAGCGAGTACGACAAGGGCGACTACCGGTAAACCACTGTAAATATCATAACTTCCCCCACCCATGACCATCGCTGGTCGATCCGGGCAATGCGGCCAATATACCCATGATGATCGAGAAGAGAACGGCCAGATGACCACTCCTACCCTCTATGCCCCCCCCCTTCAAATGATTTAATTTATGTTATGTCCCTTCGTGGCTCTGTGAAGACGAAGTCGGCTCCGTCTGCTTGCTATGATGAATTACATATTTACGCAGTATATTGCCATTCTTCTCAATATGGAAGCCTTCCCTTCACAGTCCAGCATGGTAGGAGTAGCTGCTCCTAACCAAGTACCCGGCCACCACTGAATCTTACTCTACAGTAGAGCCGCAGTAAACTGAATAAAATTCCATTCATCATAATAATCATCCCCCAATAATCCCCTCCCAGAATCCACATTCGCGCAAGCGTAAAATCAACTACTCAACCTCCATCTCCCCCCCGCCACCCCTCCGCTTCGCAACCACAAACTCCACAAACTCATCGATTACCCCCGGCCACGCGCCATCTGCACTCCACCAGCCCAACCCCTCATCCTCGCCCGTCTTCCGCATAAACACCTCGACCTGCTCCCACAGATCCTTATTGACGGGCCGCCGGCCGCGCGCCTCCAGGAACTCCAGCCACCAGTCCAGCCACGGCGAGGCGGCCGAGCGCCACGCCACGCCGCCGTGGTCCGGCGTGAAGAACAGCCGCCACTGCTCCGCCGCGATGTCGAACTGCAGGTTCCGCTGCCCGGGCATCCGGCACAGCAGGAACGTGTACCGGTACACGCGCCGGAAGAGGTCCGGTTGGATCGGGAGCCGCGCGCGTAGCTCCGCGGCGTGGGCGGTCATTTTGGGGAGGGTGTCGGCTCTTTTTTTTCGGGTGGTTAGTGGGGGATTTGTGGGAGTGCCGGGAGGGGGGGGTGGGTTCTGGGATTGAGGGTCGGATACTGCGGGACACAGGGGGGGCAACTCACCCGACTGCTCTCCACCCATTTAAAAATCCTTCGCGCGTGAATTCGCCCATCGATGGCGATTGCACGAGCTCGGCGATCGCTAGGCAGGTTACTTCGTCGAGCTGCACGGAGACGTCGCCCAGGTATTTCATTACGCCTTCGATGCCGATTCCGTCCGGGTTGTCGGTTGGGGAGTCTGATAAGGGTAAGTTTAGGGTCTGCGGGTTTGGGGATGAAGGATGTACCTCTGTAGCTGTCGAAGATCTTGTTAATCGCACTGGTGCTTCCCCCCGCTCCGGCGGGGCTTTGGAAGTATCTGATGAAGAGGTGGTTAGTGATGATGACTGGAGTTGGAGGATTGAGTTGTGAGATGTGAGGTAGGTTCCGCGGGTGCTAGCTAGGCTGAGGTCTCATGGCTGAGGTTGATGCTCTGCCGTATCTGGGCTTTATAGTAAATATCCCAGGGGGAAACAGGCAGAAAGCAGGTCTTGAATCATGGACCAAATAATGCCAGACGGCTCGCTTGGCAAGATGAAGTAGAAGTGAGGCTCGCTAGCCAGCACTAGCTCGTAGAGCCCAGCATATAACTCCAGACATGTCAACATGGCCTTGCTGCTTTGAGCTTGGCGATTCAACTTCATGCGCCAGACTCGTAAAAGGCGCAGTGCCCCCAGAACCAAGCCGTTGAGCCGCAAGCTCAACCAGGCAAAGGTCAAGTTCGTCTTGAAGATGGGCGAGGGATCATGGCCTTGGATCGACCTCAAAAGATACTTGCAACCCAGCCTAGTACACGCCAGGCAGCCCCGCCGTCGACGTGAATGGTCAGGTGACCAAGTGCCGGATAATGGCAGATAGAAGTAAAAGCCATATCCATGGCAGAAATTGAGGAAAAAAAGCATGCACCTACGTATCGATAGCCTCTTCAAGGTTCCATCGTGCTGCTTTCAAGAACTATACCCAACCAGACCGTTAGCCACATACCACGCACGTGATAACAAGACTCAAGCCACGAGATCGACCCAAAGCACAACAAACACAAAGCTAAACTTACCTTGGCAGCTGCCGTGTCTTTCGCTTGCGTGAAACTGATAAACTGTGCTATTTGCTGCTTCTGCAGACTCGAGTAAGGCGGCATGATGGTGGGGGTGGACGCAGCGGCGGGATGGATGGAGTGTTGACGGGAAGTTCTGCGCGGAAAGCTCAAGTCGTCAGAATAGATGGCACACGGATCCCGCACCGCGTAAGCTTGACTTGTTGAAAGATAGGTGGGAAGGGCGGACGAACACTGCACTGCACCAAATTACGGATTCCCGGATGGGTTGGTTCCTAGCGGGCTTGATTTGTCGTGATGGGCGGAGATCTTCATTTCGCCGATTTGGCCGGTGGTTTTCCGCTGACTGAGATGTCCGTGCACGTGCCCCGCATCGGATGCTGCTGCTTGATCGCGGCTCTCTACCTTATAACAACCATGTTGCATGGGCTTTATCATGATTGTCTCCAGGAAATGGTCATCATTAGATCTGCTATCGCATGATAGTTATGTACGCCATCCCATGGGGCTGCGCATAGCATGTAGCAACCCAGCCAAAATACGCGAGGTAAGCTACAAGGACTACATGATTACAGCAATCATTGAATGCTTGACCAATAATAATATCATCTCATACGTCCGATATAGTACAAGGCTAGACATCAGAATAAAGACTTTTCTAGATAAACAACCAGTCGAATAAACAGATAGATCGGTAGATAGATGACGACTCCAAAACTCCTGCGAGAATCCCAAGGTATCTATAAAAATAACCCCATGATCGATTCCGCGTATGCAACACTTTTCTTCAAGTCGCGAAAAGAGTATCTTCCTGTTGAACGGGTCAGTAATCGGCCACAGATTACAGATTCGGAAAAAGCAAGCTCACCTCTCTCAGATACTCTCCACAATCTGCCTGGCGGAAGACAACGATCGCCGTAGGCTCGAGCTTCCGTGCCTCAGCAGTCGACCGAGCAGTGACGCCGAATCCCTACACCCTCTAATTAGCTATCCATGCCACAAAAGCCAGCCGGCTTCTCAAGATATCATTCTTACCAAGGGCGTGTCGTTCTGGTCGAGCACAACAACTCCAGCGTGCTCCGGGCAGTCGTCGGACCATCTGCCTACGTGCGCCTTGACGACGTTTCCCTATCGAAGAGGTTAGCATTGTCTCATCGTCATCGACTGCCCCCATCGGCAAGCGCGAGCGTCCACGCTCCCTTTTCCTTTCCAATTCCAACCTCGGGAATAACTTACTCCGTACAAGAACGGCGCGACACCGTTCGGCTTGATCCATACCTTGAACCGGGCGTGGGGCGAGATGACGTCCAGCGCGGTGATGTGAAGCTAGCAACGTTAGCAAAACCAGTCCAAGAGCCTCCAGTGACCATCGAGCCCTTACTCTCATCTTGCCAGTCTTAGTGAGCTTTCCAATCGCAGTACCCATCGAAAGCAAATAATCGCGAGGAATGGAGGTCGCCAGGTTGGCCAGGGACAGCGGGACGTAGTAGATGCGGCTTCCGATCATGCGGAACACATAGCGGTCATTGTCTTCGGAGCCGGCCGTGATCAAGTTCGCGATCGACCTTCCGCAGTAGGCACTGAGCTTCTCGAAGAGCGTCTTCGTTTCCTCTATAGCCTCGAAGTTAGAGATCTGACTAGTCGAGTGATGATTGCGAGAGCTGTAGCCAAAGTGTTTGGTGGAGAACGAACCTTCAGTGAGTTGACGCATGATGAACTGTGGTCTGAGTACGACTCGATGTACCTATGACAGACAATTCCACGATATTCTCAAACAAAGCACTCCGACAAAAAAAAAACAAAAGGAACTTTGACAGAGTATCAGAAAAAGCAATCGTGAAGTCAAAAAAGCTCCGCGGAAACAAAAATTCTAGGCGGTGGGACCCGACGGAGTAGGCGGTGGGGGAGCGGTACCTTTTAACGCCGATGTCTTGGCACCAGGAGAAAAAAAGTTTCGGACGGCCAACCTGCGCGCAAAGATTCCCCCAAGCAGAAGACCATTTTGGACATTCAAAAAATGGCTCCTGGACGCACGACGAAACGCAGACGGGTCAGTCCCCCTGTGGACGAGGATACTGCGTCCTCGCGACCTTCCGGCGCCGCCATTGGCGACTTCTACAATCAAGCCGCCGAATGGGACCTCGAACAGGACTATGAGCGCCGACCCCGCAAAACCGGCAAGAAGGACAAGGAGCGCACTCGATTGCCTATTAAGACAGCAGAGGGATTTCAGACGTTGGAGGAGCCTGAGCCTGAAGCCGAGGAGTCCGACAGCTTTCTCGGAACGGACGATGATGAGGACGAGGAGATGGCTGATACTGTCGCGGACGAGGAGGAGGACGAGGAGGAAGTGAAGGAAGAAGCGCCCAAGATCCCTTTGAAGGTGCAGATCATCCAAGCAAAGGAAGAGCTTGCTAGGTTGGCCACGTTGATCAATGAAGATCCCGAGGAGCATATCTCGTCGTTCAAGGCCATGGCGGAGATGGTGGACTCCGGCAAGCACGTCGCAATCCAGAAGCTCGCCCTCGCCTCGCAAGCAGCCGTCTACAAGGATGTCATTCCCGGGTACCGAATTCGCCCTCTCACCGACCAGGACATGACCGGCAAGGTCTCCAAGGAAGTGCGCAAACTCCGCAGCTACGAGCAAACCCTCCTCTCGAACTACAAGCATTATATTGGAAAGCTGGTGGAAATCACGAAACCCAATAAGAAAGATGTTGCTCCCGTTGATGCAGGATTGAAGACCATCGCAATCAACTGCGCATGCAACCTACTCCTTGCCGTACCGCACTTCAACTTCCGTACCGAGCTGCTCAAGATCCTCATCAATCGTCTGGCCCGGAGACAGGTCGACGCTGATTTCGTCAAGTGCCGTGAGACACTGGAGGATGTCTTCCAGAAAGATCAGGATGGAGTTGTTTCGCTGGAAGCCGTCCGTTTGCTTTCGAAGCTGATGAAGGCGAAGGAGTTTAGAGTCCACGAAAGTGTTCTCGATACGTTCCTCAGCCTCCGTCTCCTCTCCGAATTCGCTCACAAGGCTTCCAGGGACCGAATCGAGCGTGAACCTGAAGAGGAAACCTTCAACGGCAAGAAGCCCAAGCAAAAACGGGAATTCCGCACCAAGAAGGAGCGCAAGATCCAGAAGGAAAGGAAGGCGGTCGAGAAGGATATGAAAGAGGCCGATGCTCTGGTTTCGCATGAAGAGCGAGACAAGAACCAAGCAGAGACCCTCAAGCTTGTGTTCGGAGTTTACTTCCGCATTCTGAAGCTCCGCATTCCTACCCTCATGGGCCCTGTGCTCGAAGGTCTTGCCAAATACGCTCACCTGATCAATCAGGATTTCTTTGGTGATTTGCTCGAAGCCCTGAAGGATCTGATTGCGCACGCCGATAGAGATGAGGAAGAGAAAAACAACGAAGAGGCGGAAGATGATGACACGCAGCCTTCGAGCACCCGAGACGCCCATCGTGAGGCCCTTCTGTGTACTGTCACGGCGTTCGCTCTTTTGGAAGGACAAGACGCCAGCAAAGCTGCCGCCAACCTTCATCTGGATTTGAGCTACTTTGTCAAACACCTCTACCGCTCCCTCTACACCCTCTCCATCAACCCCGACGTCGAATATAACCCTGACAAGTCCTTGCGCCTCCCGGATCCAGACTCCCACGCAGCCAACAACGTGTACCGACCCAGGAAGAAGGTCAACTTCCAGACTCCCACCGTCCTCCTCCTTCGCTGCCTCCACTCCACCCTCATTTCTCGCGCACATGGCAACCCGCCCCCCGTCCGACTTGGCGGTTTCGCCAAGCGTCTCATGACCTCTTCCCTGCAGCTGCCCGAGAAGTCGGCCCTTGCAACGCTGTCCCTGATGAACCAGGTAGCCAGACACAACGCGCGCCGCATCGCTTCATTATGGCACAGTGAGGAGCGCAGGGGTGATGGTGTCTTCAACCCCTACGCTACCGACATCGAAACCACCAACGTCTTCGCGGGCACGGTATGGGAAGGTGAGCTGCTGCGCAACCACTACTGTCCTCAAATCCGCGACGCCGCGTTGGACATCGAGAAGATGATTATGACGCGGAATTAGGCTGTTGTTCTCTCTTGTTTGTCCCTTCTAGCGTGTGTGTAAATTCTTAGGCTCATAAAAAATCAGCGGGTTGCGACCGTCTGTAATGTCCATACTACTTTTTAAAGAGCAAATCTGTCTCTTCTGAGGCCAAACTCTCCTCACTACTTTTCATCGAAAAAGAGAAGTTTTGACTCTTTTGAGACCAAATTTATTGTTTATGAAGCTATGACAAGCTTAGATCAACCCGGTAGTTGTGGTGCAGGAACAGAAAAAGAACAAAGAACACGTGAGAAATCCCGAAATCATCCCCCAACACCTTGCTCAGTCTCCTTGGTATCATATCATGTCTCATAACTCATTTTTCCCTCATGATCCAGCCATCTCATAACGCCTTTTTCCCCCGAAAACAAAGGCGAGCCAAAGGACAAGCAATGCGCCTCTCCAGCGACCATGGGTGTGAGTAAGGGTGGTCTTCCCCGCACATTGCCGTCACTTCGACTTCGCTCGTCCGCCCACAGTTGTATCACAATGAAAGAAACAACAGAGAAGCGACAGAAAGCAACAACAGATTCTTCAAATGAAACAACAGAAATACAAAAGAAAACTTTGGGTGATCCTCTCATGAAGTAGATGTGAGCCAAGTCAGGTCGAGATGCCCTTGACTGGCCAGTGAGAGCGAACTCCGCGCCATATCAGACCAAATCATCGTCTTCGGGCACATAGATAGATGCATCGCGGTTACGCTTGCCTCTAGCCTGATCCATGTGGGGTGCGTCCTCCGTCTTGACAAGGCCATCGTGGTAAGCCTGCAGGAAGGGAGGCAGGTCCTTTGGCGGCGGAAGCTCCACGGGCATCCTGGGAGGCTTGGGCGCAGTGATAACCGCGTACGGATCGTTGTCAAACATGCCCGGACGATAGTCAGGGATGACATCGGCGATGCCGTGGGGATCGCAGTAGCTCCGGAAGGTGGTGGCGACGTCCATCCGCTCCCATCGGCCCGACGGGGTCCGTTCGATCTTGCGCGTTGTGGGTGTAACTTCTCGTCTCTCCATCATGCCCACCGGAGCCTTGTTTGCATGGGGTAATGGCGGTGCGATTTCCTTCCTCTCTGTGAAGGCCGGCGTGGGCGTAACCCTGGATGCTTCAGGTGTGATCTTCAGCTTCTCCGGGACGCTTTTCTTGGCTTTGAGGCTGGGTGCTTTAGGAGAGAACCTTTTTTTCTTCTCCAGAACACTCTTCGTGGCCCTGAGATTGGGTGCTGGAGGTGCGCTCTCTATCTTCTCTGGGGCGCTTCTCGTTGTCTTGACGCTGGAAGGCGGCCCCTTTGGTTCGGTCTCCAGTTCCCTCAAGTCGCCCGTCGGTGTGTGAACTTTGGACCCGTACTCCATGACCTCAGGGCTGTAGTCCAGATCCAGGAGTCTGGCGCTTTTGCTCGGTCTGGGTCCCTGCTGCAACTTGGCTTTCAGGCCTGGAGGGTAGTCGGTCAGATAACTGTGGTATCTGCTTGAGGTCCACTTTTCCGAGTAATAGAGAGCAGCAGGCGTCATCACATCTGCTCCAGTCCGAGAGTGATCTGTGTCAAGCACCGGCGGGGCGCTGAGGGGCTCTGGACGAGTAGCGTTTTCTGCACGAAGTCTCTCAATTGCTTTGAGGTACTGGTTCCCGAATTTACTGCCGCCGACAACATTCGGATCATCGATTGGGCTGTGCGAATCCGGGCGAGGAAGGTTCTCGCCCATCTGCATGATGTCCTCCCAATGAGCAAGAGGGTTGATCTTCATGTGTTCATCAATGGCCTGAACAAGTTGACGCTCGCCAGAGCTGCGGAGTGCTGGGTGGATGTCTCGCGGATCTTTGATAAGAGTTTGTCGAGAATGTGCTGATGAAGGAGTTTTTGGCGCAGACGGGGTTGGGGGTGTCTCTTGCGCAGGCGGAGATGGAGGGATCCCTTGTGCAGAAGGTGATGGAGAAGCTTCTTGCACAGGCGTTGCCGAATGGTCAGATTTGACGTCCTTCGCAGCTGGCTCAGTCTTTATCTTGATCTGAGGCCTGCGCTTAAGTGCGTTGCTCTCCGTAGTAGCATTGGCGTCAGCATTGCGAGAACGAGCAAACCCCCAGATCTCTTTAAGGTCCGGTCGTCTCATTGTTGCGGCAATGTGAGGTTCCAGATTGGGATAGTCGGCAGGGTTCACGGCTTCGCCGTTGGAATGACCGGTGGAAGGAGAACTAGCCAACGCTTTGTTTGACTCCTGCACCACATCCCGTTTAACACGCTTCTCCAGAGTGCATTCACTCACTTTCTCGACAAGCAGGTCTCCGGAAAGCCGCGGAATCTCCTGGCTGCTGGTTCGTGTCGCTGTGCCGATATTCACAGGCTCTGCGCTTCCTAACACGGTCAAGCTTTCCTTTTGCTTCCCCTCGTCCTGCTTTCTCTCCTGAAACTCTTCCTCATTTTTTCCCTCCTCCTGCTTCTCTCCCTCCTGCTTCTCCTCCCTAATTGTTGGCTTTGTCGCTTGCAACTCCAACTTCAACACACTTCTCCCACTAAGACGAGCCCTTCTTCTCATCGAACCTCTTCTTGACTCGCTAAGACCAGATTTGACATCATCTGGGCCCTGCAGCCCAGTACAGGGTTTTCCTTCCTGTACTGGGCTGTGGGGACCGTCAGTGTTGATCTTTAGACCGTGTATCTCCATTGTCAACTTCCGAACCTCATCACGAACCAGGGTACTGAGCCTGGACTCCATGGCCCGCACTTCTTGTCGCACGGAATCTACCTGTGCGTTCATGTCCTTCACCATCCGCTGAGTTTGACTGAGTATCTCAGCCTGCATGATCGTCTTAGAGTTGATCAACCGAGCGATGTCTGACATCTCATCCACCTGCTTCATCATACGGTCCAGGTTCCAGTTCTTGTTATCTTCGAACGACTTGTTGAGTCTACTGGCAGCCTTATCGACATGATAATGCATTTCCGCCATGTGCGAGGCGAGCTGGTTTCCTATCGACACTGTGTTCTGGTACTGGGGATCTGGCGGGGCAGGGGCGTAACCACCGCGAGTGACGATGTCGGGGTCATGACAGTCCTGTATTTGCATGCCGAAGTACTCGCTTCCTTGACCACCAAATAGCGGGTTTGGGTACAATGAAGTGTCTGAAGCTGCCGTGGAATCATCCTCGGCGAGCGCAATGTGAGGGCTCAACACACTGTATCGTACCGGCTGGCGAGTACGACATGCCTCTGTCTCAGTGTGACTTTGTGGGTGTTCAAGATCTCTGAGGTCCAATTCGAAAGGAGAGGATGCACGTGAGATTCCGTATAATGAAGGCGAGTAGGATTGCGCAGGCTCGCAACTTGAGGGACGCACTGCAACTCCTTTCGACCCGTCGATGATGAGCGACTCATATTCAAGCCTCGTGGACTGACGCTGTCGAGTCTTGGCTTCGATTCCTTCACTGGACGGGAGGACGGAAGCTCTCTTCGACCCGTCAATGATGAGCGGCTTGTATTCACGCTTGTCGCTTTCAGATTGTCGAATCGTTGCAACTGAAGTGTTTCTGGAATGATGACCGTTCATTCTCTTCGACCCATCAACGACGAGTGGTTTATACTCGGACTTGTCGCAGGGGTTCTGTCGATTTGTTGCAGCTGAAGTGTTTCTGGAATGACGGCCATTCATTGCCTTCGATCCATCAATGACGAGCGATTTGTACTCAGCCGGCTTACTGGGCTCAGGATCGCAAATGCTTACCACCTTGAACTGGTGGGCGGACACGTTGATTGACCCATCGACTACCACGGGCTTGTACTGAGCAACCGTGCTGGTTCTGTGTTGCTGGGTGGTAACTACCTGATATCGTTCACTCGGCTTATTGATCATCGGCGGTACATATTCAGCAGCCTGGCCGGTCATACTTTGACTACTATCCACGTGAGACTGTTCGGCCTGCGGGCTGCCGTCGATACCACCAGATGATGATTGCAAGGTGGAGGGATTACTCTCACGAGTGGGGCCTGTCCATGTGCACGGTTTGTGGTTTTTGGGGTATTGAGCTCTCCAGATACCCAGATTGGGATATTTGGGGTTCGGTGGAGTCTTCACCTCAGGTGGAGGACGCCAGGTCCCATTCGCCTTTGCGATTCCCTCCTCGATATCTTTGCGCCATCCGGGGCTGACCTCGTCGAGATAATCTTCCACTCTGACCCAGTGCGAGGGGTCGGCAGGTGGTTTGTGTCCCAGCAAGTGTAAGTCTTTGAAGGACAGTTTGGACCGCAGTATCTTGGCGCGCACCATCTGCAGGACAGTTTGCCTATCTTCGGGCTCCCAGTAACTGAACTCGGGCCCAGGATCGCCCTTTGCCTTCTCGGATTTCTTGAAACGTCGAATGGGGTCAGTGAAAGAACGTTTCGCCTTCGGGGTAAATGGCTCGTCGTCTGTGCCTGGGGTGCTCGGAAACGAGATGGACGGTGCTTCATCGGAGATGCGAACACGCTTGGGTTTGGGCATGGGGATGGCGAGCTCGCCGTCAAGGTTCAGCTTCCCAAAGTTGCTCGGCTTTTTCAACGACGATGCGAGCGTGGTGCCAGTGAACGTGGTAGTGATGGAAGTCTTTATTGAGGTGGCTATTTGGTTGACTATCAGTGGTGCAGTTGATATCGCGAGCAAACGACATACCTTTTGCAGTCTCTGTGCTAGTTCTGCTATCGCCGTTTCCTTGTTGCTCTTGCAGTGCTTTTTCACGGGCCTTCTTGATGGCCCACGCATTGCCATCCAAGGGAGACATGGTGGGCGGTTGACGTGCTTGAAGCACGGTTGGACGACGACTACCAAGACACACAACAGTCAGTTCCCTGCTACGCATCGACCAAGGAAAAGGAGGCTAACAGCAGGACAGGTACTCACTTGAGATTGCACGAGAATGATGTGTTTTATCCACACGGGGACGATGATTTCTCTCGCTTTGTGTTTCGAAACAGCAGGAACAGTCGCTTCCCAGAGCCTAGATGTGATGATCAACCATGTCAGTATCGATGGCCAGTCCTCAGGTACTCAGGGCTGGCTGGCTGGACGATGATCGAGATCACAAACCTTCGTCTGCTATGTGAAGCAGATGTTTAGCTTGGAAGCGATCGATGAATGGAAAGATGGATTTTGGTGTTGACTTTGGCTGTTATGAGAAACACCACAAGTCAGAAGACGTCAGGTTGAACGCGAAACACACATCAACAGTTTCTTGAACTCGATATTATCCGGTTCTCGTCTTGTTTCTCGTGTGATGCCTTCTTCACCTCACCAGGGAAAGTTACATAGGAAAAAGGATGGTCAAGCACTTACCTTCTTGCGGGATGGGACGTGAGTGTTGATGGTTGTTCAGGTCTGTGATCTGTGTGAACAAAGATCCACCAAGTGAGGTTTTATGTGAGAGACAGAACGCGGGATAGAGACGTGATAACGCGAGGACAGAGAGCGAGGTTGAGACCGCGATCGAACCAGACGGAGCTCGACTGAAGTGAATGAATAACACAAAGACTGTGTGTTGGGTTTACAAGAGTGGACACCGACCACCAGGCTTTGCGTGAATGCCTTCATGTTCATGTTACCAGTGAATCTACAGAAAATACAAACTACGGGTATCCGGGTGGTATGAGCCTTGACCAGTCTACAGGTTTCTTTCTCGTAGTTTTTCTATATTCTGTTTTGGGGGGAAGCATCGTGGGAGATCAGGGCCTTGTTGGTGGTGGAAGCGAACTGTGAAGACGTGAATGTGATTCCCACTTTCTGAGGGACCTGGGGAAAACTTTGGGGAAACCTGGGGAGCAACCGGGGAGAGAGACGGTGTGCATTTGACCAGCTTCAAAGAAAATGTGGAGTCTGCCAGACAAGGATCAATCTCTACTACGCGGTGCGGTTGATATGGTTTCTGTGAGGACGAAGTCATGATTGTAGGAAGTGTATGGAGGAGACAGTCAATACAGAACCTTCTTGACGTCAGGATTCCATTTCGAGGTATGTTTCCAAGTCAGTGCAGAGCACTGCAATCCAATCCGACTACAACATCGTTCGAAAGTCCAAGGCGTGCCATGCACAGTTGTCTGGGAGAGACAAGCACAGCTACCCCAGCGCCAGCGCCAGCGCCTCCGAAGAATCATACACTAACTACATCTACTTACACTGCTAACGCAAGTACATATAGTACATAGCCCGAAAGCAAGATCAACGAAGCAAGTACATTTCCAGCATGAACAAGGATCCCTCAGAGAGTATCCCTACACCATACAAAACTATCTCTCAACCTCAACTTGAGCGAAAACTACCTTCAATTCTACGATAATCTCCGATAAACCAACCGCGTACGATAACCATAAAATCAGCCCGTTCTTATCAGATTAGATATTATAGACACGAACGAGATACCAAGCAAGACACTCTGCCACCAGGGAAATGAAACAAGTGCTGCAGCGCAGACTGCAGAGGATGGTTATTGAACGAAGGAGCAGAAGGGAGGTAGACGGTGGTGTGTGTCTAGATACTTCGCTTAGCTGTCTTTCACTTTATTGTGTTGAGAAAGGTATGAGCCCTGCAGGAGTTCACTTTTATAAAAGTAAACTGGATCCCTGCGGAAATTAAACAAGTTTCCGTTCCTACTTTAGATCTAACTTGGCACCGCTTTTTACTTACCAAGCAGCCTAGAATATAGAGAAAATATAAAAGTATATATTCCAAGTAATTATTAGATTCTCCTGGATTACTCTAGGAGTAAATATCAAAGAATATAATTATTATTTTAATTACTATATCTTACTATATTAAACGGTTTAAAACTTGTTTGTATATAATATGAGCCCGGCCAAATCGCCAGCTCGGCCTTCCGAATACCGGAATCACCAATTATACTCTTTGCTTGTTTCAGCAACCTTGAGATAAAACCACGCACTTTTTCAAACTTACAATATCTCAACAACAAAACAATATACCAATGTTGCCGCAACTGGGAAAGTCGTTCACTGCCACTACGCCCGGCTTGTGCACGACTCCATACCATGTCGGATAAATGATTGCTTAAAATTCGAGTCTGTTGTGGTTAAGTCTCAGCTGTGGCTTGGAACTATTGACTACTAGCCGAGTAGCCATTCCAATTTTGTGACGGCTCGCTTAGGAAATACGTGGTCTGGAGCGGGGATGATATTTTACGATCGATTCGAGATACAATAGCTTCGGCTGGAAGGGGATGGTTTTTTTTTCTTTTTTTTTCTTGTAGATAAGGTAAACGAGCTTCTGGTAGGCGTATCACACTAGCCTTCATTCCCATAGAATTCATACTTTGCTCTAGTAATATCCTTGTCTATCTGGTTGGGCTGAGACGTTGGGAAGCTGAATGGAGCCACGAAGATCTCAGCCAGCCACCACCAAAGCCAGCGCAGTGATGTAGATTAGGTACCCAGGCTCTTTTCCACTGGAATCAGTGACTAGCCACAACTGACTGTTGAACTACATCTACCAGATACGGGATAATCACATTAGGGCTCCCAAATATACGAGGTCGGTGTGCCCCGGTCCATGCTCCCCACTGTTGTCATGTCGATGCTAGCTAAAGAGCTATGGCTGGGACGGGCATAGTCATCTTGAAATTCAGAGGCGAGATCTAGATCGGGCGGCTACCGCAAGCATCGTGATATATAACGAATCAGTTGCCCTTCGAGGCCCCTCTGCCACTTACCCTCATTTCTCCTTGCTACTGAGAACCACCAAATGGCGGAAATTCTTCCAGAGGCTGCCAGGTATACACCTCGCGAGGTCGTGATACCCCCCGTTCCTGCGACAGAGGTTCTGACCGATCTTCAATGGGAGACTATTCTGGCCTTGGCCGACGCCGTCGTCCCATCTATTCGTGCTGCCGCAGACAATGCTCCATCAACCACGCACTACACCGTGACCGATGCTGACTTCGAATCTGCTACAGCCACCCTCACAGACACGCTCTCGGTATCTGAAGCATCGGCAGGTGTGGCCCGGGCCTATCTGGAGGAGAGTGCCTCGGCTCTTCCCCAATTTCGAGAGGGCCTTCAGCGCCTGCTGGCCGACTACGTTCACAAAGAAGGTCAGAACGGCATCCGCTTCATCCTCGATGTACTGAAGTAGGTTACCGAGATCCATCCGTGGCGTTCAGTCGCTAATGAACATCTCGCTTGTCTAGTACGCGGGCCGGATCCCTTCTTTTGACCGGCTCCACGACGCCAATCCAAAACCAACCCGTGGCAGTGCGCGAACAGATCTTTGTCGGATGGGCCTCCTCGCGCTTACCTCCCATCCGCCTGATCTATAGATCACTATCGGCCATGTTCAAGACCACGTGGATGAACGCCAGCCCAACCCTGAACACCGCAATAGGATTTCCTCGAATCCCCGTGCAGGTCAAGTATGCGCCGGGCTGCTGGGAATACGAGTTCCTGCAGTTCCCTCCACCTTCACCGAGCGAAAACGAGCAGGAGCAAGAAGTCCCAGAAGTCATTGACACTGACGTCGTCATCATCGGCAGCGGCTGCGGAGGCGCCGTCGCAGCCAAGAACCTGGCCGAAGCCGGCCACCGCGTGCTGGTGGTCGAGAAGTCCTACCACTATGCATCGCATTACTTCCCAATGGACAACCGCACCGCTCCCGTTACCCTGTTCGAGGGTGGGGCTTCGATTCTCACCGACGACGCCTCGGTGGCCATCTTTGCTGGCTCGACCTGGGGCGGGGGCGGCACCGTCAACTGGTCGGCGGCGCTGCATACGCAGGCCTTTGTGCGTCAGGAATGGGCTCAGGACCACGCATTGCCCTTCTTCACTTCGGCCGCTTTCCAGACCTCTCTGGATCGCGTCTGCCATCGCATGGGCGTCAGCGCTGCCAATATCCGGCATAATCGCCAGAATCGTGATCTCCTAGAGGGGGCGCGCAAACTCGGATATGCTGCCGACGTGGTACCGCAGAATACTGGCGGCGAAGACGAGCATTACTGTGGATATTGTACCCTGGGATGCTCCTCCGCAGGGAAGAAGGGACCCACCGAGACCTGGCTGGCCGACGCAGCCAGGGCCGGAGCCGTCTTTGTCGAAGGGTTCAAGGCGGATAAAATCACTTTTACGGGGACTGGAAAGGAGAGGATTGCCACGGGCGTCGAGGGTACGTGGACCTCACGCGAAGCATACCTGTCCCGGAGTCCGATTACACGTAAGGTGGTGGTCAAGGCGAAAAAGGTGATTGTCTCGTGTGGCACGCTGAACAGCCCGCTTCTGCTGCTGCGCAGTGGAGTGCAGAATTGGCACATCGGTCGCAATCTACATATCCACCCCGTTCTCTTCGGTGCCGCTGTCTTCGATGAGGCGATTCGCCCCTGGGAGGGCTCGGCCTTGACCGCAGTAGTGAAAGAATTTGAGAATCTGGATGGCCGCGGCCATGGAGCCAAGATCGAAACCACCGTCACCCTGCCACCGCTCTTTCTACCCATCTTCCCCTGGCGTGGCGGGCTCGACTACAAGAGGTTCTGCGCCAAGTTGGGCTCCATGACCAGTTACATCGCCGTGACCCGCGATCGCGAGTCCGGGCGCGTCTATCCCGACCCCGTCGACGGACGGATCCGCGTGGAGTACACCCCGTCCGCCTTCGACCGCAGGAGTGCCGCAGAAGCCTTGATCGCCAGTGCAAAGATGGCTTATCTCGCGGGCGCGAAGGAGTTCCATGTCTCGTACGCGGATATGCCACCTTTCTCTCGGTCCGAACAAGCGACGGAGGCAGACGAGGAGGAGGAGGGGATTAACAATCCGGCTCTGCAGGCTTGGATCAAGGAATTCCGACAGAAATTCCCCTTGGACGTCGAGAAGGCAGGCTATGCCAGCGCTCACCAGATGGGCACCTGTCGGATGGCCAGCTCAGCAGGTCAGGGTGTGGTAGATCCGGAATGCCAGGTCTGGGGCACCCAGGGGCTGTACGTGATGGATGCCTCCATCTTCCCCAGTGCGAGTGGCGTGAATCCGATGATCACCAACATGGCCATCGCGGACTGGGCTACTCGTCAGTTGTCGAAGAAAATGCGAAGGGAAGAGAGGTAATTTCAGGGAATGGCTTCCAGTACGAAGTAATGAATATCTTGATCAAAGCCCCAGCTCCATAGTAGCTTTGATGGGGGCGCGTAATACATCACTTGGATCCTGCCGGTCACGAAGGAATTTAATACCGCGTCGCTTCATATATGAAGAGTATATTAGAAAATACTCGTGTACATCTTATAGAATAAAAAAACGCGCTCGAAGGGTGATGGTCATATCACAAGTCTTATGAACTGATGTAACCTCGAGAGCGCGTTGGTAAATAAAATATCCCTTCCCTGGATATGAACTTATGTTGATCACCCTTTCCCCCCTTTTTAGTTGAATGTAGCTCACGCAACGAACCATGGCTCTGCAGAACGGTTGCTTGATTAGATTAGATCCCCGTGATATAAGCATCAAACGGCAAATCAGTCGCTCAGAAAGCCTCGGGAAACCGGTTCTCCACGCCCGGTAGGACCTTCACATGTACAGACCACAATACCTCAAGAAGGGAGTGCCCTTCATGGCTGTCTTCTCCCACTATTTAGCCTGCCTGTCACAAATGGTTGTCAGCGCTCTTCTTTTCTTTTTCTGCGTCAGCTTCGTGTAGTCATCTCTGAAGACATAAATCCTTTCTTTAGGGTCTCTGAATAATGAGTTATACTAGATATGATGCTTAACTTTGGCAATGAACTCTTCTTGAGGTTTCTGGATAGGGTTGAAGCCCGGTAAATCTCGCGGTAAGTGTAGGAGTTAACTTGGAAAAGAAAAGAGGGAGATAATATACGAATTGTGATGTCGTCAGCTCATTCTTGCTACAGATCAGAGGCAGCTGGCCAAAAAAAAAATATGCCTAGAAATGCAGCCTTGCCTCATCTAACAATATGGCATCCAGTTTCAACAAGTATACTTAGAGCTAGAGATATCATGTTGAGAAGCCTCGAATATCAGTGTGTCGATTTTTGAATCCTGGTCTCATTATACCAGGAATTCGCGAACTTGTCTTAAATTTAAAAGGTTCACGTGTTATTCATTATTAGGTTATTATACTCTATGGCCCCAATTTATCGTGCAATTTGACCTCCCGATTAAAGCGTGTGCAAAGCGTAAGGGGAATGCTCTATAAACGTGCTTTGAGCTCCTGAGAAGCTTCCGCCGGGCCGCCTGAGAACGTCTCGAATTCGCCAACATAATCATTCCACAGACGATCAGACGTCATGGGGGCGGTGCAATACGGCTCGACCCCTGTTTCCTCAACCAATCTTTCCAAGTCAGGAAGCACTGCATCGGCCGCTTCGGCCTCCATCTCGCGCTGCTTTTGACGGCTGAGACCATACTCAGCAAACCAAGCGGAAGCTTCCTTAATGATTCCAACTTGGTAGAGAGCTCGCAGCTTAGGGTCAATGCCCGCCTCGATAGCAGCTTCGATTGCCATCCGATATCCGATGGCTTGAACCAACGGAAGGGCAAGAGGGAGAATCGTTCGGTTGAAGGCCTCGCTCCGATGCCTACTGCCGAAGAGCTTCATTGCCACCCTCGCCTCGGCAAACAAACCGGCTTCGTGCTGCGCTAGGGCACCGTTGGGGTTCTTGGGAGGCGGCACCTGGTAGCGGCCGATCAGAAGCTCGCTAGCAAGGCGGATAGCGAGGACTCGGACGTCGCCCTCAGCGGTGGCTACTGCACGAAATTCCAGCTGGAAGTGGTTAGCATTCGTAATACTCTCTTTCAGGGGGTTGAAACAGCTTACATCAGCTTGGAGGATTTGATTACGGTCATAGTAACCGTGCCAGCCGCAGCCTTTATTGACAGATTCGAGGCTCGTCTGAAAGTGATGCGTTGTGACTGCCTTGAAGATGGTAGCAAAGGCATGACGGACCCGCGGGTCAGTGATGTTTCGATCACAGAAACTCATTCCGGCGTGAATGAGGAATGCTTGGAGGACATGAGCTCTGGCGATGGCGTGGAGAATAGGAAGATGCTGAGTACGGAAGTCGATTACGGGCATAGGCTGCCCGTCATGGCCAAGGATGTGTCGCCGGAAACTAAACTTGCTGGAGTTGTAAACAGCCATTTTGATCAACGGGATACACCCACCAGCCAGGAAAAGTGTTCCTGCAGGCATGCGGTGTATCGTGGCCAAGAAGTTGTCACGTTCGTTGTTCGACTTCTCCAGTCTGCCTTGCTTGCCACCGAGCAGGGCGGAGAACGGAAGCTGCACGCGATCGAAGTAGGTCAATGCATGATCGATCGGATTCGCACCCGGGCGAGGTGGAAAGACTCTAAGTAAACTCGCTTGTCAGTCTCGATATGACGTCTAAGCTTGTTCAAAATGGTCGAATACATACTTCGCGGTGATACCCGGGTACATTTTGACGCCATCTGACATTTGAACAAGGAATGGTCGGACTCCCCGATCCTCTCCTTTGACAATGAGGCGGGCTATTACAACCGCAAAAGTAGGCAAACCATGGCGAGGAGTATTAGGTGGCATACATCTGGGATATCACATCGTTAGTCCGAGGTTTCAGAGAACGGACATTTATGGTCGCTTACTTAGCAGCAGCCGGGGATGGTGTGTTCAAGATAAAGCTGTTATCGGGCATGAGAGTAGCAGTTGTTTCGAGGTTGCGCGCATCCAAGCCATGTCCGAGCTCGGTGAGCATGAATTGTGCTCTATGCAATGTTAGCCATCTGCCACGGATCAACGGTGAGGAAACGCACGAGATGTCGAAGTTCATCGCCTGCTGTACAATCGGCGCCAATTCAGGCTGCGAGGCAACGTAAGGAGCAACTGTACCGACGAACAGGTTATATGCAACGCTAACCAAGTTGATTGCGCCACCATCCATAGCGGTAAGCATGTCAATGTGAAGTTTCCAGAATTTTGGAGTGGTGTTGAGTACATCCTCCAAGGTCAAGCCTATTTCGACCCAGTCAGTTCCCTATCCTTAACATAACGGCTGCGGCAGGGAGTATTACTGTATGCATGTGCTAAAGCCCTCGCTCTTTGATAAGTGAGCCGCGTTCGCTCCTCGAGCGTCATTGAGAGCGGTGCAGGCTTCATCAAAGCGGACTGCGCCAGTTCCAGAGTCGGCGAAGGTGTATGCCATACCTCGTGGTAGAGTGCACGATACTCCGATTCCATGTTTGCACTGCCAGTCATCGGAGTCTGCGTGATGTATATTGTTCGGAGTTTGAGAATTGATGAGACATTTCGCTGGGGACCCGCCACGGCGAAGGAGACGTCTTGTATATTCCCTCCGATTTACAGGGCCGGCTCGGATATCAGGGGCTGAGCTGAACGATGTCCACAGTGAAGACTTAACTAGCCATATCGCTAAGCGATAATGGGACCGGTGCCGAGCTGTTGGGCAAGAAACGCCAGCGCCTCGCCCAGTCGGTAACGAATGAAAAATCGCCATGCACGACCGTTGGCATCCAGATAGCTCCAAAAAATTCGAGGGCGCACCTAGGCCTCGTGTCTGGCGAATTTTCATTGGAACTTAAATCGACCCGCTAGACAGGGGCTGGCTGAGCCGAGCTGCCACCAGAACACAAGATGCTTGGAGTAAGTCAGTACAATCCTATCAGGCACTAACGGTAAATCAATTCGTCCAAATCGACTTAACCCACCTCAGCCACGAATGGAGCATGATCGTGGCCGGAGTTTGTCGTCGACCATTCCAGAGATAGATGGTGAAGTCAGTCCGTGGCTGAACTATGGCTGACTTTGGCCTAGCTAATGTACAAGTGGTAACGTGACCGGTAAGCGAGTGGTCCATGTAAGCGGGTGGCCTAATATACTAAGAAATCCTTAAATATATTAACATCAACTATTTAATACTTAATATTGCTACTAAAAGTACCTGTATTGTTAAAAGAAGCTATCGGTTAAGAAAATTATGTCAAATTGATTATTAAAACTTTTTATAATAATAAAATTTTATTAAAATCAAAATAATTAAAGATTTTAGTATTCTAAAGATAACTCTTTATAAGTATTTTGATAACGTTAAATTATAAATTGTGTTTTATAGAGGAGAGGTTATTAAAATGATAAATTTTTGGGAATAAGTCAAAATTTTTCTTTAGTAAAATCCATAATTGTTGTACAATACCCGGGGTAGCTGGCACCCAGCACCTCCGGCCTCCACTGATTCGACGGGCTTTTATTCCGTCTATCCACATTATTCATAGCTAACTCCCCCTTCTTTGATGATATATATAGTCAGACTGCTGTACCTTAGGGAATACAGGATCCCCAAGGATTAGTCTTGCAATGAAGGGCTAGTTGCTTTCTTACCTGACCCCCGGCCTTCTACTCCGTTATAGTAGATGTTGACATTAAAATAGTTTAGAAGTAACTAGGGTTCTAGATATATGCTCTATAAATATTCTGTAAGTATCCCAGAGTATATATAAACTATTTATATACTACCTTTATAAAAGCAGCAGTACTTTAATCAGGTAAGTAAATCGGAATTACAGCAAACCAGTTCACTTAGACACTTGTCTGGCTTGGCGACAGCTTCCATCTATTCTCCTTGATAAGGTCTTTCTTCGTTGACGATGCCTTTCTTTCCTCCCATGACAAGACCTCTGTTGTCCCTGAGCAAGACCTTTTCATCTGAACGAATCCTCTTATCCTATAACCACAAAATCATTATCCCCCCCCCGTCCCCCTCTTCTTATACCCCCATAACAATCTTGAGTTGATATCCCGAAACATAATACAGATACTCCACTGAACCGAACCCAGCCCAACACGAAATATAAAAACCGGACAAGAAACGAGAACCTACGAACCCAACCCAACCCGACACAAAACAAAACAAAACGAACACGGCAACTGAAGAAACGAGAACAGCCCACCCACCTCCCAAACACATCTTAAACTCCAAAATACTAACCCCAGCACCACCAACACAACAACATCAGAAACCTCGGTCTCGATCTCGATTCCCCGCTTCGACGCCCACTCACTCACTTATAATCGGAATCATGCTGATGCTGACGCTGACGCTGCTGGGCCTACAATAATACTGTTGGTGGTGTGGTTGGTAGTGTTGACACTACCAGTGCGGTTGTTGACACTGCCGGTACTGCCGTTGGTGCTCGTGCTAGTGTTGATGCTTGTGCTGGGGCTGGTGCTGTGGTGGATCGTGGTTACGAATGTCGTATCGATTGTGGTGCTTTTGCCGGTTATGACCGGAACTAGAGTCCTCTTGCCTCATTCTCTAGGGGGGTTTGCGGACTGGGCTGGGTTAGGCTAGCTGGGTAGGTACATAGTTAGGTAGGGGCTTGATGCTCATGGTTCGTGAAAGGGTTCTCATGCTTATTGCGTACTGCGTACTGCTTGCTCACTTGACTTCGGATTATGAGCGATCATCTTGTTTCATAAGAACTTGAAGATAGAACATCTGATTGGGCCTGAGTTCGGATAAGGCAGGGATTCATTGGTTACTTTCGTTGATTGGACTGTCCAAGGGTACCGTACCTGGCATGTTGCACATACACCGTATCTTCTGTCTGGCCGCAGGGACAAATAGGACAATCAATATAATCATTTAATCTATATCCTCCGTATCATCGGTATCATCAATCATAGACATCATATGCTATAGACTAAACAATAGACGTAGAAACTTAACAAACAACCGAATGGGTCTGAAATTACCATCAGCAGCATTAATCAACACTTCAACAATCTGAGCGGAGTAAATAACACTATCAAACATCGTCCGGCAACAAAAACCATCGAAGATATCAAATACAGGGGAATCGATTCGAAATAAAAATGAGCGGCGCAGGTTCGCATCAACAAATCGAACAACTCAGCGGGTATATGCATGCCAAACAAATGCGAGCAAGGGGGCAGCAAAAACGGTCATCAAGAACAGGCTCCTGATTCACATTAGCGTTGGCAATAATCAATCGTTAGCAACAAAACATCTGCAATATGCACAAATCTCAACTCTTCCCAAGGAAAGGGCATCATTGAAATCAGCATCTCTAGGAGACACATCTATTGGTTGTTCCCTCCGCGACGGCGGAAAGGAGAGAAGATTGCTCCAAAGAAATTGGTAAACACAGCGCGTAAGATAGTCTTCAACCAGCTGTCATGCTTCTTATGATTCAGAGAAACAGCGGTGACTGACCGATTTTGACTCTGTGAGCGAGGGTTCTCGTCTCCCTTGGTGGCCACTGCCTTGTCCGCAGCGGTCGACGATTCGGCGGTACTTTCGGGCTCCGGGGTCGATTTGGCGTTGTCCGTGGCATCGGCGGCAGTGGCTTGCTGGGCAGCATGGTCACCGGCGTGAGCTACATCGGGGTCAGTTGAAGTCTTCGCAGTTATGGTAAAGGGGCTCTTACCCTCACTGGGCCAAGTTCCAGGCACGGCGTTGACCGCCTTGTCCTTGTTCGGGGGCTGGGGTTCCTGTGACTTGGTCTCAGCAGGTGCAGCAGCAGCAGCCTCGGGCTCCTTGTGGGAGGCCGAAGCGGCGCCAACTGCAGCGGCGGTTCCGGCAGCAACTGCAGCGGCAGCGCCTGCAGCGATGATCTCGGGCGTCAGGAGGCTGTCCTTGGCGGACTCTTGTTCCGCCGCGGCCTCGACAATTGGCTCGGAAGCGACAGGCTCTTCAGCGACGACTTCTCTGCTGACTTCTTCCACAGCAGGCTCGGCAGGGATCTCATCCTTCTCGGCACTGGGAACGTCTGTCACTTCGTCTTGCGTAGCCGTCTGCGTGTTGATGACTCCGTTGATGGGGGCTTGTTGATCTTTGCCTTCGATTTCGGCGAAAGAGACACGTTCGGAAAGTTCCTCATCAGCAAGCTCACGGGTACCGATAGCTTCCGTAGGTTGCTCCGAGGCAACTTCAGTAGCTTCCTTCTTCTCACCTGCTTCGGCAGGAGTAGGCTCAGGAGTAGATTCGGTCGCGACAGTCTCGGAAGTTTGTTCAACGGCAACGGGCTCTTCGACCTTGTCGACAGACTCGATCACAGGGGCCACGTCTTCCTTGACAACTGCGGGAATGAAATCCTCCGGGGCAGGTGCTGCAGCAACTTCCTCCTTGTCGACGACCTCCGGATCGGCAACAGGCTCCTCGACAGCTGCAGCAGGTGTGGGCTCGACCTCATCGGCGGTCTTCTCGGCAGGGGTCTCTTCAACGACCGGTGCTTCCTTGGGCTCCTCGGCAGCAACTGCTGAAGGCACCTCGTCGACGCTCTCTTCAGCTGGAGTCTCTTCAGTAACAGGGACTTCCTTGGGCTCATCCTGGGTCTCTTTCAAGGAAGCCTCCGGAGCAACGCTCTCCTCAACTGCGGGGGTCTCTTCGACAACAGGAGCCTCCTTAGGCTCCTCCTGAGTCTCATTAGCAGGAGCCTCGACAACACTCTCCTCGATAGCAGGCGTTTCTTCGGCAACAGGAGCCTCCTTGGGCTCTTCGTGAGCCTTGTCGGCGGGAGCATCTGCAGTAACGTTCTCCTCAACGGCCGGGGCTGCAACTGCTGGAGATTCCTCAGTAGGCTCTGCGGTAGCTGACTCCTCAGGAGCCTTCTCCTCAATGGACTTCTCGATAGCTTCTTCAGCAGGAGCTTCAGCAACAGGAGCCTCAGCAACAGGAGCCTCAGCAACAGGAGCCTCAGCAACAGGAGCCTCAGCAACAGGAGCTTCAGCAACAGGAGCCTCAGCAACAGGAGACTCAGCAACAGGAGCCTCAGAAATAGGAGTCTCAGCAACAGGGGCTGGTGTTTCAGCGGCAGGCTCCTCAATCACTGGCTTGGAAGTGGCAGGCTCTTCAGTCGCAGTAACCTCAGGAGCTTGTTCCTCCACAACAGGTTTCTCCTGAACGGGCTCCGCGACTTCAGCGACCTGTTCGGTGACTGGCTCGGCGGCAGCTGGCTCAGGCTGGGTGGATTCTTTCGCGACGGACTCCTCATGCACAGGCTCTGCAGCTTCGACAGCCTTCTCGGTCACGGGCTCTTCGGCAGCTGGCTCGTGCTGGGCAGACTCCTCAGCGGCGGGCTTCTCGGTTACAGGTTCCTCAACAGCGGCGGCTTCAACGACAGGCTCTTCAGCAGCGGCAGCTTCAACGATAGGCTCCTCTTGAGCTTTCTCGTCGACGGTCTCAGTGGCAGTGTTGTCGACAGTGGACTCCGCGGACGCCTCGACAGCAGGCTCCTCCGGAGCAGAATTCTCAGCGGCTGGCTGTTCGGCGGTAGCAACTTCTTCAGTAGCCTCAGCAACGGGAGCTTCGACAGAATGTTCCTGCTTTGCAGCTACCACAGCCGGGGTTTCAGTGACTGGCTCCTCAACAGCGGGTGTCTCGTGAGCTGGCTCTTCAACGGCCTTGGCAGTCTCGGCGACGATGGCCTCTGCCACAGGCTCTTCCGCGGTCACTGCATCAGCAGCGGGCTCGTTGGCAGCCTCGGCAACCTCGGCAACAATGGGCTCAGCAACAGGTTCTTGGGCGAGCTGCTCTTCCATAGCAGGGGTTTCAGCAGCTGGTTTCTCCGCAGGGTTCTCAGTGGTCTTCTCGGTGGCCTCGGCAAGTGGTGCTTCTGTAGTCGAAGTCTCGGCGACTGGCTCTTCTGCAGCAGGCTCTTCAGTGATCTTCTCGGCAGTCTCCACAGGAGTAGCCTCAGCAGCAGGTTCTTCGACGATCGGCTCTTCCGTTGCTGTGGGCTCCTCGATCGCCTTCTCGGGGGTGCCTTCAGCTACAGGTTGCTCAACAATCGGCTCTTCGGAAGTCTTCTCAACAGGTTCCTCGACGACAGGCTCCTCCTTGGTGGCTGGCACCTCGACCTCGACGGGAGCGACGTCGACAACTGCGGCCTCAGCAGCAGGCTCTTCAGCCGCCTTTTCAGGGGTAGTCTCTGCAACTGATTCCTCAACCGTGGGCTCTTCCGTAGCAAGGGACTTAGCAGCAGGCTCCTCGGTCGAGTTTGTGACGGGAACTTCAGCAACTGCTTCCTCCTTCACAGGCTCAACGGCAGACGTTTCGGTGACAGGCTCTTCGGTAGCAGGCTCCTCGGCGGTCTTTTCAGGAGAGGCTTCAACGGCAGCTTCCTCCACAGGCTCCTGCACAGCGGGAGTCTCAGCGGCGGCAGTCTCGGCAACAGGCTCCTTGGTGGTATCCTCGGCAGTAACTTCAACAACCGGTACCTCCTTGACAGGCCCCTCAGCAGACTTTTCCACAGCCGGCTCTTCGGTGACAGCAGTGTGCTTTTCGGTAGTCTCAGGAGCAGAGGCTTCGGCAGTAGTGATCTCAGCGGGAGTATCCAGAACTGGCTCCTCCACGGCGGGTTCTTGGTGAGCAGGCTCCTCGGTGGTTTCCTGAGTAGTGGCTTCGGCAGTCGTGGTTTCCACGGCAGGTTCCTCCACGGCGGGTTCGACAGGCGGCTCCATCGGCTCACCGACAGCGTTCACTTCTGTCGTGGACTCTTCGATCTTGGTCTCCTTCGGCTCCTCCACAGGCGGTTCCATCGGCTCACCGACAGCGTTCACTTCTGTTGCGGACTCTTCGATCGTGGTCTCCTTCGGTTCCTCTACAGGCGAGGCTTCGGGAACAGGCTCCTCGGCCACGGATTCAATAGCCTCAGCGACGGCAGCCTCAACGGGCGTTTCAGTAGCGGCTTCTTCTACGGGTTTCTCAGAAACGGGATCTTCGACCTGGGCCTCATCGACGGTAGCGTTTTCAGCAGCGGCTTCAACTGGCGCAGCTTCAGCAGTAGGCTCAGCAGGCTCAGCAGACTTCTCGTCGACAGGCTCCGCAACAGTCACTTCCTTTTCGGTCGCTTGGGTGGAGGCAACCTCGGGAAGAGGCTCGATGGCAGAAGACTCAGCAACCACGGTCTCGGTAGGCTCCTCCACAGTTTGCTTGGTTTCGACTGCTTCAGTGGCGGGGCTCTCGGTTGACTGTTGAGCAACTGCAGTCTCCGATGGCGTCTCGGTAGCCACAGGTTCTTCCGTCACCTTTTCGGTGCTAGGCTCGACGGCAGATTCCTCCTTGACAGGTTCCTCCTTGGCAGGCTCCTCCTTGGCAGGCTCCTCCTTGAGAGGCTCCTCCTTGAGAGGCTCCTCCTT